GAAAATACTGTTGCACTGACTTGTTTCACATTTTTGGCTTGTAAATGCTGGAAAAACCAAGAAAACCAATCATGTTCTTAGGGTCTGGTTCCCTGACCCCACTTAAGATGAAACGGAGCAATTTATAGACTTTGGGGATTTGTACTGGTCAGAGAATCAGTTTAGCAGGCTTGTACTCCTTCACAGGTGTGTAATTAATTGCAAAGAAAATGCTAAAAAATGCGGAATAACAAAATATGTATAAAAGTAGGAGCAGATTTTTAAAAAAAAGGCAGTTTTCTCCAACTCTGTTCGGCCGACCAGCATTGGCAAAATACAATCTTTCTTGAAAATATCAGTACACCAGGAGCCACAAGTTTACTGGATGCTTTAGACTGTCATTCCCTTACAATCTACTAGGGTATTTCTTGATAATTAGATCATTTCGTTATTTGATGTTTGCAAATGTTGTATCTTCCCTTTAAAGGGAATGTACATCATTGGCTTTTGCTGTAATTTTCAGAAATGAACTATTTGAGGGGTTAGTATAATAGATCAAATATTGTTACACTGACATGTTTGAAGTTTTATGTTCGAAAATGCTGGAAAAACCAAGAAAAACAAAAATGTTCAAGTAGTCTGGTTCCTTGACTCCACTAAAGATAAAATGGATCAATTTATAGATGTCGGAAAATTGTAAGGTAAAGGAACCAGTCTAGCTGGCCTGTACCTGTTCATGAACATGTAGCCAATAGCAAACAAAATTTGGACTGAAAAAGTGTAAAGTTGGAGCAGTAGTTGATAAATAGTTAGGTTTTTCCAACGGTGATCGGCCGACCACTGTTGGAAATGTATACAAAAATATCATTTTCTTGACAATGACTTCACACCAGGTGCCATAATTTTACAGGATGCTTTAGACTGTCATTTACCAACATCCTAGTAAGGTATTTCGTAAAAACTTTGTAGTTTTATTTTTCGATGTTTGCAAATGATGTATATTCCCTTTAAGTTTGTTTTTCACAAGCCTTTATTTGATCACGAATAATTTCAAAACTCTTTTGAAAATCAAACCAATACAAACCAGGGATAAAGTTAAGATTTCAAGCTTTAAGATTTTCGCGGCAACGCTGGAGCCTCGCAAAAAATATATGCGGGTATTTTGGGACATGCTGTACAATCTTAATTTCACCAATGATGGGAGCAGCTGAAGTGACAGTCTCCCTAGATTTGTCTATGGAGTACTGAAGTGTGATGTCATTTAGAACCAGAAAGTGTAGTGCAAACGAATAGAGTACGCGCGTGTTGGTTCACGGGCTGAATCACACGCTAATGTCTTTTACATGCATTATGTGCATGTGACGTATTCACTTCGGTACTCCATAGTTAGAAGTTCATTAAACTTGCTCAATGTTATTGACTGGGCAAACCACACATATCACAGCTGTGGTTTAAACTCTTGAGCTTACTGCCCTTCAATTCTTGACATTAGGACTGGGAATGCCCCTCTCTCTCTACTAGATCTAAATAAACATATCCTGTTGTTGACTTGAAAACAGGCCAGCAATTCCTGAAAATATCAAGTGGGTACTGTGGCACTACGTGCAATGGGATTTCCACAAATGATTTAATGTACCCCAGGGAACATCTAATTGGTTCATGGCACGGGGGCATTTTGTCGGAACTGTTTTGGGAACATTTCCTAAAAACTTTTGTCCATCTGTTTAGCAGAGCAAAGCCAGGACAGATCATGTTTTGTTAGTGGCCCACGTTTGAGGATTTAATAGACTTTAAACAAGCTAAATTGAAACAAGCTAAATTGAAACAATGCATTCAATCCGATATATATTGCCTCATTGTTTTTAATGAGTGTCATGTTTAGTGGATTCATATATTGCCTAAGCCCAAAGATCCCAAAGACTTTTATACCCGATGCTTTCAGTCAAATCCAAAGACACATCTAAGTTTCAATTGAAAATCACTGCAGTTGTTCAATGCAGAAACTATGGGGTGTCAGCCCAAAAAACTAAGCCATCAAAGCACCCTCTTTTTCACTGCTTTTAACAAAATACATCACGAACATCACAATATATATAGTTCATTAGCTTTTCAACATTGAAAAAATCTTTCCAATTGGGTAAATATTTATTGAGTTATGGCCAATTGAAAACAAGTATCGCTTTTACAGCTTTTTCATTTTGTCAACGGCAACTGATATATGACTGCCACAATAAGAACAGGGGCTGAAGCTTGCATCCATGAAAGAGGCTACAAGTATAGGGTAGAGGTAGAGCAGCCAGGCCTGAGCGCAGCACAGTAAATACCTAAGAAGCTAACCAAGTAGTCATTTTCAGGACTACCACTTATGCCAAAAGGACAAATGACCATTGTTGCAAAAAAGCAAAAGAGGAAAAAGAACCAAATAAAGAAAAAAGAATAAAAAATTAAAGAAGGCAAATTTACCCTCACCCCAAGTCTATTAATTCCAGGATTCCAAATTTTCCTCGGATCCCCTGATTTTTTTACTTCTTATGAATGCCATTACAAATTGAAAAATACTGTAAAAAGTCTTGTCTGGTTTGGAGTTAATTCCCAGTTGCATTACTGCACATTCCTATTCCTGATTTTTCATTTCGTCCATGGTCTTAATTGTCATTTATTAAACAAATGACAATATTAAAACGAAGGACAAAATGAAAAATCAGCACCTTCTAAATTAGCCGTAACTCAATGCCCGATTGGAAATTTGTTTTTGTTGTTGAAAAGCTAATGAACTGTACTGTCTCATATTTGCTGTGAGAAATAGGGTGTTTTGAGGGTTCGTTTTTTGAGAGGACACCTTGCACATGTATGTGTGGGGTGTGTATCGCCGAGCTGCTATTTATAACTCCATCCTACACAACAGATTTCGAGTTGAAGAAAACAATCAATCATGACAAAATGGGTTTAAAGTGACAAAATGCACACCTGCAGGACTCTGACTGTAGTATATGACACACAAGTGTCTTATGACTGGAAATGGCTTATTTGTTACTCACGCTCAACTCCAGAAAAATAGGAAATGACCCGGCGACAGATGTTCAAGTTCAAGGCTGGAGCATGCCAACAAAGTCTTTCATGAAAATAGGCAGAGACAGTTGTGTTTACATTATACAAGGACAACGAATGTCTGCCATGGTTCCTATTTTTCTGCCAAATTTAAGAAAGGGAAGTAACCACACTATGACATTGACACATTAACCTTTCAGCATATGTGCTACATTGCATTACAATGTAGTTTATCACTGAAGAATCCATAACACCATAGAGTGCTTTGGCAGTTTCGGGAAGTACAGAGAGTAGAGAGTAATGGGCTCCGTGCGCCAACAAAAGAGGGCGCCCTTTTACCTAGCACCGATGTCCCATGGGCGGGACACATACATTTCGTTGGTTGATGCGCGTGCACCGTTCCCTGTGTGTGAAGCATGTACACCAGGTGATTTGTATTATGTACATGCAGTCAGGCAAGATGGCGTCGTTCGGTCACCCCCAACTGTACTTTCTTTGCCGGTGAGGGGGACTGATGAAAGGAGCGGATAGGCTGGGCAGTTTGGGCTGGTACAGGGACTAATGGATTAAATAAGATTTGCAGGTACATGGGAGGATCCAGGGGGTGCAAAGAGGCATTAGCTCCCCCCCCCCCCCCACACACACACACACACCCACACACACACACACCCTCTTTTTCAAATGGCACGCTGACGGCAGTGGCATAACCAGGACTTTTGGCCAGGGGGGCACCAGCATGTTATGAGGGGCACTAAGTGAGCACCCAACATTGACAACAACATTTCCCCCCAAATCTCCAGGGCACCGCAAGTGCTGCAAATTCCTAGGGGGAGGGGGCGGACAGCTGTTGATGCTATAGGGTGCTCTTTTTTCTTATAAAAATCCGTACAATGAAGGGAAGTCGAAAATTGTCATCTGGATTCCTCTTCCTTTTAGTTACTCAACAAATACTTTGAAAAGACACTTCTTTGACAAGTGGCAAATTTCAGATTTTTTTTTCGGGTGGGGGGGGGGGACCTGGGGGGCACTGGGAATTTGGTGGGCAGGGAGATGTGCCCCCCCCCCCCCCATACACCACTGGCTGAAGGTCACAATGATACATCAAGTACAAAAAGAATATTCAATATCGTTAGTAATTTTTTTCCTGCACTTAATACTGTCCTGCACTCAATACAGTCCTGCACTACATTGACGTGACATATTATAATTAACCCTCCTCTAGTTTGATCAGTCACAGACAGTCAAAAATTCAATCCTGTTCTCCTGGCATGCCTTTTACACAGGCTAGTCACAAATAGTCAGATCATACCTCTTATAGGCTCTGTGACAGTCAAATTCCGCCAACAGACAAAGGCAGGTGACTGGTACAATGTAGGCACAGCTGGTTTGATCAATTTTCTACAGTCAAAGCATACTGTAATTATATCAGGTTGTATTGATGACGGCATAAAAACAGTCACTTGATTTCTTTTGATTGCTGGGCTGGCCTTGTTGAAACTGCCAGCCAGAGAGTGAGGGTTTTAAAAGAACTATAAGCAAATAAATTTTAAACTGTGAGATAAAGAGGAAAGGGGTAAAACAATTTGGTCATTACAGAAAATTGTATGCATATGAATTATTATTAATCCAGTTTGTGTATTGCATGTTAAGTTCATGTGGCATCTTCTTGAAACATCAACATTAATTTCAAATTTAAAATTTGGCTTGTTTCCCTCTTTTGTATTTAGTTACATGAATTCATTTCCTTTACAATAGCAAAAATATTTAGTTACATGAATTCATTACCTTTACAATATCAAAAATGTATATGCATAATGCATAATGTACATATTTTTTAAATGCATAAAGCTTTAAATGTCTTTGAATGGGTGAAGATTTCTTTCACCAATGTGTATGTTTCCCCTCCAAATTTAGGTATGATAACTTGTATAGACTTAATTGATTTATTTCATTTTATTCTTTGGCCAGATATTGATGAATGTCGGAGTTCCCAGTGTGACCAGCAGTGTATCAACACTGAGGGCGGTATGCGATGCGAATGTGGACCAGGCTTTACACTGTCACCAGATGGCCAAGGATGTAAAGGTCAGTGAGATCATAAGGGCATACTCCCTTCGCTTTAGTGTGGTCTAGTGGTCTGCATTATAATCGTGACTCATAAACAGAGAGTTTGGGTTCGAATCCTGTTCAAAACCACTTCACCCCTTGTAGCATGCTCCCTTTCCTTGCTCTTAAGTTAGGCTATAATCGTGACTCATGAACAGAGGGTTGGGGTTAAAATCCAGTCCATAGCCACATCATCCCTTGTAGCATACTCCCTTCCTTCGCTTTAGTGTAGTGGAGAAGTCTGGTTGTACGAACAGAGGGTTACGGATTCAAATCCAGTTCGAAGCATTTTCACCCCTTTTAGAATGCTTCCTTCCCTTAGGGTATAAAGCCAGTTCGAATCTACTAATTGCAAAAGTGTGCGCCGCACGCGCGCATATCCTACAGAACGGGGTTATTTTCGTTTCCACGAACTGACACCCAACACAGTGCGGCACTTCTAACGCCCACGTTGCGCATTTTCGTTTTCACGAACTGAAACTGATCTTAATTTCAACAGTTACAAGTATACAGATGGATTAAATTTGTTTTAAACCTTTCAAAGCATTTTTCTCCATACTGTATTGCTGCAACATACTTGGGTGTCAGTTCGTAAAAACGAAAATCCTTCTATTTCACATCAGTGACAGATGCACACGCATACTACCGGGTGTCAGTTCATGAAACCGAAATAGTTGATTACGTGGTTTTCACGAACTGTCAGTGACGATTTATTTGGCTTACCTATAGACCCTTTTATCTGAAATGTCATGACAACTTTGGAAACGCATTCTTATTAACCAGATATTGATGAGTGCGCCCGCAGGGACTGGAAGCCTTGCCACCACACCTGCGTCAACTCCAGAGGGAGCTTCAGATGCTCCTGCCAGCCGGGCTACTACCTGCACCAAAATGGAAGATCCTGCCTAGGTAGGTCATAGGTCAAATCAGGGCAAATCAGGTACATGCATTGTGCACTTCAAAAAATTCGAACAAACAAAATAGAAAAATTCATCCAGAATAACATTTTTCTGTTTAAGTCTCGGGTGTACACTTATAAACTCAAAATGTATGAAAGAGAATGTTTAGAGGTTGGTGAAATTTCACCTGCCTATGAAATTTAAGGTAAATGTTTACTCTATAGCAAGGAACTAACTACATGTAGTAGAGGCGGAAAAATCAAAGTGAGCTACGTTAGGGACCGCACCACATGAAGCATGTGACAGGGGCGTAGCACAGGCATTTGTATTGGGGGGGGTACAAATTTATAGAAAAGGGCACTTGCACATACATGTAAGTATCCGTGCTAAAATGTAGACACGTTTTTTTCCCGGACACTCTGCCTCCATTAAATCAAAAAGTGGGTGGTGGGGGGCTGGTACCATCTGTCAATGGGGGCACTGTTCAAAACTGCCGATTATGCAAACTGGTTTTCAGGACAATAAGTTGCCCGTAACAACCGCCTGCCACAAGACTTGTTCTCAAAAAGGCCACTTTTTCCAAAAAAAAAGGCACTCTTGACAAATATTGGGGGGGGGGGGGGGAGGGGGAGTAAACTCTTGTAAAAAAGGGCATTTGAGTGGAAAAGGGCAGTCTTTACCAAATATTGGGGGGGGGGGGGTTCCCACGCTTATGTGTGATGCACGCGTAATGTACTGTACACCTGAAAGTTTACTGCAGGAGTGTAGCGCTGAACATAAGCGCGTTACCGGGCCATATTGGCTGGCACTGGGGACGAGGGTGTCTATACCTCGCTGCGTGGCGCTATTAAGATCTTTGCGCAGAACCAAAGTCGTGACAAAACACTTAACCCAAACACGAAACATATATGAAATATATTTTTAGAAACAGTTTAGCGTAAGGTGTGCGATTACAACTGTCCGGCTTGTGAGCGTGTGAACTGACTGTTCAAGTCTGAAATGCGTGACACATGCCAGATGCGTGACACTTTGTAGGTCTGCAAGTATTGTTGCCCATGTGCGCATTGGATCCTAATACAGAGTACAATGTTATACAATATTCCAAATATTGGTCCATTGCTTAATACACCATGACTGAGCCAATTATATCGACTTGTCTCTAGCGAGTGCCGTTTTGATTGGATATATCAACTCACAGTAGAAAAAGGCCTGTTGTCCATTTATGCGTTGACAGGTCATCTCAACACATGAGCTGCCTAGATTCACTAACTTAGTTTGGTGAATCCCTTAGCATATTGTAAGATCCCAATCTGGGTTGCGTATCGGTTTTCAGTCTCTGTTTGGGCTATGTGAGTTTCCTGTCGATTCTCTAGACGGCCACATGCACATATGCCGTCACCACCTTCGCCCAAATCCAAACTGGGTCCACGTTTCCACCTCATCTCATGTGTGTGTGCCTATAGGTTTCAAGACATACTTATCGTGTCAATCGGCACTGATGTAAACGTGGTTTCCCCCAAGAAAACACTTGCTGAGGAAACATGACTGGTCTTATAAACTGAGTGAATCACTTCCATACAGACAAACCTGGGAGGAACACCTGGATGAAAAAATCAATGTCAGAGAACAAAATTGAATGGAAAACTAGCCACTTCAGAAAAAAAGAAGTCAATAACTTTTTCTTTCTGTTCCCTGCCAAACTCCATGGGATATCCCCTGCACAGCAAAGGTCTATGTATGCGAGCAGATTTGGGGATAATATGCAAAACAAGTCTACGTCTTGACCTTGAGATTCTGACCATTCAGCTGGTTCCCTCTATTGGGTCTTTCATAACTCGTTGTATTACAAAAAACATGGCATCCAAATTGACCAATCAACAGCTTAGTCCACAGTTCGGGTCGAAATGACGTCATAGCATCTAAAGACCTGATTGGCTGGCATGCGGGGTCGCATAAAACTTAAATGCGATGATATATGAGACGTTCAACCTTGGCTTCGCCAACGTGAATGTCTGATCCTCAGACTAGCCAAACTCTGGTTGATTTTACCTAGTTCATCAGAAAAGAAAATAAACCCAATCTTCTTAAGACTCAAAATTACCCATGTTTATCAGGCTATGAGACCAGTTTTCTGAAGCAGCTTGAGATCAGTGCAATTTGGTCTCTGCCCTCACAGGTACCATTTGTATATTGCAGGATGCAGGGAGGCAATAGTAGTAAAGCGTCTTGCCCAAGAACACAAGCCCATCAGGGTATGAACCCACATACTGACCTACATTTCTGACATAAGGGTTAACTAATTCAAGCATTGAATAAGAGGTTTCGTGCAACGTATGCGACAATCAGAAGATGTTGTTTGTACGTGGATGAACAGATACATATACAGATCTCCATTCTATGTGTGCGTGTCACTCAACCGTTTAGATTGACAGCTACAAAATTGTTGGCACTGTATTGGCGCTAATGGCATAAACGCAACCAATAAGATATCAATAATATTTATATAATTAATAATGCGTACTTGTAAAGCGCATGCTTCCACCAATATTGGTGCTGAATGCGCTACATCATTATTACCATCCACATTGAGTGAATGAAACAATCCAAAGACCGTCTCAGCTCCCTGGGGAGTATGCAGCTCCACCATTTCGGCACAAAGCAGTTACATTTGTAAAATCAATCACAATAACCATCTCTGCCCTCATAGGTACCCATTTAACCCTGGGTGGGGAGAAGCAATGAGTGACAAAGTGCCTTGCCCAAGGGCACACGCACCATAACCCCAGGCTGGACTCGAAGCCCACAACCTGCAGAATTACCCACAGAATTACCCACAGATACATGAGGTCCGGCCTATTGGCCTCCGGTCTGGACTTCAGACTGCCTGACTTTTGATTCGCTAGTTAATGTCTTTATTTCAACTCTGTTGGTTGTGTTGGCTGTACATTATAACAGCAAATGCTTAGCTGAATGATACTACCTTGAAATTGGGATTTCAAGTCTTAGACATCTGTGACACATCTGAAAATGGGTTCAGGAAACCACCCATGTCTAAGAGATACATATCGTTGTGAGTCATGTTACAAGACCTGAGGCGATTACTGACCGAGTGTGACTCAGAAGGCATTACTCCTGGCAAGCTGTTATTCCTATCCATCGTTGCTCATATCAAATGCAACCTTCAGTTTTTATGCATCATAATAAAAAAAATAATTAGAAGCTTTACTTTGAAGCTTTCCACTATTTAGAAGAAAAAGAATACTTGGTCAGCATTGGCCAGAATTTTACAGGCCTTCTAATCCCTATGATGTTCTCCAAAGTCTAGCTACTCCCGTTTAACCCTTTAGTCATTGTAGCACCCAAAACCGCCCTGCCTACATGTATTACTCACTGTAGCACCCAAAACTGCCCGAGCACTCTATGGTTTTATTGATTCATCGCGTTTTTTACATACTGGTGAACAGGTAGTACCGTGCCTTTTCCATACCGGCAAACAGGTATGCACAACTGTATACTTGTTCGCCGTTATAGAAAAGGCGCGGTGCTACCTGTTTGTTGGTACATGTATGTAAAAAACACGACGGATTATTAAGTGAGTAAACACAATTGAATACAAAGTAGTACAGGTTCTTAATAATGGTTTTACCCCAATTCGTATTATTTTCCTTATCTCCTAGGATACTTTCTTTCCCCTATCCAATGGAACCTGCTGCACTGTATGGTTTCCTGGATTTCAATATATAAATACAAAGTAATACAATGTAGTACATGTGCTAATGGTTATTAGCCCACAGCTTGAACATACATCAATAATCAGCCACACGTCAACCAACAGTCCTGGTTCAGACTTGCCCCAGGTCATTCCCATCCTCTTCACCAACCCCTTTCCCCCCTCATTTACCATTAACCATTACATTCCTGGAACACCATAACATTCCCCGCTCAACCGTGGGAGTCCCCCTGCAGCCAAATTGCCAACTTCTGGGGCCCTCTGCATAACAGGAAAGAGCAGTCTGTCAAGACTGAGGTTGAATTAGGTCATGAAAACACAACTTTTTTTCCAAGGTTTGAGATACCTGTTGCCATATTCCCACCGGGATTAAACTGTGGAATATGGATATTTGCAGAGCTAAGGAAAAGGGCATCAATCCTGGAAGGGCAAGGGTTGGAGAGGATAAAGAAGATATATCACCCTTCCCGTCAGAGAAGAGGATGGGATATAAAGACCAATATGGGCATGCTATCAATTCAATCAGGAAATCAAATTTAAATTTATTTTCCAATCCAGATGTGAATGAGTGCAACCAGGGTGGGGGCCAGGTGTGTCACCATATCTGTCAAAACACCCAGGGGAGTTACCGCTGCTCCTGCCGTCCCGGGTTCGAACTCCAACCGGATGGAACAACCTGCAGAGGTGAGAAACAGAAACAAACCCCAAGTCTCCATTTTGTTCATGTTTACATGTAAGCTTTCTTTCACAAATAATTAATATGATTATTATGCTAGATAATCCTTAAGGTTTTCCCGCATGTAGAACTCAATGACCCAGTGGTTATGGTGTTTGACTACCCACAATGGTGCGTGGGTTCGAATTCTGCTTGGAGCATGGTGTTTGTGCCCTCTCCACCCAGGAGTATAAATGGGTACCCTTGATAGTTGAAGACCAATTTAGCGCTGATATCGGCTGTCGCGTGGTCTCATGGCGTGATGAATGGGGTAATAATTGTAAAGCGCTTTGAGATTGTTGATGCGATGGGAAGCGCTATATATGCACTTCGATTGCCCTTCGATTATATTCTAAGAAAATGTGAACAGATACTGATATCTTATCACTTCAACTTTTTTTCCCTTGTTTTTTCTAGTAGTATAGCCTACACCTTGTGTTGCTACTAGCTTTGTCACATTATTCTTCAAAATCTGAATAATAATCACACTTTAAATTTCTAGAGCAGCATTCTTATTTTGTTTTCCATTGGAAATCTCCTTTATGATATTTTGAAATCCCCGCTGCATGCTTAGAGTGTGTTTTAAAAATAGTGGACAACCTTTGCAAAAAAAACCCATGTTTTTGCCAATTCCAGGAACAATGTTATAAATCTGAAGCAGGTTCTTCTTCTTCTTCTTTTTCTTCTTTTTCTTCTTCCAATTGAGTGCTAACTTCATAATTGAAGACTACCTTTGTGGTAGCCAACGTGTAGGTGGGAACAAGACATCAGTGAATGGTTAGGGATAAAGAATAACTGATGCTGAAAGAAAAGCTGCTGATAGAGATAGCTATAGAACCATGGTCTGGGAAGCGTTCCAATAGGGACAGGCTGTGAATGATGTTGCAACATCAGCTCAGTAGATATCAAACTTTGTAAAAACACTGTAAAAAAAAAGCGTCTTCGTTTTTTTAGACACAAAGGATATGTTAGGTTTCCATTGTAAGCACATTGGTTTGATCCTATCCATTGCGAGGAAATGATGGTAATTCCCCTTTACTCCAAAATGACAGCATAACTTTTCCTCGGATCTGCTGACTGATTTCCTTGTTTTAACTTCTCAAGAATACTATTGTAAAACACTGAACAAAGTCTTGTTTGGTTGGTAGTTTCCCCTACACAGAAGTCACACCAGCATGAACAACGCTTCGCAAACAGCGGCTTCAACTGATTTGACACGCAACCCGGCGCAACGTACCACTCTCATTGCTCTTGAACAAAAATAATCAACCTACAGAACCGTACCGTAGAGGTAGCGCACTTATTCGAACCTACCAACAACTTACTGATGACCTTAGGATGACTGGTATTGGCTTGAACCAGCTACACCAAACCACTCAAAACGCAGAAGAATGGAAGAGGACAATTTACACATTATTATTGTAGTCACTGAGCAACGCCCATGTGCTGCACTTGCACAGACGTCACCAAGATGATGATGATAGTTTCTACATTCTCAGTTGCATGCCAGATAATAGGTGCAACAATCACAGGATGCATGAGCCCATCATTTACTTACAATCAAGTAGGCTATTCCATGAATTTTTTGGCAGTTGTAAGTTTTTTAATGTTTGCAAGCTGTGTCCAGTACTTTTAACCATTCCTTGTGTTTGTCACTGCAGATATTGATGAGTGCACTCAGGAATCCAACGGTTGCTCAGGTAGCTGTATCAACACCATTGGATCATACCAGTGTAGCTGCACACAGGGTTATACCAGCAGAGGAGGCAGATGTGTGGGTAAGTTGGTCATGTCGTCTCTGATGCAGGCTGTGGTGTTTGTTGGCAGCTGGAGTTGGCAGCTGGAGTTTGTTATTACTCGGTGCAAAGACTATGAATAGGAGAGATGTAGTCGAGACTTCACAAGTCGAGACTTCACAAGTCAAGACTTCACAAGTCAAGACTTCATAAGTCAAGCACTAGTCAATCACTAGTAATCACTAGTCAATCACAGGCCAATTGTAAGTCAATTGCAAGTCAATCTCAAGTTAATCACAAGTTAATCACAAGCTAATTACAAGTTAATCACGACTCAATCATAAGTCAATCGCAAGTCAGTCACATGTTAATCACAAGTCAATCGCAAGTAAATCATAAGCTATTCACAAGTCAATCGCTAGTAAGTCAGTCACATGTCAATCACAAGTCAGTCATCATAAGCTAATCACAAGTCCATCGCATGTCATCCCAGCTTAATCACAAGTCATCACAAGTCAATCACAAGTTACTCATTCTTGGTTTAAGCCACAAGACATTCAAATGAGATGCGACAGAGGCATTCCTTATACTCAGTTTGTTTATTTATCTCTTGGTACTTGTGACCTGACACTTGAAGTACCTGTGATTTTCTCTTTTGATTCGAATTAGCGACTTATTTTGTGACTGGACTTACGATTTGACCTGTTATTTGAGTTGTGATTTGACCAGTGATTTGGACTTGTGATTTAACTTGTGAATAAGCATGTGAGTGGACTTGTTACTGGACTTGTCAAGTTGCGATTGTATTGTACTGGACTTAATATGATGTCTTGTCATTGGAGTTTGTGATTTAGCCTGTGAAAAGTCGTGTGATTACAGTTGTGAAGTTGTGATTTGACTTGTTCTGGACTTATGATTGGATTTGCAATGACTATTTATTGGACTTGTCATTAGACTTGTGATCAAACTTGTGGTTGGTCTTGTGGTTTGATTTGTGTTGGACTTGTGATATGACATAACATAATTTAAAGGCTAATTGAAAAATGTTCTTGATGTAGATGTGGATGAGTGTCAAATGAGCAACGGTAGATGCGAACAGCTCTGCGTCAACACTCAAGGCAGTTTCCTGTGCTCCTGTCGTCAGGGTTACACGCTCAACAGCGATGCACGGACGTGCACAGGTAGGTCCTCATTCCGTCATTTGCTAGGCAATTCACAGATATTCAGGGCATTTGAGAATTTATGGTTTTATAAAGAAAATAAAGGGAAAGGTGCTAGAGATTATTACCTCCACCAAGGAGGTTATGTTTTCATCGGTGTTCGTTTGTTTGTTGGTTTGTCTGTTAACAAGATGACTAAAAAAAGTTTCATGAAATAGTTTTTTTAGGGGTGGTCCTTGGTACAAGTACAAATCGATTACATTTTGGAAGTGATCCGGATCTGGGTCTAGATCCAGAAATGTTTTAAGGATTCTTCACCATTGGGAGATAGGGCATAACAAAAACTGAAGTCACCGAGTACCAAATTCAGTGCATCGCTCGCTGTGCGCACTGGTGACTTCAAATTGTCTTTGTGCTCTCATTGGATGGATTTTCTTTGCAGTCACGTGTGCGCGGGAAAAGTATGTTCACTGTTACAGGCTTTGGGCTTCCCACAATCCTTTTGTGCGGAAGGACCGCAGCTACAGGGAAAGTAACACATCCCCAAAAACTCACGAACAGGTGGCCTGTGGCCCCAAGTAATGGCGCAGTGGTGTAAACATGTTTTTTTTTCTTCTTATTTTTCAATTATGATTTCAGATGTGGATGAGTGTGAGCAGTACGCCGGCCGGGTCTGTGAGCACGGCTGTGAGAACGTGGACGGCACGTACCAGTGTAGATGCCCACCAGGATTCAGGCTGCATGCCAACAGGCAGAACTGCGTGGGTAGGTACCTGGGGCTAGCATGGGGTTAATACAAAAACATCTGAAACAGTATTCACGTGCTTCCAGATTAAAACTTTCTTCTTTTATGCAGACATTGTGTGCATGCTCAGTAACAACATCAGTCGTTCAAGTGATGTGACCGAATGCCATGTTTACACAGCATTTTCCTACTCTCAAAGAGTATCAAGGGTGACCCACACAAATGCAGCCTATAGGTCTTCAACATTCAACAATTTTGACCTACATTGGCAAAATGAGGAATGTCCCCCAAAACCTCGTTTGAAGTAATCGACACCTGAAGTCCGATATGCTAGAAAAATCATGTAGAAATCTATATATCTTTGTTGTATTTTTGAGTAGCCAAGGCATCCAAGATTCACACTATGCACTTTTGTTAGGAAAATAAATACCCCAAAGTTGGAAAAACTGAGGAACTTTTTCACTGCCATTAGCAGTGCAATGCGTATCTTTTTTATTCAAAGCCATCTTTTTTCTCGAAATGAGGTCGGCGAAGTTCGGCAAGACACTGTCGAAGTTCCTGAAGCATATCTTTGGACTAAATTAAGCTATAGCAATCAATTTGATATCATTGGAAAGCCAATGACTTGTGCTTTAGGGTTCTTATCAATAATGACCGTCCGCTGACTCAGCTGAACTTGCGGACTAAATTTGGTCCTTAGTTACGGGTTAGCAGCGAGCCCTGGAGTCTCATTTGCATGGTTTAACAATGGGCTATTCTAATTTCTATTCTAAATTAATAACAATATCACACGAGCGGGGACTATGTCATTAACTTGATCAGGCATTAGTAAACATTGGTCGCGAAAGTACACGAACTGCTGGCCCTTGGCAACACCAGAATTCAGCGTACATTCGCTGACAGTCAGCGGACGTTTTATTGACAAGAACCCTTAACATGATGTATGTAACTTGAAAAGTCAAAGGATAGGGGTTATTCCTCAGTATGATATGGCAGGTCACTATTTTGCCATCTCTTGCTTTGGTTCCTAGATATCAATGAGTGTATGGAGCAGCATGGGCTGTGCCACTACCGCTGCGTTAACACCAGAGGTTCCTACAACTGCATCTGTCCTCCAGCCTTCCAGCTGGCTGCCGATGGAAGAATGTGTGACGGTGAGGAATATCTTGCCCGAAATGTTTTAGGCTGTTTCGGCAAAGCCTTTGTCTTTCCTTATACCAACAAACCCTCCTAGTACCCGCAAACTACATGTAAGTTAAGTCCCATTTTGCCGGAGCGCCTCACATTTTCCGGGGAATTTTCATTAGAAACTGCTTGACCGTGCAGGACTGTTTACATACCAGGGGCCAATTTCATAGAGCTGCTTAAGCACAAAAGTTGCTTAAGCACAAAAAAACTTTCCTTAATATAATCAGTTCACCCGCCCAAACTCCATGCGACTATTATGCTAAGTAAACAAGAGCTAAATACCAATCACAAGCAATGTGCATCATATGGAGTTCTGGGTGGTAACCTGATATATATTGAGCAAGGTTTTTTTGCGCTTAAGCAATTTTGTGCTTAAGCAGCTCTATAAAATTGGCCCCAGAGGGCTGAGGTACATGTAGCAAGTGGTCAAGTCAAGAGTGGCTTCCGAGGCAGTGATATACATGTAACCACCATATATGGGGATGTGTCTGTACGCACCACGTGCACCAAATTAAAGTCCCATGCACAAAATAAAATGTTAGAATAAAACTCGTGGTCAGTTTGTTGACTACTTTTTAATGGTTTTTAATCAAAAAGGTATTTTTAAACGGGATTCTGTTCAGGCCATTATAAGCGACCAGACCCTTAACTGGGTTTAATCAAAACTAACAGTTTATAACTGCTCCATCGCACTTTTATCGACTTATTTAAATTGGCAACGTAGATTTAGTGAATATATGGTCCTTTTTTTAACAATGAAATTTGTACTGATTAAACCTTTGGTAAAATTTGTGAAAGGAGTCTCAATTTCTTTTTATTTTAGAATATTTTGTTTTCTTTTTCAGACATGGATGAGTGTGCAGTCAGTAATCACGGTTGCCAGGGTGGATGCGCAAACACCATGGGCAGCTATCACTGCACATGTGCAGAAGGCCAGCTGGGATCAGGCGATCTGTACTGCGGCAAACGTAAGTCTTACCAGGGGTGAGATTTGTCCGGATTTTTTTGGATTTCCGAATGTTAGTCAAACGTCTGTGGAATTTTATGCGGATTCCGGATTTCCAACGTTTTCTGTTTCCGTAATATCGCCCGAAAACTTCTGGCGAAATATAGGCCCTAATTTACGATAATAAATGGACTGTTGACAAGTCTAATAAGCAATGCGGTCAAGAACCTGATAGACATCAATGCAGTGTTGCGCAGCGGAGTACTTCGATCTTGTGTGGTATTGTGACCTCATAGGCAACTTGCTTTACTTGTGTCAAAGCAGGATAGGAAAGAATATCGCATCCTGACGCCACTTTTTTCAACTTTTGTCATCATATATTATCTCAATGAAGGTTCATCATTGCAAAAATGTTAAAAAGGCACGAATCTGGGACTGAGAAACATTTAAAATGTTGTTAAAAACATACTTTGAAAATGCACTTGACTCTCCATAGACTTTGAACACAACCAGAGAAGTGGCATCTGTATATACTATATCTTTTATCAGATACAAGGTTTTTATTGGAGGCTGACATTTTAAATTACTGCTTTTATCACTAATCAATTCAAGCATCTAAGGTTATGCATATGCACACACGATGTGAAACAACAAAACATCAATTGCTTTACAGAACTCTTTGCGAGACTTGTTTCTGTTTACTATTCACTGAAGATAACATTGGTGTACTGTTCTTTCTTTTTGTAGAGCCTAGCGGATGCAACAGTGATACGTGTTCCCACAAATGTGTCGACACAGGAACCGGCCACAACTGTATGTGCTCCAGAGGATACCAGTTACACAGTGGTGGTCGCCATTGTGAAGGTATGGGCTTCTTCCTATTCCATCAGGCCAGCATTGACTTACAGTTTTGGTCTTATAGTCTCGACTGTCATATTTGTTTCCCAGATCTTGGTCCTTAAAATGTTTGGCAGACTGAAGTTTTGTTTACCTCATTGTTTATTGACTTGGCTTTTTCCAGGACCAAATTGTTAGTTTTGTCATATGGAAGTTTTATTGTAAATTCAGTATTTTTCAAACTAGGTCTTCACGATCAAGGAGTGATTAAAATCAGAAGTGTAAAGTTTGTTCCTTAATGTTTACTAGCTTCGATGTGATGTAAACACACAGTGTAGCTGTCAGTGACTTTAGTTTGTTGCAGAAAAATTGCACACAAAAAGTGTGACCCAAAAAAACCACTAAAAAAAACAAAATACCAGATTACATGAAATTCTTCTTTTTGCACAGTACTTGTGCACAGAGACAGTAGTGAAACACAATGTGATTTAAAAAAATTTTTCTGCAGATAAAAACGAGTGTATGGAGGTTGGCCGTGGTGGCTGCCAGCATCAATGTGTTAATTCCATGGGCAGCTACTACTGCTCCTGCTACGCAGGCTACCGACTCCACTATGACCGCAAACGCTGTGTGGCCAACACAGGCTGCAATACATGCATGACTTGCCCTGCTGGATTCCACATGAATACACAGACAGGACGGTGTGAAGGTAAGGATCAATTGAAAGATTTCCGGCAATTTCCGGCTATCCCACTTCTGCCACCTAAATTCCCCCTTCTGTGCCCTAATTGCCCCTTTTGTATCCTTTCTGCCCCCTTCTGCATCCTTTCTGTCCCTTCTTGCACCCTTCTGACCTTTCTGCTCCCCTTCTAAACCTTCTGCCCCCTTCTGCCCCTCAGCCCACTTAATGCCCCTCTAATGCCCCCTTCTGTCAATCAGATGCCCCTTGCTGTCCCCCTTCTACACCCTACTTTACACCTTATTCCTCTTCTGCACCCCTCCTGCTTCCTTTATGTCTCCCTTCTGCCTCCCTTACACACTGTCTTCACCCCCTTCTTCAACCCCTTCTGCCCCTCTTATGCCCCTGGCGACGGGCCTGATTATACCCAATTTGCCCATTTGTGCCCACTTTTACCCACTCTTCTACCCCAAAATATTCAGGCTGGACATTGCGACAGCAAGGCTTCATGAACCCAATTCCAAACTTTGCGCTTCTCTTTACCCCTTCTTTCAACAAAAATGTTAAGATAATAAAATGGTTTCCATTAATTACCTAGCAACTTATGATGGTAATAACACAATACTTAAACTAACCAGCTAAGATGTATAGCATCACTCCTAAACTTTTGAGTATGCAGTTAGTCTTAGTGAGACAGAATTAGTTGATTACAAAACACTGTTTGAGCTCACTTGCTGTCTTCACGTACATGTATTAAGCCCAAATCTCAGCTCGTCCTGCAAAAAAAGTGGAGGAAAGTTGAGGAAAAAACACTGAAGTGTGCCATGTTATAGGAAACCTCTCTTCATAACACCTGTACCCCGTCACCACTCCCCTAACCCCTGGGGCTTCAGGAAACACTCTGTGTCTTATCAAGGGAAGCAACTCATGTCATCCTAACCTCCTTTTCCTGTCTGGAAATCAGACGGTGTGAAGGCGAGGGATGGTAAATCTTCCTCCCAGAAGAAGAAAGATAACTCTTTCTTATATGCTAGCTGTGAACATTGTATAACATCTGCCCTCCTATGCAAATAAAGATTCTGTGCCAAGTTGTCTGACAGTTCAGAACTCCCAGCCTACACATAGCAGGATTCACTGGCTGTGACTGTTAATGCAACTTGACATACCTGTACTTTGACTATGGGTGATTGATAAGACAGTTGTGCCACCAGTTTCCTGCTTTTGTTTGTTGACTGAATTTGACTAGTCAGAGCGCTTGTTTGGACTATGATCAGACTGTTTGTGACTAGCCTGTGTGAAAGGCATAGCAGGGGAAGTTGATAGATTTTTTTTTTTACTGTATGTGACTATTAAAACAGTAGGAGGGTTAATGATAAACTCAGATTGGCCTAATGGGAATCACAATACCTTGGTGGTCCATGACCTAAAAGGAGCTTATCACAGGTACCCATTTATACTCCTGGTTGGAAACAGGCAATTGTAGTAAAGTGTCTTGCCTATTAACACAAGCATCATGTTTCCTATCAGGTCTCAAACCCACATGGGTCATTCTATAAATTGTGGGTCCTGTCCCTGGTACATCTTGACATCTGTTTTATAAGTCTGATGCACTCTTTAATGCAGTTGTACTGAAGGAGTGATTATGATATGCAAACAACCTACCTAACAATAAAACAATAATTTGAAGTCAATCTATATGATACTTGAATGGCAAAGTGCAAAGTACGTGTCAAAGGTCATCATGGGGTCACTGGGCTTAAAAACCTGATTTTTTTTACACTACTTCTTCCAGAAATTACATGGCACAATCACGTGACTCATGCATGAACATTAATTTGTTGGCCGCAGCTTCCGAAATCCAATTGAGCTTGTTCATAAACAAACCAAAAATAAACAAAGTCCTTCTCTTTGATAGATATTGACGAGTGTTCATCACCCGCCAACAACTGTGGAGCTACACGCTGTGCATCAAATAGAGCAGTGTGCTCGCACAACTGCATCAATACGGTAGGCAGCTACTCATGCACATGCAATCCTGGATATCTCATACAGCCCGACGGATACACGTGCACAAAAGGTAAGAACAGACAGGTAGATAGATGGATAGACAAACCAGCAGATATGCAGTGAGTCACATGTATTTACATTTACTGTAGGCCAACTTTTGCAGTATCATACATAATACGGATACACTTAAAGGTTTCATGACGTGATTGTTACTCGGGACCGTGTTTTGTGCGAATTTCCATTCGTCTAAAATGTACGAAAACCTTTGAGACATCCCTTTTTATGTAACACCCAAGTAATCCTTGTCATTTGATTGGAGGATTGTAGGTCACGCAGCATTCATTGATCATACCATTACACGGCTAACGTCATAACCGTGCATTTTTGGTTTCATTCACCATGCATTTTTGGTCCCATCCCTTTTGATCTCTTGCACGCTAAAGCCCCTGTCACACTTGTCCGAATCGTCACTCCGTTCATGTTCCGAGTAAAACATTGTGGATTCGGTGTTTAATCGGTTTGAACTGAACTCAAACGGATTTCCCTCGGTTTTCTTCGGTTTTCCAACGCTATATACTCGTGTACGTTCATGTGATGCACTGAGGAACTCGGAGAAATTATTGAACCTGTTTAATAATTTCTCCGAATTGTCGCGGCAACCTCAATACGGACGGTATCCGGTATACACACGGAATATGCACGGAATACACGGAATACACACTGTACTCATTCGTTGCCATTCGTTGCAATGCGGAATAGGTACGGAAGAGTACGGAACAGGCCTCTGTATGTATTCAGAGTTCATTCCGAACCCACATTGTAATGCCGATCAAAAAACGGACTTTGATGTCACTTTATCCGATGATATACTGCATTACCACGATGTAATACCATATATATAACGGAGACGAACGGAATATAAACGGAATGTTCGGAAAGCGGTCGGTCTTGAGATCAATGAATTTTTCAAAGTTTGGCATGTCCGGTGATGATCGGAGAGGTTCTGAATATAGACGGATTGCAATCGGAATAGCAACTTATTAGATCCGGAATAAGACCGGATTATGATCGGTGTATTTTCATTTCTGGCTGTTTTTTTTTGACATTTCTCTCCGAACGTGTCCGAATTAATAATATTTCAGATCGGTTTATGAACGGAATTATAGATTCGGACAAGTGTGACAGGGGCTTAAGACGCGCAGCGGCCCGATCTTTGCGCTATTTAGACCATAGCATGCATTATAGCAGTACAAAACTTGCCTTTGAAGTTGATGCAGTTGCATCGATGATTTTTTGCATTGTTTTCAGAACTTACAATGTTAATTTTTATTTTTGTCAATGATATCACTTTTAAACCTTTGTTAGCCTTGAACAAGCTAAAAAAAAGTGGGATATGATACAATTTTGTGAGTTTTGTTTGTTCTTAAAGTTTTATCCTTCAATCGAATGGCAAAGATTACTTGGATGTCATGTAAAACAAACAATGAATGTCTTGCATTCATGCAATGCTGAGAATATTTTCATGAGTTGAAAGGCAGAATGTTCTATTCAAGTTGGTTTCATCTCGTTGAATGGACCCCATATTAAATCTTTTAACTCATAAAAATATTCTCACCATTGCACTCATAAACATTCATTATATTTGTATAGTAGTTGGAATTTTTGTAAAGTGCACTTTTTTTCAAACATTTAAAACACTCCATGCTTTTCCTGGTGAGTGAGAGTGCTGTTGCTTTGCTGTGATGTCATTCAGCTCAGGGGTTTCCTGATAAAATTGTAAACCCCAAAATGTTTGTACGTAAAGTTTACCCATTGAATGTCTTGTACGTACTGGAACAAAAAGGAATCGCCAAAAAAACCCAGAAAACTCACAACAGAAAAGGATCCAAAATTCTCAGAAATGAATCCGAAATTCTGGCAACCTTGTGACATTGATGTTTTTGCCTCAAATGTCTTCACATCTCATGTGTTTCTTTGGTTGGTTGTCTTCATTTTAGATGGACCTGTGTGTTCCCCACCATGTAACAATGGCGGTACCTGTCAGTATTCCAGACAGTGCAGCGGCAACACGTACAACTGCCGCTTCAGTGAGTGTGCCTGCCGAGCAGGATTCACGGGACCACGCTGCGAAAACGGTAAGATTCTCTAGTGTTTAATTAACCCATTAGCACTGGTATTGCATTGTACTTCAGTGTACACTTCCTTGCTACTGTGATGTTTTAAAAAATACTTGTTACTTTTCGATAATCTCAGAAATGGACATTGAGATTTGAATCCATTTGAAAATAAGTCTCTAAAAAGTAATGTGGTTCTAGAAACTGAAAATTGATCTATTCCTCAAACTTGGCATGTACCGAGACGTTGCAAACTCAGACACAGATTCTGGTTCAGGACTTGACTATTAGTGTATTAGGACTTTGCCCATACAGTAGATTGCCACTTTAATGAAGACTCAAGCACAATCGTGACCGGCTCCACAAAAAAGGGTATTATGTTGCAAAAAAGTGAAATTCAGTTATATACATGGTTGGAAAGTACACAGCGTAAGCTTTCATTCTGTATATAATAGAGCTCTCGTTTTGGAGATATGACATATTTGCATATTATTTACTTCTTTGGAGTTCAAATTACAAAACAGGCTTTGAAATAGCTGGCTTTGTTGTAGAACAACAGAACGATGCTTACAAAATGGTTGTTTTTTCCTCTTTGTTCATCAAAATCACCATTTCTGTGAATGAAACCTGAAACTGTAGATACTAAAGATGTCATTCATGACAAAAAATTGAAAATCACACTTTGACGAAATTTTCACCATCTCAACGTTCAGCGGGCCATTACACAATAATGCACAGCGTGACTTAACACCCTTTTTTTTTGTGGAGCCAGTCACAGTTATTCTTAATATTTGGCTATTGAAATGAATCAACAAAAGCAGTACGTTGGAATTGTTTATGTGCTGTTACTTGCGAAAAGATTTATTGATATATTTTTTACCAGTCGTGTGGTGGACGTGTGATGGACTTGCGATGGACTTCAATGCAGCACTGAAGTACACCGAACATTTCCGACTCTAGAAAACGTATTCCTTACTGGCCATTTCATTTGACCATGGAGAAATGAAATGTGCAGAGTTGCCTAACGGGAAGAAATATAAATGAACTTGGAAACACAAACTGATGCCTTCCCCACGTCTTTTTTGTTGTAGTTTTACCCAGTTCCTGTCAGCCTGCATGTCTCAACGGTGGCCAGTGCGTGGATGGACAATGTCAGTGCACTGCAGGATTCACTGGGACATCCTGTTCATCAGGTAAGTTGCAAGTGCAATGCTACATGAAGAGGGCCATTATCGTTGACCAGGCCCCTAACCGGTTTTAAACCAGATGTTTAAAACTGCTCCACCACACTAATGTCCTATTCATAAATACTGTTCTTGTCAAACTTTTTTTCAAAAACTTCAGAAAATTGACAAAATGTTTGTATGCAAAACAAGACTGCGTCTTGACCTCGAGATTCTGACCATTCTGCAGGTGCCTTCTACATCGGGTCATTGGTAACAAGTTGTCATAGACATCTGTAAATAAAACCTAGACACGACATCTATTTATGCTTTACATTGTGAATTGAGCAAACATGGGCTGCCTCACGCGTCTTGTAACGATATGTTGCACGATGCGCGAATGTCCTGCGTTTTCGAATGATCATCACTTTTTAAATAACCCACGATGAGCATATTCTGTAAGTGAAGCAGTTTGCTGACAGTTTTGAGAGCCAATGTCATGTCTACAATCCCGTCCAAAACTCGCTGCCCCCCCCCCCCCCCCCGACCCCTAGCCAATGTCTCTCATTGCGCAGTCTGTACTGAAGTGCGAGATGACAACATTGATGTGGAGAGGAGTGGTGTGAACCAGGGGAGCAGGGGACTGGGGGAGGGTATGCTTATTGTGATATTTTCCAACGATTTGGGTGGGTTTTATTTTATCTTTTTGCCCGTCATTGTGTCACAAAAACATGGCGTTCAAATGACCAATCAACAGCTTAGTCCAGATTTCGGAATGAAATGAAGTCATGATTTTCGTAAAGTCAAATCCCATTGGATGGCTCGCGGGGTCGCATAAATTTGCATGCTTAGATATATCAGACGTTGGACCGGGGAGAGAGGGGGCTCTGTTGGATAATGGGTGATGCTCAGAATAGACTAGTTCCTGCCCCCATCAGAATCAACCGGTTGAGATTGGGAACCAGTCTACTCACTTGGTGGATCTGTTTCTGTGCGAAAGCAACATTAAAGCCTTGTAGAACGTTGCAGATGCCGAAAATATGTAAACAAATGTATGTTCTGTATGTGTTTTCACTTGTAATTTCCAGATAAGAATGAATGTTTGAACCACGAGTGCGAGCACCATTGCCAAAACACATTCGGTAGTTTCCAGTGTCTATGCAGAGGTGGCTACACAATCAACGCAGATGGGGAAACATGCAGTGGTAAGTTGTTAACTTCATTTCGTTGTGTGGCGTCATGTACGTGAAACATGTGTTTTTAATGTCAAAAGATTGTATCTCGCTTAAGATAACACGGATGTACACACAAAGTCAATGGACGTCGCGATATGTAAGATACGACCTTGTTTCACGGAGCGTATTCGCTCGAGATAAGACTTTGTTGCAGAATTGAGTTATGACCTTGTTGCACTGATACGACAGGTTTAGTTTTTTAAAGGCATAGAGTATCATTTTCTGTTCATGCAATTTGTTTGTTTCCAGTAATAACACCACTCAAAATGCAAATCAGGCAAGTTTTAGCTCCGTGGATATTACACTCTGCGAATAAACAGTGAAAAGCATGCACAATCTTTAGATCACAAAACACGGTTTTGTCCATATACATGTAGCACTCTGTATTCCCCGAAAAAACAGTCAATTGAATGATGCTTTATTAAGCCCAGGGGTGTGGAATCTCAGCTTTAAAGCTGATTTCAGCTTTTTTTGTTTTGGATTTCAGCTTTTTTTCCCTCACTTAACTGTGTACAAAGGTATAGGAGATTTCCAGAGTTCAGCTTTTTTACACCCTTTTCAGGTGTTTTCAGCTCTTTTTATCAATGGTCACTCACACCCCATAACAATATTTTTGTGCTGAACTAAGACTTTCTGGCCCATCTTGACTAGTCATGCCTTGTCATGCCTTGTCATGTTGGATTACCTCTTTATATTTGGTCTATCAGTTTTGGCACATCCTTTATAGGGCAACTCCAGCATTATGAAAGGAAGTGTATGTAATACCTGTGACAGCCAACTCACCATGATATCTAACGAATGATTCAGAGAAGTGATCCCAAACTCCTAGTCAGTAATCTCCTTGACCATTACTAGATGATGGATGTATAAGATCGGAAACAGACATGTTTAGGTTTATTCACTGAGCTCTTACAATCTCTGTCCCAGACATTACATGGAATTGCCTTATACAAAGTTTGCTTGCAAAAAAAATCTTTAAGAAAAAATTACTCTTGTTGTTTAATGCTTGACAGAGATTGGCTGTTTCCCGCCATGTATGAACGGAGCCTCCTGTGCCAACAAAGTCTGCGTCTGCCCTGACGGCTTCAGTGGACCAAACTGCCAGACAGGCGAGTAGCTAGCCAAATCCGGATATTTGTGTTTTATGAGAGTCGCCCATCACAAGCCCTTAAAGGCATTTACTCTTCATATACGATCATTCGCTCTTCATGCATGTTCGTTTCAAATGTTTTAACACCACTCAAAATCCAAAGAAAAATGTTCAAAACCTAACCTGTTATTACATATTACATTTGTCAAGAAAACAGTGAAAAGCCATGCACAACCTTTTGATCACGAAACATGATTTCATTCATAGAACTCTTCATTCCAAAAATCAGTCAGTTGACTGATCGTTGGAAATCACCTACATTTCTTCTTTTCTTCTGAATGACAGCTAGCTAGATGGAATAATTTTATGTGGTGTTTAGTACTAATGCGATCTTTAATCTAATTAAGCTTTTTGATAAAAATCAGTAGATTACTTTTGGGATAAATTCAAATGATGCTATGTGCCTTTAAGGACCACTCGAGTTGAGGGCTACGTAAAGAAGGGATAGAAAAAGAAAAAGAAAGAAAAAATCATGTAAGTAGAAAGATAATCTTGTGCTTGAACTGACATAGATCAAATTCAACTAGAAAACAAGATACAGGTAAGGAGTTACATAGTAAGGCAGTGCATGTGAAAAGGTGTATAAATACTACTTCGACATGCTTTGGAACAATTACTGCACATAGGTGTTGATGGATAGAGAAGCTCGTTCCTATTTTGCCATTTCATGACCTTTATATTTGTGGTAAACACATTTTCAAGCCCAAAAGGGCACGTTCCATTAGAACTGCTCCTTTAATATTGGAAAAGGTCGCAATATGTATCGGAAGAGTCTGGAGAACCTTTATATGATTTCCTATATACTTTTCCTTGCTTTGTCCAACTGTAGTACATTCAAGTCAATAACAAGCATAACTTAACTATATGTTTTTCTGTGTCCTTAGACATCAATGAATGCGCAGTCAGCAATGGCGGCTGTGAGTACATATGCAGGAACACCTATGGCAGCTATGTGTGTTTCTGCCCCCGGGGTGCAACACTGAGTCCTGACATTCACTCTTGTTCAGGTAAGACACTCATGTCCACGCTATTCTACAAAAGTCCACAAAAGTCCACTAAAGCCCACAAAAGTCCTCAGAAATCCTCAAAAAGTTATCACAAATTCTCAAATGTTTTAAAGAGTGCTTGGAAGTCCCCGAAAGTCCCCCAAAAGTCCTCAAAAGTTTACTTTATTCCAAAAAAGTTCAAAAGTTATCAGAGTCCTCACAAGTCATCAAAAGTCCTCACAAGTCATCAAAAGTCCTCTCAAGTTATCAAAAGTCCTCACAAGTCATCAGAGTCCTCACAAGTCATCAAAAGTCCTTGCAAGTTATCAAAAGTCCTCACAAGTCATCAAAAGTCCCCACAAGTCATCAAAAGTCCTCACAAGTCATCAAAAGTCCTCTCAAGTTATCAAAAGTCCTCACAAGTCATCGGAAGTCCTCACAAGTCATCAAAAGTTCTCACAAGTTATTAAAAGTTCTCACAAGTTATCAAAAGTCATCACCAGTCATCAGAAGTCCTCAAAATCATCACAAAGTCTAAAAGAAACCCTCAAAAGTCATCAGAGTCATCACTAGTCTTCAAAAGGCCTCCAAGTCCTCACAAGTCATCAAAAGTCCTCGAAAGACTCTACATGTTGTCACAAGTCCTCACATGTCATAAAAGGTTCTCACAAGTCCTTACAAGTTATTATTTTATATCTTATATTACTTGTGACCAGACTCATGAGATAACTGGTAATACAAATTACTTGGCAGTGGCAAGCAGTGCCACTGCCAAATGGGAAGGGACTTTTAGCAGCTTATATAGGTGTGTGTGTCATTTTGAAATGTAGACATGTAATTTTTAGGCAGCCTGATGCTGATTGATTGATTCTTATATTGATTAATTGATACCAGCAGATTGACCAATGTATTGATTAACTTTAATTATAATGTTTCCAACTATTGCATCCATCATTTATTTGATGATCAAATAATAATTGATGAATTGATAACTGCTTTATTGATGGACAGTGACTGAAAAAGGAGTCAGTGATTGATTAGTTATTGATTGATTCACTGATTGATTTATTTACGCCCCCAGGAGTGACCTGTAACCCACCCTGTAATAACAACGGCACCTGTGTCAACAGAATGTGCCGGTGCCCATCTGGTTTCACTGGTCCCACCTGTCTGCAAGGTAATACACTGATGATGTTCCTAAAGTTTAAAAGACAGGTCCACATGCGTACATAAAATCTGACAAGCACGCATGCGTGTATGACACGTGCTACTGGAAAATACATTGTGGTATTGGGAAAGGTCACATGTTTTATTATTCACATGCGCAGTGGGCGTGGCCTAATGCAATGCATGTTATTATTATTATTGTTTATTCGACCTCAACAGCACAAAAACAAGAACAGACAAAATATATATACAAGTACAGAACAAATCCAAAAACTATAGAAATACAAAAATAACAAGACAAGTACAGACCAAAAACTACATGTGCAACAAAGACGATTACAGCAGGACAACTAGATGAGCATATACATGTAGTGAACTTATGTAAAAACATGTCAGCCTTTTGTGCACACTTGTTGGACATGTATCATAACCGGCCGTGAATGGTCAAAACTGGGAGATGATCACGTGGACAGATCCTTCAGGCCCCGCCCACTGCACACCTGTGCAATGTCATGTCTCATGTCTGTGTGCAATGACTGGTCTCTAGTCATCTTCAGCACTGGGAGATGTTCGAGTAGACGGATCTGTCAGGCACCGCCTACTGCACACCTGCACAATGACACATGCGCTGTCCATCGATTGCATGCTCCAGCCAAGCGTGCATTATGCATGGAATGCATGGAATGCATGTCAGCATTTGTGCACACTTGTTGGGCATGTGTCATAGCCGTGAATGGTCGAAACGTACATCTGGGTATAATGGATTGGTCTATTGTGCCCGTTGCAGTTAAATGATGACAAAAAATTAAATACACAAGTATCAAAAATTGATACTTGTGTAGGCAATAAGTGCATTAGGCAACAAGTACATTTCGCAATAAGCCAGTTCGGCATTCCAAAAAAGTCTTGTGCACAGCAAGCCTATATCGATTTGTTTCGGGTTAACCGCAGCAGATAAATGCACACAAGGTTGTGGGGGACTTTGTAACCGAATCTGCATTCTTTGCGATTTTCATGCAATCGAAAAGAGAATGAACTTTAGCTTGCACAAAATGTTTTGACACACAAGACACCTAAAAACACTTCGCTGTCCGAACTTTTTTTCTTCATAATGTTATGCTTCAGAACACGGTGATCTCTTCAATTTTGCTGGTACCCTGCTATGCTTTTGCACGATACAATGAAATGTTTATCCCAAAAGAAAAATCGGCAAATCTTGATGTGCATATGCGCAGTTGGAATACTGAACTCACTTATTCTGTCACGTTACACTTTGTAAATGTGTCACTTACACTTTGTAAATGTGTCACGTACAATTTGTAAGTGTGTTAAGTCTACACTGGTCAACACCGTGCACGCCAAGCAAATTGATGAGATATCTAATTGGACGCACTGTCAATTATCGACGTAGAAGTAGAAGTTACCATTACCATTCTGAATCATTCAAATAGAATTGTGTGCCCTCCGGGACCAGCTCTTTACCAGGCTTGCCTTGTCTTGTTTCAGATATCAATGAGTGTGTTTCCAACAACCCCTGTGCCTACCAATGCCTGAACACATACGGCGGGTACGAGTGCGTTTGCCCTGATGGAACACGCCTGGGTGTTGATAAAAGATCATGTGAAGGTTAGTGTAAAAGCTGTGCTGCATATTCAGATACCCATATCCAGATATATTCAGATATTCATATAGGGCCTACTTACACTTTGAATGAAAATGAACTTAATATTAAAGGTATAGTCCATCATTTGTAATTTGTGCATATTGTTCGTTTGAAGCAACAAAAGTGCTCAATTTCTGAAGAAGGATGCTGAACAACCAATCTGAAGAACTTTCAGCTTAGCTTCAGCTGCATTTTTCGAGAAAAACATTCTGGGATCTCAATTTCAAATCAAAAGTTGCTGAGTCATGTTTTGAATTGGGCCTGAATTCAGCGTCCGAAACACGTTCTCACTGAGCCGATTGCAGCTACGCGATATTGCGCACTGATCCGATGCATTATAGCAACCATGCGCACATGTGCATTGTGTCAATGCTTGCACGCACTTCGCCGAATAAAAAAAGAACTATTAAAGGAATTTCCAACGGTGCTTCTTAAGACGCACCGTTGGAAAGGCCTTCTTTCGTTGATTTCTTCATAATGACAGCTTGCCAGAAAGAATAATTTCACAGGGAGTTTAGTCCCCTTACTATCTTTCAACCAAGTATGTTTTTCAACAATAATTACACCAGTTACTTTTTGGATAGATGCAAATGATGGACTCTGGCTTTAAGTTTGTCTGTCTAGTAACACAGCTAGGTGGTTACAAAAGATAGTGTGAAGGCAAGTAAGGCTATGCTGTATATTCTAACATGTTGGTAAGGAGAATACACAAGAAAGTGTGGATGCATAATTTAAGAATTCACTAGGCACGAAGGGCTGAGTGAATTCTTATATAAAGAATCCACACTTGCTAGGGTATTTTCTGACTTAAAGAGGTTGTGGAATGCTCGAAGACATTTCCGTCGTTTTTCGGGTATATGTAGCCTAAGGTGTGATGAAATAAAAACGACTTTTGTGTCTGTCGTGAAATGAGTACAAAAGGTACTTTTGAGAGCTGTTTTTCAGGTCCTGTTTCGACCCGAACGTGCAATTTGTGTAAAAGTCAACGTTGGGGGCAGCAAACAAAACATAGTAAATCGTGACGTAATCAACAGGACTTGTTTATACTATGCTGCATTGGGAGTCCTGTTTATTATGTCACGATTTACTATGTTTTGTTTGCTGCCCCCAACGATGACTTTTACACAAAATGCACCTTCGGGTCGAAACAGGACCTGAAAGACAGCTCTCAAAAAGAACCTTTTGTACTCATTTCATGACAGACACAATAGTCGTTTTTATTTCATCACACCTTGGGCTACATATACCCGAAAGATGACGGAAATGTCTTCGAGCATTCCACAACCTCTTTAAATCATTGCCTCAAAAAAAGCATTGTCATTAACGGTCAAGTGAGTGGAGATGAAAAGACTTGCATATCTCGTATCGTGAACATTTAATAAGACATAATTTACACTCAAGCCAGTTTTTTCGGCTCTTATTTAATCAAGCTTTTCGTAGTAGTAGTCGATTTGAATCAAATGAGAACAAAAATGGGCAATGTTTAAAATGTATTGAGTATGTGTTAAAAAAGAAAAAAATTCATGTGTGATAAGTTTAATGAGGTCTACACGGCTGTATATGTTTTTAGTATCATTGTTCAAAGTGTGGATTCGTAATTCTGAATCCACACTTTACTAAAGATTTGTAATTCCGAATCCACATTTGTGAGCAGTGTAACAGATTTGTAGTTCCGAATCCACACTATTAACAATAGTGTGACGTCATAGCAATAGTTTAAGTATTCATATACCTTTGTATTTGAATATTAGGAAAATATCTTACTTGAAGTAATTCATTTTGATGAAAAGAAAATCACAAACTTTCTCAGATGGGACTCAAACCCAAGTCCACAAACTTACAAGTGCAGTTGTGGATTTGTTATTCCGAATCCACACTTTACTAAAGATTCGTCGTTCTGATTCCACACTTTGTGACCAGTGTAACAGATTCCTAGTTCCAAATCCACACCTTTAACAATAGTGTGATGTCATAGCAATGGTTTAAGTATTCATATACCTTTGTATTTGAATATTAGGAAAATATCTTACTTGAAATAATTCATTTTGATGAAAAGAAAATCACAAGCTTTCTCAGAGCGGACTCAAACCCAAGTCAACAAACTTACGTCCACAAACTTACTAGTGCAGTTGTATTAACAGCTTTGAATACATTTGCTGTTTGTTGTTTGAAGGTGTGTTTGAGTGTAGTCCAGTATGTCAGAATGGAGGCACGTGTCGCGCAGGCTCATGCATCTGTCCGGAGGGCTTCACCGGAGAAACATGTGTCATTGGTAAATTTTAAACTCTCTTATGGTTTCATAAGGAAATAAATACAGTGTAATACAGTATGATACATCAGTTAAAGGGAATATACAACATTTGCAAACATCAAAAAATATCACTACCAAGTTTTAACAAATACCTCACTAGGATGTTGGTAAATGACAGTCTAAAGCACCCTGTAAAATAATGGCACCTGGTGTGAAGTCATTTTCAAGAAAATGGTATTTTTGTATAAATTTCCAACGGTGGTCGGCCGCCCACCGTTGGAAAAACCTTACTATTTTTCAACTACTGCTCCAAATTCACCATTTTTTCACTCCAAATTTTGTTTGCTATTGGTAACATGTTAATGAACGGGTGCAGGCCAGCTAGACTGGTTCCCTTACCTTACAATTTTTCGGCATCTATAAATTGATCCATTTTATCTTTAGTGGAGTCAGGGAACCAGATTTCTCCACCATTTGTGAGTTTCGTGGTTTTTCCAGCATTTTCGAACACAAAACTTCAAACATGTCAGTGTAACAATGTTTTTATCTATTTTAGTATTAACCCCTCAAAAAGTTCATTTCTGAGAATTACAGCAAAAGCCAATGATGTATATTCCCTTTAAATACTTGCAAGTACCGGTACATGTAATAAATTCTGTACTGATACTGTTAATGCTGTGCGGCTTACAAAAGCCATAGGAGAACAGATTTTGGATGCACATGGGTTCATGCATGCCAAGAGCTTGGAGTATAGCCGACTTGTGATTGGGCTGATCACAAGGTATTCACAAGTCAATGAAAAGTTCTCCGCCAGTCACATCAGTAGTCAAACACGGTCTACAAAACTAACTCAAGTACAGGTCGATGAGATCGTATCAAATCACAAATTGAGTCACAAGTGGAGTCACAACTGAAGTCACAAGTCAATGACAAATCAATCACAAAGCATTGGCAAGTCAGTTACAAATCAAAAAGTCAATCACAAGTCAATTCCATGCAAATTCATCACAAGTCACAGATCAATCACACGTCTTTCTCAGGTCAATCACAAATCAATCACTGATCAATCATGAGTCAAATCACAGTTGAATCATGACAATAACAAATCAACATGCAGATCATTATTATTATTATTATTATTATTATTATTATTTATTCGGCCAAATAACAAGATACAACAAGCAATCCACAAAAGTAAACAAAACTAAACAGAAACAATCCAATCCAAGCTGGCCAGGATTGACAAAAGTATAATAAAACACTGTGACTCGAAAGCCTGTCAATCCTAACTTGAATAGTACATGTAACATACAAAAATACATTTTAAATAGATATAAAGTTCAATGAAAAATAAGACCGCCTTAAAAATAATACTTAAAAAGATAATTAGATTCAAAGGATTAAACCAAAAATGAAATCCCATGAAATGTGTTTTTTTCTTTGATGCAGATATTGACGAATGTGAGGATGCGGCCCGCTGCGGATTCCAGTGCAACAATTACTATGGCGGTTACGAATGTCTGTGCCCGCCGGGATTCATGCTAGCAGAAGATGGTAGAAAGTGTGTGGGTAAGGAATCAGGCAAAGATTGGGAGTGTGACATGGCTTTTCCTGGTCGCACAGGGCCAACTCCGTCTCCTCTTTGTACCTATTTCACTGACTGACTGACTCGCTGTCACTTGTGACTAAGCCTGGTTGGTTGCTGGTGAAGACAGCTGGGCAGTGCTATCATATAGGGCTACCCTGTAAAGGTTCAATCTAGCCCATTGCACAGAGTGTCCCAAAAAATGTCCCTCTCAGCGTTGTACCAGAATTCGAAAAAAAGAAGAAACATTACTTCTACTTTTCTTACATAATTGTGAAGCATATTTATTGTGCAATTTTCTGTAAACATTTCCATCGGATTCGATTCATAGGTTTTCCAAATAAAGGCTATTATGTAACAGTAGTATTCTGCACCATTCCAAGTTTATGATTTAGCCTAAACTGGCTTTTTTATTAAATGACTAAATTACACAGGAGGAATACCATTGTTGACACTTCTCATTGTTGACTGTGGCTATTTGCTATGATATATCTTCTTTAATTATAACAAAGGAGTGTCTCAAACACCTGTTATAACAGTTCAAAGTGATTCAGGTTATTCAGGCAGGGGCGGGCCTGAGAAGACAGAGAGACACATTGTGTACGCTCTCAATGTATGTATTGTCAAACTTGGAATGGAGCAAAATGGAATAAAGGTAAGGGGACGAACCTGTGTTAACAGGAACGGAGTGCCCATCTCTCTTTCATTAGCGATTGGGCCAGACTCATATGCTGCTGTGGGGGGATCGCCACACCTCCTTTACAGCGAGTATGTTACCTTCCCAGCATTGAATAATGCCGGTACCCATTTGACACCTGGGTTGAGAGGAGTAATTGAGGTAAACCGCCTTACACAAGGGCACAACATGCAGGGCCACGGCGGGGCTCGAACCCACAACCTCATGATCATGAATCCTGTGCTTCACCGCTAGACCACATGTGCCCAAAATGGAATAGTGTTACATAAATGGCCTTTGTTTCAAAACCACTAGACCGAATCCAACAAAATATTCACACAAGAAAGAAAATGTTTGGGCTCATCAATTCTATAACTGAATTTGAGAATTTTCATAAATTACGAGAATTCTGATACACCCTGCAGAGAGGGACATTTTCTTGGGACACCCTGTATGCACCAGATGCATGAAAAAACTTCCTGCGAATAGCCATTCTGAATCAATTGAATATTATTTTGTAGACTCTGGGACCAGCTTTGCTATGCTTGCTCTAGTTACACCCAAGTCATATATATTTTTGCAGTTAGTCAAAAAGATAACTGTAAGGAAAGATTTGAACCATCGCAGCGTAATTTTTGTTTTTTGTGAGCATCACAGAACGTGAAATAAAAAATGTGGAATTCTTAGTAGCAGAATTTTATTTCTCAATTTTGTTGTTGTTGAAGATGAGAATGAGTGTCCCAAAGTCTTCTGTGAGTATCAGTGCGAGAACACACCAGGCAGCTACCGATGCGTCTGCCCTGAGGGACAACGCCTTGCTCCTAACGGCAGAACATGTCTGGGTGAGTCTGTGATGTCAAGCACAAGTCAATCACAAGTCAATCAGGAGTCAATTACAAGTCAGTTTCAAGTCAATCAGAAAGCAATCACAAGTCAACCATATGTCAATCGGAAGCCAATTACGAGACAATCTCAAGGCAATCATCAGTCAATCAAAATTCAATCACAAGTCAATCACAAGGCAATCACAAATCAAGCACAAGTCAATCACAAGGCAATCATAAGTCAATCACAGGTCTGTGTTATGTCAATCACAAGACAGTTGCAAGTAAATCACAAGTCAATCACAAGACATGTTCAAGTCAATCACATCACAAGTCAGTCACAAATCAAGCACAAACCAATGAAAAAAATTGCACAAGTCAATCACAAGACATTTAAAAGTCAATCTCACAAGTAAGTCATAAGTCAATCTCAGTCAATCCCAAGTCAACCACATGTCAGTCTCAAGTCAATCACATGTCAATTACATGTAATTGTATGACAATTAAACAAGGAGAGAGGGAAATCTGTATGTTTGTCTTTCTGTCAATTAGACCTTCCCTGCATTCCTGCCTGTCGTTTTGGCGTCTGCGAGGCCGGTGTGTGCCAGTGCTCCATCGGTTACACCGGTGCTGACTGTAGTATCCCAACGCGATGCGAGCAACCCTGCGCCAATGGTGGAACGTGCAGTCGCGGGGTGTGCCAGTGCGCGGATGGGTTCAGCGGCGAGTTCTGCCAAACCAAAGGTAATTCTGTTTTTGTCGGACAAACTGACTCCATGCATGAACATTACATGAGCTTTGTGACCAATGTTGAGAGCCCCAGTGGGAGGAATGCACCATGAGCATGCACACAGTCGTGTTTTACCATTACTCTCGAGGACAAGGCTTTGTATTTCCCTTTATTCATATAATATAACACTATCCCATAAACTAAGCACACAAATTCACGTGCGAGGACCGTTTTTAACAAACATTTTCATTCGAGGACAACAAAGAACCTAGTGTTCTCTCTTCATGTGTCTGTAATCCGGATGTATGCAATACAAGAGCACTGATTCGTGCGCATATTGTAGTGTGAAGTACGCACAAATAATGTAATTATGAATATGCACAAACCAGTAGCGTCTTCGTGTAAGCGTTAGGTGCCATCAGCAATGCTTACAAGAGTTCCTCAACATGGTCTCCCCAACTTTACCTTTGCATTTATTGAGGGGTACCGGTGGACAGTGTCCATGGAGCGTGCAAGTCTTGCCAGTTAACGTTCACTTTTTTTGTAAACGTCTTGGCTCAAAATACTTACTAGTGTAGTCCCAGACTCTGGTCTGTGTATCAACTCAATTGTTATCATCACAAACAATGGAATGTTGAGGTTGGAATTTTTCATTTTATTTTAGTCATCAAAGTGGCAATATTTTCAATTGTTGTAATTAAATGAAAGTTGACCCTTTTTGTTGTTGGTCAATTCGCAAACAACACGCTGGGCAATCTCAGACTCTTTATCAGTAGTGAAATAATTTGAAGCAAGTTTTAGACTACTGATTGTTTTGCCAAGACTTATTGAATCAATATGAGTTTTTCTTTTTTGTCGTCTTTTGTTATATCTGCCGTGCAGTGTGTCGCCCAGCCTGCTTGAATCTGGGCATGTGTGTGGAGGGAATCTGCGTCTGTCCTGATACCCACACTGGAGACTTCTGCCAATTCAAAGGTGAGATGACCAACTTCTCTGATCAAGATACGTATCAACTATCAAGAACCTTGGGCTGACTTTTGATTGAATTGTGATTTGCTTTTCAATAAGCCATTTTGGTATTCCAACTATACATACTCACTTTAAGACTTCACTTGTCTCTTTTAAATAATCTGCATTAATGGTCGGTCCATACTCGGCACGAAAGCAAACGCGAATTTGAATCTTTGACGTCACGGTAAATTTTTTGGGCTGCAAATTCTCGAAAGGTGTACACATTTCAATTCCCGGGTAAGTTTCGCAGTGAATGTTTCATGACGAAGTAGCTTCGCATTCGCGTTTGTGTGAAGTATGGAATGATCTTTATGCATACAAATCTACAGAAGTAAAAGTAAAGTCTGTCACGAGCCAATGTGGCCCATCAGGCCGGCGTTTATCTCCATTTTCAGTTGCATGAAACTACTGAGAGTATTTCTACTCCCCCTGGATGGGATGCTAGTCCAACGCAAGGTTACTCCCCAGCTAATGCCGGTACCCATTTATACTCCTGGGTGGAGAGAGGCAAGTGGGGATGAACTGGCTTACCCGAGGATACAATCAACAGAAGGCACCAATGAAATTCGACAAAAACTTGTTGTTCTGCCTAAAGAAAATCTACAAAACCTTTTGACTGCACTGTGTTTCAGAGTATTTCTTGTACCTCATTGGTTTTTTGCGAACTCCATTTCCATGTTCTTTTCTGATTGCATGAAAAAGTTTTAGATTGAAAGTTTGGTTTACCGTCCCCCATGGATTGATGCTCATTTGTGTTCTGCATTTATTAATATGTCAAAATTGGCAAATGTTAAAAGTGCGCTTACAATACTTATTTTTACATTGCAACTTTTGGCGAATGTGTTGTCAGTCAATGTTTTTACCACAACTGACTGAACTCAGCCTTAATGTTAACATATGTGGTGCGATAATGCATAACAATATTCCAAAAGTATAAAAAGTTGAGTAAGATGGTTTTAGAAATTAATTTTCAAAATGGTCATTTTTGTTTCTTTCCAAGCCTGTAAGCGGGAATGTCTTAATGGCGGCATATGCAACTTTGACGGTATTTGCAACTGTGAGGAGGGTTTTGTTGGAGAATTCTGTGGAATTAAAGGTTAGAGTTTTAAATTCATTGGGGTTAACATGTTGGATGTTAAATGTGTAGATACCACTGGAGTATAATAAATTACTCCAGAGCTATTAAGTTCAGTTTTTCTATATGCAATTAAGCCTACTGGGCACTTCCATGTTTGTGCACAATCCTATATGCTTAAGCTCAACATGTTGTAGGCAATGGTTATATGGGTTCTTCAGTTAATAAATATTTTGTGATACAATGTAGCACAGGTGCTACTGGGTTAATTATTTTGGTATAAAAAATCAGTGCAAAATCCACACAAATCGTGACTTTCGTTTACCAAAGTAATGTCAGGATTATGCATGTATCAGATTAGACCAGGCATTAACAAACTGTGTTTTGATTACCATTTTAGTGTGTCAGCCAGCGTGTGTCCATGGTGTATGCATCAATGGCGTCTGTCAGTGCAATGGCGGATACACGGGAGATGATTGCAACGTGAAAGGTCAGATGCCCAAACTTCTTATTCTATTAATCTGTTGCTTCTGACGCATAGGCCTTTTAATCTGAGTCATTGTGTGTATTCTAGTGACAAGACCATTTAGATTGAAATTCAAAAGTTTTTGATTAGAATGAGTCTTCGAAAGTATTCATGCTATGAGCCCCGCTTATAAGAGAAAACCTTAGTACAGAGCTTATATTCAGGTATTTGCAGAAGCCTATACCAGGATTTCAACATTATCAACATTGAATCCCACTGGGGGACTTTAAAACTGGTTGGATGGCCACACCCAGCAGGAAACAATTGTGCTGCGATCAAGCTAAATGAGTTGTTTTGTCGACCCTGGTGGTTTTTTTTTTACAGATTTGAAAAGAGCACAATCTCAGCATAAATGCTGTTAGTTCAAAAATTATACAAGTCAGAACACCAAGAGATGTGATGAAGTGATATGACAAAGTGGCCCCATTTTGGCCTGAATCTCCAAATGAAAGTTCCCGACAAGCAACTCATTTAGCTTGATGGCATCACAATTATTATCACTTGACTGAATGACATGCTAGTTTTGCCTAAATCCTTTTTGAGTGGCATTATATCCAGTGCCATATTTGTTCATGTCCAGTAATAAAACCATCTATTATATTTTGATTGTTTAAATTAGGGAATAAACAACAGAAATCTTAATTTTTATGTGCATTGTGTATGCAATGTACATTGTACTTGTATTACATACATGCGGAGGACAGCAACATAAAGAGAGAACATTAAGCTTCTTTGTTGTCCTCAAATGTACATGTACATCGTTTTTTTGAGAACGGTCCTCTACATAAGTCTGTTTGCTTTAATAGTCTGTTGGCGAGTGTAATATTATAGGAACAATGGGAAACACAATGCCCTGTCCTTGGATGTAATGGTAAAGCATGAATGTGTGTTACACTCATACGGTGCACTGTGTGAGTGTAAGGTACCATTGAGAAAGCATATTGTCGTGTCCGTGCAATAAATTCGTATCTCCTAAAATGGCGTGTGACGTCATGTACGTGAAATGCGAGTTTTCAATGTCAAAAGGTCGTATCTCGCTTTAAATAACCCGGATGAACACACAAAGTCAATGGACGTCGCGATATGTGAGATACGACCTTTTTGCATGGAGCGTATTTGCGCCAGATACGACTTTGTTGCAGAATCGACAAGTGGTCTACCCCAGCTTTCTTTCTGTGATTGTTTAGGTGGTACTCCTGCACGGAATCCATAAACGAAACTCGGCCATTGTTTTTTTCTGATCGAGATGTTTAATCCTTTTTCACAGAGTGCCCCGTTGCCTGTCAGAATGGAGGAACCTGCTGGAACGGAACCTGTGTGTGTCCGTCTGGATTCACTGGGCTCTTCTGCGAAAGACTAGGTAAAATTTTGGCCAAACTCCTCAGCCCACATGTTAACAATTATTGTCTGAATGAAGAATCTTTTGCCTTTTTGTTACAGTCTTTATTAGGGGAGACTGTGAGGTTTACTTCAAGGTTTTGTTGGTTCAACTTTAAGTTACAGCTTGTTTAGTTTTGCATTCTTTTAGTGCTGGGCATTTTTAATAATAATTTATTATTTGATTATTGGAACATGGATGTTTTTGAAAATTCAACATTGAAATTGAGCCCGTAACTAAAGTTCTTTTCTTGTCTTGTGTGTATTTATTTTATTCTTTCCAGATTGTGAACAGCCTTGTTTGAATGGTGGTGTCTGCAACTTTGGAAGATGCAACTGCCCGCCACAGTTCCAAGGAGCGTACTGTCAAAACGAAGGTACGAAGATAAAAATAAAAAATGTGATGCTTATGTAGCCCCCTGGTAGCAGATGTTGATACAGTAATCTTCATTTTGCCCCCCTCCCCTCCCCCACAGCATATAAAGCTGGATATGCTGTTGCTCATGCGTACTAGTGCAAATGTCCTACCACAGAACTCGGCTTATCAGGGTTGGCACTTTGCTGCAGGTTTTTATTTTGGCTTTGGACTTATCATTACAAACAGTATGTACACGGCGAGTCGCAACATGAACAGCAGTATTAAACTTTATTAAGTCAGTTATTGATTACGTGAAGTGCATGTGGAACGGTTTGTGTCGCAGTAATTGCGTTTATCCCTTGCATGTGTGTATACGTATACGCCGTGTGTGTCAGTACAAGTCTACCATCGCCTGATCGCGCGGGCGCGCGCGCGTTGAGTTGTTACTTTGTAACAACACAGTGGTGGAGCGTAGCAGAATGATGTTCGCTGTATTTTATGGCGGCCAAAGGACTGTTGAGTAGACAAATTTGTTTGGTCCTTGGTACGGGGTATTAGTTTAACCAACTGCATTGAATGACCGATCAAAATGAAGCTTACAAAATCCTCTTTACAGTGCATTTATTACTTGAAGTAACGGCGTGTCATGAATCCGGGAACTTTCAGTGCAGTACGCACACTGCGGTAGCCCGCCGGTCACACTGTCAATTACGTGCAAATCTCTGTTGCTCATTCTGCTGTTAGTCAAAATGTGCGTGTTGTGACAAGTAGGGAAATGTACCAGGTACGGATGTTTAGTTGTTCATTTTGTAAAATTTTTCCTCCAGAATGTTTAAGTAATATATCTTCTAGTATAAACTCGGTGTGCATTAACCCTTACTCTCTGAGGGTAGTTTACTGCATGTCAGTTGGTTATGCCAATGCCCTCCAGCTGCAGTTTATTGGCAGATAGTTTTATTTAACAGTGAAGGCTCCAATTGGCAGGAGTTGGAGGCCCTGGAGGGTGCCTGATACTGACCAGCTGGGGGCACTCACTTTGTTATCAGAGGACTCTCATTGTTCTCTGTGGCATGTATTGGAGTGCCTGTCCAGTTACCCTTGAAATGACATGGCAGATATTGGAGGGCCATGCAAAAAACATAGGAGATTTTCTTGAGGCACATATTGGCATGCGTTGGAGGGTCTAGTAGGGTAAGGGTTAATATGAAAGTCTTGGAAACAGCCGTGAGGCCGTCTTTTTCTTTGCTTTGTGTAGAATCGCTATGGAGTAGAGCGCGTCTTGTTCATGCCACTACAAGTACACGGACGTGGTCGTCTATGGAAGATGCGACTGAACTGTTTGTAATGTTTTTTTTCTCATTGATGACTTGCAGTTTGCCGGCCACCCTGCCGAAACGGAGGTGTGTGTGACAATGGTGTCTGTGTCTGCCCAGCAGGCTTCGAAGGAGTCCAGTGTCAGACCAGAGGTATGTCCTTCATCTTTCAAATAAACTTGAGTTGCATTCCTTATTTTCACAATGAGACACTAACACATCAGCCCTCAAAAGCCCCTGAAAAACATTGATGGGAACGGCGTAAAGATAGTTCATCAGAAATTTGCATTTTCTCTGAGGGACGATCATCTTTGATAATTATTATTATTATTATTATTATTTATTCGGCCAACAAATGAACAAAAGTACAATGACAAAGCAAATATATATATCATAAAGTAAACAATAGGGACCATTAGAAATGGTACGTTTACTAGATGCATATGTGGCTTCCAAAATGTAACTTAAGTCACCATTTTGCATGTTTTTTTTTCATCTGACATACACGAACAATGCGCATTTCACATTATTAGATGCAGATGTCGGTTTGGTGAATAACCACACAACATTGTCATATATCCAATATAATACTGGCCATTAGAAATGGTACGCTGTTGTATATTCCCCGTAGATTGTATGAAAAAGTACTCACAAAATCGAAAGAAAACGACACAACTTTGCAGTAACGTACAACTTGTATTCTTCACGTTCCACGCCACCTCGTACCTTTTTTAACCCTGGAGGGCGCTATATCACAAATGCATGTAGACACAACATACACGTACGAGATGCATATGTGGCTTCGAAAATGTAACTTGTTGGGTCACCATTTTGCATTTTATTTTTTTATCTGGCATACACGGACAATGCGCATTTCACATTAAGATGCAGGTGTGGGTTTTTGTGAAATAACCACACAACATTGTCATAATTCCGAGCCGCATACGCATCTTGTACCCACGCCATGTCTAAAGGTCCCTATTATTTCAGCTGCAGAGCCGCTTACGTGAAACACATGCCCCTTTCCCTATGGCCAAACATGATGGCGTGCAAGAATATAAACTTGAATTGTCACTTTCTTAAAGGGACGGTCGTCTTTAGTAATTAATCTTTTCCAATTACCATGAAAGACAATAATTATAGACAAAGAGGTCATGCAAAAGTTTTTCTGTCACAGAATCGTGCATTAGGTTTTTACTGCATAAACATATTTCAAAGTTGTCTTTTGTTGCACTGTAATCAGCATCCGTGGTGATTTTGCTCTTAAACTTTTGATATCGACATGCTTGTTTCTTCATGAAATCAGTGGTGGATATCAAGCACTTAATAGTGATCATAAGTGAAAAAAAGAATTAAATAAAAATTTCTTGGTTATCAGCTCCATGTTTGTGCCCTTGGGCAAGACACTTAACTACAATTGCCTCTCTCCACTAAGGAGTATGCATAGGTATCTGTGAGGGTGGAGCACCGAGTGTGTGCTGATATCAGCTGCCGCGTGGTCTCGTGCCATGATGAATGGTGGAATAACTGTAAAGCGTTTCGAGATTGCCGAGACAATGGAAAGCACTATATAAGCATTATGATTTTTTTTTCATTATTAATAATATTGGGTATCATGAAAAAAGGTCTCAAGTCTGTTTTATATTTTGTTATTGCAGTGTGCATTCAACCATGTCAGAATGGCGGAGTATGTGTGAATGGTATATGCCAATGCTTGTATGGATTCATCGGTCCCTACTGTGAAATCAGCTGTAAGTATTCATATTCTCAGACTGTCCTTAGCTGCAGTATGGCATCTTGATGATGCAGAGTTTTGCCATTAAAAATTTTCAACCTTTACTTAAGTCTTCTAAAATTGTTTCCCATTTTGTCAATGTCTTTGTTCAAGGGACACTAGTCAGAAGCCATGTGTGTGACAATAATGCTGAGATTGTGCTCTTTTCAAATCTGTAATAAAAAACATTTGACATCACAATTAATGAAATACATTCAGGGAACTTGACAAAAATGGCCAATTCGTGCATAAGGCTTTGTGATATATCAACGCTTAGACTGACTATCTGTTCTTTATCTTCTCATAGTTGGCAGTTGTGATGACCTTCAGTGTCAGAACGGTGGTCATTGCCTTGGGGGTCGATGTGAGTGCGCACCGGGCTTCAATGGACCGACTTGCACTGTTAAGATACCAAGTAAGTTTTTGGTAAAGAGGCATGTACTTTCCGTGCTCGTGAACAAATTTGCTTGTTTTCCGCTAACAAATTTTAAACATTGAGTTTTGTATTTTTTCAAGGAAATTGTTTTTTAGTACATTTTGGGTGTGCAGTTAAAACAGGCTTCTATGTGCGGTTGCTCGCACACCAACAGACCACCAATGCAGCCTATACTGGCTCCGGATGCCAACATATATGTTTCTGAAAGGGGGCAGAAACCAGTTTACCCTGCAAGAACTGAATTATTGTTTGGCTTGAAATTATTCAAAATTTCTAAACTAAATTAATCCATAACTAAAAATCTGGTTTATTTGTTGTTCATTGTCTCATTCAAAAGTAAATAACTTTTACTTTTCCAGAAAAATAGCGCTCTAAAAACAAAATATATTTTAATGGTGAAATGTTTTTTAACTGCATGGCGTCATGAGTAAAACAAGAAATAAGTGCAGTGCATATTAAACATTTCTCAGTTGCCCTATTCTACTAGAAAAGAGTCCTTCATGGGAAATAATGCTCTGTAATGCAAAGTGAGAGTGAAAACAAGGAAGCAAAAGTGAAGATCTGAAGTGATTTCCCGTATCTTACAAATGTACAGTACATTACATGAAACAAACCCTGTTCAGAACAACATTGAGTGTCCTTCGGCTAACTTCCTCATCTTTTATAAGTTTGAATATTCTGGCCTTCACAGATTGCAAAAGAATTTTATCTTTCTCTTCATGTACTTTTGCTTTCCATTTAACATTTATCTTTAATACTTGGTTTCCATTTGTACGAAGGCATGAAACTTTTCCTCAGATCAGCTGATTTCCTTGTGTTTCACTTGACCTTTTATGAAATTAAAAATACTGTACAAAATCGTGTAAAGATCAGAGTTTCCTCTTTTTTGTTACTTCCAATTTGCATGCCTATGTACACTAGGCAATATACATTTGCAAACATAAAAACAACTACTTATGAAATATCTTACTGCCTGCTGGACTATTAGTGAATTACAGTCTAAAACATCCTGGTTTGGTGTCATTTTCAAGAGAGGCGTAATTTCTGTATCAATTTCCAACCATGGTCTGCCAACCAGCATTGGGAAAAAACTTGCCTTTTTCAAATACTGCCCCCCAATTTACCAAATTTAGTTAGCCCACATTTTGTTTGCAATCGGTTACACTTCTGTGAACAGGTACAAGCCAGCTGGACTGGTTCCCTGATATCTATACATTGCTCCTTTTCATCTGAAGTGGGGTCAGGGAACCAGACTGCAAGAAGTTGATTTTTGGTTTTTCAAAATCTTTGAACACAAAACGTCTAACAGGTCAGTTGTGAAATATTTGCTACAAAATACTGAGCCCCAAATCTATCTATTAACTCATCTTTTTCTGAAAATTACAGCAAAAACGGTAAAAAAAGTAGTTTTTTTTACAATTTTAAACATTATTCAGGAAGGCCTACCATTGCACGAAGTTTCAAAGCTTCAAGAGCTTTACTGTAATAATTACGCTAATTATCCATGGCAACTTTTGCGCAAAAGTGACAATTTTCGTTTTCACGAAGTAACACCCAAGTTCCATTTACCATTGTAAAGCATGGCGTGCACTCTGCTCAAATACGAGCAACAATGTTTTCATGAAGTAGCACTCTCTTTGTTTGAGCGCGCGCACGCTGACCTCCGTTTCCATGAAGTAACACTCTTACAGTGTTGTGTAATACATTGGAGGGTGCCACTTCGTGAAAACGAAAATGTAAAGTTTCGCAAGGTGTTCAACTTTAGATGCTGTTTTCTCCGATTGCTAGTTTTTACTGTACATGAGTGTTACTTAGTGTTGTTGGTGACGATCTGTATATCACATGCATGTTATACATTAATGTCATGTATCAATTGTTGAGAGGCGACAATTTGGAGTGAAAAAGGTCCTGCTACAATGCCATTTCCTGGTTACAAACATCCTGTTCATTAAAACCATGTAGAACATTTGTTAAATCTTCAAATTAAGGATTGTAGAAATTTGGTTTTGAATTTCTAGCCTCATATTAACTTACAGTACATCAGTAGCTGAGGACAAGTCTGTGGTGGCGTTACATCTACCTCGTTTGTTCAAGAACAAGGCCTTTTCTGTTCTCACACAGTGACTTTAAAACAAATGTCTTGTGACTTGGTTCCTGTGTGATGTGCATGTTACAACCGTTCACCTGTTCAGGGAGGAACTATCCAGCAGAGCTCATCAAAAGCTCATCTCTCTGAATGGAAATGTATGTGTTGTTAATTCCAAAAGAAATTGATTCAACATTAGATCTGGAAGTGTTATCTGCTAAATTGGTTCCCGTGGGTTGGAGTTGTATGCAGATCCAGGTGAAGAAGTGCACTCCTGATTTGGTTTCTATGAGCTGTTATGAGCTGGACAGTCTGGACTAACTTTTTTTTTATAAACTGGCATTTTTTATTGGTTCTTGGTTCCGGAACTTGCAGTTGCTCCATAGGTTCTTGTGAGCAGTTGCTGCAGATTAGTTCTCTGCAGAGAACCTGCATATCAACTAGCTGCTTTCGGTTCTGTGGACTGTCACTGCTGGTTTGTTTTTAATCGAATTTTGCATTTCACTCTGTAAGTTTCATGTGATTGTTGATTGGTTCTTACTGAAAAACCTGCAGTTGCTCCTCTACTTCTTGTGAGCAGTCATTGCTAGTTGGTTCTTGCTGAGGATCTCTCTGGTACTCTTTTGGTTCTTGTGAGCAGCAGTTGCCTGTTGGCTCTGTGCAGAGAACTTGCAGGTCAATCTGCTCTAGTGCTTTCTGGTCGATTGTGGTTGGTTCCATGTGGGGAACTTCCATTTCGGTTGGCTGTTTTGGTTCCTGCAAGCACTTGTTATTTGGTTCTTGGTCAGGAACTTCCTGATGCTCCTTTGGTTCTTTTAAGTAGCCACTGCTTGTTGTTTGTTGCATATCAATATCCAGTATTGCATTCTGTGTGCTGTCACTTGTGGTTGGTTGTACACGTAGGTGGAGAACTTGCATTTGGATATGCTGTTTTTGGTCTTGTGAGCTGTCAATGTTGTTTAGTTCTTGAACTCTGGTTCTTCCTAAAGAAGCAGTTTGTGGCTTCTTGGGAAGGACCTGCAACTCCCTTTGTTGCATCTGCCTGGGTTTTGTATTTCCACCTCTGCAGCATTTGCTTGCCAGTTTGAAGCACGGAAATGCCGTGACAAAGGCTTCCCTGTAGCCCTTGTTAGTTCCACTGTATACCAACGGGTTGATGGAGCAATTGATCAGCTGAAGTATTCCTGAAGTCAGGTAGAGATCTATCCAGGAGTCAAAGGACTTGATGAGGCTCATCCTTGGAAAGTCAGACAGGTTGATGACCACTAGAAAGATCCCTTGGGCAACAGTGGTTACACTGAGAGTGAAGAACACAGCAGTGTTTAACAGAAGCATAAGTGCAACCCGCGCTGTACGCCGATGCTTCTTGTTTGACGTCAGAGTTGGTTGATGATGGAGTTTCCTGATTATGCAACCATACAGGATGATGTTTAATGATAGTAGAATCAGGTACATGGCAACCAGAAGTATGTTCCAAATGTTATTAGCTGCTTTTGTTCGGCTGTTGCTATTTCTGTTGAGAAAATACCAAGCAACTCCTGTAGCTGCCGCCATCACCCACAGTATCACTGACACTTTGACTGCCCTTGTTTTGCTGGCTGCGGCAGTGGTACGGAAAGTCAGTGGATGGCAGATGGCATAGAACCGCTGAAATGCCAGAGCGGTCACGAAACAATAGGATGCAATGAAAGCTGCAAATGCGATTGCTTGTATGATCCGAATCTCAAATTCCTGATATAGCAAAGTCACAACTGCAAATGCCAGTTGCACAGTATCGGCCACGGCAATATTGCCCAAGTAGATATTTACAATGGTGTGCATGGACTTCACACGGATTGCCACGAACAGGAAGATTCCATTCATTACCAGGCCGAATGGCACAACACACTTCTTAAAGTCAACCCAGAGTGCAATGTTGGCCTCATCATGCCTCTGAAAGTCTTGATAGGCAAGGATCTCCTCCATACTCCACCCAGTCAAGTTGACCATGGTTGCAGGATTAAGCCTCGTCACTACTGCTGTGTTACTGTTAGCTATATAGCTGTCACATATGACTTAACTACAGGACTACTTAAGATATCAAAGTTTTGCCAGCTAACTGATTGAGGAAATACACTTGGTGAAGTGTAGTCTTGTTAGCTCTGCAGAAATCTTTTGGTTTCATTTCTCACTGAGAAGCATTTAAAGTTGCGTATCACCCACGCTTTTCAACAAATTTGATTTTCTTTCTCTGAAAGGTTGAGAGAGCCATCTGTTAATTGTTGTTTGATGCAACAAAAGTGCTCAAAATCTAAAGAAGGGTGCTGAACCACTAACCTGATGAAGTTTCAGCTCAGTGAATGCTGTACAAATGTATAGTAAAAAAAAAACCAACAATGTTCTAGGATCTCGATTTTAATTCAAAAGTTGCTGAATCATGTTTTGAATTGCGCCCAATTTCAGCGTCCGGAACACATTCTTATTTAGCCAATTGCAGCTAAACGATGTCACGCAACACGCACACCCATTCACAGCTACGCCAAATTCCAAAGAACTACTGACATAAATTTCCAAAGAAGATGCATCTTTAGACAAATCTTTGGAAATGACCTTCTTTTATTGTTTTCTTTAAAATGACAGCATGTCAGAAAGAATAATTTCACAAGATTTTTAGTGCCATTACTATCTTTAAGCCAAGCATGTTTTTCAACAAAAACATGTCACTTTAAACTTTTTGGTTAGCTGCAAATGATATACTCTACGTTTAGTAAATTTTCAACTTTGATATTTTATTCCAACCTAAAACCTTTACAAGCACATCAGTTTTGTTTTACTGGAAAAAGTAAAAAAAAAGAAGAAAAAAAAAAGTGTGCAGAATGATTAGAGATTAAATTACAACCTCTTTTTTAATAACATTAAAAAATAACCTTTAAAAGTCATGATCTTAAACACATTTTTTGTTGGGTGGGTTGCTTGATCTATAGCGAGTCTTCGAAATTCAATTACAAGATAAGATGTGGAACTGCTTCCCAACATCAAATTCAAGAAACTGAAAGTTGAATATGTCAGGTATATTTCAGGAAATAGAGACATAATTACCATATTATTGCAATATCATCCACACTGATACAAAAGTGTTTCTGTTTCATTCAAAATCATATCCTCTTGTAGGACTTTATCATTTTTCATAATGTTGTTTACTGCTTATAAAGTGTAATTGCTTTTCGGTAATAATTTGTCTGTTTTTGTGTAATGGCATGCCTGATACAATCTTTGCTTTCAAGGTTTTGCCACATCTACTGGTTTTTTATATCTAAAGCAATACTTGTATTATTCTTCATTCCTGCCTTTAAAGCTAAAGTCCATCATTTGCAGCCATCCAAAAAAGTAACTGGCGTATTATTGTTGAAAAACATACTTGGTTGAAAGATAGTAAGTGGATTAAACTCCCTGTGAAATTATTATTTCTGGCAAGCTGTCATTTTGAAGTAATCAACGAAAGAAGGCCTTTCCAACGGTATAGCTGCAATTCAGAACAATTCAAAACATGTTTCAGCATCTTTTGATTTGAAATTGAGATCCTAGACTGCTGTTTTTCTCGGAATATACAGCTGAAGCTGAGCTGAAACTTCATCAGGTTAGTTGTTCAGTATCCTTCATTAGATTTTGAACACTTTTGTTGTTTCAAACGAACAAAATGCACAAATCACAAATGATGGACTATATCTTTAACAGGAAATTAATTTGTTTATGATTTGAGTATCAGATGTTCACGTGTGCTGAGCCAAACTACAGACATCTGGGGCAGATTACAATAAACGGTCTTAAAGCAGTCTAGCACGTTAGACTGTCTTAAAGCTCTGGTTGTCAGTCGGTTTATAAGTTAGACCATTTAAATTACATGTAGTGTTAAGACTCAGATCGTTTAAGTCTTGAAATAGTTAGCCGGAGGGCTGGCTTAAAACAGTCTATAGTTGGGTTTTTGTTTTATTTATCCTTGTGATGAAATATATTTTTCCCAGATTGATCATTTTGTCCCAGTTGATCAGTGTTTGGTAGTTCAAATGGCAGAGTATTGCTTGGAGAGAGCATTTTCCAGGATAGAAGGAATCTTCTACAGAAATGGATGACACTGAGTTGTTCTGCAAATACAATTTTCTGGACACAAAATCACATAATTGACAGATTTTATTTCGCATGGTTTTAATCCGACAAACCAAAAACTTGTGCGGTCTCTCTGGTATTACAGCAAGTGATGAGCACCACAGCCTGTAACCATGGAATGTTTGTTTGTGAATCATCACTCTAAGTAGGCTTAGTAAAGACCAGCTTATTGCAATGGGCTAATTAATGTTGGTGTCTTAACCAAGACCTTCTAAGAGCGATAACCGGCTATATAAAAGAAAACTGATTAAGCCAGCCAACTGAGACCATTGTATGGACTTTATTAACGAATCGGCAATATTAAATTGAAAGTGAGGTAAAATCTTTATTTTTGGAACTTGCGAAGAGAAATGAAAGCAATGTCATTAAGTTATTTACAAATTGATACCAGTCTGCTCTGATGAATAATTTGAAAATTTGTGATTAAACATACCCTAATGTTTTAAATCACATTTAAAAAGTAAAAAAAAAAATCATAAGTGAGGCTAGAATGCGTAAATAGTCTGGCACCATCCCATTCAACAGTTCACAATTTATACAAAACATTCAGAGAACACAACCAAAATGGCTTCCTATCCATGCATGGAGATCTATTAATACCCTGTGTGCCTGCCAATTGGAACTGCCTTTAGAAATTGTGATGTCATTCAGAGCAGATTGTAGTCAAAGCTGTTGATTGGTCAGTAGCTGTCAGCTGACCCAATCAAATTGAGCAAAAAGAAACAGAATAATAATGATGATAATGTGGTGCTCATGTTGCGCTTTATGCTAAAGGTCTCAAAGTGCTTTACACTTATTACCCCTGTTCATCATATTCATGAGACCAGTCCATCAGTCCTTTGAGATCAGTGCATTCTAGTCTCTACCGTCACAGGTACACATTTATACTCCTGGTTAGAGAGAGTCAATTGTAGTAAAGTGTCTTGCCCAAGAACATAAGCACCGTGTTCCTGTCAGGGTTTGAACCCACGTACCATGGCACTTGAGTCGAACACAGCACTCCAGAAGGTTGCAATTTGCACCGTTGAAACAAACTCTGCCAAGAAATTTGTTACATTTATAATGTATTTTGTTTTCAGCAAATGGATGCCTACCACAGTGCCTCTATGGAGGGCTATGCATAGATTCTGTCTGTAACTGCACTGCAGGATACTATGGAGATTTCTGCCAATACAACTGTGAGTATCAATATTGATGTGCTTTTGCTTAAACCATTATCACCTGTAGTACATTGTATTACATTGTATTTATTCCCTGAAGAATCCATAAAACCATAGAGTGCTTGTGCAGTTTTGGGATGTTACTGGGGAGTTAAAGCAATGTAAAGATGCAAGGGTGTTGCCTCTCAATATGGTTTACCCTTATGTCATAGCTATAACTACAGCCAAAACATTATAGTGATGTGCTGCATGGTGCAGATTATAATGTACATGTAAGTCAACTACATCTTGCCAAAGGTTTTGTTGTTATGTTCAATGATATAAACTCATCAGTGCCATAGCAAGGTCATTTTAATTGGGAGGTAAACCTTCTTGAAAAGGGCACTTGCACATGCGTGCACGTTTTGTTCTCTCCGTTAAAAAAACTGAAGAGTATGCACAAAAACGGAAGACATATAGCGCTTTTCTGGGCGATACGTAAAGGCCTCTGGAACAAAAAGGGCACTACTTTATTTTAAAGGGCAATTGTTAACAAAAGAAGGGAACTCTTCGCAAATATGGGGTGGTTAACAGCTGGTGAAAAATGGCATTTCAATAGAAAAGAGCAGTCTTTACAAAACATTGGGGGGGGGGGTGTTAAATACCCCCCCCCCCCCCCCCCCGATAATCTCACTGCATAAATAAAACTGCAGACAATACTTTGCATCATTTAATTTAGCCATCCATGCAGGTGCAACTTCAATTTGTTTTTCGCCAGATTTGTATATTTTGCTGACCGACTGACCCTATTTCAGAGGCAAAAAATATGAGAATCATAGAAAAATACAAAAACAAGCCCTTATATCTAAACAATAGATGGATACAAAAATCAACCCCATATGTGATGGGATCAAGCTAAATGAGTTGTTTGTCGACCCTGGTCAAATTTTTTTTTATTACATATGTTAAAAGAGCACAATCTCAGCATTACTGCTGTAAAAACTGCATGCTGGTACCATCTTTAGTTCATAAATTATGAAAGTCGGATCACCAAGAGAAGTGATGAAGTGATGTCATGAAGCTGGCCCTATTGTGGCCTGAATCTCCAAATAAAAATTTCAGACAAACGACTCATTTAGCTCTATTGCATCACATAATGTAATATTGCATCCAGATGCCTCCCCGCTTATCCGGCCGATCCGCATCTACCAAACTGGTGGCAACAACGTGGAGGGCACCACTGTGTACTATGTCTGCGAGACCAACTCAACCCTTGTGGAGGGAACCCCGCTGTGGTACTACTCACGGAGGATAGGCGGCCAGGTGGAATTTGTGGAAAATGGTAAGATGGAACCTGTTTAAAGTCCTGGAACTTAATTGGTAAAATAAAAGATTTCATTTCCAAAATGCGATAAATGCCATTTTGTTACCTTTAGAACCCTCGTTTCTCCTGGTGCCCAATTTTAGTTTGGACAGGTTTTATGTTGTTAAACACAATTTAAGAATACAATAAAGCAAAAAGTGAAGTTTAGAAATAACTGTACATGTTATGCTGTCTTTATTTCTTACAGTTTCAAAACTTTGCCAATTGTTCACTTTTTTTCAATGGGATATGTGTCATTTTGGAAAAAAGCTCTTCAAGTACTCAACCTTAAATCGTAGGTTTGGGGTATTCAGTAATACCGTATTATTACAATATTTTTATACCAATTAACAAGATCTTTTGTTATGATGTAAATATAACAAAATACCGACAGACTTGGTATGGAGTTACAGTTTTATCACAGCAGATTATCAGTCCCATCAGACATACAGACTTTATAGTGCAATATTTAAAGGCTCAAGTATTTTCACATTATTTAACCATAATTAATATTACTATTTCAATATTTATATCATTGATAATATTTGTTATTATTTTTTTGGCAGCACAAGGCCGGTTTTCTCAGCAGGTTATCAGCCCCAACACCACACTATTCATCGGCCGTGATCTCCGAGTTTTTGACACCGACCAATTCCGCTGTTCCGTCACCGGTGGGCCAACCATCACACTATCGCTCTTGGTTTACGGTAAGTTTAGAAGACGAAATACATAAAGGTGTCATGAAATAATGTCGCGTTTTTCCATTCTGGCGAACAGATAGCACCGCGTCTTTTCCATACCGGCAAAAAAGGTTAGATATGTTAAAAAAGGTGCGGTGCTACCTGTTCGCCAGTATGAAAAAATGCAGCGATAAGTCTTGCAATCCAAGACTTCCAAGCCAATGCATCGTATTGAATCGTTGTATCAAGGCATCAGGAGAATATGTGAAATTTCAGAAACATGAGAGATAAATAGTACAGTCTACCACTGAGTGTTTGTCACTTTTCACCCAAGCGGTCGACTGAAGTACTGGAGGTATATCACCTTCATTTTTCTCAAAGAAAATTGATAAATTTTATACCCGCTGCTTTGTAAAAAACATCTTAAATAGACCCACCTACCACACAACTTAGGCTAAAATGTACATGTGTTCTACAGACTGCACAATAGACCATAATCGTGTTGCCGCCATCTTTATTTTTTCCCATTCAAATCAATGTAACCAAAGCACAACAAAACCAGTATCATTCACTACTGTTATTGGATACAGGGAACATGACTGAAATTGTAGTTGTCTATTGGGATCTGCGCTTGCGTAACACAGACACATGCATATCAATGATTGAAGTATTGGACTTCAGAATTATAAAATAAAAAAAAAACTTGTGTGTCTCACAAAGAATGACTGACTAAATTCTCAAATGCTGAACATAGTTATCAAAATTATGCCACGGTAAAATTATGCCATGGTAAAATAAAACAGTTTTTGTTTGTTACAATATGAAGAGATTGTTTCCATTTTGTAACATTTTAGAAACTTGCCCTCTCCTGGCTGCCCAAAGTCAGTTTGGATGACTGATAGAGTTAAACACAATTAAAGAATATAATAAAGCGAAATAGAAAGCTTAGAAAACAGCTGTTTTTATTCTTAAAGTTTCATAACCATGCAAATATTTCACGTTTTTCACATGGATATATCACATTCTGGGAAAAAAACTCTCTATATAGGGTGGTCTAAAAGAAAAAAAAATTTAAAAACGGAGCGGCATACTTCCACTACCTTGAGACTCAAACCACCTGCACCAATTGATGAAGAATCCTTTTGGAAGAATTATGATACCAAAACATTCCGATTTGGTCCAGTGGTTTTTGCTGCAGAGCCTATTTTGTGAAGCACGCTTCTTTCATGTGGGTATTATTACATAACAATCCCTCTATCAATTACTGTAAATCGAATTCCCAGGCGCGGTTTAGTAATTCATCGGATCCAAAATGATCCCCACCTTGCTTCACAAAATAGGCTCTAGGACAAAAACTACTGGAACGAATCGGGCGATCTTGGTTTTTATCTTATCCAGATTATCAATGCATTGATATATTTGGTTTGAGTCTCAGGGTAGTGGAAGAAGGCCATTCCGTTATTTTGTTTTCACCACCCTGTATAGTCCGATGGTTCTGTTCACCCTCGGAGGCAACTGGTACCTCTGGTGTACATTCTACCATGGACTGCATCACAGCTGACAATAAAATGGTATAACCTGTACTGTAATCTTGATTTTATTCATGTTGTAGCCTCTGAATGTGCACCAGGTTGCATCAACGGTGGGGTCTGTCATGGCAACATGTGCATGTGCCCTGTTGGGTATACGGGAGACTACTGTGAGACCAAACGTAAGCCATTTAATTTAGTCTAATATTAAAGCTGTAGACTTATAAGTCCATCACAAGTCCATTATAAATCCATTACAGGCACATCACAAAACCATCACACATCCATCACAAGTCTATCACAAGTCCATCACAAGTCCATCACAAGTCCATTGCAGGTCCATCACAATTCATCACAAGTCAATCACAAGTCCATAATTAGTCCATAACAAATCCTTCACAAGTCCATCACACGTCCATCACAATTCTATCACAAGTCCATCACAAGTCTATCACAAGTCCATCACAAGTCCATCACAAGTCCATCACAAATCCATCACAGGTTACCACAAGTTATCACAAGTCATTACAAGTCAATCACATGTCCATCACAAGTCCATCACAAGTCCTCTCTATCAATTACAATGTAAGTCAAAATCCCGGGCCATCACAAGTCCATCACAAAATCATCACAAATCCATCGCAAGTGCTTCACAAATCATAAGAAATCCACAAGTCTTCACAAGTCAATCCCAAGTCTTCCAGTCCCAAGCACCAGTGCAGAAATTCTACAATAAACCTGTCACCACAGAATCCCGTAATGGTAGAATTTTCACATAAATTCATTCTGTGGTTCCTAATTGATGACCTGTAAATTTATTTGCCATAGTTTTATTTACTCAAAAAAGAAGAAGATTCTTTGTTTCATTCATTTTCTTTGCTTAATGATAGACAAAGCCATATTCACTATACCTGAACCTACAACTAGCTTTACTATACACGCACGAAGTTTCATACTTTCCACAGGTTTGTACGCAAACATGGAGACACCAATTCAGCTAATTCGCATCGTAGTTTTTCAGTATAACTCAATATTGATGAATCAGAAATTTGTGGAGTGTCATGGCCGAGTGGTTAAAAGCACCGGACTCAAGCTCTGGTGTTTCTGATCAGCAAAGTGTGGGTTCGAGTCCTGATCTTGACACTTCATGTGACTTGTGTCCTTAAGCAAGACACTTAACCATTATTGCTTCGTCCTTCAGATGGGACGTAAAGCCGTAGGTCCCGTGCGTTGTATAATGCACGTTAGAAAATCCAGTAACACTTATCGCTAAAGGGTTAACCCCGGTGTTTCTGGCAGTGCGTTTATCTTCAGCCGTGAAGTCTGCACTTGTAAGGAAGAAGAAATTGTTTGGGGTTATTGCATCAAATAGAATTATGATTAATATCTAGCTGCATGTATTTTGTTTTCTCTACATAGTAAGCTATTGCCCAGTCAGGTGTCTGAACGGCGGTTACTGTGACAACGGCAACTGTGTGTGTCAGGACGGATTCCAAGGAAGCTTCTGTCAGATAGCAGGTACTTGCAGAAGTGGTTTTACATTTGTGCCACGTAACATAAAGGCGTAATTTGGAAGTGTGGAAATGTATTTAATAAAACATGTTAACCCTGTATAATCTTTGGATTTGTTTTTCTGTAGGCAGTTGCCCTTATATAACCTGATTGCGACTGTAAAATTTTGCCTCTAAAGGGGCGCTGTGCCATGAGGGAGACAGCAATGTGTCTCCCTAACACTGGTGTCTCCCTATTATCGAAGAAACTACGATAACGTGTCTCCCTAATGGTGCATTTAGTAATATAATTCTTACTAAAGCTATAATAGGGCCTCTTTCCCAAAGACTTGTGCACAAACCTAAACCGTCGCCTTGCCCAACTTTGCCTAATCCTTTGTTCCACGAAATTTGGTATTTAGGCTAATTGGACGACGAGGAATTGATCTGGATGGGTCAAGACACAAAAATTCTTTGTTCTAAGGGTTGTTTGAACAATTGGGCTACACCAAATTGTCGCACCAATGAGGTGTGTCGCCCTTATCCAGACGAGACTTACAAAAAGCTGTCGCCCTTTTATGGGATTTTGTAAATGTAATGTTGTGATACCTTTGCAGTTGGTGATGAGTTTGTCATACGTCTCAGCATCCCCTCCACCCAGCGTCCCACACTAGGCACCACCATCTCAATCATCTGCGAGGTCTTTGAGTCACCCACTGCTGCCGAGGCCATTAGGGGAACACCCCTGCTTGCACAATGGGAGGTTCCGGAGCCAGTCAGCCCGCGGCTCTTGCCTGGTGTCCCAGTGGATGGTAAGTTTTGGCTTAAGGTCAGGGCATAGAGTACCAAAATGTGCCATGTATTCTGGTTCATGCGCATAGCTGAAGTGCGTGAAGACATCATCGCCTGAACCAGCATGTGAACCAGAACAAAGACAGCTGACAACAGATTTAAGTACTGTACAGCCTCTTTGTACGTGACTGACTCATAAACCCATTGACTGACCGAGTGCCTAAGTCTGGTTGTTGGCTGTTGAACTTAAAAACAAAAAAATCTGGACTAGCCAACTCTGGAATAACGCCGGGCAGTTAGTAGGTTAACTTTCCTATACAAGGCCATAAATAGCATGGTAGCTTTCCAGGATGACAAACCTCCCCCAAAAAACAGGTCAACTAGGGGTTGCAAACCTAATTCTATATGTTCATTCGACTTCACACCAAAAAGGACTGCAACAAATTTTACCTTTCGGTTTGCGGTAACACCATGTGGTTATAACTAATGCTTAGAAGATATTGAGTTCTGAAAAGAGCTTGTCCTGCTTATTATCAACTTTCGCTAAGTAGTTTTTGTTCTGATAAGAACACTCCTGCTTTAAGTTCTAAAAGAACTTGTCTTTGTTCTCAACGTTTTGACTAGCCTGCTCTAGTCATTGTCATTAGACTGAAGAGAGTTGGAGATGCTACTCCTTAAGTTTAGGACTGTTCTCATCAGAACAAAAACTACTTAACAAAAGTTTATAATAAGCAGGACAAGTTCTTTTCAGAACTAAATATCTTCTAAGCAGTAGTTATTACCACATGGTGTTACGGCAAACCGAAACGATACCGATACTCCACCATGCAAAGCCTTAAATCTTATAACAAATGTTACCTTGTTCCACATACAATCCCAGAGTGGAACCTTCTTGCACTCTCCACACAGGAAGCTACTACTGCTGATACCTTTAAATCAGATTTGTTGACCATGGATGTTAAGGACCTCATAAACCATGCTCATCCTCTCAACTAGATTCCCTTGCTGCCAGCACTACGCCTGCATGTTTATATAACCCTCCAGAGGGTGTTTAGGCTGTATCAAAGCAAAATTAGAAGCAAAACAATGCTGCATGTCATCTCTATACACTCACAAGTCACCCTTCAATGTAGAAACCATTGTGCATGCTATTGTACAAGGAACGTCCCCGTGACGGATTATGTGGACAATAGCTAGCACAATTCTTTTGCCATGGAAGGGGCCTTCATCATGTTTAGTTACCCAGTAATGGGCTAAATCTGAGCCATTGTGGACACCAGATGCATGAAACAAAGTCCCAGTGACTAACCATTCTAAATCAATTGAATAGAATGTTGTGCATTCTGAGACCTGAGACTCTGAAACTTTTCTTCGACTCTCCACCTAACCCAAGATCTTTTGCTCTTGAATAGGCATCTTCAGTCCAGCTGTTGGCGATGATGTCCGGGTGAGACAGCTCTCGCCGTCAGCTTCCCTGCTCACCATTACAAACTTCCAACCGGCTTATTCCGGCACCTACAACTGCTCAACTGGCACACGCACCGTCACCTACTATCTCAGTAAGTCCTAAGGATAATTTTTGTTTATAAGGTCCAGTATAGGAAGAGTATATACAACGCTCAATTTAGATATACGGTTGAAATGCCTGATGACTCTCTTTTTTGATTAGAGGTATTAACTGTACCCAGCATTGTTTATGTTCAGCCATGCATAATTGTGGCGTGCATGATACTAGAGATGATCCACACTGCTTCTGGATATTATCCGCACTGCCCCAACGTATTACAGTGATTGTTGGAGGATTTTGAAGGATTGAGGCAGTGGTACGCCTACCCCTCCACAGAACCAAATGCAATAAGTAATAGATGATTTTGGATGATTAATAAGGCTGTAGCCAATTTTTACATGATGTTTGTTGAAGGATTTTAAATGATTGAGGATGGATCCTAGCAAAAAGGGGCTAGGCAAAGGTTAAGAACTGTGGCACTCAGACCAAAGACCAAGAGCACACCTCATCTTGTTGGTAGTGCCTTCTAGAAAGAGGATGAGGTGTGCTCTTGGTCTTGGTCTGCTGCCGTCGTGGCTTGACCATACATGCCAGAGATGTGCTGCATCAGGAATCCCAATACTTACCTCTGTCTACCTGAAAGAATAAATACAGATGCAGACATTAGCTGCGGAGTAACCTGTGATTGACTTGCATCCCATCCATGAGGGAATAGAGTTACTCTCAGTCCTTCCATGCCAAGAAAACACGAGATAAACACTAGCCTGCTGCACCATATCAAGCTTTTACTTGCAAGAGAAGTGCTGCTTCAGGAATCCCAATACTACACAGAAGAATTAATACAGGTGCAAACAGTAGCTGCGGAGTAACCTGTGATGGACTTGCATCCCATCCAGGGAGGAATAGAAATATTCTCAGTCTTTCCATGCCGAGGGAACACGAGATAAACACTAGCCTGATGCACCACCGTATCAACTCAAGCTTTTGCTTACTTTTTCCGTATGCATTCAGGTGTTGAGTGTCTACCACCTTGCATGAACGGAGGCGCGTGTGTGAACGGCCAGTGTCAATGTTACCCAGGTTTCACCGGTGATCGCTGCGAAATGTCACCCCCAGAAATGAACAGTAAGTCAATCTCCCACTAGAGCTGTGCGACTAGTAAAATTCACTCGTCGGGTAGTCGTGTGATCAAGAGTCCCGCCTACCCGACTAGTGGACTTTGCCATATGTAGATATTAGGAAATATCTCTGATTAATTAATGGAGCACTCATTGAGACAACATGCAGGTCTATCTTTGCTGAGAAAACATTCTGAGCAATGTTAGTCTCTTGCAGTTTCTTATTGGTGGATTTTTACTCAGTCTTTGGGAGCAGATATGCATGATGAAATTCTATTTCAAACAACTATTTTATTCATGCTCATTTAATAAATTCCAAATAATGAGGCGTTTTGGCAAAATGAGACGGAACTGGGCACAGGCCGTAGTGTCGAACTATGAAAAGACTGAATGGGGTTGAAATTTTTTTGATTTCAGATTTATTCATAACACTGTTTTTAAGAAGAAACAGTTGGCATTTTTCATTTACACGAATTCAAAACTCAAAACTTTAATGACCTTTTCTCAGTATTTTACTTTGTTGACATGTCAATAAATGCAAACTTTAAACAGCCATAACTTGTCAACGGAATGTCTGTTTGAAGTGGAACAAACAGTATTGTAAGGAGAATTGTATTCTATTTCCTAATACCCACAAACGCTCATTTCAACCTCTCTGCCCAGTTCTCAACTTGTGTGAATATTCTTAGGAACTAGTTGCAGCACAAGTACTAGTCACAGGACTCCAGCTAGTTGTGGCACCACATAGCATTGTGAATTGCCTCTCAACATGGCGGCCCTAGTGACTTCAGCCTGTGACCTTGACAGCTACCATGTCAAGATATAGATCAGTGGATGGGTGAACATTATCTTATTCATATTATCATATTTTTTTAGATAAGGACTGTCGCTATGCCTGTGCCAACAACGGCACCTGTGCTGATGGGATCTGCCTGTGTCTGAACGGCTTCAAAGGCGACAGGTGTGAAATCGGTAAGGATAGCAAAATTCAACTGATTTAGCTCCTATCAGCTCTGTGCCTGAGCTAAAGAGGGCGCCAGTACAATTAAAAACACTCTTGAAAGCATATGCAATGTGAATTCCCTATGGAATTGGTACCTGGTCACTGTACCCGTTAAAAGTTTTCAACCTATTCCCTTCTCTACTCCCTGATATTTTTGCATAGACTTCCGAGCGTTAACCAACGACCCCTGTGGCTGTTTGAATGGAGGAACCTGTGAGCAAGGGGAATGCCGCTGTCCGATTGGCTTTTCAGGAGCTCAGTGCCAAACTGAAGGTATGGAATTGGTATAAGCTGTGAGGTGTGAGGAATATAGTACGATGTGTGAGGTTTCAAGAGGTATGAGGTGTACACCTTAAAAACTTGAGTTCTTGACCGTGTATGATATGAAGCTTGGACAGGTATGGAATTGGTATGAGGTATGAGATGTGAAGTTAGAGTTGAGGAATATGGTGTGCAGGTTGATGTTCTATTTGGTATGTGGTGTGCACCTTGCAAAGTGGAGGCTTGAACCCACGAAAGTGTGGGAATTGTATGGGTATGGAATTGGCAGTGGCGTCGCCAAGGGGGGGCCAGGGGGGGCACGTGCCCCCCCTGGAAAACCTAGTGCCCCCCCGAGTGCCCCCCCCCCCATCAAATGCTGGTGCCCCCCTATCCTCTGCAAAATTCTGCGCGTTGTTAAAATCATTACCTCAAAAATAGCAATTTCTTGAGATATCTTCAGATCGAATTTAGCATCAAATGTGGCACCATTTTGCATCTAGCCCATCCTCCGTATGCGAAAATTAGACCCCTCCCCCAGGACGGCGATCCGTATCCACCTAAGTGCCCCCCCATCAAATGCTGGTGCCCCCCCCCCCCCTGTGCCCCCCCAGACTGAAAAGTCTGGTGACGCCACTGGGAATTGGTATGAGGTGTGAGGTCCAAGATATGAAGTATGAGGAATAAGGTGTTAGGTTGAGGTCTAAGAGATATGAGGCATACACCTTACAACAAAAGTCTTGAACCCCCAAATGTCGGAGGCTTGTAAGGTACTTGTACCATCTTTTTGCATTTCAGAAGTGTGAGGCCAAAGGGGTTTAATTACTGCACCCATACAGTTTGAGACTTGTACCTTAAGATCAAGAGGCTTGTACCCAGGGGTGTGAGGATTGTACCTTAGTTGGTTTGGGCCAAAAGAGTGTGAGGTTTGCTTCGAACGGGTATGAAGCTTGGGTTTGAGGACCACACGCTAGGGGTGTAGGACTTGCATGTCAGGAGTGTGGGGCTTAACATTTCTGTAGACAAAATTTAACAGACATGCCTCAGTAGTGCGAGGCCCAACGAATGTGAGGTGTGAGGGTATTAGAATCGCACCCAATGGGTGTGAGGTTAGCCCCAGGCATTCACCTCAGGATTGTGGGATAACAGTTCAGAAAGTCTTGTGATTTGTCCTGATCTAGTAAGTTGTTGAACAAAATAGCAAAGTTTGCAATCAACAAATTTAAAATTCAAAAATAAAGAAGGAAAAAAGATGAAGTGGTGTTCAGTCCCATTGGCGCCTGCAATATATTGTATTACAGTGTGTGTTTTTTTTCAAATCACTGAAGAATCAACAAAACCATGGAGTGCTCGGGTGGTTTGGGGCGCTACAGTTTAAAGGCAGGGCGGTGTGGTTGCTACAGTGACTAAAGGGTTCAAGCATTCTGTGTATGAATTATCTTGTGTAGATGGAATCTGCGATCCGCCTTGCCAGAATGGTGGAAGCTGCCTAGATGGAATCTGTCACTGTGACCTGGGATATGTTGGCTTCTACTGTGACATTAGAGGTGTGTATTCGCTGCTGTGACATTTTCCCAATTTTGGTTTCATATACACAAATAGCTACATAGATTAAACCATTGCTATGACGTCACACTATTGTTAAAAGTGTGGATTCGGATCTATGAATCTCTTACACTGGTCACAAAGTGTGGATTCGGAACGACAAATCTCTTACACTGGTCACAAAGTGTGGATTCGGAACGACGAATCTTTAGTAAAGTGTGGATACGGAATTACAAATCCACACTTTGAACACGTCGGACAATTGTTCTCCATAATGAGCAAGAATAGACCCGTCTGCGTGAAGTTTGCTTTCCGAAAAATACCAATGCCTCTTCACTCTCAGATTCTTCGCCGTCACTGCAAAATCTACTTTTAGTCAGAAAGAGATCGTTGGCTGAACTATCCATTTTGACGTAAGGAGTCTATACACACAAAATGATTTGGTTGTACGGGTGTGGCGATGCACATGCTAAACACGCCAGGAACAAATGTTGCAACCTGACGTCACTTCCGCGCTTGTGTACAAAGTCTATGGAGAGTCATTTCAAGTATTTCCCAACAAAATTGGAAACATTCCTCAATCCCAGATTCATGTCTTATCATCATTTTTGCAACGAATGACCTTCATTGAGATGATATATGAAGAAAAAAGTGGCGTCAGGTTGCAACATTTTTTTTTCAATACTTCTGTTGACGCAATGGTTTAAGTCGAAGAATACACTCGCAAGTGTGGATTCTTAATTTACGAATTCGCTTCGCGCCTCGTGAATTCTTAAATTACGAATCCACATTTGCGAGTGTATTCTCCTTAAGGTACAACTCTTCATTTCATGCTGCAGAAACATCAGCTCGTATAGTGTAATCATTGCATTTAGTTTTTGTCTTTCAGCTTGTTTCCCATCCTGTGTTCACGGTGACTGTAGTGAGGGAGTGTGTCTGTGCGACACTGGCTACACTGGAGAACAGTGCAATTTACTTGGTAATATATAACAAAAAATCTCATTATAAGTTGCAGCCCAGTTTATCCACAATAGAGTGTGTGCAACCTTGTCAGTTCATATTCACTCTTTTATATGAAGATTGTATTTCCAAAACGTGATAAACACCATTTTGTAACATTTTAGAATTCCTCCCTCTCCTGCTTTCCCAACGTCAGTTTCGATCGATGTTATATATTGAACACAATTCGAGAATACACTATAGTGTATAATGAAGTTAATAAATAGCTGTTATACTGTTCTTATTTTTGAAAGCTTCATAACTGAACATTTTTCACTTTTTTTCAAATGGGTATATTGCATTTTGGAAATAAACTCTTCATATGATGAACATTTTCGTGCGCGTACCAAACACTAGTCACAGACTCTCACGTTTGTCTTTACCCAACAGTAGTGGTTATGATCTCTGAGAAAAGTTCAGGTCCACATGTTTATTTTATCTGTGCCATTTTTTTTCCGGAACATTTTCAAAACAGAAAATTATTCCTCTAAACTGAAAAGGCTAAGTCAGTGAGATACAAATAGATGTTTTAAAAGGACATTGCTGATTTGTTGCTCGAAAACAATGTCGCAATACTATAAGTCACATATTCCCCTGCAATCTTGTCAGTTTTGGGGATAACTTGCACACTCAATAAATCACAAGTCTGCTCACAAATAACAGGGAATGAATAAAAACAAATGAAGGCCTTTGTCTCATGTCATGTCCACCATGCAAACCTTTCAGTGTTATTTAGCCTTTGTCTCAGTTCATTTAAACAGCTTGTGACTTGACTTTGGACCGAATGACTTGTGATAACTTATGAGGACCTGTGAAGACTGATGATGGACTTGACACACTGGTCTGTGGATTGTCTGCAAACATTTTTAAAATTCTGCATACAGTTTTGCAGATATTTTTACCAGATATTCTACAGACACTCTGCTGATAATATGTAGAATGTTCACAGAAAAAGTCAGTTTGGTATTCCAAAATAGTCTGGTTCAATATAAAATAGAACAATTTTTTTCGGGATAAACGCGGCAGATAAATGCACACAAGGCTATGGGGGACGTGGTAACCGAACATGCATTCTGTGTAATATTTCGTGCAATGGAAAAGAGATGGAAACTTTCGTTCGCACAAAAGTTTGGACACACATATTGCAAGAAACTTTGCTGTCCAAACGTTTTGTTTCAGAACACAACGATCTCTTTAATTCTGCTGGTACCCCAGAAAAATCCTCAAATCTTGATGTGCACATGTGCAGTTGGAATACCGAACTGGTTTATTCTGCAAACATTTTCAAATATTCTGCAGGCATTTTGTGGACATTTTTGCAGATTGTCTGTATAAAATTGCACAGTCGGTCTGCAGAGTCTCTGCTTAAGCTGGCCTTGTTTTCTTGTCAGAATGTACCGTGGAATGCCTGAATGGCGGTGTGTGCTACAATGGAACCTGTTCCTGCTTACCAGGCTTCACAGGAGAACAGTGCCAAGACATAGGTGAGTGAAAGTGAAGTCTTGGTACAAGACTGAATTTGTATTTGAATTTCAGCACAAAAAAGATTGGAATCTTTGCATGGTTGTAGTTACTAGTGAGGTTTGCAGTAACACCGTGTGGAATAATCTATTTTGAAAGAAGTGTGGTTCTGAAAAGAACCGGTTGGTTTTGAAACTCGACGTTTTGATCAGTAAAGCTCTGATCCTCTTCAGGAGAGTGCCGGACTGAGTGGATTAGGTTGTATATATGCCTCAGCAATCATCCAGCCCCCTATATACAACGGGTTCGACTTTAGCGGTAGCCCGCTAGCCAAATGCTAGTCACAGCAGAGGCAAGTTAGTCAAACTATTTCTTAAGTAGCCCAGCTGGCGAGTCAAAAATTATTGGGATACGGTAAAGATGAAAGGACAGGAAGAAGTAAATCATTAAATTCAGAAAGCAAACCTGTATCAATTTGTGTCTAAGTTTATTCACCGTTTAGGCTTAAATTATAAGATCTGTTTATTAAAACCACTAACAAGATTGCCTCAGGATACATGTTCTACATGTATGCACATTGTTGTTTATGAGACACTCGATAAAAGAAAAAAACATGCGGGCTAGTGAAAAAGCCAGCGGAACTAGTTAAGAGTCTCATTCAGTTGCCGGGCTGGCTCGTACAAACCCTGTACAACCTCATCCACTCAGTCAGGTTCTCTCCTGAAGACGATCAGAGGAACGTCGAGTTTCACAAACAACGGGTTCTTTTCAGAACCACACTTCTCAGAATTTCAATACAATCTGTAAGTTTGCAGCTATCGGAATGTTTTTGCCTTGAATGTAAAGTTTTTCATTTAATTATCTGTCCATCTTATGAACTGTGTGCTTTTGTTTAGACTGTTTATTTCCGTGTTTGAACGGGGCCTGTGTGGAAGGCTTGTGCCAGTGTGATCTGGGATTCGCCGGTGATCAGTGCGATGAACTGGGTATGTGCTCAAAGCTGTTTCTCTGTACAGAGTTGTAATAAAAATAATCACAAGTCATCTTGAGTCAAGTCGCAAGCTATTTGTATGATCTGTGATGGAGGCATCCCTTTTTCCATTGTCCTTCATCTGTTATTTGTGATTTCACCTGTGATTTAACTTGTGATTGAATCATGACTGATCTATGACTGACTCTTGATTGATATGTAATTGACTCTTTGAGTGATCTGTAATTGACTCTTGAGTGATATGTAATTGACTCATGGTTGACTTGTGATTGATGTGTGATTGACTCATCATTGACTCATGATTGACTTGTGATTGATTTGTGATTGACTTGTGATAGACTTGTAATTGACTCACAATGGCTTCTGACTCCTAATTGCCCTATGATTGACTCATGATTGATGTGTGATCGACTCATTATGGGCTTGTGATTGACTCAAGATTGACTCCAGATTGACTTATGATTGATTCATATTGGCTTGTGACTGTGACTGACTTATGATGGAGTCATGATCGACGTGTCATTGACTTACTTATGATTGACTCATCATAGACTTGATTGAGTTGTGACTGACTTGTGATTGACTTGTGATTCGACTTATGCTTGACCTATGATACACTAATAGGTTTATGATTGACTTTTGATTGCCCCATAATGACATGTAACTTGATATCAACATTTGTTTTCTTCCTTTTTATTTTATGTGGTTTTTCTGGGACTCGTCCCTTTGAGATTATAGTTATTAAACAATCAAAAGCGCGAAATTTGTTTGATCTGTTGACAAATGTGTGGCATCTCTAGCAAAATGAGACACAACTGGGCACAGGCCATAGTAAAGAAAAATTAAAAAAAAAAACCCAAAAAAAAACTGCACATATTTTACTACACATATTTTTACACTACGCATACTTTAACAATGTTTAAAGGAACAGTATAAAAATTGGGGGAAAAAAGTGTTTTTGGCATCTTTCATTTCAGTGACTACAGAACATGAAAGTGTAAAGGCCTTTTTCCTCAGTATTTTACTTTTTTGACATGTTGGTATATACAAATTTCAAACAGCCATAACTTGTCAACAGAATGTCCGATTGAAGTGCAACAGTTTTGTAAGCAGACTTTATTTTCTTTCATAATACCCACAAACCCTCATTTTGACCTCTGCCCAGTTCTGTCTCATTTCATTTTGCCAGAACGCTTCACAAATGTGCACCTTTGAATAATTTATTTCTTTTCTCTAGCTTGCATTCTGCCTTGCATCAGTGGAGTATGCATAGAAGGGGAGTGCATATGCACACCAGGCTACGGGGGTGAACAGTGTGACATACGCAGTGAGTAGCCCACTGTTTGTTAAAAGTTTTATTTAATTAAACAGTAATTCATTAATAAAAACTCTTTTATACTTCGTGAAAACAGTAATTACCTATTTTTTTTCTCCCATTAATTTGTACACAGTCGTTGTCACTTGTGAAATTATAAAAGTGGTGTGAGAATATTGTTACTTTTACGCATCAAACGACAGTGAAGCACATGCGTCTGTTCTTTTTCAATATTCACGGGCGCGCGTCCGTTCCCATCCCGACGCGTGTAGAGCAATGCATGATCTCTCTGGCCCTGCTAACGAGATGACTTTTTGTCAATTCGTGAAAACAAAAACACGGTGTTCAGGCTTTATGTGAAATGTTTGTTTACTTTTATGAAGAAAGTAAACCATGTCTTTGAAACTTGGTCAAAATGTTCTTTGTGTCAAATGTAATAAAATTGCCAGCAAAACTCAAATCGAAAAATTATTGATTTTCCAAATTTTTGTCACTTTGTGAAAACACAGACGATATGGCGTGAAGTTCACACAATTATTTTTATTCCAAATGTGCACAAAACAGGGGTCTTCATGTGTGTGTCAGATGCCATAGAGAAAAGCCTTTGCGTGCCCCACCCAGTGGTCTTCCCCAACTCTCTGTTTGTAATCATTGAGGGGGTAATTGTACAGGGAGTCCATAGCTCATGAGCCAATTTTTCCTATCGCCGTATTTTCCCGCAGGTTGCCAACCTGAATGTGTGAATGGTGGACAGTGCAAAGAGGGAGTTTGCGTTTGCCCGCAAGGCTATGATGGGCCAAGCTGTGAGACTCAAGGTGAAAGCTGTTTTAAAGATAAATTGCCTCAGCTCAGAAAATAAGTTAGAGTAAGAAAGGTTTTGATGCCATTTGTAGAGAATTTTCAACATGAAAACCAGGTTGCATGGAAAACCAAAACAGGTTTCATGTTATAGTGCATTTTAATGCGCTGCAGAGATGCTCGCAAAAGTGCGATGCTGTGCGTTGGTTCTCTCCTGTGCCACGAGGGTTTTTTCTCCGGGCCCTCCGGTTTTCCTCCCTCCGGAAAAATCAAACACTTTCGATCTCAGGCTGTGCTCCGTGGTAATATATGGGTCAATGTGGCCGGCAGCCATAGGCGCCTTTACGTGCCAGCGTCCCGACTACGTTGTAGCCGCGTCTTTCGCAATTCAGCATACCAGCTGCGAAAAAGGATGATTAGCCTCCCAAATTATTATTATTATTAAAAGTTGGTTTACGCCTGGATTTTATGTTGAAAATTCTCTACAAATGGCATCAAAACCTTTCTGTTTCATTGTCTGAGAAGTTACCAAGTAATTTGTAAAGTTGGACATAGGTGCCCGATCACATAATCTGGCAATGGTTTCTGACATCAGCAATTGGGTAATCATGTACACGGTTCTGCTGCACACCCCTAAAAGTAAGTAACATGTACTGCTAAAAAAATAGCAGTTAGAAAAAAATCCATGTTGGTGGGTGAATCTTAAACAATAACAGCAATAGTACATTTGGTATTCATAAAATTCCATCTTATGAATAGCAATAGTACATCTTTAATATTCTAACTTATTTTCTGAGCTGAAGTAAAGTTAATGGCCTAAAGCCCTGCAGACAACTTCATGGACTTGAATTTTGGGGTTGGGTTTCTTCTACGGGTATCCGGGATTTGTTTCACTTCAGTATTACACCGTTCCCGCACTAACCGTAAATGCACACCACTACTCACTTTTTGGTGAGACATCTAATGAAAAATTCACCCGAGTTTTAGTTAAAGGGAATATACAACATTTGCAAACATCGAAAAATAAAACTACCAAGTTTTTGCGAAATACCTTAATAGGATGTTGGTAAATGACAGTCTAAAGCATCCTGTAAAATTATGGCACCTGGTATACTGTCATTTTCAAGAAAAGTGGTATTTTTGTATCAATTTCCAACGCTGATCGGCCGATCAGCGTTGGAAACAACTGGCTTTTTTTCAAATACTGGCCCCAATTGACCATTGCACTTGTTTACAATCGATTACAAACCCATGAACGGGTACGAGCCAGCTAGACTGGTTCCCTGACCTTACAATTCCCCAATGTATGTTAACTGCTCTGTTTCTTCTTATATGGAGTCAGGGAACCAGACTACAGAAAAATGATCGTTTTTCTTGGTTTTTATAGCATTTTCGAACCCAAAACCTCCAAAAAGTCAGTGTAACTATATTTGCTTTATATTTCCAACCCCCCAATTCCATCCATATCTGAAAATTACAGCAAAAGCAAATGATGTATATTCCCTTTAAGGACTAAATACTTTACTAGATTCGAATTATTTGCGGCACGACATTATTTCTATTTTCTTAGGGTAGAGTGGTTCCAAACTCCCTAGTGGAATTGATAATGTAAGGACTGGCAACCAGTCTACTCACAGGGCAGATTCATTTTTGCCCAAAAGAAACCCCCAAATAAAAGCCCTTTTCAGAGGGTTTTTTACATCAAAAGTAAAAAGAAAATACTATTATAATTGAAAAATGGCAAGAAAAAAAGAAAAAAACCTTTGCATTAATTGAAAGACAGTAGGAAAATAAGATGAAAAATAACTATCATGTTTCACCATAGTTAGTAAGTGCGTTTATATATTTGTGAAGTTGAACATAGAATCTAGAGCGGGGTTTGAACCCTTGACCCGTGATGTCTTTGTTCAAGGATTTTTTTTTTATTTTTTTTTATGACTGTAATGCGCATTTGAACATATTTTAAATGGAATTTGCGCACTATAAATTAATAAATTATTATTATTATTGCCGTACCTTTTTTCTACCTGCTGAGCTATCCAGCCCTATGATGGTGGTTTCCTATTTTGTCTGTGTCTTTGTTCAAGGATTCCTAGTGAGAAGTCTTATATGCCACATAGCCAGGGATAACGCCTAGATTCACAATGCTTGGGACATTATTAGCAAGGCTGCAAATGGGGGAAATAGCAAACGGGGATATTAAACTCTAAGAGGATACAGCTTTTTGTTACACAAATTAAACATAAACCACAACTTAGGAAACTGACTTGCTGCAATAAGCCAGTTCAGTAAATCAACTGCACATTGAACATGAGTCATTCGGGATAATCAAACGCTCATCGAAGGCACATGAATTCGTAAAGAGACGGTCGCAGAGCAGATTGAGTGTTCGCGTAACATCGCAAAACATTCCATCAGCGATTTTATCCCGAACTACCTTTTACCTGGACTACTTCATCGAGACACTGAACCGGCTTATAATGATATTTACAATTTTCTTTGCACTCGTTTATGTGAAATAGTGCCTTACATTGAGATCATTCCCGAGCAGTCCTTCGTGCGCTACGGCATGCAGTTGTCATGGCGTTGCATCTACCATCTGGGTTCGCTGTCTCCGTTCTGGAGGGATCCTGGCCAGCGGTTTGTTCAACTTTCCCAAAATGGTAAGTCTTTTTAACTCCTCTTTCCTTCATTTCCTACTTAAAAAAAAATTGGAACATTAAACTCAAGATGTGTGGGTTAGAGTCCAACCTGAGGGGTCCTGATGCATGTGTCCTCAGGGAAGACACTTTATCATAGTTACTTCATCCCCACCAAAGAGTATTTCAGCTGCTGTTCGTGATAGTAGCTCTCAGCTTCACACTTTTCCGGGAGCTTCCAAGGTTTCCAGAATATTTCATTTGCCCAATGAGCAGGGGGCGGGGTAATAATGATGAAGTGACTTGTAATCGGATATGTGACTTTGTAAATAAGCAACATCATTATCCCCAAACTTTCTCTTTAGCAAATCGCGGGGATCTTGGCCAGAGTAACGTCTTTGCTGAGCGCATCTCCCGCCTGGAGACCAGAATGGTCATCATTGACTTCCAAGCTAATGATGCAGGCACCTACTCCTGTGGGACATACGATGAGCAGGAGACAATACTGATTGTGGTGACCAGCACAACACCAGGTTAGTGTCCTGACTTCTTTTTGGTACCAGGTTAAGACCGTGACTTCTTTACATAACAGGTTAGCTCCCTGACTTCTTTAGGTACCAGGTTAGTACCGTGACTTCTTTAGGGTACCTGGTTAGTACCTTAACTGCTTTAGGTACCAGGTTAGTGCCCTGACTTCTTTAGGTACCAGGTTAGTTATCTGACTTCTGTAGGTACCAGGTTATTGCCTGACTTTTTTAGGTACCAGGCTTGTACCTTGACATCTTTAAATATCAGGTTAGTAACCTGACTTCTAAAGGTACCTGTTTAGTATCCTGACTTCTTTAGGTATCATGTTAGTACCTTGACTGTTAAGGTGATTCATCAAAGCACCTTGAATTCTCTTCAAGAACTGCTAATGGACATTGAAGTAAAAAATCAAGGTACAAACTACTTAGCAACTTGTCTTTAGGTACCATTTGTACTGCCATTGGCATCAGAATTGTAATGCCTTGACTGATTTAGATTCATGTGTGGGGCAGTTGAGGTAAACGTGAGGTCACCAACTATTTAAGTATTCTAACTTCATTTACAAATACTTTGTGCATTAATTGGTGCAAGAAGTCAATTAGATACCGACCATTTAGTACTTTGACTGACATTTCAGGGACTATGTCTATGGATATTACAACAATTCAACTGTGTCTTAGCAGTGATGTAAGAAGTTAGGGAAACAAGGATTTAGTGTATTGACTTTCAGATATGTCAAATAACACTGCAACAATGCAACTTGTATTTATCTAAGAAGTTCGTACCAACCATTTCGTACCTTGACTTTAATAGATATCATGTCAATTAACACTGTAATAATGCAATTTTGTTTTGGCATTTGTGTAAGAACTTAAGGTACCAACCATTTATTTAGTACATTTTCTTATCAGATACTATGTCAATTAACACCGCAAAAAATGTTCACCTCTTTCAAATGGATATGTGCATTTTGGAAATAAAGTCTTTAAATTGTTTTTTTTATGGCAGCTACCCCTACCACTCCCAGTGTCACCATCACCATCCCACCCACCCAGCCCAGTAACTGTGTCCCCTTCAACAGTTCCTTCTGTCAAGGCCTGCCCTACCAGCAAGCGATCTTCCCTACGGCCTTCGCCCAGAACTCGGAAGCAGCCGACCTGTTGGCGTCGGCCATGTTCTCACGCCTCACCGACTGTGGGGATTCGCCAAAGGTAATCACAGCATCAAGCTGATTTCATGAAACAGTGCATAACTGATGTCTGTGCATAGGATTTACTAATCCCCTGGATGCAGAACATGTGTCCATTACTGCCTTTTGATTTATTATCGGTTAAGGTATGCTCGGAATTTCTCGGTTCCGAGTGGCGAAGTTCCCCAGACTGAATTTGGTTCATCTTGTTGATATTGACCTCTATCGCTGCAAGGGCTTAGCACAGGCCCAGATTTTCCAATAGGCAGAGTAGACACTGTGCGTGGAGTTTACAAAAATTTTGAGGGCCTATGAAAATACTCATGTGCCATAAAACAAAATACACGATTGAGGACCATTTTCAACAAAAGATGAGCTCTCGAGGACAACAAACAATCTGTTCTTCTCCCTCTGTCTGCTGCCTTGGGGTGTATTTACTTCATACACACAGTCTTGTTCCATAACTGTGGGGACCACACACCTGTTGAGCATGGTATTATGGGGACCGAAGACGCTATGGGGACAGCAGAAAGCCCCCATAAGTCAGTCTTATTTTCCGTAATAGTAGAAAATTTCCCCTTAATGTGGTGATGGTTCGCCCACCCAAAGTTTTAGCATCTCTCTCTGCAAAACTGGTAGGGAACCCAATACATGAAATAGATTGTAATAACTGGTTGGGAACCCGATACATGTATTACGTTGTAATAACTGGTCGCAAATCCAATACATGTAGTATAATTGTAATAACTGGTAGCGAACCCAGTACATGTATTACATTGTAATAACTTGTCGCAAACCCGATACATGTATTACATTGTAATAACTTGTCGCAAACCCAATACATGTATTACATTGTAATAACTGGTAGCGAACCCAATACATGTAGTACATTGTAATAACTGGTCGCGAACCCAATACATGTGGTACATTGTAATAACTGGTAGTGAACCCAATACATGTAGTACATTGTAATAACTGGTCGCGAACCTAATACACTTAATACATTGTAGAGACTTTTAGAACTACCATTTTGGCCTGGCTTGCTTAGTAAAGCTTAGCATACCTTAGCACCAACATGAAATGCAAGGCTCCAGTGCTAACCAGAGCTGTGAAATTGGTGCCGGTGCCTAGGACGGAGTTTGGCCTACGGAACACTGGTGCCTAGGGCCTATGGCACACTTAATCTGGTCCTGGCTGAATGGTGTCAGATACAGGCTGGATGATGCATGGGAAAAATATCCAAATTTGGTTTTGGACAAGGACTGTGTCCCACCTGTCAACAATATCCCATCTTCTCCTAGGTGGTACTGTGCTACCTCTTCTTCCAACCCTGCGACAGCGGCACAGACCCCCTAGACAGACTCTGCCAAGAAACCTGCCTCGATGTCCAACACAACTGCCTGGCCTACATGCAGGAGGTTCTGCGGTTCTTCCAGGCTGGGCTGGCGCAGCAGTTCCTCGGAGTCTGCGGGACGCTGCCGTCTGAAGAGACTCACCCTAGCTGCATCAAGAACTTGAAGAAACAGCCACCAACAATATCAAGTAAGATGGCAACATGTTCAGTAGAACGTTGCTATTAAGATCACCCCTTTACTGAAAATTCAGATTTAATCAACTTGCTCTTTGGCTCCGAAATTTTAGGCACAGTTATTCCAAATATTGATGAGAACAAAATGGGCAATTCCATCATTATGAAATAAAGTGTAATGTCTGTGACAGAGCCAATTAATCATAATATATATAATTAATGATTCAGAGAAATGATCAAACACTCCTAGTCTGTAATCTTCTTGACCATAACCAGATGATGGATTTGGAAAAAAATACATTTTCAGGTTTATAATTCTTAAAATATCTTTCACTGATACTATTTTGACATTTACTTTGCCCAACGAAAGAAAATGGTACTTTGGTCAAAATTTTGAAATATCAAAATAAATTATGTTTCAAAAATAGCCGAAGAGAGCGCAATGTTATAAGTTTATATTACATTAGATGGCGCACTTCACATAAACAGATGGCACCTTGAATTTTCTATAATGAACGACTGTTATACCAGGCATGCACAAGTACCGATTCATTCTCAGATAGGGCTCAAATAGGTGCACTTGCTTTAAACTCCTTCGACCAATAGGAATACCAAAATGTGCGTGCGCCTACTATTTAAGAACACTTGTAGCATGCGCATGAGCGTAACACCCCGCAGTAAGCTTCTCTTTCTGGTCGCCAGATTCCACTATACCCATGCACTAATAAATTTGAATTTATGCATGGTAGATGGTGGTGCAAAGTTTGGCTTTTGAGGGAGTGCAGTTGATAATTATGCCTATACGCGACATTGTTTCACCACCAGTATTCAATCATATTGGGAGATAGAGATGTCGATAGGTTGGTTTTGGGATTTTACTGCCCGATATTCTGATTGCTTTGTGTTTTTATTGTTTGTATTGTAGAATGCGAAGGCATGTGTGAGAATGGAGGAACCTGCATCAATGATAAGTGCATCTGCAAGCCGGACTTCACTGGAGACATGTGTGAATACCCAGGTCAGAACAGCTATGTGGTGACCTACAAGGCTTTATAAAGGCATACAGGATCATTTGATTTTCATGCATGTTGTTTGTTTCCAATAATAACACCACTCAGATTCCACAGGGGAATATTCAAAACCTAATCTGTTGAAGTTTCAGCTCAGTGGATATTACACTTTTTCGAGAAAACAGTGAAAAAAAATGCACAACCTGGTCATCACAAAATACAAATTTGTCAACAGCAATCTTTATTCCAAAACTCAGTCAATTGAATGATTGTTGGAAATCGCCTACATTTCCTGATTTCGTCTAAATGACAGCAAGCCAGATGGAAGAATATCATGGGGTGTTCAGTACCAGTACAATCTTTAATCCAGGCAAGCTTTTTGATTAAAAATTTGGTGGGTTACTTGTGGGATAAATGTAAGTGATAATATATGTCTTTAATGAAATGTAGTATTACAATTAGGATTAGTTTAAAGGTTCATTTTGTATACCTTTGTACATTCCAATGGTTAAATGAGCCATGTGTTTTTGAAGTAAATTAGTGGCACTGGAAGTGCATCAGAGAAGGACTCCACTACAAAACTGACCCATAATTCCTCCCTATTACCGTTGTTCTTTCTTTTTCAGTTGACACCTTGTTCGAGTACGATGTGGTCATCACGCCCATTCCCCCTGGCTACCCAGAAGTTGACACCAACTTGACCGTCGTCTGTGAGATCATCAATAATAACGTCTTGGTCTTCCCGGTATGGTTCGGTCCCGACAACCAAAACATCCCATCTAAACAACCAGGTAATGCTCGCTTTATACTGACATTAGGAGGACTCAGGTCAGGAAAATTTTCTGAATTGGATACACATTGCCATATTAGAAGGGTGATGACCGCTCCAGAAAAGTGCTTCCGATTTAGGAACAAAGCTGGGCAAGGGTCACTTGCCTGAGTAGTGTGGTAGAAAGAATGAGCTTTATAAAGTGACCGGATCTCAGCATCCATAAGGGCAAAAAATTGTTGCCCTCAGCAGACCGACCCAAAAAAATTTGCAAATCTCCAGTCATTTTTAATTTTTTAAATATTTTTTTAATTCACCTGAAAAAAATTAAATAAACTTTAAGTTTGCCGGTGCTGTTTCTTTGTATAGCCATAATTTTGCATTTTGTTACAAAATGTACATACCTTAATGGTAGTACAGTTCAAATTTACCGTATTTTGAACATGTCACTGAGGCCAAGGCCTGAGGCATGTGTACTGCATGCATCGTATACATGTGAACATGCACTTTATGTTGTATCTCATGCATGTACATACAATACATAGTTTAGTTAGTGCGTGCAGTAGGCTACATGAAGACTCAAGCTTTCGTGCACGTTGTCGAAGGGGAACTGGTGTAACCAAACAGAATCCTCGACAAAAATTTGGTCAAAGTTACCACGTAAGCTTCAAGAAAATAAGACATGTTGGAAAATTCAACAAATTAATTTTTTTAAACCTCATGACTCAATCACCGACGAAAATCAATCTTCTAAAGAAATCACTTTTTAAAAGTATATATGGTTCATTGGTACCCGCTTTTCACATTGTACACTAAGCCCGATGGTACATTGTGCCACTTGTGCATATACTGAAAGCATTTGTTAAGAGCTAGATATAAGAGAAGTCCATGCTAATGCACATTTTCCTGAATACGTTTTGGAATATTCTTTTGTTTTCAGGTGACAACCAGCGTGTATACATGGACCTGCATTCCCCGACAGCCTCCAAACTCATCATAGTGGGTGTCCAGCCTTCGGACCAGGGCACGTATCGGTGCATTGTGGGCCAGCAATCTGTACCACACACTGTGATTCTGAAATGTAAGTGCACACAATGGGGGTCGGTTGTTTGTCAGATTGCCTGTCTATCTGTTTGTTATAGAAAAACTGCATAATTGAATCAAAGCACAATATTAAAAAAATAAGTCCGAAATCGGTGATTTCAAAATTCTGAGATCCTTATTTATTTCTTCCAAACTCAGCAGTGTTATCCGATTTCACAAGAAGCTCCCATTCAGCTCCAAGGCTGGATCCAGACGAAAAGTGGGTCCAAACTTTTCCGCCCCAAATATGAAAAGCAAGGGGTTGGGTCCACTTTATATTTTTTTGTTGAGTTTTGTGGATAGTGTACGCAGTGGCTGCCTGTTTTGCGCTGTTGTTCAGCTCACAGTATCTAACACAAAGTGACAAGTGAGGTGCCGCATTCAGTGTCCTCCCAAATGATTGGGTATATATAGTTTGCGGAATTCATTGCCTATTTGCCCCTTTCAAAAACACCCCAGGGCTGTAATGGTAAAAAACAAACGGGTGGGAACTCTCTGATCAGTCCAATATGCAGGCTATTCATGAACCAAGAAGATAGCAAGTTAATTGGGTTACAATCAGAGACCATGGTGCATATTGGAGGATATTGCAGGTTTTTTAAATTTTATTATTGTCACAAAAAAGGATGGTTTAATATGTTTAAGGTTGGTTTCAAATATCCGGTTCCCAAAATCCAAACCAAATAGTGGAATGCAAACCGAATTTTGGAAAATCTGGATTTTACTCCCACCACTAAAATGTCAATTTTTTTTTCTTGCAGTTCCAGACTGCTACAGCCTGCCTTGCTTGAATGGTGGGGTCTGTGTGCAAGGAAAATGCCAGTGCCCTGCAGGCTTCACTGGACTCAACTGCGAAAATAGTAAGTGTGTCTTACATATATTGTCAATATAGTGCTCAAGTCTTGCTAGGTCAAGTTTACGTTTTGCTGGGTCCAGAATGCCAGGTTAGAGTCCTATGTGCTTATCTCACTGACAGACTGACCAACTGTCACTTGTGGACCGGGCAGTGCTATTGTATAGGATCACTTCATAATGCCATTTAGCCTAAATCTGGCCTAAATCTGAACTAGATGCATCAATTGAAAATAATTTTGTTCACTCTGGGACCGGCTTCACAGTAGGTTTGCCTTGTCTGCTAATATGTTAACTTATTTAGGGTGTATAATATGGAAAATTTCAGCCCTGTCAGAATCAACACCTTTGCTGTGTCGGCTGTTTTTTTAAAACACAGCAAATGACCCAAGAAGACTGTTAGCCTTTGTTGACAGCGTTCGTCAATGTCCCCCAATTTTTTTTGTAGTGGATAATTCAAAGAAAAGGCAAGAATATAGCACCTATAGTCCAAAAGGTCTCTTTGATACAGGAGTCCTTGATGCAGGAAATAAAACAAGGAAAGTGATAAGAGATCCAGCTTGTATGTGAAGCTCTTAAAAGACTGTTGGTTGTATGATGGTGGGAACGATTACGGTATGAGTTCCACAATTTGGATGTGCGGGCAGTGAAGGATGATGAGTGGGATAAAGTGCGAGACTTAGAGACTGTTAAAGGGTGAGCATAGGTGGCAAATCTGGTAATATGGGTATGTGTGTGCGATTTGGGTATGATTGAATCCAGTTCATATAATCAGTGATCAAAGTAATAACAGTAAAGACTAAAAGGGAAGCAACACAGTGTGGCCTAAAGTTAAGTCCCAACCCCACCCACACCCAGTCTTCAATCAGTGAACAGGCCCACAATGATCCCCCATTTTTTCTTCTAATTTTCCAAAAGGTGACGTGAGGTACATCATCAGCATCACCCCACAGACCATCGACTTCCCCGTGACCGGCTCCAACTTGACCTTCCTGTGTGAGGTCAGCGGTCTGTATCCTAGCAAGCCAGTCTGGTTGAGTCCATACGCTAGAAACATTGGCGCTTCTACTGAAGGTATGAAAATTTACAATTTCTTGTGAATATTTATAAATACATTACGTTGTGCATACTTCACTCTATACGCCCACCAACCAGTATATGGGCACTTGGTGTGTTCCATTCTCTGGGCTCTCGAAAGTGGTAAAAAAGCACCTGGGGGCAATTTCACGGAGCTGCTAAGCACAAAAATTTGCTCTGGCTTATGAAAGCAGGTTACCAGCCAAAACTCCACGTGGTCTATTTTGCTCGTGATTAGTATTCAGCTCTTGTTTGCTTAGCATGAAAATCCCATGGAGTTTTGGCTGGTAACCTGCTTTTATAAGCCAGACTTTTTTTGTGCTAAGCAAATTTTTGTGCTAAGCAAATTTTTGTGCTTAGCAGCTCCTTGAAATTGGATACTGCTCTTGTTAGTGCACTGAGCCCATTTAGTGTTCCACTAGTGCTCGTGGGATTATAAATGACCGATATTGTAACTATCACCATTTGTAGGTGGTAATAACCGTGTCTTTGTTGAGGAGATGTCACCCACGGAAACTGCGCTAAATATCATCAACATCCAACCTCAGGACTCGGGAGTGTATGTCTGCGTAGTGGAGAAGCAGTACAGCTACATCAACATCACTGTACGATGTGAGTATCTACTGAAATATTAATATTGGCTGGAGTTAGATTGGGGGTGTGCATCGGAACCGGGTACCTGAGTACCTGACCGCTGGTGTTAGGAACCGGTTCCATATTATGGGATCGGGTAACTTGACAGTGAAAAATAATGGCATTGAATGCCATTTGTGGGGGAATAGAATAAAAACCAGGCTACAGTGAACATGGAAAACCGAAACAGTTGTCATGTTTCAGTTCATTTTAACGCAAGACAGATGATGCTCGTGAATGTTGCAGTTTACGCCGTACAGCTATAACATCCTTCAGACAACTTCCTGGATTTGAATTTTGGGGTTGGGTTTCTTTTACGGGTACCCGGGTACCCGTGTTTTACTTCAATAAGGTACTTGGTTCCTGTACAACCTGTAAATGCACACCATCAAATTAGACTCGAACCTGTTACTTTCTTAATCCTATCATGTTGCGTCAAAAGAAACAAAACGTGCACAAAGAACAAATAATCTATGTACCTTGAACAAAGAAATTTGGCTCGAGTTGGAATCGAACCTGAGACTGCAGTTGTCTGATCAATTACTCATTCGTGTTTAATATTAACACTCTGTTCCATGTCTAGTTCCTGAACTTGAGTGTCGGCTTCCATGTCTCAATGGTGGATACTGTGTCTTTGGGGAGTGCCAGTGCCCACCAGACTATGAAGGCCCCCGCTGCCAATCACTTGGTAAGAAAACTATTTCTAATTGCCGCATTATATAAGGTTATGAAAGGATAAACAGTACATAAATGTCAATTCATACAAACCATGAATACAAAGCAATGATGTACTTTACCAAAACTTGTAAAATTGGTGGTTCAATTGAGGTGAAATGAGTTTAACTTCTGGGTGTTTGTAAAGTGAATGTTTACAACAACAAAAAATGACAACTGTATCATGTCTCCAATTATTACCAGTGCCACCATCATTCAGTCTGATCATCACGCCAGCCCCGAACCAGACTCCAGTCTTGGGAGGCATGCTGGCCTTCCTATGTGAGATGACACGAGCCAGTAACACCAGCTTCCCCTTCTGGATCACGCCGGACGGACAGATTGTTTCTTCAGAAAACGCAGGTAAGCACACAAAAAAGTAATTGGATGTGTTAACATTATACACATTGGTCAACAGAGCACTGTGGTTCAGCGGTTATGGTGTCCGACTAATGCAATGGTACACTGGTTCAAAGCAGGACACTTTACTACAATGACCTCCCTCCACCGAAAAGTAGGAATGGGTACCTGTGGGGAAGATACCAGGTTGCGCTGTGAGACCTTGGTATAAAGTGCCTGACAGAAAACATGGTGCTTGGTGCAAAGAAAGCCACGTTAGGGGCCGCGCCACGTTAGGGGCCGCGCCACGTTAGGGTACATCAACAATATACTACAATAAAGGCCTCGCTCCACCCAGGAGTAGGAATGGGTACCTGTTGGGGGGATGGGGGGGGGGGGGGGGGAGGAGACCTGATTGTGCTATAAAACCCTACTATAAAGTGCCACATTAGCAACACATTATTATTTCAATGTATCTGATAATGTCATTTTACAGAGAATGCAGATGGGGTGCACGTTGTGTTTCTCGGAACAACAGCCATCCGGTTGGTCATCAACAATCTGAAGGAGCGCGACGAAGGAATCTACACATGCATAGCTGGACCTGTCGAGGCTCACATCAACATCACTGTGTTTGGTATGCTGGTTTTGTATACCTCAGGGCTTGAATTGAACGACGGCCACGACGGCCAGTGCCGTCGTTGCCTTCTTACTGGCTGAGGTGCCCCACAAAAAATCCCTGTCTTCACGGCCAGTTTTGCCTTGCCCCATAATTACCTTGGCCGCCGTGCCCTTTTTGCAAAAACATGCATCAGCCTATTAAAACCACTACAATCCTTGATTCCAGTTGTTTTTCCACAAATTGACAATGTATTTCGATGCCATGCCAGCCCAATCAGTTGTCTTAATATCTCGCCGAATCAATCACACGCGCGCAGTACGGCCGTGGCCGTCCCGCCATACGCCGTCGATTCCCCACTGCACTGTACGATGTACACACACGCACGTTCTGTACATGTATGTACATGTACACTGACAACTGAATCTCCAGTTCCTGTATGTGCCGATACTTCAAGTAGCGACACCCCCGCCGCAAAAATATATGTCAGTATTCGTATACACACATACCAGCAGGAGTACGTACGGCAGATCTTACGTGCAGTCAACCGACTTTCTTTTTCCCAGTGCTTGCATGCGCGGTACAGAACGCATTGATGTTCGTGTACGAGGCAAACGAGCTTGGGGCATAGTCAAAACACGCGTGCACGTGCGTTCCGAATTCCGATTGTCAAAAGCGGACATTGTAAATGGCGATCGTGTATTAATTATGGGCCTGATTCCCGTAAGAGAACAAAATCAACTTTTAATCCACTTTAAGAACATGCACGTAGGTTATAGATAGAGGGAAGGGTTTCGAATTTTGAGGGGAATTTGGAGGGAAAACGACAACGAAAAAACGCAACACGAAAATAGAGATGGCGATCGCATGTCACCAACCATGAAACTGCTTTAAAAAACGTAATTTCTATCCCCAAAAAGTGTTCAAAATTACAAAACAGGTGCAATATAAGCTGAGAGAAGTCTGCTTTAGGTTGAAAAGGTACTTTTTTGAATGATAAAAACACCTTTGGCTCAAATTTGATCGAAACTAAAAGGGGGCCCTAAACTACATGATCGCTAATATAAATGCGCATTTCTTTTAACCGGCCTCTGTGCCCCTTCTGCAGATATTAGTTTGGCCTTGGTGCCCTCCCGACTGGCCGTGGTGCCCTCTATAATTTTGCTCCATTCAAGGCCAAAGTGGCCTTGCCCTAAAAATTCCCAAATTCAAGGCCTGATACCTTATATTTTTTATAGAAATCCATGTGAACATACTACGGCTTTGTTATCTCTGAAAGGTTTGGGACTCAGGATCAGAGGTAGGGTTGGAATGGATACCAAGGTGCCTAAAACCCGAGCGATTAGGCAAGGTTATTGCTTCCATTTCTATCGCCCTGGCTTTAGCCAAGATAGGGGGATCTTGTGAGAGTGTATTCATTCTGTCTGTGTGTATGTGTGTTCCATTTTGGTTAGGTTAGCTGTTTAGTGCTGTCTTATGAAAACTCAGACTTCACTCTCAACCAAGCTTGGTGACAATAATCTTTGGGTAGGGGGACTTCAGATGACTCGAGATATTTGAGGTCAAAGGTCATCCAGGGGTCAAATGAGGTCAATGTTGTTTTTGGTTAGTTAAACTGAAAAGTGCTGTGATATGGAAAGTCAGACTTCAATCTAAAACAAACCTCGTGACAATAATCTTTGGGTAGGGGGATTAAGATGATTTGAGACATTTGAGGCCAAAGGTCATCTAGGGGTCAAATGAGGTCATTGTTGTTTTTGGTTAGATAAACTGAAAAGTGCTGTCATATTATGAAAAATCAGACCTCAATCTCAACCAAACTTGGTGACAATAATATTTGTGTAGGGGGACTTCAGATGACTTGAGAAATTGAGGCTGAAGGTCATTTAGGGGTCAAATAAGGTCATTGTTGATTTTGGTTTAGGTCAACTGAAAAGTGTACTTACTAACTGACTATCAATATTGCCAGCTTGGCAGGGGGATCGCGCAAGTTTAACTTGCAGTATTTTTGGTTATGTTATTCAAAATCGAAACCTTCCTTGCAGATACAAACCTGGTTTTGTATCCAATGTAGGGTATCTGTACTTGAGCATGGTACCCTCTTATTAAGGTCGCCCACTGAGTGTATAGTGTTATCTTTTAAATCTGTTCCTGTCACTATACTGCAGAGCCACAGTGTGAGCGACCTTGTTTGTTTGGCAGTGCTTGTGTCAATGGCACCTGTCTCTGCCCGTATGGATTGGAGGGAGAATACTGCCAGATCCAAGGTAGGAAACAATATAGGTAGTTTGTCTTTGTTAAGAATAACCATTAAACCTACCTTAGAACTTTTGACATTGCTGATGATGGCAAATATGTGACCAATTAAACTGCATCCAAAATAGTGGCCAAAACATGTCAAAAATGTTGTGAAAACTGTCGAAAATTGTGCCATAGCATGTCTAACTTGTGGCCAAAATGGGCCCAAGATGAGTCCAGAATGAGACTAAAACACATCAACTGTGGCTAATACAATTTAAATGGCTGCTGAGATCCATTCTCAATGCTGGCAAAACTCATCCAAAATGTGACCCATTCACATCCATATTGTGGCAAAAATTTGTCAGTGTAGTGTTATCCAAAAAGCCAAACATGTCCAACATGTTGTCAAAACATTCATTAAAAATTTGCCAATGCACATCCAAAATGTCTTTTATGCATCCAAATGTGGGCAAAATGCATTTTAAGTTTGGTCAAATCATGTCCAATATGCGGCCACAATGCATCCAAAAAGTCTTTAATAGTGGCAAAAACATGTCCGCAATTTGGCCAAAGTATGTCCAATATGAGGCCAAAACATGTTGAACATTTGTGGCCTGTTCTGTCAAAAGCAGACGCTTCTGGGCAGAGGATGAAATTGAGATAGGGCTAAAAAACGCTGTGGGGGTGATTTTTATCGATTTTCAAATGTTTGCATATTTGTAATCCTGAACATGTCTAAAATATATTATAAAAGTTTGAAACCCTAATTTGAACTCTACATATACTATTTTTGATGATTTTGATAAGGTATATGAGTTAAAGAAATAACTGTTTTGTGACGTTCGTGGCCACTTTCTCCGTTTTCTACTTTTCGACACCATGAACTTCAAAATAGCATAACTCTGCCCAGGAATGACCGGTTTCAAAAATTAAACCACCTATTAAAAGGAAAAAGAACATATGTATAACAATATGTAAAAATATCATTTTCGACCTTATGCCCAGAAAAGTCTGATTTTGACAGAACAGGTCACATTCGGCCAAAGTGCATCTCAAATGGCCAAAGCTTGTCTAAGATGTGGCAAAAATGTTCCCACAAAGTATCCAACATGTGGTCAAAGTGTGGCCAGGATATGTCAAAAATGTGGTCAAATTATTTTCAAAGTATTTTCAAATGTTGGCCAAGAAAGCAATATATTGCCAAATGTCCAAAATATGGAGAAATATACAAGCATCTCAACAAATCCAGAGTATAGCCAAAACATGTCCAAAAATGTCCAAAAATCTTTATACTCACTTCCTCAAGTGCCCCCAGTAATTCACCCTACCCTGTTTGTGTTTCTGCAGTGCCAGGGACAGAGTGCAACCTACCCTGTGCCAACAACGGCCTCTGTGTCAACAACCAATGCTTCTGCCAAGATGGCTACCTGGGTGAACTCTGCCAGATATTTGGTCAGTTGACTTTTTAACCTTTTCATGTTTCTTTTTCAATAAAACTTACCATAAGAAACAATGAGCTTGATCAATTTCGATCAATGTTTTTATAAGGGTAGACATGATCATACTTCACACATTTTTGCTCTCGAAAAAGGTCTTGCTTATGACCAACACGTAAGGCCCTCTAATTATGTTGATTTGTATTTTTTAGGTCATTCCACTCAGCAGTTTGCAACAGATTTATTCGTTTTCATGCAATTTTGAAAGCAAAGAAAAGTTGAGCATGTTATGGTGAATATCGCAGTGAAACTATTTTCTAACTGATGTCCAAATACTCACATTACTACTCATTGAAAGTTTGCAGTCTTCATAGACCTGGTATTTAAGGTTCAATTCTACTGTACCACATTGTAGTAAAAGGAAAAGGAACAGTTGTGTGCCAATTTTTATACATTTCTACCAAAGAAAATCATTTTGAAAAGTTAGCATCAGATAAACAAATGACATTTTTTGGGGTCATCTGATAAAAATAATTGTATTTATTTTTTAGTCGGGGGCACGTTTAACATCACTGTGGTGACTATCGATGACTTGGTGCCAATCTCCAATGGCGATGTGCAAATTGTGTGCGCGGTGGAGGGAGATGGGGTCTTCCCCCCACCGATGTGGATCAATCCAAGGGGCTTCACCATTGCATCCATCGGGGAAGGTAAGCATGTCATTTTGTTGTTGTTCAATGTTACTCATTTTGTGTGTTTACATTTAAAGTCCTGCCTCGCAACAACCTTTGACCTTTATTTTCCCAGAATGCCGAGTTAGACGCACCACAACATTCGATTAGCCTCATTTCATGGCTGCCTCGAGTGTAAACCCAGTGTATACATGGGGACGCTTATCAAACACATCCAAAGATCTTGAATCATGGGTTTTATTTTAGGTGGTTCCCAACACGTCAATGTAGAGACGCCACTCCCTGGAACAACATTGCTGAACATTAATGACATCACCACAGATGATGAAGGAACATACACCTGTGTTGTGGGATCACACATCAACACATACATCTTCAGGATCACAGGTAAACATTTGATTCTTTTCTTTAAGGGACATGCCTTCTTATTTCTTTGGTTCTCATATTGGATTGACCCTATTTTGAGCACCCGACCCGCGAAACAAAAACAAAAAAACACAATTTACAACACAACAAAAGAATGAAAAATTCAGGCAATCAGGCTCTGTGTTATTTGAAAAGCTGTAGAAAATGAATACCAGATTTTATAAGTACAGCGTATAGCAATCGGTGGAATCACAGAAGTTGCTAGGGTGTTGCCTCTCAACATACCAGGAGTATGCATATAGTTTACCTTTACTGTAACGTCATGGCAACCACTACAGCCATGGTGAAGATATATTTTTTATTTAGTTATATCAACTCATGATAAATTCATTGCAATAAACAAAACTAGAGACAATACGCATGTGGCATAATTTACTTCAGCCCTCTATACAGGTGCAGCCGCACATTTCTTCTTCAGATTCATTTTTTTTCTGTTTGACTGACACTGTTTGAAGGAGAACCATATAGAAATAAAAAGGGACACACTAAAATATACTTGATGATTAAAGTGTTATCATGGCATACTTTCAAAATGGTTCTTTCAGCACTTTAATATTTTGTTTTCTTTAAGCAAGATGCTTTGCAGCAGTTGGTTATTATTTGATTCGTTCTTTCAACAAAATTCACTTGATTATGTCCTCAAGATAGACACTCTACAGTAATTACTTGCTGCCTAGGCTTGATTCTTTAAGCACTTTCATAATTCATATTGTTTTTGTATACAAGCAAGACACTGCGCGACAATTGGTTGTTGCTTAGAATGTATTGGTTCCTAAGCATTTCAGTACATTTGTTTTGTGTGTGTCCTCTAGCAAGACACTTCACACTAATAGGTTGTTGCTTAGAATGGTTGTTTGTTGAAGCACTCAAAAAGTTTGGATTTGTCATCAAGCAATACTGCAATTCCTTGTTAATTAAGCCTGGGCGACTAGTGCGACTAGTTGCAAAGTCGCCAATACCAAAAGGTATTGGTGGTCACGACTATCGATTTTCAGATAGTCGAGTAGTCGTCATGCGGCGACTATTGTCCTGCGAGTCGCGACTAGTGCGCCGCGGCAATAGTTTGCACCGCGACTATTGTGATGCGACTATTAACCTGCCCTGCAGTGCACTACGCACCACTCAAATTCTGAGCGACTAGTCACTATACTGTTCACCGGGCGCACATACGTACAACGTACGTAGAGAGACACACACACACAGTACTTACAGTTTCAACGAAACACCACACACACACCCAGACTTGTTTCACATACCTAGTGTGGACTTTCCTTTCTTTTCGTGTAGTTAAGGAACACCAGTGGAAAAACTCATTTTTCTCAAACTGTGAAAACTCTTACAACCCAATTTTTTTTCAATGATTCCCTTTAGTGTTTCTCTTCATTCTGCTACAGATAAACCTAACCCAAAAATGCCTCTAAACCTGTTTTCCAGAAATGGGGAAACACTGTGTGGACGTGGGCAAGTCCACACTTCGTCGCTGCTACCTACATTATGTGGACGTCTTTTGTTCGGAAGTCCACACTGCGTATGTAAGACAAGCTCACCCAGACACAACACGAAACACTCACAGAACGGTACATGTACATCGTTCCTGCACAATACATTGCGATCGATAGTGCGTGCACACAGCTCAGGTCATTGGGGCCGGGGTCACTCATGAACGATGACTGGCGCACGTGTTGAACGATACACACATAGAGTCACATATAAACTCGGCGCACATGAATGCCGTACATGACGAAATGACGATTAACAGTACACACAAAACAATGTAGGCCTACACGTACGTACATACATGCAATGTCTCCTTTGTTGCATTGGAGCTCCATGATTCTATTCTACCCACGAGTCACATGGCATGGCACATCCGGGACTCAGGTATACCCGCTCCGGTCAGCATTTCGACAAGTTGTTGGTGAAAAAGCTTTCTTCGTGTATTTCTTGAATTAAAATAAAATATCAGACAACTGCTTGTTTGCTTGCCTTGTGTCATTTATTGTGTTCTTTTCATTTTTCTTGCGTCTGATTTTTGTAATTATTTTAGAGATATTTGTAAGAATTTATGGAAGTTGGTAGAATAAATGTAAATGTTAAAGTAGCCTTCCTAAGTTGTGATGCGGTCAGTCAAGTTTATCGTAACAAGTTTATATGAGTCGGGAGTAAACGACCTATAGGCCCTTTACTTAGTCTTGAGTTCTTTTAAGTTTCGATGTTATTTTTGCAAAGTTTTAAATTGATTGAAAAGTAAGAAACGTGACACGATCAAGGCCTCCCCTCCATTGAATGTCCCGAAACGTATTTCATGAGACCCAGCTTGCCCAGTAACTTTGCTTATTTATTGATGCTTTTATTGATTTCTCAAACTTCTTACAGCAGTGAACATTTTTAGCACTCAAAGACTCGGTCTAGCTTCAGATATGGTTTTATTACTTCAACAAATAATGCACAACTTTCAGGATGTTGGTTACTGTCCGCATTTAAGTTGCCTCAAGCCCTTAGCGGTACGATCAAACACTCTCCGTCTGGAGGATGAATAGATTTGCAGTGAAGGCCTAGCCACGCCCTACAATAGTGTTTGTTTACACACGTGGTAAAGGCTGACGTTTTGTATAACTTTGCATGTGCGGGGCCCTGGTCTGATTCATTATCAAGCTGGATCCAAAACCACGTGGTAGCTCCTCCTTCCTTGAAAGGCTGACGTTTTGTTGATTTTTCATGTGCGGGGCCCTGGTCCGATTCATAATCAAGCATGCAATTAGTCGTGACTAGTCGCCTAGTCGCGACTATTTATTGATAGTCGCCACGACTATTGAAATTTGATAGTCGCCCAGGCTAATTGTTAATTAGACTTAATTCCTGAAATACAACCCTATATTTCAATTTTTGAAGACTTAAAAATGGACTTGTTTCAACACTCTTATTTGATTTTATTCCACAGTTTCTGATGAGTGCGATTTCCCATGTGCCAATGGGGGCCAATGCGTTGAAGGTCTCTGCCTCTGCCCAGTTGGTTACCTGGGCAGATTCTGTGAGGTCTACATACCAGGTTTGTGAACAGACTTGTTGAAAAAGTGGGTGTCACAAAAAAAAACTTCTCAACAAAATGAAAAGTTAGTCTTGCATCAAAATGTAATCATGCCATTCAATTGGTTTTTGTTTATATTTTAAATTTTTTTTCACAGAACCAGAGTGCAATTTGCCTTGCCAAAATGGAGGCCAGTGTCGCAATGGAATATGTCGGTGTCCTATCGGCTACACAGAACCTTCCTGCAATGTGAAAGGTAAGCACACAGTCCTCACAAGTCGTCCCAAATTAAAAGTCTATCAAAAGTCTTTACAAGACAAATACAAGTCAACAGAAGTCATCACAAAGCATCATAGGTCATTCAAGTACATTATATGTCGATTATAAGTCAATCATATAAAGTTAATCATAAAGTGCTTGACAAATTAGGAAAATGCACGTTTCATATAATTGTTAACCCCATGGGTACGGGAAGCGGTCATGGCCCCGGCCGCTAATCCTCATTGGAATGCAGTTGCCAGCTGTGGTATGCCGTGGCACACGGCTAGTGGGTAGTTCCACAGCTGCTGCTTTTGTGCAGTCCCGCTACCACACAAAGGCTGTGCAGTCATGCGGACCACTTGCTCTATGTGTGGAGGAATGTCCCCATTACACCCTGTCCTTAAGGGATTAATGGTGTATTGAACAAGCTTGATCAGGAATATCTTGGAAGCTGGGGGCCAACAAATTCTTGTTCAAAAAAATCAGGTTTTTGACTCCAGTGATCCCACGATGACGGTTGATCCCAGTTTGGTCATTGACATGTCGGGGCAGGGCTACTGCTCCTTTTGACAAAATCTGTTTGAAATTGGTCAAAATATGTAGGAGCAATAGACAATGTCAATGTTTGTTACTAACTAATGGAGAGACATGATGATTTGTTGAGCTGCTATCCCACAGCTCAAAAGATACACCACCATTAGTGGCATATAACTGCAATAAAATACACAAAACACAAATTAACTTGAATACATGTAACAAAAGCTGAAATTAAAAGAAATGGATGTGATTTGATACAAATTATCTTTTTATACATCAAAATCAACAATCTTTATGAGATAAAAAAAAAAAAAAGGATCACGGGAGAGGGTTGATGAGTTCTTACTGTGAACACATAACATACGAGGCTTTCAATAATGAATAGAGATTTGCAATATTGAGTGATGACATTATTCAAGAACCTAAGAAAATTTTGGATTTTAAATATTTAACATTCGTCATTCAGGAGTGTTGAGGGGAGACAAAAAAATACCAAAGTGTGACATCACCTGTCATTGTTCTGGTTCACTCTGGTGTGAATATGTTTTCACACACTTAGGCTGTGCGCGTGGAGCAGAATACAATGCACACTTTAGGTGCTCTTTAGTTAGCGCCCCCAACCCTTCTGCCTTTGAACCCCTTTGTTATCTGTTCCCTCGTTGATTTGATTGTTGTCAGTTGGTAACGGCTACTTCCTGTACATTGTCTCCAACCTCCAACGTCCACCACTGACCGGTGAGGAGCTGAGAGTGACCTGTGCATTCATCGGTGGCCAGCGGACCTCCCGACCCTGGTGGTCCGGCCCCAGCGACTTCCGCATCCCAACGAACGAAGGTATACCATACTCTTAATTACCAAAAACTTGTGTATTAACCTTTTAGTCACTGTACCGCCCCAAACTGCCATGCCTGTTACTCGCTGTAGCTCCCAGACTGCCCAAGCACTCCTGTGGATCATTGTTTCAATATTGAGTAACCACAGTGTAATACCATGTACTAGTGGTGCTGCTATTGGGTTTAAGGACACACAGAATAATAATACCGGAGTCTTATATAGCACACTTATCTACCAACAATTAGGTACTCAAGGCGCTGGTAATTATGTCTACTTTCAAAGACAGGTAAATGAAGTTTATGAGAAATATGAGACCCAATATGTAGCACCTTTAGAAGGGTTTACAAGGTCCTGTGGCGCATATTGCAGCCACCCTGCCAGAAACACTGGGGCAAACCCCAATAGCGATAAGTGTTACTGGGTTCTTTAACATGCATTACACAACACACGGGACCTATGGCTTTACGTCCCATCCAAAGGACGAAGCAATAATGGTAAAGTGCCTTGCTCAAGGGCACAAGCACCACGTTCCCGGTCAGGGTTCGAACCCATGTATCACGGTACACGAGTTGAACACCGTAACTGTTGGACCCCAGCACCCCACATTGAATATGTTCCATTATGAGTTTCACCTTTTTGGACTTGATGCTCCTTCTAATGCTTTGTTGTGTTTGCTTGTGATTTTGCAGGCGGTCTTCAGCGTGTATTCATACAGAACTTGAACGCCACCGCAACACAGCTCATCTTCAAAGGCGTACGGCCTGCGGACTTGGGCACATACACCTGCAATGTTGGAGTCGTCACCAACACATTCACTGTGACAGTCGTCGGTAAGCAAACTTTCTTTCACATTTACTGCTAAGCAGGACTGATTACTTGAATTCAGTGGTTCCCACTGTGTGTTGAACTTGAACTTGGCGGTTACACACGGCCTGTTGTCGTAGCAAATACCGTTCGGTGTTGGGGCCCCAGAGTGTTGCAAAATATGAAGTTACGGTGAGATCTATCGTACAAATCTTGTACAAATGACTCTCAAGATTTTGTATTTGTGGTGTTTAACTTAATTTTTAAATTCGGCCGACATATCTAAAAATGGTGTTTTTCAGCAATAATCCTGGCATCAAGTGGTTAACAAGAAAATGTTGCTCTGAAGAAAAGAATAATTTTAAGTGTTTAAAAAAGTGTGTCTGCGGACACACTAGACAGACCTGCCAACTAGTATGATTTGGCCGTATTTCTTACGGGAATTTGTTGAAAATACGACTGTACGTTGTTTCCCCATAAAATACAAGTTTTGACCAATTTAGTACGCCAGAAAAAAATCATAGTTCAAAGCGCGCGGCAGCAAGTGCAGATTCTGCTAGAAGTTAAAAACGGCTGCGAGTCAAGACTATGCTAGATATGACGTCACGAGGCCACGCGATCTCGTAAGCTAGGACGTCTGTAATTGGTGCATGGGATGTACATGTACAATACGGCTGTAGGACCGGGCGTATTAACCATTCGAAGCGTTGCATACAAAAGCGCTAGGCATTACGATAGATGAATGGCCGTCATATATGCAGACCGTACCGTGCATGCTCACGATAATTTTGTGATCCTTGCTCTATGGTTTGAGCGTGAATTGAATATCGAAATGGCTTCGACCTTTAAAAAGGATAACCGGAAACAATCATTCAAAGCAGAGTACGCTGAGAAATTGGACTGTATACAACCATCGCAGAAAGGCGAAAATTATGCTCGGTGTACGTTGTGTGGTTTGGACTTGAGCATCGGTCATTTTTTCTAGTCCAGAAAAAATGTTGACATTCACAAGTGCTACCCATCCACTAAGAGCTCAACATCACATTCACAAAATCGGCTGCATGAGAATCACGTTCCAAATGCTGATTGAAAGATTGTACACAAGAGGGTGCGATGCAAAATATGAAATGTATATTTTGAATTGATAGCACTATCAATGGAATCCACCTGACCCTTACCCCCTGTGAGTGATTTATTAGGAATCTTCCTCACGACTGGAAAAATTTAGCACCATATGGTAACTCGATCAACACCCAAATTGTTGGACTCTGATTATGGTGGTATGCCTAACCCCATGTTAAGCAAAATCAGTTTACTAGTGCAGTCCTCACTCCAACAGATTCCAACAAAACAATGCAGTTGGATTTTGAAGGGTTAGGGGTGGATAGGGTTTAAGACCATAAGATTGTTCAGAGGTTTTTTACTCAAGATTTCAAATGTATTATCCACACTAAAAAACATAGAAATAAGCCATTTGCGAGTGACCTTTGCCCTTTGAGATTTAGATTTGAAAAACATCTGGTACACTGACTTGCTCAGAATGATTGGCACATTTTAGCTTTGAATTCTCCAGACCAAAGACACTGTTGCTAATCACATGATTCGGGGCAAGCTCTTGCATAGTTATGTAAGAGACGCTCAGCACCAATACATTGTTCACAATGGGTGAGAATGGTACACAGACCACAGACCATTCCGGAGCTGGGGGTTACTAGCATAAAGCTTACCCCGAATCACGTGATATAGTAACAGTCTCTTTGGTCAGGAGAATGCAAAGTTAAAACCTGCAAAGCATTGGATAAAGTCAGCGTTCCAGATTTTATTCAAATTTAAATCGCAAATGGCTTATTCAGCCTCCACTGGCATTTCTAAACCTTGGTTTTTGTACGTATTCAGAGCCCGAGTGCAACCCAGTGTGTCAGAATGGAGGGGCCTGCAGTCCAGATGGGTGTCAGTGTACTGAAGACTACACTGGAGTCTTCTGTCAAACACCAGGTAGGAACAGAAAAAGTATTCTAATAACAGCAAACTCTGTTAACCCAATAGCACTTGTGCTGCATTGTATTTCATTGTCTTTATTCACTGTCAGAATCAATAAAACTATACAGTACAGGGAGGTTTCAGTTGCAACAGGAATAAGCAGGGCGGGTTTCATGCGCTACAGTGACTAAAGGGTTTAACGAAACTCCTTATATACTTATCTGTGAAGAGATAATCCTCTATAATCTACCACGAAAATGGGCTACAGTCAAAGAATAATTTTCTGGTTCTAGAGGGCCAGCCTAGCATCCTTATTGTACTTATCTGACTGACTGACTGACTGACTGACTGACTGACTGACTGACTGACTCCCCGTCAAGTGTGAGCCAGGCAGTGCTATTGTATAGGATTACCCCATAACGTCCGTGAATAGGTTAAATCCTGCCATTGGGTATTGGCCACATGCATGAAGAGACTGCAGTTCAGTAGCTATTCTGCATGATTGCCTTCTTGTTTCTACTCCGTCCACAGTGTTGTTCAAGTGTAATGGACCGTGCTTAAACAACGGCGTATGTGTGACTGGAGTCTGCCTGTGTGTGGACGGTTTCACTGGAGCCAACTGTGAAACACCAAGTAAGTTGTCAGGTGCACCACAAAGTGACGGATTGTCTATGGACTTTGTGCACACGATACGTCACTTCGTGGTGCGACCGACGAAGTATTTATTGAGGAATCTACCGAACATTGCCCCTCCCCCAAAAAACAAATTCATATCCTTTCACCTGATGATCCTTTTCTTCTGTAGGTGCAAAGTATGTTACCTCTAGGTTCAAATTGTTCTAATATGCATCAGAAGTGTAAAAGTTTTCCTGAGTCAAGCATTTCACCATTAAGAATAAATCCACCATTCTTTTGGGTAACCTTTCATCATTATACTCAGAGCTTGAATTCCCCAGTTTGCTTGTTGAAGTTGCCACAAGTGTAAAGCTTCACAAGAGTTAATGTTTATAATGGGTTCGTTTCTTTTTACCTATCTCACTGATTGACTGACTGACTGCCACCTGTGACTTAGACTGTGTGTAGAAGAGTATATAGAGCTGGGCAGTGCTATCATATAGGATTACCCCTTAACACCAATTAATTGTTCAAAATTGGCCCATATGAAGACCAGATGAATAGCCATTCTGAATCAATTGAAAGAATGTTGTGTTTCTGGAACCAGTTTTAATAGGCTTGCCTTGGCTTGTTTCAAAAGTATTTTAGAAAGTCTGGTGAAATCAGAATACCTTTATTTTTCTCATTGTAGTTGTGGTTGGGTGCGAGCAACCCTGCGCTAACGGCGGCCTGTGCGTGGACACCAAATGTCTGTGTCAGCCAGGATTTACTGGAGAATTCTGCCAAGAAACAGGTAAACGTACAAGAATAACAATTTCGGCTTTCACAAGGTGATTCAGAATGATCTGGACCCAGGTTTACCATTTTTTTTGTGGCAAATAGAGTATATTTAGAAAAAACTTGAATTGAATTTTTCAAATTATTGATTGTGGTGAGGAGTTATGCCATTTTTGATTGAAGTGGCTCGTGGAGCCCAGTGAAGAGAAGACGTTGTGAAGAAATTACAGTTTGAGCTGTAGGAAGAAAACCCCAGAAAAATATTCTGAGGAAAACCCACGGAATCAAGTAGGGACTGAAAAGCAATGGCCCAGGCAGGAATCGAATCAGTCCAGTGATGGAAGGCGAGGACAGTACCGCTACACCAACAATTATCGATCGAGTTGTGCTGGCTATTGTACAGATTATCCGTCATTGGCAGTTACTTTGTACAACAGCTTGCACAAATGGTTTCTCCAGCTTCTCCAAATGGTTTCTCCAGTTTCTGTACAGATGTATTACTATGTGCTTTTGACTGTATTCTGTCTGGTATTGATTTGTATTGTGTGAAGTTAATTTGTATGTAGTGTAACTGTGATACCTTTATTGAAGAGGACTGGAATGGAAATTTTTATGATTTGGGGCGGGGCTTAATGGATGGGCTAATGGAGCATCAACCAATAAATGAACACTCATGAATATGTATGAGGTGAAATAAAAGTTTTTGCATTGCTGTCAGTTCTAGCCTCAGATTGCATCCCTGTCTGTGAAAATGGAGGTAACTGCTCCGATGGGATCTGTGTGTGTGCGGACAAGTACACTGGGGAAACCTGCAACACCAGGGGTAAGAGTCAAAAATGAAGAAGGACCAAAAACAATAAGAACAAAAATACCCCCAAACAAAAACAGTCCATCAAATGTATAAAACTGCAATGTCTAATGCAATTGTCAGTGGCAAGTTGGTATGAAACTAAAAGTCAATCACTACTTTCTAACAACACAGTCAGAAATCAGTCACAATTAAGACAATAAAATGTCAAACACAAGTCCAATTTGAGGTCAATCGCATGTCAAACAAGTCATATCTGACATCAATCATGTCAAACACAAGTCAAATTTGACATCAATTAAAATTTGAGTAATAAATGCCTTCATATTTAAGTATCAGGGTTCGTGTAGTTTCAAAGGAATGCATTTTATGCTACTTTATTTGAAAACATTTGAGACTTGAGTTTGGCTTGTGATTTTCTTGTGATTGGCTTACGATTGACCTGTGAGTGACTTGTGATTTACTTGTGAAGACTGGAAGTTGATTTCAGATTAAGCTGTTTTTGACTTTTACATTTAACTCGCAATCGACTTTGATGTGGTGACTTTGATTAACTTTTTATTGACTTATAATGATATGAGAGTGACTTTTAATGACTTTTGATTGACTTGCAATTGCATTATGACTGACTTGTGATTGACTTCTTATGACATGCTTACAACCTTTCCTGTGCAGCTGTCATCATCTTTTATCATCACTCCTAACATTTATAACATTGATATTTCTTCTTCTGATCCGTCAGTTGATGAGGATTTCATTATAACAGTCATCCCGGTCACCCCTAAACCGCCCTCTATTGGTGACAACATTCGTGTCAGTTGTGAATTCATTGGAGACTCCAACACTCCCCGGCCGTATTGGACTAAACCAGATGGACAGCAGATAGAGTACATCTTGCCAGGTGGGATGTTGTTGTTGTTGTTGTTGTTGATGTTGTTGTTTTTTCACTAACCAGCATGCATGGTAGATATGTGTTTGAAATTTGTTGTGTCTATGCTTAACTTTACTAAACCATGGTAGATAGCTATCCACTTTGGAGAATCATTGGTACATGAGTTGTTTGGGTATTTTGTTTTGTTGTTTACTGCCCTTTCCTGACATTCAGATATTTTTTTATACCTTAAAAGCCAAACGGGACCATTCAGAATAAGCCTTTGTACTAATGACGTCACACCTTGTTTACATGTGCACTTTCCTATGGAGCTTGTGGGGTCCACTGAGCACCATAGGAAAGCACGCATGTAAACAAAGTGTGACGTCATGTATAGTACAGAGGCTTATTCTCCCTCCCTCAAAAGAAGGTTGAAATTTGTTGTGTATATTTTGTTTACTCAAAGCCATAGTCCAAACAGGTTGTTGTTGTTTGGTCTTTTTTGTTTATTGTTTACTTGAAAACCAAATTCCAAACCTGTTGTTGTTGTTTGTTCCTCATTTTGTTTGCTATTTACTCAAATCCAAGCACAGCTGTACTTTTTTGCGTACGAAGGGCCTACCACTAAGATCTTCTTAGGAAGATCCAGAGGGGGAGGGGGTCTAAGCCAGTGTCAAGCTTTCTGTACAGGAAAAAGAGTGCTCAGTAACACCAAATGAGTCAGGCCCTCCAAAAGGATGCATCTGTAGAGGTTACTGCCTCTCTCTCAAGTTGAAAATGGCCTTATTTGAGAACGGGAACACCCTACACACCTCCTGGATCTGCCACTGCTCCCTCCCCACCCCCACCCCCCTTACCACTTAAAAGTTAGTTCCATCTGTGAAAGCATCACTTTTGGAACTTGGAAAAAAGGGATTGTTGCCAACTTTCTCTGATTCCAATATCCTTCATTTCCTTACTTCTTTATTCAGAGCTCATTGGAACTAGACACGTGGGCAGTATTGCTAACTCAAGCAGCTCCACCAGCCTCTTCATCAACGACGTCCGTACCACAGACGAAGGCACTTACACATGCTTTGTGGGACCATTCACCAACACATACACCATCTTGTTTTACGGTGAGGAGTCTTATTTAATATACGGGATATCTTTATTGGAAAAAGTCAATCTGCAACAGGTCTATTGTATCGGGTGTTTGATGTCAGTGTTGTAGAACTTGAGTCCAAAGACTCAATTACTTGGACTAGACTTGATGCTAATGACATGTTACTTGTGAGCCACAGACTTTTATACCAAAATTATCTTTTAAAAACATAATGCTAATATAAATTTCCCTAAAGTAATATTGCCACAACGTTAAGCACAAAAACCTTTGTGTCGCAAATGATAGTGTTTATGATTAAATGCGCGCCCCTCTCTATTTTCGGTGGTTGCACATCACTTGCATATATCGCTAATACATGAAATTGTGTCCATGTTCATGCACATCCGTTTTGTACAATGCTTAGGCCTACGTAATGCAGACTCTACTTATTGTGTCTTCTCTGAATGGATCGATTCATTAAAAGCCCCGCCCAATGGTGTTTAGACTAATCACAGCCGTGACTAATATCCTACATGTGTGCACAAAGGTCTGACGTGCGTGTGCGCTCGTGTGACGCGCACGGATTGAGCATGCAGTGTGGCATTGGAGAGACGCACACATTGGTTGCCCACGTGTGTAGTGGGCATGGCTAAACAGCGCCCAATTTCATTAGCGAAATATACTGCAGCAGAAATTTCCGTGCTTACGGTAGGCGTACTTCACGGGTTAGCGAGGAATTTTGGCTTCTGCGCATGCGTATATCCCGTAACTAAGGATTCTGTGCTTACATGGTTAGTACAGATTTTTTTTGCCAGCACGATTAGCACAAAATGATGATCGTAAGCACGGAATTCTGTGGTAAGCAGAGCCATGAGTTTGGGCCTGGATCTGTCATTTGCTGACTCACCCATCTTGATGTTAATCACTGTTTTTGTTCTCAGATTTCAACTGTGACCCACTCTGCCGCAATGGAGGATTCTGCACCCTGGGGACGTGCCAGTGCCCAGAAGGATACAGAGGTGTAGCCTGTGAAATTCAACGTAAGAAATAATAATAAATTAACAATAAATTACATTTATGTAACGCTGGTGTGTCAAGCACTAAGTACGTTTTTTACCCAATGAGTTTATCGAGGATGAGGTTTGGATATGGAGGGGGGCTGATCCAGACCCAGAGTGCAGGTGCAGCCACTGCAAACTCCCACTGACTGTAACGATTGTTGGTACGTGGGCTTTGGGAAAGTTGAAGGTGTAGATTGGAGTGTGATCGAATGTCAACAGACGATGTTCAAACCTTTAGACAGATGAGGTTGAGGTATTCAGGGGAGAGTCCATTGCTTGCTTTATAAGTGATAAGAAGAGTTTTGAATTGAATTCGCTGAGGGATGGGGAGCCAGTGCAAAGAGCGCAGTATGGGTGAAAATGACCATTCTGGTGTTCCACATCACTACGTCTGCATAAACTATTTAAATAGTGTTGTATCTTATTTTCTCGTTCGTCGGTCAAACTTTTGTTTCTCTGTCTTAGTTGATAGGAACGAGTGCCGTCCACGTTGCGAGAACCAAGGTGTCTGTAGAAACAGGATTTGTGAGTGTGGACCTCAGTTTGTCGGCCCCTACTGTGAAACGACAGGTAAGACTTTGCAACTGTTGACAGCAACATACTCCTAGTAATTGTTTATCTTAGACAAGACGTCTTAATTCATCAAATGTGGATGTCCTGGTTCAAGCAATAAGTAATCTTATTCGTTTGAATTTGAATATGAATATGATATTAAAGTCAGATTGGTAATAGTATTAAGCCTTTATGGATGTAACACAGTTGACAACCCACTCACTTAAGATACAGTTAAATAAGAACAGAAAATTTATCACAGAGTAGTTTGAATGTAACAGCATTGAAATGTTCTTGTGTTCTACATGACGTAAAGGAACTTGTGAAACAATGGATTTTGGAGTTGTGTGATTTTTAAATTATTAGAAAAACCTCACATTTAAAATAAAATCAATCAATTGATGAACACTGTTTAGGAAATTTACTTAAGTTTGTGAAGAACTAAAGCTTAGATTTTGATAATGGGCACTTCTTGAGAGTCAAGCGTGATGTTGGAACCAACAACCCATGGTTAAAGATATTTGAGTACATCCAGCAACAACCCACTAGGGTGGCATGGGTGGCTAGTGCGTATTAACACTCGCCTCTCACCACGCCAAGGTTCGATTCCCCGCTAGAACCATACATGAGTAGAGTTGGGCGTTGATTTTCTCCTGTGCTAAGATATTCTCCAGGCTATCAGGTTTTCCCTCCCTCAATGAAAATCAAGCACTTAACCGATTTCGGGCTGTGCTCCATGGTCAGACATGGGTCGTATGGCGACTGCCAAAGGCGCCTTTACGTGCCAGCGGCTTGATCACATTGTAGCCGCATCCTTTGCAATTCAGCTTCTCAGCTGCGAGTAAGGACGTTTCGCCTCCCAAATTTTTATTATTATTATAAAGACATCAGCCTATCAAGGGTTTTAGCTCCCTACAGTCGTGAAGCAATGTTAAGTCCAGATTAACATTATCATAGTAGTAATGGTAAATGCATATTTCCATTTCTAGTTGGTAATGGGTTCTTCATAACGATCAACGAGAAGCCCTATGAGCAGCTGAGGACGGGGCAAGATGTCACTGTCACCTGTGAGTTTGTAGGAGCAGGTGAAAATGCCGCTCAACCAGCTTGGAGAGACCCTAACGGAATACTCATCAGACCATCCAGAGCCGGTAAGCACTGGAATCATACAAGTTCAGTTCTTTACATTACAAAAATCATGCAAGTTTGGTTCTAAGGAACATTCAGCTCAACATTTAGCTTGGAGAAACCCAAACCCAACCCAAAAACTCAAACTAGGCCTGAACTAGTTCCAGGACTAGCTGGAACCGGTTAGTGCTGGAACCATACAGGTGAAGTACTTCAGTACTGAGTTTATCATACAGTCTGGAGCTGGTAAGATCAGGAATCATACCAGTTCAGTTTTTTTTACCGAACAATTATACAAAATTGGTTCTTATGAATAGATAAGCAACTTGCCTAGATACTCCTAACAGAAACTTGTGAAAAAAAATGGATCTGGTAAACACTAGAACCATTTGAATTTAGTTTTCCTTATTCACGAGACATCAAGCAATTAGCGATCCTTGGAACTGGTGACCAAAACAACTCTGAGAGATCCTATAATACCTATGGAGCTAGTAGTAGGCACTGGAACCATACACGTTCAGGTCTGTACAAAATACAAATTGTATAAGTTTGAAGCTCAAACAAGCCTGGAGATACCATAAAGGAAAACACATGAGACCATCCAGAGCTGTAAGTGCTAGAACCATACTGTGTCAGATCCTTACGCAATCGATATCATGCAAGTTTGGTTCTAAGGAACACTCGGTAGGTGCAACCAGCTTCGATAGACCCAAACAGGATGCTCATCGTACCATCTGTTCCTTATATAATAAAAGTCTTGCAGGTTTGTTCCCTTTTCAATTCCTGAGCCTCCCCTTTTTATCTCAACATTTCAGCTGTAAGCGACGACCGTTTCCGTACAAGAGAAATCTCACCGTTAGTCACTGAGCTGACCATCAGTAATATTCAGCCGACTGATTCGGGCATTTATACCTGCCATGTAGGATCCAGTATCAACACTTTGACAATCGATATAGGAGACGGTAAGTACTTTGTAATTTTACAGACACTGTATTTGTTTTTGTGAGTCCCACAGGGCCAGCCTAGTGCCCTCTTTTATACCTATGTGACTGACTGACTGTAACTGATACCGATTGTAGACTGATGAAGAGAGCCGGGCAGTGCTATCCTGCAGGATACCCTGAGCACAAGCAAATAAGCTAATATTGTCTATTGTGTATACCACATGCATGTGAAGACTTTCAGTGACTATAGGGTGTGAAAAGTGAGCTCAAAAACAGAGATTTTACAAGAATACAGCATATCTGGGCGCCATGTGTAGGATCTACATCATGTGTAACATCCAATTTTTGGCATTTATTTGGTGTCCTGACTGGGCCTATCCAATAGAGGACAAGAATGGGTATGTTGGAAGAAAAGAAAGTATTACGACTTACAACGAGACGCCTGACGCTCAGCCGGAGACGCTGTTGCTAATAGCTTTGGCACAGTCAGGAAGTTGTGGGTACTTTGGGCGCATACCAGGACGATACGCACACACTGTGTGTCCCGTCCACAGGCTTCTCAAAAGTGGTAAAGCGCCCTCTTTTGTTGGCACACAGAGCCCATTACCATCCTGAATCCATCGCCCAGGATTTTGTGTGTTCTTGGACCAGCTTTACTAGGCTTGTCTTGTCTTGTTTCCAAGGTAGCTCAGTACAAATTGCACGCTGAGCAACGGACTGTGCATCAGGTTATTCTGACCATCATGAGCATCTTGTCTTGATGTGACGAAATTGCTCATTGTACTGTGTGGTTGGTTTGTGACAGGTTGTGCCCAGCCTTGTATGAACGGAGGAACCTGCAGCGCTGGAGCTTGTATCTGTCCTGATGGTTTCAGTGGTGAACGATGTGATACACCAGGTATGGATGATGTTATATGGTTGCTAAAAGGGAATGGTAGAGTAGATAGAAATGTGCAGTTTAAAACTGGTTGGGGCTGAGCCCAAGACATCTTCTAACATGTTACTCCATGTTCAGCCCCTTTCTATGGTGTGTGTTGCGCACGGTTTGCTCAACATCTTCTTATTTGAAGATTATATCAGTGGTTCTCAAGCAATTGGTTGTAGTCCTGCATGCGGTACGCATGCTGCGCATGTCTGTCACGGAGCGTGAGGCCCTGCGTCCTGCTTAAACAACAGGTCTTATACAGCACTGTAACTTGCAATTGAGAGGTAAATTATTGATCACAATACTAGAGAATTTCGTACCTGGGAGTTTGTACTGCCCCCGTCCCGGTTTAGAGAAAGTTTGTAGGCTCTGCTGTAGGCTGCCTCTTAAGAATTTGTGATGTGGTGTTGGGATCAAGTGTCCGTAATGTCAAGGATGCAACATCCGGGTCATCCTGCTGATGAAGACCAGAGTTTCGGTCGAAAATAACAGATACGACATTCTCTAGTGTTGTGATCAAAAGTTTACCTCTAAATTGTATCTAACTACCAACACAGATGAACTTTCAGGCTTGCGCTGTAACTTATTGATGCATGTTTAAACATTAAAAGAAATAGTAGTTTGATAACACTATTTTTTTATGAGGAAAACATCAGTATTGGATAAATTTTGAACATGCAGCTGTAAAGTAAGGATTCTCTCTTCAATATTTTTTGGTTTGGCTTTTAATTTTATTGGATTTCCTTCCATTGAAGTGGTTGAGTGTGTCATCCCATGTGAGAACAGTGGCCAGTGTGTGGATGGGGTCTGTGTCTGCTCGGAAGGTTACATTGGGAATCTGTGTGAAGTATCAGGTGAGTTACTGGTTGAGGTGATGTCCCAAGTGGGAATGCTTACCCAATTTGTAATGGTACTTCTGAAATCGTATGTCTTATATTTGTCATGACTGCTCAAATTGTCACTATAGACGAATACAGTCAGGGGAAGACTGTTCACTTACATGTATGAGGCCCCCTTCAATGGAGAAACCATTGTGCATACTGTACAAAGCAACTGCCCCATGATGGATTATCTGAACAATAGCTAGCACAATGTTTTTGCCATTGAAGCGGGGCCTTCATGGTAGACTTGTTATTAGCGTGCCCGGATTGGTCTGTGCAATCAGGTCTGGTTTCTAAACTTGGAAAAGAGATGATTTGTGATGAATGCATAACACGTCATCACATGTTAATGATAGGCAATCATAAACCATCACAAGACATCACAAGTCAAACACAAGTCATCCATCGAATTGCATTTTCCCTTAAGAAGCTTACCAGCAACATAGGTCTGGACTGCTCAGTTGGTAAAATACTGATATGATACACTAGTTTAGCAGTGTTTACAGGTTCGATTCCTGTTCCAACCAGTTTGTTTGTTCAATCTAATGTAAATTTTGATTTCTTATGGGCGCTTCTTTATTTGAATTTCTCTCTTGATTTCTTAATGTGAAGTTGGAGATGGATTCACCATTCACATCATCAAGGATACCTTGGGACCACACCAGACCGGCCAAGACGTGAGTGTGACTTGTGAATACACCAGCGATTCCAACCAGGTGTTTCAGCCGCAGTGGATTGACCAGAACGGACGCAGTATCAACCCCAACACACTAGGTATGAAACTTGGTATGGATTCATGACCGGGTTTTTTAAAATTCGGGTTGAATTCCTTTCTTCAGTTTGGATTTGGGAAACTGAATATTCCAAAACTAACCTTAAAGTCACGTTCCCCATGCTATTTTCAAGTTTTATACCGAAAAATAGATTCATTTTGTGAATTTGTATTTTTCTTGAGTACAGAAGTTATTCACCTTCGAATGAGACATTGACCGAAAAGCTGCCCATGTTGAGTTATTGAATTATTGTCCAAAGTGTGACATTTTCCACCTTGGTACTTTGTAATATGTCATTCAAATATCATTAAGAATGACTTCAAATAAGTTTTTATTGTTGGTTTATTAGTTTGCTATTCATAATCACCCTTGGAGGATGACTGCTTTAAGGAATGCATCAGAAATATAAAATCGTTGACGTCAGATGTAACAGAGACAGGGAAAAAGTGAACCCAAATATTTGTTTGTTTGTTTGTTTTATTTCCATCTGTACTATACACTTGTAGATATAAAACCATTGTAATTGTTAAATAATCTATACCTTGTAATAAGGTACAAATGGGGGTAACATCCAGAGGAGGTATGACCCTCCTGCAGTGGAGTACCAAGACTGCAGTTGATACATTGTATCAAACAATACTGTTGCATGTGAAAATGCATAATACATGTAATAAGTAATGTGCTAACCGTAAGTTGACTATAATAAGAATTTTTAAAGAAAGAAAACAGATTTTAATGTCCTACTACATAAGAACATGAATAACATGTTAAGTTAGTGTAAAGAAAACCTTATACTTCTCCAAATAAAACTCTTTAAGATGACTAAGCAAAAATTCCCGGATGCACTGGTAAATTCATTTCTCAGATTATCAGGAAGGGAGTTAACAATTTTAGGTAGTTTTTTTACGAGAATTGGAGGAGACAACATCCACTCTACAAATATCAGAAGTACGGATAAGATTATCTTGTCTTGTATATAAAAATAAACCATGTCATCAACTTTTTATACCTTCCGTTGATCAGCTTCTGAGTACACACATTATGATTGATAGTATTATTGTTTTGTTGCAGGACGGTTAACGACAGATATTGTCTCACCGACGTCCACTCAACTGACCATATCCAACATCCAGCAGATTGATTCAGGCATATACACATGCGTCGTCGGAACGCGGGTCAACACCTATACGCTCACCATACACGGTAAAAATAATTGCCAATTTTTTTATCCTATAATCTTCTAGGTTGGGGAGTGTGGCGTAGTGGTTAGGGCTCATGATTCATGATCAGTAGTTTATGGAATATTCCCTTCCACAGCAAGGGTCTAAGATATGCGAGCTGGATTGCTGTTCAGTTATGGTTGCTGTGAGTTTTGTCAGGGCTCTGATGCGCCTTTGAAGTTTGAATATTACAATAATGATATTATTATATCAATTTTCAGTAAGGAGGTCGTGGGTTGGAGTCCCATCCGATTGATCAGAGCAACATTGTTTATAAAGTACGTCGGTGAAGGGCAAATTCCCAATCAGTGGCGCACCCAGGATTTGGCTTTTGGAGGGGCTAAAAAAAAATTGCAAAAAATGTTGCCCAAAATTTTTGGCTGCAGAATTTTTTTTTTTTTTTTTTCAGGGCGGACTATTTTGTCGTTGGTGGCGCCACTTACACCCATTTATACTACTCGAAAATAGGCCACATACATACCACCAAGGTCATATCGTGGGACTAAAAATAAAATACCAAAGAAAGCCCCCCAAGTCCCCCCTTGGGTGCGCCACTGTTCCCAATATTGAATTTTAAGTAGAAAAATTGCAAAGGTATTTCACTGGCTTTTAGTTTACTCCAGTTAAATCTCATGGGGTTTTTCAAATGAAATTGTCCTCGTAAATGCTGACAGTTCTTAACAGTTTTTTTTAAATGAAAATTAATAAAACTGCTGCAAAGTGCTTACTGACCGGATTGACCAGAAATATTTACAAAAAAATTAAGGGCCCAACGTTTTGGATCCTGGCATAACTTTTCTCAAAGGCAAAATGGCAGTTTTAAAATGGATTTCATTTATGTTATTTTTTGGTAGATGTTGAAGTGCAGTGCCCCTTGGATTGCTTGAATGGAGGGGTGTGCGTGCAAGGAACCTGCGAGTGCCTGGAACAGTACGGTGGTGCTTACTGCGAATTCGAATGTAAGTTGTATTAATGTTACCAGTGATCATTTTCAAAAGTTCTTAGCAAATTTATGCACTTAGCAAAGTTTAACTGAGAACCAATGACTAGTACTGTACATTGCATGGCAACTTGGCTGGTAACCTGTTTTTGCTGAGCAAACATTTTCTGTACTCAAGCATTTGTTGTGTGAACAGCTCCCATAATTGATCCCTGATGTGTTAACAAGTGAAGAGTATATTTTAAAAATGTGACATACGCCAATTTGTTCCATTTAAGAATTCTGCTCTATCCTGGATGCCCAAAAGCAATTCCGACGGCTGTTATGTACTTAAACACAACTTCAGAATACAATAAGGTGAAAAATGAAGTTAAGAAACAGGTTATACTGTTGATATTCTGTTTCATAACTGTGCACAATTTTCACCTTTTTCAAATGGATATGTCGCATTTTTGGAAATGAACTCTAGTCTTAACAAGCCAATCACAAGCCAATCAGTCTCAGATATTCAGATAAACTGTGATGATGACATTTCCTTTGACAATGTTCATGCCTTGTTACTTGTAACCTGACATGTGAATTGACTTGTGAATGACTTGTGATGGACTTGTGATTAACTTGTGATTAACTTGTAATTGACTTGTGATTGACTTGTGATTGACTTAGGGATTGACTTGAGATTGTCTTGTTATTGACTAGTGATGGACTTGTGATTGACTAGTGATTGACCAGTGATTGACTTGTGATTGATTTGTGATTGACTTGTGATTGACTTGTGATTGACTTGTGATTGACTTGTGATTGACTTGTGATTGACTTAGGGATTGACTTGAGATTGTCTTGTTATTGACTCGTGATGGACTTGTGATTGACTAGTGATTGACTTGTGATTGACTTGTGATTGACTAGTGATTTACCAATGATTGAATTGTGGTTGACTAGTGATTGACTTGTGATTGACTTGTGATTGACTTGCAATTGTCTTGTTATTGACTTGTAATTGTCTTGTGATGGGCTTCTGATTGATTTGTGACTGACCTGGCACAGACTTACGATTAAGCTTCTTGTGACTTGTAACTGACATGTGATTCACATGTGATTGACTTGTGATTGCATACAGTTAGCGAATCCTCGTATTTTAGTCCATTTTTCAACAGGAGCATGCAAGTCACAATTGACAGCCATTAAATATCCGACCGGCTTATTCACTTAAGACTGGAATAGGACATAGGGCAGTAGAATCCAGATTGTATAACTAGGTCCAAATTACTCGAAAAATTCACCACACTAGTTTTTTGTCAACAATGTTTTCACAGTGACACAGTGCGATTTCCCCTGCGCCAATGGTGGTGTCTGCATTGAAGGGGTGTGTTCCTGTGTTGGTGGCTACGAAGGCGATTTCTGCCAGACATACGGTTCGTTCCTTCTAATCAAAATCTTAACCCAGCCGAGTTATATTGTGTAATGTTATTAATTCCCTGAAGAATCCATACAACCATTTAAGGTCGCAAGCAGTTTGGGAATTTACAGGGAAAAGGCAGGGCCCTTGCAGAATGATACGGGGAGTAATGGGTCAAGGCAATATACATAATTTTATTCAGTATTTTGTGTCACATTTTCAAATGAGGTTTCGTGCTTATGATTATTAATCCCTGTTAATCAGGCCATGATATGCAGTATGCGGAGCATATAAAGATCAGTTCAATCAGTTTACAACCCTAGAAGGTAGCCATTTATGCTCCTTGATAGAGATGGGCTATTGCAGTAATGTACCTTGCCCAAGAGCACAAGCACAATCCATTTGGAATCAATCTTGCATACCTCCTCAAAAAAGTTAGATGTAAGCAATGAGCCATGGCACTCCCCCCATTTAAAAAAAAAAAGACCTTTATAATTCCTTTTCGAAGGAGCTTCCAAATTCTTACTTTTATCAATTTGATTTTGATTGCAGTGATACCAGAAACCGATATCATCATCACCATCACACCACAGAAGGACATCCTGCCAGCCATTGGCCACAACTTCTACTTAGTATGCGAGATTGCCAACAGCAACGCCTACCCTCAACCAATCTGGATCACGCCCACTGGAGAGCGGGTACCCGTTGAAGCGGAAGGTAAGAATTACAAGTCCATCTCCTCACTATTTGAATGTGTCGTATAACTTGGTCAAGTATCAAGCTAACTTGATACTCGACCCTGCAACTTGATACTCAACCCTGCAACTTGATACTTGACCCTGCAACTTGATACTCGACCCTGCAACTTGATAATCCATTCTTTAACTTAATACGCGAACCTGTAGCTTGATACTAAATCCTTTAATTTGATATTAGACCCTGTAACTTGATACTCGATCCTGCAATTTGATACTCGATCCTGCAACTTGATACTTGACCCTAAAACTTGATACTCGATCCTGTATCTGATACTCAATCCTGTAACTTGATACTCAACCTGGTAACTTGATACTCAACCTTGTAACTTGATACTCGATCCTGTAACTTGATACTGGGCCCTGCAACTTGATACTGGGCCCTGCAACTTGATACACGACCCTGCAACTTGATACTCGATCCCTTAACTTGATACTTGACCCTGTAACTTGATACTTGACCCTGTCCCTTGATACTCAATCCTGCAACTTGATACTCAACCCTATGTCCCTTGATACTCAACCCTGTCCTTTGATACTCGATCCTGCAACTTGATACTCGACCCTGCAACTTGATACTCGACCCTGCAACTTGATACTCAATCCTGTAACTTGATACTCGATCCTGTAGCTTGATGCTTGACTCTGAGTGCTCTTCTCTTCTAATTATCGACCCCTATATCTTCCCAGGAGGACCCTCGCCATCCCATCACATGGCGACTGAGTCCATCTCTCCTACAGCCACCAAGTTGATCCTGAATGGCCTCATGAGGGAAGACTCAGGCCTTTACACCTGCCTGATTGGCCCATACAGGGACTCCATACCCCTCATCATATACAGTGAGTACCCCATGAGTTGATGCCTTGTAAGGGGCTCATTCCCACAGCATAGCTGCCAACTAGTACGATTTTTTCATAATTATTACGAATTATTTGTTAAATTACGAAAATACGATTTGCCACTAAAACATTACGAATTTCCTATTTTCTACCTAACGAAAAAAAAAATGTAAAGTATCGTTTCTGACCGAAACTTCTGGCGAAATGTCGCAATAATGGATGGACTGGTGACAAGTCTAATAAGAATGCAGTCAAGCACCTGATAGACACCAATGCAGTGTGCGCAGTGGAGTACTTGAGGACCAGACTAAAAATATTTTTCAATGGTGTGTCATTTGTGTGCATCTCGTGGATGTGTGGTTGTGTGTACTGTATGTGAGTGCTTTTCAGTGACGATCGTGAGCACATTTAGTCGCTTATTGCCGGGATGAGACCCATCAGTGCGAGATTTTAATCATGGAATTTAATAAGAGTATGGTTGGAATAATTGGTAATAGAGTTTGAGTTTGTCAAAACGGACAGAAAAGATAAAATCAGCTTGCGTTTGCAAGGTATGTTGGCGGGATATTTCTATTGCATACGGTGGCCATAGATCATTGTGTGTAAAAACATGATACGAACTCGAAACTCAACATCGATAGCATGCATCTCCAAAAAAATATGCGCACATGTTATTGATTTTATTATTTATTTGACTTCAACAAACAAATACAGACATTAAAACAAAATTTATTAAAAAAAAAAAAAAATTTTTTTTTTTAATTTTTTAATTTTTTTTTTTTTAATTATCTTTTGGCCTACAGTACATTATTATTTACAACAAGAAGGGTATGCACATGTATGTGTACATGTAAACCATGTACCTGTACTCGATGTTGGTAAAGCTTTCGATAAAACGAGAAGTTGAAAATGACCGCGCGGGTTGATTACTAATTGGGATTTTGAAATGTTGGCAGCTATGCCACAGAACCACGAGGCCTTATCACACTGGAGCTCCTCTACCTGGGGTGAACTCAACCCTGGGCAAACCCAGCTAGTGCCGCTCCGGGTTGCAATTTTCCCTGCATCATTTCACACTTGTTTTGTACAAATTGAGCTTATTTCCATCGGTTTCTACTGTTTTGAACCTAGGTGAGAACTTCAACCCGGTTTGAAAATCACAAACTTGGTCTGGAGCAGGGTTGAATTCAACCCGCGGCGAATTCAATCTCGGGAGGGTTGACGCAGGGTTGAAAATTTTCAAGTGTGAAACACTGCATGTCTACCCCGAGATTTGTCTAATGTGAAAAGGCCTATTGAAATGGAAAAGTTCCCAACCTCGTTCCCAGGGTATGCTCTCAACCTGGATACAATAGTAGACCCTGGCAGGGAAACTCGTTTCCGGTATTCACATTTGATCATGCAATTGCAAACAATGGATTTGTATTGTGTACTGTGTGATTATAGATCCAATGTGTATTACGTGTTTCAACGTTCATTGTGAATTTTTACGTCCAATCATGGGCGTAGCGAGGAGGGGGCAAGGGGGGGCACTTGCCCCCCCCCCCCCCCCCCCCCGAAAGGAAAAAAAAAAAAAAAAAGAAGAAGAAAAAAAAAAGAGAAAAAATAAAAGAAAAAGAGGGGCGAAGACAAAGTGGTGTAAATTTAATGTTGGGGGGGGGGGCAACATGTCCCTGCCCCCCTCTAAAACTGATAAATTGAGAATATGTTGAGAAATGCAAGCATTTTTGGCAAAAAAATTGTTTTGCCCCCCTCTAGAAAAAATCCTGGCGACGCCCATGCGTCCAATCCTCATAAACATTGCTCCATTTTCCATGTTCCATGAATCATATACAGTAATCACATACATGAGTTGATCTGGCTTTTCAAAAACCAATTTTAAGGCAATGCTTCTAGCTAAAAAGTTGCGTTAAATCTAGCAGAAAAGTTTTATTAACCTGAAGGATATTGCATGTGCTTCACGACTTGTCTGTTGAATTGTCAATTATTTATTTTTAGATTTGTATTCTGTAACATATGCCACCTAAAATAACTGCCTACAATATGCCATTAGTTTGTTGCAGGAGTCACAGCATTATATACATTGGGCAATTGTACGAAAAAGTGTGAAGACTTGTTAGATATCTCGTGCAATGTAGCAGGCATGATTTGAGCTATGCCATTTAAAAAAAAACTGAAATCTACAACCTAGGGCCTAATGAGATCGGTTAGATGAAGTCTTGAATTTATTCATCCGACCCTTTATTGGTTATTTTTCCTCAATTCTAGAGCTTCCCTGTTCGCCAGTTTGCCAAAACGGTGGAACCTGTGACGACGGGGTGTGCCTGTGTCCAACTGGCTTCACTGGCAACCACTGCCAGGACAGAGGTAAGCAGCTAAAGATCACTGGTAGTCTGTCCTGTTATTGATTAAAAAAAATAGCTTGTGGTCCAGAACCTACATTGTGTTCGATTGTGTCATGGTACATTGGGTTTGAAACCTGACAGCGAACATGATGATTGCGTTCTTGGGCAAGACACTTTACTACAATTGCCTCCCTCCACCCTGGAGTATGAATGGGTACCTGTGAAGGTGAAGACCAGTTTGCGTTGATCTCGAGCTGTTGCAGAAAATGGTCTCATGGCCTGATGAACTGGGTTTATTTGTAAAGTGCTTTGAGACCTTTGGTACAGAACGCTATATAAGCACCGCATTATTGGTATCATTATTTTGTAAGTGTTAGTTTCAATATGCCATTTGTAAATTAAAAGCATGCCTTTGTTCCTACTGTGATATTTTTTCGTGAAATACATTTTTATTTGTATTGTGCCAGGCTCTCTCAAGTGAGAAATTGCCTTTTTTGAGAATATGTTTTCACGGTCAGCATGAAAGGTATGCTGATGTTTGGGGCCATTGAACATTTTACACAAATGACATTTAACTGGCTTGGTTGTTTTAAATATTGTTTTCTTTTACTCGTAGATTTGTAGTCCTTATAAGTCCTCTGAGGTCCATCAAAGTCAGTCTGAAGTTAGAAGCTTTTTAACTCTTAAGTAATGACCTCCGTCTAGAAAATGAAAATAAAATAAAAAATAAAGTCTGTCATGAAATTGTGACACAAAATTGTTTCCTTGGCATTAAACAACTGAGAATACTCCCTGGAAGATGGCAGTACTCATTTATACTCCTGGGTGGAGAGAGGCAAGTTGGGGTGGAGTGGCTTGCCCAAGGACACAACATATGACCAGCAGCTGGATTCGAACCCTCTGATCATGAATCTCAAAGCCTTACCACTAGGCCACACTTTCCCTCTAACTAGAAAGGCTTTCCAATATTATTATCTATTCATGTTACTTGTTACATGATATTAAATTTGACTCAACTAGAACTTGTTAAGGAATACTATAAAATGATGACCTATTTACATTACATATTTACATTTAAAATTGGTTTGCTTGTGGTTTGTTTTTCTCTTACAGAGCAGCAACGGCTGACCATTCGTGTAACGCCCAACATGCAAGAGCTTCCCAACGTAGGCGACCACTTGCGCGTCACCTGCGAGATAATAGGCACGGACCAGTTCGACCCACCACAGTGGCAGACACCGGATGGCACTGTCATCCCTGAATTTGTCATAGGTGAGGCGTACAAAGTTGTTTTTATTATGTAGATTGTTGAATCCATTTTCATGAATAGACCCTTAGTTTCAATGGGAAACTCATGTTTATTCATGAAAAAAAGGAACATTGATGTCCACACCATTCTTGTAGAATTTAGGCTACATTCCCTAGTATTTTTAAGGACGGATGTCATTGAGCTACCACAATAGCGAGGTGGATAGTGAGATTAACAATGGATCTAAAGATCCCTGGTTCGAATCCATTGGTGTCCTTTTTACGGTGTTTCTCCTTCAAATTGTTTATGTGGATAATATTAATTTAAGGGAAAGATTCTGAGAAATGCAGTAACAGAGAAGAAATGAAGATTCCATATCGCATGGTTTGAACCCATTACAAACTGTGCTACATTGTATTTATTCCCTATTGTATCAGTGAAACAAAACATGCTTGGGCATTTTATTTCAGCAGAGAGTAATAGGTTGGGAGGTTTGATTTTATAAATGCAGTGACTAGTGAGTTTACCCATGTACTACGCATCTTGGAATAGCGTGATACATGATACGCAGAGTGCGATATCGACCGTGCTATTATGTATAATATCACACTGTAGTCACCATGGATTGACCAATCAGTTTCTAGGATTCAAGTTTGCTTGAAGATAAAGGGATAAATAGCTTTGGAGGTTTCTGGAGCTATAATGAAACATTCATAGCATCTACATTTTTTACCACCAGCTTCGGATCAGCGTGTCGGCGTACAGTACCTGACTCAAACAGCCACCAATCTAGTCATCAACAGTATCCGGTCCACAGACACCGGCCTGTACACCTGCAGCATCGGGCCTTTACAAGGGTTCTTCAACGTAGGGGTGGAGCAGCCGCCAACCTGCGAGGTGGTCTGCGAGAACATGGGCCTGTGCTTGGGCCGGGAGTGCGAGTGCCCCCAGGAGTTCGCTGGCCCTCGTTGTGAGATCAGAAGTAGGTACCGATTGACACTAAGACATTAACACCTGTATTACTTTGTATTACATTGTATTAATTTTTTATGAACCCTGCTACTGTTTGAACAGTCACACACAGTCAAAATTCCATCTTCATCCCAAGCCATACCTTTTACACAGGCTAGTCACCAACAGTCAGATGAGATTTCAAGCAAGCACTCTAATAGTCAAATTGAGTCTACAGACTAAAACAGGCAACTGCTGGGCACAGTCGTCTTATCAATCACCTACAGTCAAAGCATATATGTATCAAGTTACATAATCAGTCACATCCAGTTAATCATGCTTTTTGTGGACTAGGAGCTCTTAACTGTTGGAAACAGTCAATTTGACTGCAATAACAACTTGGCACAGAATGTATGTGAGAGTAGGAGGGTTAACCACATGGACTCAGTGCACTAGTACCCCTTCAATGGTTATAGAGGGAGAGTTGGGAGGGATGGCCAACAAACAGGACAACAATTGTCAGTGCCTTTATGCAAAGTTATAACTTTCCCCTGACAACAGATACAAATAGAAATATATGGCATCTAGATATTAACCATGCAGCTAAGCCCTAATGTACTATGGACAGTAGATCTTGCTTCGTAACCACCCATGGGGGACACAGATGTGCGCAGTCTGGTTCATATTAGCAGGCACAGAAGGCACAAGGAAGAAGGTGTGGATAATTTTATTCAATACATAGGCAAACCTGTAGTGTCTTTAACCCTGACAGAACTCAACCCATTAAACCCCAACGGCATGTTTTGTTGGAATCTGTCAGAATGGGTACAGTACCCCTAAACTGACAGTCTTTTATATTGGGTTGGCACACCTCCAGAATCAAAGTCAGAAATATGTGTTTGCAGTTTCCCATATGGTGTTGGAATTTGCCAAGATGGGCATGGTTTCTAGTAAATCATGCTAGGAAGTTAGGGTTAATTGAGTGTTGACCCATCAGGTGAGTGGTTTCCCCTAAATTTCTCTGTGGAACTGTTGTGTGTGGAGTCCACATCAGTATAAAACAATTTTTGTGGTTTGCCACAGCTGCATTTCATGCCTTGTTGTTGAGAAAATATTTGCTTCACACAGGCTAAATGAGGTGCTTTGTTTTTTCTACTTAATGTATTAGTTGGAGCAGACTACACCATCACCATCACTCCACCCAGCAACCCAATCCTTGTGACTGGCGCCCATGAAATCACTTACCTGTGTGAGATAGAAAGCCTGCGTCGCCTAGCCCGGCCAGAATGGGCCGCGCCGTCCGGAACACTGATTGCACCAATAGAGCAGGGTGAGTTCATTCCTAATAAGGGTAAGACAGGAGGGGGGGGGGGGCTTTAGTTACAATATAAAGCCCATAATGTTTTTCTACGCATACCTTGGCCAGAATGGGCCGCGCCATCCGGAACACTGATAGCACCTATAGAGCAGGGTGAGTCCATTACCAACAGGGTGAGATGGGAGTTTCAGTTCGATATAAACAACACAATTTTTATCTTCACATCTTACCCCAGCCCAAAAGAGCCATGCCATCCAGAACTATGATCATACATAGAGCAGGTTGAGTCCATTACCATACAGGAGACATGAATTTTAGTTGGATACAGCATGAAAAGATAAATCGTGTTGGCAGAGTAGAAGTATAAAACTTGGTACTTGGTAGGTTCTCCTCAATAGGACTCTGCAGGGAAGTTTTAACAGGAGGCCAACATATAATGTGAAGAAACTACCCGTATGGTACTCAGTCTTTTCTCTTTTCTTTCTTGATGGAATTTTTCATTGTTGTTTTGGACTAGAATTTATGACCGCCTGCTTACTTGTGCAGATATCTAATTAACAAGTTAACCACGAAGCTTACAGAAGTGAGCTGTAAATTAATACGATGTGGTGCTGTGAAGCCCTGTGGCCTCACGGTCTGGAGCATTAAAATCAAGATCTGTGGGAAATTCTGTAAGTAGTGGGTTCCCTTCCAACCTGGATTGTGGTGTGTGTGTCCTTGGGCAAGACACTTTGTCACTATTTGCTTCTCTCCCCTCATCATTAGAGAACTCTTGCTTGGAATACAAGTATGGATGCCTCTGGAAACTCTGTATACTTGAATTACAATTTTCTCTTAAATTTCCTTTTGTTTTAAATTTTCGGCAGTTGGCAGCATCGGCCGACTTGGGGTTGAGTACATCGACAGTCGCTCAACTCGCCTCATCATCCGAGACCTGATGCTGGAAGATAGTGGAATGTACACCTGCTATATCGGGCCTCTCACCAACTCCGTCATCATCACTGTCCAAAGTGAGTAGGGCTTCACTGAATATTCATATTATTATTTGAATATTCAATATTCAAATACTTGTTGCATGGATAAAGTTGAAAATGTACTTTTGCTACATTTGGCCTCTCACCAACTCAGTCATCATTACTTTGCAAAATAAGTGCTGAGGCGGCCTTGCTGAATATTCAAATATTCAAATAGTTGATAAATTATTCAACATCCTAATAAATAACTTGGATTAACCACTAATATTATGTACAAAGAAAGATAATGTACACTTGCTACATTGGGCCTGTTGTTTTATACTGAGGTCTGATTAATTTAAAATTCCGAAAAAGTCCTTTGCTCTGCTGATAAATAGACATAGATTTCTAGTTTTTTCTGTCTCAAATCCAGTCGACTTTGTACACATTTTGTCCCCTTACCATCACTTTAGACATTTTAACGACTCATATTTAAGTAAAACTTGGCACAGACGAAGACCCTATTATAATTTGTGCATTGACAAGTTACATCATGTATTGGAAAGACGGCACATTGTGTCAAATTAAAAATGCTTTTTTCAAAGCCTATTATCTAGAAATTCAAGTAATGGAATTGTCATTAGGTCTGATCATCATGAAACTTGCTGGGTACAAAGGAAATGTTTCTAAAGCACAAACTACAAAAGTAACCTGGGCCCAATTTCATGGCTGTGCAAACCACAGAATTTCGTGCTGACGATCACCATTTTGTGCTAACCATGCTAGCAGAAAAATTATGTGCTAACCCTGTAAGCACAGAATGCTTAGTTACAGGATGTACGCATGCGCACAAGCCAAAAGTCATCACTAACCTGTGAAATACACTTACTGTAAGCACAGAATTTTCTGCTGCAGTAAGCAGGGATTTTTCGCTAACAGTAAACAGGGCCAAGAAATTGGGCCCTGATGTCATCAATTGATTTTAGTTTTGAAAAATATTGTATTTTTTCCCCCCACTTTGACATCTAAATTGGACATCTTTCAAATTAGATTGACTTGAAGCTGTGCATATTTATCATGAAAGCAAAATTGTCCATTGTAATTTGCAATTTGTCATTTGTATTTGCCCATACGACAAGGCATGATTTCTTAATAAACTGTAAAAGCAGAAAATGCCTGTGTTCTGTTAGTAAATTCTGTTTGGTTTATTTTTCAGTGCCCTCCTGCCAGTTACCATGCCAGAACGGCGGTCATTGCACTAATGGTGTGTGCGAGTGTCCGCGAACCTTTACTGGTCCCCAGTGCCTGACACCAGTGGTCACCTGCTTGCAGCCTTGCGTCAATGACGGAGTCTGCCTGAATGGGGCCTGCCGGTGTCCCACGGGATTCCTAGGTTCAAGATGCGAGACACCAGGTATAGATTTGCAGTGTTGTAGCTGAGTCCATCACAAGTCCCTGAAAGTCCCCACAAGTCCTCACAAGTCCCCACAAATCCTAACAACTCATGATAAGTCCCACAAGTCCTTGTAAGTCCCCACAAGTCCTCACAAAACCTCCCAAGTCCCCACAAGTCCTCACAAATTCCCACAAATCCTCACAATCCCTCCCAAGCCCTCACAAGTCCTCTCGAGTCCTCTCAAATCCTCACAAGTCCTCTCAAGTCCTCACAAGTCTTTACAAGTCTTTACAAGTCTTCACAATCCTGGCCAGTCTGCACAATTACTCACAAGTCCTCACATGTCCTCACAAGTCCCCAGAAGTTCTTAAAAGTCACCACTAGTCCTCTCAAGTCAATCAGAAGTCATCAATTCTCAAGTCAAGATGACCAGTCCCAAGACTAGTAGATTTGGATGTTATTCCCAAATAATTCCCTTCGTATTGTCTCTATTTTGTTGTAAGTATTGCAAGGACCCAGTCATCCTGGAGATGTATCTGATATAGATATCACTTAATTCAAATTTTTAATATTCATGGTGTTGAATATTCATGTTTCAGTGTGAAGCTCCACCCTTTTCCTGACCCAAACTCTATCTGTTCCCCTGTCCAGCATGTCTTGATTGTTTCTGTAATCTGTTCATCAAGGATCCCATTTTTTTCAAGCAACAATGAAAATAGACATCACTGAATCCATAGTTTATGTATCAAGAAAAATGTTGAATATTCATCAGGTTTCAGCATGAAGCTCCACCCAGTTGGGGAGGTGATTCCAGAGATAGGGCGGACCATCAGTTTCCTGTGTCAGATCACGGGTGAGATACCAGACATCCGACCAAGATGGCGTAGAGAGAACACAGAAATACTGCCTCTGTCAGAAGGTATGATAGTTCATTTCAAAAATGCGATAAAACACAATCTCTCTCCTGGCTGCCCTAAATAAAATTTGAGTTTAGAAACAGCTGTTTTATTGTTATAAGGCTTTAAAATTTCATAAAATTGGAAACTTTTCCTTTTTTTTTTCAAATGGACATACAGTAAACTCCGGCCAAGTCGACATTGTATAACTCATGATATCGCCTAAATTGGCCGTCTGACGAAAGTGCATAATCACATACTGGGCTCAAATCACATACAACCTCCGAACAACTTTCATTATCCCAGTCCATAGTGAATACTAAGGCTGAATGTTCAGTGAGTCAGATAGCACAATTTATTGGCCCGTGGACCTCAACAGAAGAAGTCTCTGTACTGATAACGTCACACTTTGTTTACTAGGTTGCCTTTTTAGGAGGCTATGAAACCGTCGTCCCCACAGGCTCCCATAAGGAAGCACACGTGTAAACGTGAGATGTCATCAGTACAGAGGTTTAAAGGACTCAATATTGTCAACTTTGTTTGTCTTATGTCTGTATTATCGTCCATTTTCCCCCCAGGTGGTACAGCTCATGTGTTCACCTCATATGTCAGTCCCTCAGCAACCCAACTTACCATCCAGGGCATAGAATCAACAGATGCGGGCTCCTATATCTGCGATGTTGGCCCGGTCATCGCTACCTTCAAAATACAAGTCCAGGGTAAATCACATTCTGAAACTTTGTTTCTTTTACTTGACAGTGCAGGCCTTGAATTTTATGTGGTTTCCAACTACCATCTGTGGACACTGTTGGCCTGTTTGTTTCATTCCTGATCCTGATCGAGATCATGTGATCCAGCGCCGTGCCAAAACAAACAGCACCACTCTCGCTCGTCTATCCTAATACACATGAACACACTAGGCAAATGTGGACTGCTTCAGATTTTGTAGGCAAAAGGACTTTTTTATGATAAGCTATCTAATATTTCCAGAAAAAGTAACTCAAACTTGTATTATTTTTAATAAGGAAAATACATTCTAAAAGAATTATGAGTACTTTTGTCACAAAAGCTCATTTGATGATTTAAATCTACAAAACAATCTCACTTTTTCTCTTTCATCTTGCAAAATCACCACGTGAGCAGCATCCATTAACACGTGATCCAGAACAGCTATCAACATGTCGGATCATCAATCGCAATCCAGATTTGCACCAAACAAACAAGCCCTGTGTAAATACACTAGGGGTGCACCCAAGCGCCAAATATCTTCCCATAGATTTAGAGACCGGTGATATATCCTCATACCTCAAAATTCTTTTAAAAATACTCGGAACTTTCACCAGAGTTCAGGCTGCACAGAAAAATGATGATCAACATGTCATGTTTCATTTTCCATTCACTTTTGGTGGGTCAATCAATGACTTTTTGAGGTATTCTTACCCAAAGAAGACCATCCCTAAAACGAATATTTCCCAAACTCAGTGGAAAAGTAGCCATTTTGAAAAAGGAGCCATCCACAACATAGCTGAATATAGTGACACTTTCGGACTCCATTGCTTAAAAAATGCTCAGAGTTGGAAGCCCTAAATCCAGGCCAGAGGTGCAGTGCTAGATAGCTTCAATCCCCTAATTCCATGGTTCTCATTACTGTAAATATAGAATAATGTGAATATATAGCTTTTATTTATGAGCTCGGCAGATGGATGAATTTTTGGCCTATTTAATACTGCACCCTTATGGTTGTCCTGATCATTTGGTGTGCCTATTATGCACTTTTTTTGTTTTTGGTGGGTCTCACCGATCAGACTGTTTTCCTCTTCATACCTATTTCACTGACTGACCGAATTACTGATTGACAGACTAATTTCTCTTGTGACTTGATACACAGGTTGTGAATTGAAATTAACTGTGAGGGCTATTTTGTGGATAATTACTCTAGGCTTATCCCACAAAGTTTAAGTGCATTTTTAATAACCTTACCCCCCAAAAGATACAGTGGACAGACATAGAAGGGTTATGCAGTCATCAAAGTTTCACTGTCCTCTCAATCAGGAAAGTCTCTAATAAGGAGCATTTCATAGATACTGTTGTGTTGAAAAACCCATGAAAACAAAACTGTTTCTTTGTAGGCTTAGAGATTTAAGTTTGAAAAGCCATAGCAGGTATTTTGATTATTTGTGTTTCCTTTAGAGTTGCCGTGTCGAGAGGAATGCCAGAATGGGGGCACGTGCATCAGTGGCGTGTGCCGGTGTCCAGAGGGCTACTCAGGCACTGCTTGCCAAGTTGAAGGTAATTATATTTGTTTATAAAAATGTGGCCAACAGCTTCCCTAGATCTTATCATGCCAGGAAGTGACATTACCTTTTATGCAGGTATTTACCCTTTCAGGTTCTCATTTTAGCTCCTGGGTTGCAAAAGACAATTTTGGTAAAGTACCTTGCCCAAGAACACAAGGTGATCCTCTCCTGGATTTGAACCCACATATAAGCAAGACACCATACTTCAATCATGCATTTCATTTTGTAATACCATTTCTTTTCTCATATTTTCAGGTCCTCAGAACATAAGGATTCAGATCATTCCCATCCGTCCCGGAGTACCCAGAATCGGAGAGGACATTGCTTTCACTTGTATCATCCTCGGCCCAACTCCGTTTTTGAACCCAACTTGGAAGGCTCCAGGAGGACAACCCATAGCCCGAAGGAATGCTCTTGGTTAGTTCATTTGCACTTATTTTTTCCTGTTTTTCTTTTTGGTAGAAATTTAAATTTGCCGGCTCATTTGTTTGCTTGTTTCTATAGTGTGTATGAATTTCCATGCGAATGGCTGTCAATGGGCCTCAGCCCACCTAGACATGACTTGCTAGATCTCAAATTCTGGGTAGCTTTGACGTGAATTGCCAGTCATTTTTACATGGATGGAGAGCTGGATAGTGTGGCTACATTCTCAAACACGTTTGAGCTCCTTAGACCAAATATAAGTGGAGAAAATTGGACATACACAATACATGTTTGGCCATGATTCTTTGCATGCAGGATTTTCTATGGGACTGCCTGTCACCGGGCCTCAGCCACTCTGACATGACTCGCTATATCTCGACTTTGGGGTACCTTCTGACTAGAAACTGCCAGATATTTTGTATGATAGAGAGTTGAATAGTACGTCTACAGCATTCAACAAATGTGAGGTCAATGGACTAAATAACCTTTGATACAGCTGGCTATATTCTTTGTAGTAGTACATTTCCTGCAAGTTATACAGGAATGAAGAGCTGGATAGTGTGGCTACAAAATGATACAAGCCAGAAGTCTGTATCCCAAATACTTGATGAGAAACTTGAAACAATTTTGCACCCATTTTCTATAGTGCGGAGGAATTTCTGCTGAAACTCCCGTCAGCCGGGCCCTAGTCCCGCAATGCAATCCCTGGATAAATCTGTGTTCAGATATCTGAGATCTATAGGGTCATCGTCTACGACAGAACCAAAACTCTCGTCTCTTTTAGAATTATCTTTCTTGTTACTGGAATACCTTTGTCAGAGTTCATTTGAATAGTTTGTCACTTGACTTCAGCCATTTCCACTCGACATTGACTTTGTAATGACTGTGTGTTGGAATTTGTCTCGATTACTTGATTGGAAGAGCATCCTACTTCTTCTTTTTTTCCAGGTGTAGATGGCACAACTGCCCGTTTATCAGAAGAAGCGTTGACTTCGACTGCCACCACTTTGTTCATCAACAGCGTGTCTTACGATGACGCCGGCATCTACGTGTGCATGGTGGGGCCGGTCATGGCAAACTTCTCGCTGGAAATTAGTGGTAGGCTGTTCATAGAACTTTAAAAAGATGTGCGAGGTTTTATATTGTATTTTGGACAATATTTAGGATTCGCAAGACAAAGTCGCTCCATTTCCAGGATGTCATGTCTGTTAGGTGCAATATTGAGGTACTGTATTGATTTTCCATATGCGGAGAGTTAACTGTAACCTGAACTACATTGTATTGCTTTGTACTTATTCCATGAAGAATCTATAAAACCATAGTGTTGGGGCAGTTATAGGGTGAAGGGATGCGCAGTGAAGCGGTAAAGCTGTCTGGGTCTTTGTTGACAAGTATTCATGGTAATTGCCACCTGTACGAGCTGTTATCACGCATCTAACCAGGAGTTTGGCAGAGTTGTTAATCCTTGTGTGTAGGATCCGTGCTCAAATCAAGTTGAGTCTTGTGATCAGAGGCTGAACTCCAGTTGGGTCATTTACTCGCAGCACCTCAAGTCGAGTAATTTTTTGCTAGATAATATGACATCAGTCGAGTTGAGTCACTGAAAACTTGCAACTCGAGTCAGACTCGATTCAAGTCATTGATTCGAGTCATTGCAACTCTGCAATCCACGGTAAATTTTGTTGAGCCGGGCTAAGCACATCAATTTTGTAAGAACGGAATATATTTGCTAGGCAAAAAAAAAAAAACCCAGAGTACCTGCAAAACATGTCATTAAGTGGGTATATATTGCTTCAGACTGGTATTTAGCTAGTCACATTTAATGTTGCATAAAATAAGCAGTATTTTCCACTTCATAGAACCACATTATTTTTGAGAAAATATGGGCGATATAACTATACAATTTTCTTTTTACAAACACTAGAAAAATCCTCTTTTTTTATAAAATTCATTATCCTGTTTTGGCATTCACGGATGTATTTTATGAACACTGTTCGGTGTTGTCCCGAATACATGTGAGAAAAAAATTCACAAACTGGGCAAAACCCAATAATGAATTCACACCACCCCGACGCAAATTCCATCTTATGAACTGTTTATTGAAGCAGTGTAGTAACTTCTACAAATGTAGTTTTTGAGCTGTGGCAATATTTAAGCTAACATCAATTACTTGATGGCATTATAACAGAGCTCTCCTTCGCTAAAGAATACGGCTTCTTGAGCAATGCATGCTTTTTGATATCCGTCTTGTTTCAGGCCCCGAGTGTCGACCAAGCTGCCAGAATGGAGGCACCTGCATGGACGGAATATGCGCCTGCTTTCCGGAATTTACCGGCCACTACTGCCAAACACCAGGTAAAAAAATTTGTGACATTCCGTTCTGGTGAATTTCGCAGTGAAGGTTTCATTATGTGAAATTTGCTTCGCAGCGTAGCTATGGGGGGCGTGGGGGGGCACATGCCCCCATAAAACGTTCGCGCACCCCCAGTCGCCCCCCCCCCACTGAAAATTAGGCATCTGCATAGGCGCACAGACTTATGAGTTACCATGAAAAGCTGGAAGAACATAAAGTCCCTTTTCACTGATTTTGTATGTATTTTCTTTACCAGAACTCTTTTTTTTTTGCAAGTGGCTGTTTATTGCAACACCCCTTGAAAGATGGTGTCCAAGCCCCCCCCCCCCCCACCCCCACTATTTGTTGTTACGGAGGGCGGGTGTCCGGTGAAAGAAAGTTGTCTACCTTTCAGCACAGATGAAATGTTTGGGCACCCCTCCATTGTAACCTCAAGCCCCCCAACACACCCCCTAGGATGAGAACCCTGGCTACACCACTTATTCGTAGAAAGTACGAACCAGTGTTGAAGCTGCCAAAGTTGTAGTGCTGCTCAAAGCCTACCCAGAAAGACTCAAATAGGGCAAATAGTGCCCTAGATCAGAAAGTCCAAAGCATGCCATAGTAGAATAAAATCAAATTTACACCTAAAGTCGACGAATTGTTTGACCAACCGTCACAAAAGTAGTCAAAATTTGCATGTTTGTAGGCCCGTCTGCAGAAGTATAGTTTGCATGTGAGAAATAGTTGCTATTTAATAGTAGAGTGGATGTTGTAGATTTGACAATTAGAATTCACGTTGTTTTAAATTAAAATGTGCATTTGTTATAAACAGGGCTGTACACAGAAATTTGATTGAAGGTAGGATAAAAAAAATTCGGCAGAAATCAAATTTAAAATGATAAGTTGTGATTTTCAGAAGTTTTCTCAAATGCTCTTATTAACAGTGATTTTGAACATCCTTGATGTGATTTTAATCAAAAAGGAAAAGTATTTATGTTATCTTCCCAAGTACCACAGTTTTGGACATATATTTATGCAAAACATGTGACCTTACCCCGTTTAATATGTATGACCCATGTCATGTTTATGTATGAACCTCTAGCTCTGTGTCAAAGGTCATGTATGTATGGAGCCCTGTGCATTAACGGAGAGTGCATGTGCCCTCCGGGGTACCAGGGAAAATTCTGCCAAATAGCAGGTTGGCATAGCTGACTGTGAGTAGGCTCAGTGCTGCATCCTATGGGCATGACTGGTTACCGGTGACCCAAATGGAATATATTTGTCTACAGATTGAGTTTCATTAATTTTTCCATCGTTACTTATTTAATAAGTCATATCATGTGCTTTATTCTCATGGAGCACATAACATTGTTGTAGTTTCGTAAGTGTATAAAACACCCTACTGAGTATTAATTATAAAATTTGAGGGAACAATGTTTCAATCCTACCTTAATACAGCTATGGTTTCATTTTCTTGGCAAAACAGCCAACATCATTTTGCCACCAAAAGCACTGTCAATATTAACCCATCAGTCAATGTACATGCATCCCAATACTACGTGAGCACATCTATAGGCAATTTTGCATTCCGTTTAAAGGGGTCTTCCTTGAACTCGGTTCTGTTACTTTTTAAATTCATAGGATTTTTGTGACAATTTCTGTTGGTTTGGCAGTACTCAGAAGGTTTTTTCATTGGTGATTCGCGGTAGGAAAAAAAAAGGACAGGGCAAAAAATTTGAATACATGTACCTTACATTTGGAATTCTCCTCATAGAGTGTGATGTTGTAAGAAACTGCTCAATGTCCCTTATACATCATGCTACCGTAACTATAATCAGTCACTTTCCTTGTGGGTATTCCGATGCCAGTTGTGCCTATTGGGGACAGTGTGAGGCCTATTTTGTTACCATATGTGCATGAAAAAAAAATCATTCAAACTACTAATTCCTAAATTTATCTCTTTTGTTTTGAGACTACATCTAGTTTATTTGGACTGAAAGACAGTTCATTCCACACTGAAGTGGTACAAAAGTGTGTCATGGGATTGGGAAATGAAGCAGGATAGGCATTAGGCCTCAGGAATGTACAAGGAAAAAACCTGAACAAAATACATTGAAATATCTTGCATTGCTGTACCTCCAGCGTCCCACTCTCAAATCCCAAATTCGCAGTTGTACTCCATTAGTGTGGAAATAAGACCCAGGTACAAGTTTTAAATACTTTTGAAATTGATTTGTCTTCTTTCGCAGTTTGAAGCTGTTAACATATTTTGTTGTTACACTTTTATTATCAGTAAAAACATTAATCTCATTAAAATTGACAACAATTCTAATAAATTTCTTTTACTTGCAATTGGATGACGGATGTATCTGATTTTCTTTTCTGGTATGCTACTAAACACTTACCGTTATTATCAGTGACATATCCCAAATATTTCAATTGTTCTCCACCAAAGAAGCTATATTTGAAGACTTTTTTTCTTTCGTACTTTGTTTAATAAAATGCTTATCAACTATTAGCGCCTGGTCCTCTTCATTTATTGCCAGGTAGCCAAGTTGGCAGGAATCCAAAAGTTGTGATCTAATTAATGTAATACAAATGCAAAATTGCTTCACACAGTGCATATCAAGTGGCAATTATTATTCAACAAATCGACTTTGCAATATCACATGTAGCAACTGTGAAGCATGCAGATGTGTAGATTTGCATATGCAAATTATGGGCACACATTCACTAATCAGTCACCCATTCATAAAATTCTGTACATTCCTTGGTGCAGCAGAAATGAGAGCTGAGAGAGTACTTTGTTCATGAAGTAAACAAACATATTTGTTCACCTAATTCACATTATACTTTCTCCTGTGTTTATTAAATTCAATTTTTTCTGTAAACAAAATTTCATTTTGTTGTTTTATATTACTTTACTGTCACAGAGATGACAAAATGATCAAAATTTGTTCTGTTTATGTTAGTTATAAGATTGTAAATACACTTTTAATTGATTATTTGGTTTTAATTATTTGATTTTACAAAAAATAATGGGACTCTTTGTTATGTTTTCTTTCAGAATGCATGTCTTAATCATGCAACTACATTTCAGTTATCTCACAAAGTGTAAACTTAATTGAGCCTTGAAGACAAATAAGAAAATACGCAATATTGTTTGGGATATTTCTAACATTGCCTACCATTCATTCAGTAATGTGCAGTTTTGTATGCATAGACCAGTACAAATGTCATTAAAACAAAAGTTTAAAAAATACCGACCATTCATTCAATAATATCTAGTTTTTATGCATAGACTAGTACAACTGTCATGAAAATCAAAGTTAATCATTTTTCATTCAAAATGTCTGGTTCAAAATGTTGAAATGTTGGTTCTAGATTTGATATACATGGGTTCGAAGGCCAAAAAAGGGAAGAAATATTTCTTGATGGCATTTAAAAAAAAAATAGATTGTTGTCTACAATTAATACAATGATATTAGAAAAAGAAATAAATCCTGATGTACACACATGCACACTTGCAATAATAAATTGGTAGTGTTCAACAATACGTTCATTGGGCTTTCTTTATGATAGTGCCTGAAAAACTGATGGTCAACATACGGCAGATTGGCAACGACCTACCTCGCCCAGGAGGCAACTTGCAGTTTGAGTGCATCAGCACTGGCAGTAGCAACCCAAGGAATGCACCCATTTGGAGGAACCCTGCTGGACAGAGGGTTGACCCACTAGCACAAGGTATGGGTACCACTAGCACAAGGTATTGGGACCACCGGCTCAAGGTATGGTTACCACTAGCTCAAGGTATGGGTACCACTATGGCAAGGTATGGTACCACTATCGCAAGGTATGGGCACCACTATCGCAAGGTATGGGCACCACAATTGCAAAGTATGGGTACCACAAGCGCAAGGTGTGGGGACCACTAGCGCAAAGTATGGGTACCACTTGCTCAAGGTATGGATACCACTCGCGCAGTGTGAGGGTTGAATAGCTCAAGGTACATGTACGTACCACTAGTGCAAGGTGTGGGTACCACTAGCTAAATGGTACCACTAGCCCAAGGTATGGGTACTTCTAGTGATAACTATAGGTAGCCCAATGGTACCGCTAGCGCAAGAGATACCACTACTACAAGCTATGGTTACCAATAGGCCAATGGTACCACCATCACGAGGTATGGATACCACTAGTGCAAGCTGTGGATACCAATAGCCCAAAGGTACCACTAGTGCAAGGTGTGGGTGCCACTAATACAGTGTATGGGTACCACTGGCGCAGGGTATAGGTACCACCAGTTCAAGCTATGGGTACCACTATCCCAAGGGTACCACTAGCACAATGTATTGGTGCCACTAGTGCAAGGTATAGGTACCACTAGTGCAAGGCATTGGTACCACTCGTACAACGTGTGGGTGCCAAATAGTGCAATTTTTGGGTACTTCAACAGTATTCTGGAGGACCTGGGTTGGAGTCCCCCTTGTGTAAATTTTCTTTGTTCAACATAAAACTGAAGGTATTTATTGCAGGTGGATCTCAGCATATGTTTGTCCGCCAGACATCACCTTCAACCACTGTTCTTGTCATCAATAACGTGGCGGTAACTGATGCTGGCAAATACGAGTGTGTAGTGGGCAACGTGGTTGCGTCTCTTGTCATCCGAATCAGTGGGCCTGGTAAGCTTTTATAGAGGGCATTCTATACCTGACATGAAACCAAGTATGTAGTGAATATTTAACATCATTCAACAATCATGACCAAATTTTGTTAGGGTTCACTTGCGTTTGACCAATAGAACTAAATTAAATTACTGTGACCTTTGGACATTTTGTACAAATACTTGATGTTTGTGTTCACATTTTCCAAGTATGAACTTTCATTCAACCACAAAAAAAAAGTCCAGGAGCAATTTGCTTAAAGACGTTTACCAAATGGTTGGGAATTTCCAATTTTTGTATGCCAATGCTTAGTGCAATTTGTAGTCAAATCTGGAAGAAAATAATGATTTCTGTATAATTTTGACTGAAAATGGATATTAAATATCAAAAATAGTACACTATCCACCTTGTAGGTAAGATTTTTGCAGGATTTGCATTATTTGCTTTTGCCCCTCCCAGTACCACCTGATGGTGGTTGCTCCCCCTCCTGTCAGAATGGAGGAACCTGTTTCGGAGGTCAGTGCCTGTGTCCTGTGGGTTACATCGGAGCGTACTGCCATATAACAGGTAAAAAACTTCATTGCCCCAACACTGACTAAATTTCAGATAATGAATCAGATAATGGCTTGACTCAAGCACCAAAAGTGGCGGATCTGTGCTGTGTGAATCAAGCAGTATTTTATTGTAGTTTGTTGTGTTTTTTGTTGTTGTTGTTGTTGTTGTTGATGTTTTATGTTCATGTTCACCTTCTCATTTCTTTTCCCATTCTCATTTCTATAATTTATACTCATTCTCATTCTCCTTCTTGTTCCATTCCAATTCCATTCCCATTTAAATTTCCATCCCGTTCTTGCTCCCATTCCTGTTCCCATTCTATTTCTATTCCCGTTTCCATTCCTATTCCAATTCCTGTTCCCATCCCTATTCCTGCTCCTTTCCTATTGCTGTTCCCATTCCGTTTCCCATTCCCATTCCTATTACCTTTCCAATTCCTGTTTCCATTCCTATTCCTGTACCCATTCATATTCCTGTTCCTATTCCTATTTCCATTCCTTTTCCTGTTCCAATTCCTATTTGCATTCCTGTGCCCCTTCCCATTCCTTGTCCCATTCCCATTCTTATACCTATTCCCATTCCTGTTCATATTCTCATTCTAATCGCATTCTCCGCCTTTTTTTGTTGTTGATGCTTTTCCCCCCTTCATGTTCCCCATGGCAGTGCCAACGCCCAGCTTTGACATCCAGATCCTCCTAGACCCAGACCAGCCCCAGCAGCTAGTCATAGGAGATGACCTCCAGTTGACCTGTCAGATTCCCGACGATAGCCCCTACACCAACCCCCAGTGGTACACCCCGGAAAGTGAACGGGTCTTTGCAATTGGTCAAGGTAATACCACACTCACCTTCATGTATCACACCATCTTGTGATATTTATGGGAGACATACATGATACTTTATGAACTCTAATCATCCAATGTATGTTGTGTGGAAACCTTTATACCCAAAGCAAAACAATACAACATTCATCAAAGTGAGAAACTTGCCAAGATGTAACAAGATCCAACAATTTAACTATGCAAAGAACAAACGGCCTCAGAGTTTGTGGTTGCCGACTGCAGCAGGATATAAGTGGCATTGTTCAATGGGAGTATCCAGCTCCCATTGTCTCAGAACTGGCAGTTTATGCTCTGGTGTTGATGGCGCGTATGTGTCAAGGTTTTACGCCTGATGTACTATGTTGCATCTGGCAACATAATCCCCAACCCCTCTTCTCCCGTAGTCATCCGTTGTTCGGAGCCCACATGCTAGCTCCATTCTAACATCTGTGTAAATTTATGCGACCCTGCGCATCAGCCAATTGGAGTCCACTTTGGAAATTGTGACGTGATTTATGGGCAGAAATGTGAACTAAGCTGTTGATTGGTCAATTGATAGATCTAGGACCATCTTCATAAGGCTTGCCTTGTCTTGTTTTCTAGGTGGCTCAGACAAGTTGCATGTTGATCAACGGACCGTGCACCAGACTATTCTCACCATCATGAACGTCCAGGCTAGTGATAGCGGCACCTACATATGCTCCGTTGGCCCCCACAGGGCATCATTCTTTGTCGACATCAGCAGTAAGTATTAATATTAAAGATATTCTATCTATCCAAGATAATGTAGCTATATCTTTAGGAATATTTCAATCCTCTGTCTAGGATCTTGGAAAAGTAGCAACACTGATATTTACATATCTTATTTGCACATCAGTCTATCCATGCGCACAATTAAGTATTGAAACAGTTCAACATATTCTATCAATATCTGACATACTTTTTAATCCTCTTTATAGGATATTGAGGAATACCAGCACTTGTATTTTAATATATATGCAAATCAGCCTTTCGGTGTACACAGTCAAGTATTCATATTGTTCAAGAAATTCTATCAATATCTCTATTATAACATTTCAATCGTCTCTAGAATATTGAGAAATACAAGTACTGATATTTTCATAATATCCTATTTGCAAATTAGTCATAAAATATCAAGTACCCAAAAGTATTCAAGATATTCTTTATGATATGAGGATTTTCGTCATTGGGATATACATGTAAGGAATGGATATGCATGGTATTAACAGGATATAACATTTTTGAATAGCCAATGTTCACAACTAGGTATTCAAAAGGTTATATTTATGTATCCTGTCTATATTTACAGTGATGTTTTAATTCATTTTTTATATCAGCACCATTAACACAAACAATAACTAAATATTATTTTCCATACATGAGCTGTCTATTATAATAACAGGCACAGAAACTGTATCAGAGATGTTTGATCTTCAAAAACTAATATTTGAAATTATCATATCTATTCTTTTTAACCCTCTGTTGACAAAAAAGATGTATTTAGTAAAACAGTTTACTTTTTCGGTTATCAATTTTCTTACCTTTTTGTATTTCAGTGAATTATCTTTGCCTTGTCATTTGCCATTGTGAAAACAAAATGCAAATTGTTAAACCTGTGCTTTATGGAAAAGTTTTGAAAAGTACTGCATTTCTTCTCCTGCGTAGTCAAAAGCAAAAAATTAAAGCTGATCATCGTTGGCTGAAATCTTTCTTCTAGCATGCTTCTGTCTTTCAAAATAAACTTTTCATTAGGTTGAAGATGTTTTTTGCTGACTATAGAAAAGTTCTTGGTAGCAATTTCTTTAAAATTATGTTGTAGATTAGTTTGAAGGAATGCACATGTATGCACATGGCTCTTGCACATGTTGAACATATATTTAAATGACAGGAATTATGACCGTAAATTCCATAGAAAACCTGTTTTGGAAATGAAAGGGTATGCGGTGCATGACACAAGGCCGAAAAGTAGGCTGTACAGTGTAATAAAGAAGGGGATTTAAAGGGGACAAAAAGAAATATACACTCTCCCTTTTATGAAAATTTGGGAGGTGAGGGGGGAGGTTTGAAAACTTTCGCGAAGCAAATGCTTCTCTTTGAATTCAATGTTATTTGTAGATATGTGGGAAATTGGGCATAGCAAGCACTTGTGTATATGTTGTGGCGGATATTTTAATCGTGAATAGTGTTCACTATATCCAGTTGACATCAACTTTTGAAAGGGACATTCAATTTTTGAGTCCAGGTTGAAAGTAGGCTTGGACTATATTTCAAATATACTGCATTGTGACAATTTTTTTTTGATACCGAACGATGTTGTCAAAATACCGAAAGATCGACAACCTCTGTGTAGAATTTTATTACTGCAATTTTCCCCTATTAATTAAATGTAGCCAGATGTGTGCAAAAGGTTATTTCAATTTGTGCTACTCGCTTGTTAAACATGTTAAATGCATGATTGAATTATTGAGGAGTAAAAAATTTGATCTCGGAGAGTTCAAAGCTAAAGTCATGATTACTGAAAACATCTACATCCCTCCAATTTCCTCCATCCCTCAAACCCCGCCCCGACCCGCTGCCCCCACCCCACCCCAAATCAATCAACAGTCTTCTCATGTCGTCAGCCTTGTATGCATGGAGGATCATGCGTTAATGGGCGGTGCGAGTGCGCCGACGGTTACCGTGGCGACATGTGCCAGGTGGCAAGTAAGAACACAAAATGCATGGCGGCTGAAAAACTGCATGGTTTGAAAGCTGCATGGCTTGAAAGCATAGAAGAGCCTGTTTTGCTGGTCCCAGTGGGCCAGACTATTGTCCCCTTTGTCACAGACGGACTACCCTGGACGGACTGACTGACTGAATCGCTCACTAACTGTAGCTTGTGACTTAGGCTGGTTATACATTGTGTAGGGTGGTGAAGAGAGCTGATGGGCAGTGCTATCATATAGGGTTATCCTGTAAAGAGCTCTGATTGGGTCCAAGTTTTCAGATTTGTTTTCCAATTCAGAGTCAACAAATTCACTAAGTAGACCTTATTCACGTGGAAGCCATTTTCGATAGTGTTTCCTGAATCTATTTTATGAATTGTAAACTGTTGAATGCCTCGCTTTCAATTTTTTTTTAATGTGGCTTAAAACATTCGGGTATGTTTAATCACAAATTTTACATTATTCATGAGAGCAGACTGGTATTTCTTTGCAATGACTTTTATTGCTTTCATTTCTACTTGCAAGTTCCTAAAATAAAGGGTTTACCTCGCTTGCAATTTAATATGGCTGACTCGTGAAGAAAGTCTATCTGCTGTTTGGCACATTCAGCTTGTGTATGTATAATGCTTGCGTGTGGCCAACATTTTGTGCTTGCTTTTTTGGTCCCGTAAAATGTAAGAAGCTTCATGAACTTTCCTTGGTGGTATATTAGTGTGAGTAGCAATATTAAGCATTGATGTATTGCTTGGCTTATAGCTACTGCTGCATTGATTGCAGTGTGAAACTTTGCTTTAATTAATACTCCATAGAATGCTATATAGTTACAGATCCTAAATTTGTATCTAGTGTGGATTTTGTGAGGTATCTCATAATCACTCAAGTTAAATATCTGTACTTTTTTTTTCTGTCCTACCATTGGATATCCATCTATTCGTTCATTCAGTTGGAAAATGTTCATTATTCAATTTTCATCATTCAACTTTAGCTCTGCCAATTGAGAAATTTGGTAAAATTTACTCTTTTTTAAATTTTATTTGATATTTGTCCATTCTTGCGTTCGGTTGCATAGCTATCAATCAGTCACATTTCACTTTGCTTCTTCAGAAGAATTGAAAAAAAATATATGGATGCTTTTCTATACAAGTTCTATTCCATCCATTCTTTCATTCGGTTGCAAAGCTTTTAATTATCTTTCAATTTTCACTTTGCTACTTGAGAAATATTGATACACTATGTGAATACTTCTATATACTATCCTTAATTCCTCCATTATTGCATTTGGTTGCATAGTATTTAATCATTCAATTTTCACTTTGCTACTTGAGAGATATTGATATAATATCTAAATACTTTCCTACATTAGCCTTTGATATTCGTGTCCAGCCCCCACCGACACAAAACCAACGGATCGGCCACAACATCACATTTGTCTGTGAAGTGTCAGAGAGAGCCGGCTACAGGAACCCATCGTGGCTTGGCCCCAGCGGCCAACAGATATACCCTGATGGTCAAGGTATAGTTTCATTAATTCATGTCTCTTATTCATAAATCAAAAGCAAATCTCAAAACCATCAACATCAAAGAAAAGTATTTCAATCTTTTGTTTTATGCAGGCATTTGATAATAAAACTGCATATTCTGGTCTTCAAAAAAGTTGGGTGTGTTTATTGATTTCACGTGTGTAAAACTATGTGAAAAGAATTATACACTCATCATGATACAATTTAGTTCAATTCATCTCAACAGTTATTTCCATTTTGCAAACTGTACATTCAGGTTAATATATAGAAGGTCAGTTTACGAAAGATGTTTGATAAAATACAAGAATAATAATTAGGTAAGATAACGATAGAGGGGCAGTTATGGAGGCATATTCAAAAGATGTCTTTAATGTAGATATTCCTTTTTTGACAAAAAATTTACAATCCCAACTTACATAGAGGTGACAAGGAAGGACAGAGAACGGGAACAAAACAGACAAAACAAACAAAACTAAAACGAACCAACGGACTGGGGTCCCAACACTAGGATCCCAGATAAAGTAGGGCCCTTCTCAATTCATATCTGGGACGAGTTCCAGATAAAATCATTCACGTTGTCCAGAAGAACCTCTGCATTTTTCTGGGACATGTTCCAGGGGAAATTTTCATTAGTAACTGCTGGACTCACCAATACTGATAGTTTCATTGCGGGAAGATTGCGGGGAAGTTGTTCAGAATCCTGCAACTTATACCCGAAATACAATGTCGGCAACTTGTCTGGAACTCTCACAGAGAAGTTCATCCACAAATGGCTTATTGTATCAGGTATCTGGTGCAAAATTATGAACAACTCACCTGGAATCTTCCTGCAATGATGCTATCAGTTGGTTAACCCTTTAGTCACTGTAGCATCCGAAACAGCCCTGCCTATTACTCTTTCTATGGCTTTTTTATCAGTGAAAAAAATACAATGTAATAAAATGTAATACAATGACGTCCAGGTGCTAAATAGTAAACAATGCTGATAACTTCATCTCAGGAAGATTCAGGAGAAGTAGTACAGAATATGCAACCAATACCCCATACAGTGAACCTGTAGCAGATCAATTCTTCTGCAATATTAATGTGATGAATCTTTTACGAAAAGTGCAATTATTTGGTTTTTTGCTTGTAATCCAGGTTTTGCCAGTCGTGTCTATGTCCGGGAGCTCTCCTATCTCGCTTCCGAGCTCGTTATCCAGGACCTGCGTCTCAGCGACGAAGGCATCTATACCTGTGCCGTGGGCCCCCTCAGCACCACCCAAGAAGTCTTCATCGAAGGTGGGCATCCCTCACTCTAGCTTATATCGACTAGCCTTATTCTAAGGCAGAAATTGAATTTTGTGTCCTTAATGCCGCTGGCCCAAATCCCTTACAAGCATGGTCAAGCAGCTACAGTGGTCGGGCACTATCAACAAGATTAACCCTTTAGTCACTGAAGCACCCAAAAACAGCCCTGCCTTTTACTCGCTGTACGCCTGAAACTGCCCGAGCACTTCATGGTTTTATTGATTCTTCAGTGAATAAATACAAGTGTAATGCAATGAAGTTCAGGAGCTAATGTGTTATTCACATCCAGTCTTCGGAACTTTGGCGCAGTGACCCGAGAAAATTTGAGTATACCTTCATACATGATATAATTATTCACAATTATAACACCTTATTGACAGATTCTTAATTGGCCAGGGCGAGTCACATGGTATTCGCTATTTTTACTATTTGTCACTGAAATTGAAAAGCAATGTATGTTTCTGAAAGATGAACTGAAATTAAAAGTGTTCAGGTAGTATTTGAAAAGTGATTTGCTTAAATCCAAATTATTTCCAAATCAGCATTCATTTTATATTAAAAAAAAGGGAAAGTACTGTTATGGTTTCTGTAATTGTTTTGTTTTCTTTCCTTCGCAGTGGGTTGTAGCCAGCCTTGCTTCAATGGTGGAAGATGTGTAAACAGTGCCTGCGAATGTCCTAATAGTTATCAAGGAGCACAGTGTGAAATACCAAGTAAGCATAAACTATAATGAAGTAAAGATTTCAAATTTGTCTTTGTTTAAAAATGTTTCTGATAATGAAATAAATGGTTCAAAAACCTCTAGGTCAGTGTACCGCCTCAAAAAACTCTGCTTGTATACTCCTTGTACAACCCAAAACTGCCCCAGCACTGTAAGGCTGTATGTATTTGTAAGGGAATAATACAATGTAGCAGTGTGTGGCTCATGATCAGAGGGTAAGGGGTTCGAATCCAGCTGCTGGCCATATGTTGTATCATTGGGCAGGTCGCTTCACCCCCACTTGCCTCTCTCCACCCAGGAGTATAAATGGGCAACAGCATTATAGCTGGGGAGTAACCTGCGGTGTACTAGCCTCCCATCCAGGGCGGAAATAAATATTATCAGCTGTTTCAAGCTGTTGAAACCAGAGTTAAAAAGCCAGCCTGATGGGCCACATTGGCTCGTGACTGACGTTTACTTTACTCAATGCAGTACATGTGGTAATGGTACAATTTCTGGAAATGAAAACCAAAATATCCAAATAATTCTTAGATTTCTCCAAAAACTGCCCGAGCACTGAATGGTTTTATGGATTCATGAAGAAGTAAATACAATGTAAGACAATGTAATACAAGCGCTAATGCGTTGAAACTGCACATGCACTGTTGCTAGGAGACTTGACTAAACCAGAAGTCTATGAAAGAAATCTTGAGCTTTAAATGGGGAAAAAGTCTTAACAAACAAAGGAACGAAACCCAATACATGTCAGCCTGAGTTGAATCGAGACCTTCACAAGCATAAGTCCCAAATCAAATCACAAACCAGGCAACAACCAACAGGAATGCCAAATGAATGCCTTGATCATCGTTCATTTCAAAAGCTTATGACTTGACTTAAGAATGGATGACTTGCGATTGCCTTGTGACGTCTTGTGATTGACTTGAGGTTGAAGATGCAAAAAAGTACTACCTGGCCAAACTCACATTCCGGAAACATGTTTTCTCAATGTTTTCAGGTATAACTCTTTGAAACTCTAAAGAACTGGTTAAGATAATTGGTGTTAAGGTTATCGTGCTGTTACCCACTTTTGCTTGATTTCACAGTTGGCTTTGACATGCGAATCGTGATCCCGGAAAACCTTACACCAATGGTGGGTGATGATCTGAGCTTCACTTGTGAGGTGGGGTACCAAAGCCGCTTCCGCAATCCGCTGTGGACTGGCACTAGAGGCCAGCCAGTCCTTCCTGTTGGACAAGGTAATGCTGATAACAAGTGATTGGTATCTTGTAATCAATAACTAGGCTCTGCGTAACCCAATTGAGTGTCTTTTCACTATAGTACCTGAATCTTGGTACCTCAAATTTAGTATTTGCCGGAAGAACTGTCCATCAAGGAGTAAAGCACCTGGTTGATAGTCTAAGCCCTTGGTACCTTAATTTTGGCACTTTAATCATGTTAATCTAGTACCCAGTCGATATATCTTATCGTTTCATAGGAGAAACTTGACATCAAAGAGTGTAGCACCCAATTGATAGTCTATGCGCTAAGTAACTTTACTTTGGCACCATAATCTAGCACTCATTCTATTTCTATTGTGTAGGAGGAGCCAACCATCCAAATTTCAATGAGTATAGCAATTGATTGGTAGTTTGAGCCCTTACTGAGTGTGATCATCATAGAAACCCTTAGTACCTTAACTTTGGCACCTTAATCTAGTACTTATTCTTTGACTCATATTGTGTAGGAGGAGCCAACTGTGTTAGTTTAATCGTCAATAAGCATAGCACTTGATTGGTAGTTTAAGCTCTTAGTACTGTAACTTTGACACCCAACTCTAGTACTCATTGCATTTTTAAGAAGGAACTGTTGTTAGTCCATGGTACCATAACTTTGGCACCTAAATTAAGCACTAATTATACATGTATGTTTCTTGAGGAAAAGACAATCTTTTGTGCAATCATTATCAATGAGCATAGTACCTGAATGATAATTTAAGTCTTTAGCACCTTAATTTTGGCACCAAACTCTAGTACTCATGGCATGTTTCAGGAGGAACAGATCATCTCAGAGTGATCATCATCAATGAGTATAGCACCCGACTGGTCATCTCAGGACTTGGCACCTCAGACTCTGGCACCTATGTCTGCACAGCTGGACCCCTCTACAGGGACTTAACAATCCAAATCCAAGGTAACACACAGAACCTTCAATTCAAAGTGCTTACTCTCCCATTTCTATTCCAATCCCATTCCAGTGACATTGTTCATTATTTTTGTAAACTTGCTTTAAAATAAAGAGGATTTTGTCTTAGACTTACTGTCTCACCCTTTCTGATTTCAAAAATCTTACAGCTCTCAAAATTCACAGACTTTGTGTGTCAAGCATGTGATACTGTTGATGTTAAATTTAATTGCATAACCCATAATATATTGTTTGAGGACTGCAAGGATTTTACTACTCTTAGTTACAAGACATCCTTAGCATTGCGGTGTTTCAGCTTGCACGGATTAGTAGACTGTGCAGTGATTCACAGAAGTTGGCGCTTATGCACACACACCGACAAGTGTCCTTGCATGAGGTTTGTCCGAGTCAGGTTTGGGTATGGGGACAGAACGCCTTGGTATAGGGACAGAATGCCCTCTATTGGAACAACATATGCTACTGCGCTGTACACAGACACACCATCTCTTTTGTATAACGCTGCTAGCATCTTGCACCAACACTAGGATTTAATCAGCTTCAACTCAAAGCTAAACAGTACAGTCTGAATTATATTGGTGCACATCGGTGGATCAAATCTTTTGTTAAGTGGCTAAAGGGTTAAGACATCTAATCTTTTCATTTTAAGGTCGTCCATGTGACCCTCCATGTTCCAACGGTGGCACCTGCCTAGATGGTGTGTGCCAGTGCCCAGAGAGCTACGTAGGAACTTACTGTGAAACCTTTGGTATGTACACTCTTTCTTACTAGGAGTCATATCATAACATATCTGAGATAATTTGTGGAGAGATATGTATCCCAAATAGGCCCGTTGTATCCCAAATAGGCCTGTTGTATCAGGTTAACTTTCCCTGAATAGTTCCCGCAATGAATTGAGGGAAGAATGCCAAATTAAACAAGCGGTAACTAGAAGTTGAACTTTTCGATCCCCTGCAAAACGCTGTAAAGCCTTGTAGAACCTTTAGGTGAAGGCTTTTCATGCAAAAGGTCTACTTAATGGGCCAGTTTGTCATTACGCGGTAATCCTATAAGATTGCACTGCCCAGCTTTCTTAACCAGTGTAAAACTTGTCCAAGCACAAGTGCCAGTCAGTCAGTCATTCAGTTAGTCATTGAAATAGGTACAAAGAGAACATTTACTTTGTTTTGCCTCTAGGACCAACAACAAAAGTTTGATGTCAAGAATGTCAGAATGGGCAATAAATGTAGGTATTACAGACATGCTGTCGCAAGCAAAGAACTTAAAGACAGTTTGAGGTACAGCATGTGATTTCCATCTTTGCTCCTAAAAGGGCCCGTCTCAATTCATATCCGGGACAAGTTCCGAACAAGTTGCAGTTAAAATCATTCCCTTCGTCCGGAAAAAGTTCTGCATGTGTCCCGGACGTGTTCCCGGAAATTTCATTGCGGGAAGATTGCGGGGAAGTTGTTCAGAATCCGACAACTTATACCCGATACAATGTCCGCAACTTGTCCAAAACTCATCCTATGAATTGAGATGCGCCCTAATTTTGATATTTTACATTCCTTAGTTCCACCATTCAACATCCGGATTCTACCCCTTGAGAACCAATCACCAGTTATCGGCGACAACCTTACCATAGACTGCATGGTGCATCCCTTGGGGCTGTACAGAAATCCAATATGGCACGGACCGGACGGCAGACAAATCAACACAATGGCACAAGGTAAGTAAATCAAGTAGCGTAATGTTGAAAAAGCCATGTGTCCATAATGCGTTTAGCATTGTGTGCATGGTACATAAAAAATATGTTCAAAAAGCCTCTTGCATAAAAATTGTTATCAGTTATCCCGCAAGCGAAACACAGAATAATGTCTTGCATCTGTGTCCTATATGCCATGAGGCCGAAGTTCAATCGGCGTATGGATGGAACACAGATGCATTTCATTTTCCACGTTCAATATGCCCGAATGGGATAACAAATTTCATCAAGGAAACTTGACCCCAGTAAAGATGGAACATGTAAGCTGTACACGAACCTTTTAGCAGTTTACCTGTTACACATGCGTGCGGTAGGAATGTGTGCACATCTTAAAATAGCGTGATACCTGGAGTGAAATATGGACCGTGGTATGTGGGATTATTTGACACTACCGCTGTCATGGATTGACCAATCAGGATCACGGATTAGTCAAGTTAACTTGAAGATAATTCCATATACTGTATTAAGTATTGCGTTATGCGCATATAGTTATCCATTTAAATTATGTAAGATCTATTTTACGATTGAAACGGATGATATATACAATGCACATGGAGGTTTTTTTGCACGTTACATAAAGAAATGTTGTTTTTGTGGGATGAAAAGATAATCATTAATGGTTAGACAGAAAGAGAATCAGTTTGTATTTGAATCTGTAATATTGATATGAACAAGAGCCTGCCTTGATTTAAGTTTTCTCTGTTCAGAAAACACTTAACATTCATATCAAGAGTTAATCTCCAAATAGCGACATATCCATTTTAAAAGGGTAAAAATGTTGCATGGTTATGAAATCGTAAAGGATAACGGTGGTTTTAATAATTTTTAATTTTTACCTGGTCTTTTGAGCCACATTTGTGGGTGCTGACTTTAATATTGTTTAATAAACCAGAATACTAATTAGGTGGCAATGTACAATCAGGACAACGTTCTCACTGTGCCAAAGGATAACTGCATCTACCCCCCTTTCCAAATTTATCACAGTCACACATAATATTTTCCCTTACATTCCCTGAAAAAAGTCTTGCTTTACTTTTGGACAATTTTTTACGATTATTTGGTAAGGCCGACGTGTGATTTGTTTGTATAGGTGGTACTATGCGACTGCACACTGAACAGACCAGCCCCTTCAGCACCAGACTAGTGATAGAAATGCTGAGTGAAGTAGACAGAGGCAACTACGAATGCCAAGCTGGGCCCTTCTCTGCCCCAGTGGTGATTGACATTCCAGGTAATACACTAATTTGCACACAAGGTGGCGCATAAGGTGATGCACAGTGTCACGCACAAGGTGACGCATAGGGTGATGCACATGGTGACGCACAGGGTGATGCACAGGGTGACACACAGGGTGACACACAGGGTGACGCACAGGGTGACGCACAGGGTTACTCATAGGGTGATGCAAAGAGTGACGTACAGGATGACACGTATTGTGATTCACAAAGTGACGTACAGGGTGAGGCACATGGTGATGCACAAAGTGACGCACGGGGTGACGCACATGCTGATGCACAGGGTGATGCACAGGGTGATGCAAAAAGTGACGTACAGGGTGACCCACATGGTGATGCACAGGGTGACGCACATGGTGATGCACAGGGTGATGCAAAATTGACGTACAGGGTGACGCACATGGTGACGCACAAAGTGACACACAGGGTGACGCACATGGTGATGCAGAGGGTGAAGAACAGGGTGACAAACAGGATGACAAATAGGGTGACAAACAGGGTGACTTACTGGACATGAAAGTATTTGAATGGTGGAATCTGGTTTTCTTTAGTTTAATTGAAGCTAGTATTGATTTACCATTGCCTCCAGAGACACCAAACAAGTTTCCGCAGTTTTATAGGACATAGGACAAATTGTAATTCAGATTGAAAGAATTGAATCAGTACATGAAATTTCTATAATTAAGGCAACAGGTTTTAGTCATATTGCCATCAACTGGTCGACTATGACAAATGTCATTTTGTAATATTTGTTTTCAGTTCAAGATTGCATTCCATCATGCATTAACGGTGGTCAGTGTGTGAACGGCAGGTGCAGCTGCCCCACTGGCTGGACTGGTAGCAGATGTCAGACACCAGGTAAAAACATCAACTAAGTGATGACAAATCACATGATCACAGATCCATGCAGGCAGTTAATGGCAGTGCTGTATTTCTGAAATAAGAGGGGCACAGTACACATTTCTATATAGCGGGTATCCAAAAGGGGGTGGGCAAAGTGGAAAATAGTGGTTAAGCATATTACCTCTTTGCCTCCTCCAACCCCTCAGCTTCCCCTGCCTATGTAGATTACACTGTGTGAAAAGGTTGTAAATTTAAGATAAACATGTATGTAAAACAAATCGAAATATGCATAAACCCATACTGTGGTAGCAAAAGAGTGCATCTGCACATGGGAACGTAGTTATAGTACCTCTTCTCATGTTTCTGTTGTACAGTGCCGCAAAAATGAATGGACGGATGGTTCAATGCACCAGCTTGTTTTCTTACCTTGCATGTCTTGTGATCTTAAATTTTTTGAGTGTGGCTCAAAAAACCTCATTGCGTATTTTGTAATTCCCTTTAATTAAGCAATAAATTCCATTCTCAGAGCTATATTTAGAGACTCTGCAAATTTGAGAACCAGCATAAAGACTGTTCTGCTTTCTGTATATTTCCAGATGTGACTTTCCCAATTCGCATCGTCCCACCGGATGAGAAACCTCAGATAGGAGGCGACTTCAGCGTGTTATGTGAGGTTCCGCGCAGCAGCCAGTACACCATGCCCATATGGCTGGATGCTAACAGACAGATGGTACCCAAGGACACGCAAGGTGTGTAGCTGACCTTTTTGGTGTGAGAGGTTTTTCCCAGAGGCAACTCATTATTAGAGATGACTGCAGTATGCAATGTGAGGTTCCACGTAGCAGTCAGTACATTATGCCAATATTGTTGGATGCTAATAGGCAGATGGTACCTAAGGATGCAAAAGGCATGTAGCATACATTATCAATGTAAGTAGAGGTTTTTAGTTCCAATGCGCCTCATTTTGGAAGATGAATTCAGTGCACTTTTTGAGGTTCCACGGAGCAGTCAGTACATGTAGCAGTCAGTACACAGATGGTGCCCAAGGATACAGGTTAGTAGTTCAGTGTAAGAGGATTTTCTTTGAGGTAACTCATTTTTGGAGGCAACTTCAGTGTGTTATGTGAAGTTCCACATAGCAGCCAGTACACTATGCCCGTATGGCTGGATGCTAACGGGCAGATGTTTTCTCAGAAACGAAAGAAACACTGGGTATGTAATTGAAAATGTCAGTGTACTGATATTTATTGTTGAGATACATCAGTTTGGGAGGCAACTTTCGTGTGCTGTGCGAGGTTCAACTTGGCAGTCAGTACACTGTGCCCATATGATATATATTTACAGGGTAAAGAGGTTTCTTTCGTTGATACCTCATTTTGGGAGGGGACTTCAGTGTACTTTGTGAGGTTCCACTCAGCAGTCCGTTGGGGAGATTTGCCATCAGCATCCCACCCCTTTATAGAGAAATGTTTGTTTTTCATAAGAGTGCTTTGTTTTAATTGGTCGATTTGTTCAGGTCACCTTTACGCAGTCGCTGAGTCTGATCACCTGACTAGGCTGTATTTCAATGGTGTCCAGCGCTCAGACAGAGGAACTTACACATGTGTCACTGGTCCCCTGTCTGCGGACTTCACCATCAGCATACCAGGTTTGTGCATGGAGATTGCATATTTCGTGGAAATGGTATATGACATATTGTTGTACCTTGTAGTGCTGGTCCCAGAGGGCCAGCATTGGTCCTCTTTGTACCTATTTTACTGACGGACGGACTTACTCATTGACTGACACTTGTGAGCCTGGCAGTGCTATTGTATAGGAAACACATGTAATGCAAATGAATGTGGTAAATCCAGCCCACTGTTTAGGCCATATGCTGGAAAAGATTTGCAATGAATGCAGCCATTCTGATCCAATAAGCCTGTTCGGTATTTCAACTGCGCATGTGCACAGTGATATGGGTCACTGGTCATTCTGGACAATTGAATGTTTCGAAGGCGCATTGAATGCAGGCGCACAACGTTTGCGTGTAAATTACCAGCAGAATGGGGTTGTGCGTAACATCACACAACATCACGTCAGCGATGTTATCCCGAATGACCTCGGGCCATTGAAATACCATACTGGCTTATCGAATAGAATTGTCTGTACTTTAGGACCAGATTTAGTTGGCTTGCCTAGTGTGGCTTTTATTTTTCCATGAAGAAAAAACTGTTTTAAAAATAAAGGTTTTCAGCTGAGTTTCATCTAGCTCTTAAATAGGATTTGAAACACTTTGTGCTAATATATCTCAATGAAATTGGATTCAAATAATTTAACGCATTAGTCACTGTACCGCCCAACACTGCACTGGCATCACTCCTGAAACCGCCGGAGCATTCCATGGTCTCATGGATTCATCAATGAATATGCATAATGTAATACAATGTAGCACAGGTGCGAATGATTTAAGCCATTGAAAAATAATGATATTTGTTGCTGTTATGTGTATTTCAGGTGGCGACGATGGTTGCACCCCACCCTGCCTTAATGGTGGAAGTTGCATAAATCAACAATGTCAGTGCCCAGAGGATTATACCGGAGACCAATGTCAGACCAAAGGTAACATTGAAGAGTTTATTTCCAAAAAGCGTTATATCCAATTGAAAAAAGTGAAGTACTTGCATGATTATTGAAACTTACAGAAAAACCAGTGTAACAGCTCTTTCTACACTGAATGATTTGCTTTATAATTCTTAAATTGTCACTAACTGTATAACAACCGTCAAAACTGACCTTGGGCAACTAGAAGAGGATGGGGTTCTAAAACATGACAACATGACAATTATCACATTTTGGAAACAATTACTCTTCAATTATAACAAACTGGAGACAAAGTTTCACTGTTTTGTCGAAAAGACAAACAGACCACTGAATAGAACAGTCGGAGCACCCAATCAGTTCTATCACGAAAGTCCCCTTCAATGGCAAAAGCAGTGTGCTAGCTATTGTTCAGATAATTCATCACAGGGTAGTTGCTTTGTACAATAGCATGCACAATGTTGTCGCCATTAAAGGTGGCCTCATCAGTATAAAGATAATGCCGGAGTCTCATATAGCGCACGTATCTACCTACAATCAGATACTCAAGGCGCTAATGAATTTATTTTAAAGACAGGTATTAAAATGAAGTATTTGAAAAATGAGACCCATTATGTAGCACCTTATAAGGGTTTACATGGTGCTGCGGCGCATTAAGTAGCCACTGTCATAATCACCGGTATACAGTGATCACGTGCATAGCCATTATGAATCGATTGAATAGAAGTTTGTGCACTCTGGTACTAGCTTTAATAGGATTACCTTGTCTTTTGTTTTATCCACAGAGGACATACTGGTGATTATTCCACAAACTGTCACCCCTCGCATCGGCCAGGATGTCAGCTTTCTCTGCGAGATCCCGCCTGACAGACCATTTAGGAATCCTACATGGCTCAGTCCAGATAACATCATCATTGATTCCTACATGCCTGGTAGGTGGCCAGATTTTGTCCCAGATGGTTGTAGATGCCCTAAATAGAAAAAAAGAAAGTAGACTTCTTTCATTAAAAGAAAAAACTTTTTGATCAAAACATTGTAAGGTGATGAAAATTAAACTTGTTCAAGGAAATGGGTAATACATATTTGAAAGTTACTTTTTTGTTCATTATCTGGTTGGCCCTGTATATCAAAGTCCACATTTGTTTTGATTGAAACTTGGTGTGTTTATAGACCATGTCATGTTCATGCCAATTTTGTTTCAGGTCGCAATGAGCACATGTTTGTTGCTGTGGAGTCCCCCTTAGCAACTAGGCTCTACATCCGGGGTCTGGCGCCAGGTGATTCGGGAGAGTATACCTGCAGCGCCGGCCCACACTCTTCAAAGTTCAACATTGTTGTCACCGGTAAGAAATGCAAGGTTTTATACAAAATGTAAAGAAATTGGTCCAAGTTCATAATTTGCTAAGCGCAAATCTTTATAGCAAAAACGATATTGTCATGTGGTTTATATTGCTTGTAATTGCTTCTTAGTTGATTTTTTTTGCCATTCACAATAATGGTATATAATATCCACTTTGTGTACATTCCTTTCACTCCAGTTTCATGGACTTTCTAACACAATGTTATGTGTTGAGCAGATACAATTATTTGCTCAAGTTGAGAAAAACAGGTTCAAGCCAAAAAGAAAATTTGATGTATATTGCTCATGATTGATTGACTGAATGATTGACTGACTGACTGACTCAGTCACTCTTCAAGTGGATTGTCAATAGCATAGGCTCGTACAGAGAGCTGAGCAGTGCCATTGTTTAGGATTACTCTTGACCCATTGATTGCATGAAAAGACGACCAGTGAATAGCCATTATGAATCAACTAAATAGAAGTTTTGTGCTCTGGTACCAGTTTTACCTGGCTTCCCTTGTCTTGTTTGATTGTTTACTGTAGTTCCAGAATGTGAGAAGGATTGCTTGAATGGTGCTCAGTGCGTCCTCGGTCAGTGCCAATGCTTAGATGGTTACAGAGGTGAACAATGCGAGATCAATAGTAAGTTGAACCCCACACTGTTAAAGGTAGAGTAAATCATTTCCAAACGTCCAAAAAGTAACTTACCAAATTATTGTTAAAAAGTTTACTTGGTTTAAAGATGATAATGGCACTTTATCCTATGAAATTATTCTTTCTCGCATGCTTTCATTTTGAAGAAAACAATAAAAGAATATCGTTTCCAAAGATGCATAAAGTGACACATTTTTTGGAAATTTTCGTTAGTAGTTAGTTTGTTATTGTGCGAGTCTGTGGATTGGTGCCCGCTATAGCGTTGCCATGATGTACACCTTGCCATTATACCTTGATTCAGTGAGTGACATCTTGTATCTGCAGTCAGCTGAATGAGAGCATGTCCTGGAAGCTGATTTCAGGTGCAATTAAAAGCATCACTCTGCAAATTTTGAATAGAAATCGAGATCTTAGAATATTGGTTTTTTTCCCGAATTATGCAGCATTCACTCAGCTAAAAGTTCATGAGGTTTGCTGTCAAGCAGCCGTCTTTAGATTTTGAGCACTTTTGTTCAAGCAAAAATCTACAGTACCTCTCAAGGTAATAAACACTGTTTGCAAAATATGTGGCTTCGCCAACTCCAAGAACAAAACAAGAGTTATATAAGGTTATTAAAATAAACTAACTTGTCAGTAGATATATTTTTTGAGAAAACTGGAAAATACATCTTCAATTTTCTCGACACAAAACATATGTTTATGTTGAAATCATGATGGTTTGGTCCTAACCGACCACAATCATATTGGTCTCACTACACCCCTTGTGTCTTTAATTCTGTCTAATTTAGGTAACTAATTTCTTTGTGAAAGAGTTCAGAAGTATCCAATTTTCAAATTAACAAAAATGGGAATTTGACTACATATTAATCCAGACCAAAATAGTTGGGACACCTGTCAAGAAACATGCAGAATGAGTGTTTAGTCAGTACCCAGAATATTATTCAATGGTTTTCCTCCCACATTTAAAACTGTAATTTCTCCTCATTGTCTCCTCCCTACAGCTTTCGTCAGTCTTTCGGGCTACAGTGCCTAGGGCACTTTTAAGGAATCCTTGGTTACATTACCAGAAAGAAATAAAACAAAAAATAAAAGTATCCATTTATCCACTTTGTTCCACAGTTCCTGACTACAGAATTCGCATCCTCGGACCGGACGTCCTCTATCCCGTCGTGGGTCAGAACTTAGAGTTTCTGTGCGAGGTTCCCCCGACCAGCGAGTTCCAAATGCCAATTTGGCTTGACGAGAATGGACAAATGGTACCCAAGGGAACAGAAGGTATGTTTTTTTTTTAAAATAATAATACACCAGTTACACCAGACCTGTGAAATTTACCATGCAAGTATGATTAACATTGACTTCAAACTTTTTAATTTGTTTGGCAAGTACTTTGCTTTGCATAATCACTTTTCGAGATTGAAGCCATTGCAGAGTTTGTCTTAAATTTCTAATTCTTATATTTGATGTAACAGGGACACAAAAAATTGGGCCCCAAGTTTGTGAACTGACCCATTAACACATGACAGTATTAATAACTATGAATATTGTCAGTCGCACCACGAACCGGTGTATCTCGATTTTTTGCCAAATTGAGTTTTTGTCATTAACGTTATTATTTCATCAAAGTGCTCATTCTCAGAAAGTTTTATTCTGATCTGAGTTCTAATTAACTCTAAATAGACTGGGCGGCGTATCTCTAAAAAATCAAAAATGCTGCACCACGAGGTGGGGTATCGCTTTACATGCTAATTCCCATAGTGCTATGACGTCACCAAGCTGCGTCGACACCAAAAGTGTGAATTTAGCGTTTCACGAACCGATGTATCTCCGTATCTGGCACACGGCCACTATTACGCGCGTTGTATGACATACGATACACATGATAAAAATCTGTTTCACAAAGTGACAAGTATCTTAGGAACTGAATTTCTCAAAAACTAAGCAACTCAGATGCACACGGATTGCATACAATAAAGTTTAATCTATAATTTACTAGCAAATCAAAACAGTTTGAATTCTTACATAGGGAGTATATGGAATGAGCCTTCAAAATAATGACCAACTTTTAAATCGTTTTTTTCTCAAAACACAAAAAAATGCGATACGTCAGTTCGTGGTGCAACTGACGATATGCATGAGACAAAGTAACTTGCACTAAATATGTATTATCTGTTTGTTATTATTTTTTCTGAAGGTCATCTGTACACAGTGGCTGAAAATGACTACTCCACGAGGCTCGTCTTCAACAGTCTACTCTTAGAAGACTCAGGCGGTTACCTCTGTGTGACTGGTACTCTGTCATCAAGAATGGATCTGCAAGTCACTGGTACAATTTTACAACTGTCCAACTAAATAAGCTACCTAAAATCTTTTCTTTTTTGAAACATAAGGCAAGGCGGCTGCCCATCTATTGAAACTTTACTAAAAAGGAACTTATTAATGATTGAAAAAAGAATTTTCATGTAATTGTCAGGCATTCAAATTAATTAACTACATCGTACAAATCTGCGTCCAACTTCATAGTGCTGCTTAACATTACATGAGCAACATTGTGCTAAACGTAAGCACTATTTCATGGCGTGGATGTGCTAACGGTTGTGGGCGAATGGAAATTTCTATTGTTACATCACTGATTTAAATAATGTTTTCCCCTGTAGGTTAAGCGTGCTTTTGCTGTGCTTACTGCTTATGGCATATGGTCTTCATGACATAGTTAGCAGAAATCATGTGCTAAGCAGCATTATGAAGTTTGGCCGTGGTGACCATAAACATAAATGAGGAATGCCTTTGTCAAAATTCATTTGTGAATAGCTTGTGACTTGACTAAGGACTGTTTGACTTGTGATTGGCATGTGATTGGCATGTGTTTGACATGTGAGGTCATGTGAGGACTTGTGAGGACAGGTGAAGGCATTTGAGACTCGAGGAATTGTTAAGACATTTGAGACATGTGAAGACATTTGAGGCATGTGAGGACTTGTGAGGACATGTGAGGACATTTGAGACATATGAGGACTTGTGAGGACATTTAAGACATGTGAGGACTTGTGGGGACTTAAAATGGATTTGGATGCAACACTGATCAACTCTTGCTTTTGTACATCCAGGTCTGGACCGCTGGATTGTCGTTTCTCCGGACAACGCTCCAACTGTACCAAGCATTGGTGACAACCTGAAGATCATATGCGAGGTTGCACAGGATAGTCCCTACACCAACCCCAAATGGCTAGGACCAGACAACGAGGAAGTTCCACCAGTAGGAGCAAGTGAGTTACCTCGTCCATCTCTTTACACTGACTAGATTATGCATCAGAAGCATAGACTGAAGACACTTTGGTGCCATCTTGAGAGGCCTAAATGTATAGATATTTCATCAGGTATTAATACAGTGATGTACAGTATGCATTTGAACATACAAAGTGGCGGCCATAAGAGGCATAAATGTGACTTATGCATTAATTTTCACACTTATTCGCATTAATTTGTACACTTATTTGCACACCCTGAAGTCACTAGGGATCCATCTTGAGGGTCCCAAAATATACACAGGTCTGCATAATCAAATTATGTATCAGTATAGCATGTTGTATTGTATGCACTAAACGCACATAGTGCCAGCCATTCAATGCCTTATCAGTGACTTACAAGTTCCTTCACATCTTTGATGTGTAATGAAAATGTATACAAATCTTTGCGCCAAATAAGTGTTTGGCACTGGGCCCTGTACTGTTTGCACAGAAAGTATGTAGCCTCCCTTATTTGTGCATTGAAACAAGTGTGCGCAATCTATACATTAAAGAATTGAGGCAGTGATTTTGTTGTGCTTGTAGTTGGCGTCGGTCGTATCGGAGTTCAGGACGTCACCGCTACATCGTCCACGCTGAGCATCAACAACTTGCAGGCAGTGGATGCCGGTACCTACTCCTGTGTAACTGGTCCCCTGCGGTACATCTACAGAGTGTCACCAACGTGTGAGTATTATACAACTGGGATTTAGTGAAAAGGGGAGGGTCGTGAAATTTCCCTGGAAAAGAGAAGCCATCTCATCATACATCCGAGATAAGTCGCGAGAACATTTAACTGCAATAGGCCTATTGTTTCGGGTATTTGTTGCAGAATTTCGAACAACTTCCCTAGAACCTTCCTGTAAATGAAATAACCAGTATTATTCACAAACTGATAACTTCCTTGTGGAGAACATTCCAAAGAACTTTTTTTCCTGAAGCCAAATTTTATTTTAGATTATCTATTTTTGTTTTGTTTTGTGGTTTTCCCATAAACTCTTCTTTCATATGCTTTTTATGGTAAGAAACAATCAGTTTTTTTTCTTAGCTGTTCAATAACTGCCCAGGGCCTATTTTGCGCTTGATATTTAACTGGAATCATATTGGTTTTTCTTGTACATGTTTATATATTTTAATGAGTTAACAAATTTAAACCTTGAGCCTTAAACTCTTGACTTTGAACTTTGACCCTGTCTTTCAGTGGATTGTGGTGAGAGCCCATGCCTGAATGACGCCAGCTGCACTGATGGAAAATGTGTCTGCCAATTCGGTTTCACCGGCTTCCTCTGCGAATCATTAGGTAAGAAGGCAAATATGCTCCATGCAACAAAGTCGTATCTCGCGTATCGCGAAGAACATTGACTTTGTGTGTACATCCGGCTTATTTTAAGCGAGATACAACCTTTTGACATTGAAAACTCACGTTTCACAAATATGACGTCACATGCCATTTTAGGAGATACAACCTTGTTGCACGGACACAACGAAATCCAGAGAAAGTTGGAATGACTAAAAAAAATACTGCTTGTTTGTCATACATTGAATGTGAAGTTAAAAGGAATAGTGCCAAAAAATTATGCAAATATGATCAACTATTTATGCAAGATTGTACGGCACAATTTAGAGTCATTAGAAATACACCTCAGTCTTTGCTGGTGCCAGACGGTCAGCCTAGTTTCCTCTATGTACTCATCTGACTGAGAAACTGACTGACTGTCACTAATGACTTACCCTGGTTGCTGACTGTTGAAGAGAGCTAGGCAGTGCTATTGTATAGGAACACCCTGTTATGCCACTTGCATAGGCCCAATGCATTAAAAGGCTTCGAGTTATTAGCCATTCCAAATCAATTGAATAAACAAATGTTGTGCTCTGAGACCAGTTTTACTGGGCTATCCTTGTCTTGAGTCATCATGTATTAATGAAACTCTATAGGCTAGTTATTTCACTAAATTTGTTTTGGTTTCTGAAATTGAAATTATTGATAATAAATAGGAAGTTTGAAAAATCTCTTAAAAGTCTGTAATGTCTGTAATCATATGTTGTTGACAGTGTTGGAGTGCCTTCAGGATTGTCTGAATGGTGGCAGTTGCATGGGAGGCATCTGTCTGTGCGACAATGGATATATGGGAGACTTCTGCCAAACACCAGGTATGTCGAAAAGGGAAGTTTTTACGTTGCTTTGCCTAAACTTTTAATGCTTAAATATCTACGCCTGTACCAGTAGGATACTGTGTTAAGCGTGATGCATGACATTGCAGGAGATGTAGGTGAATCAAACTATAGAGGAGGCAGCACAGCCAAGATGCAAAGTAACCAATAAGATAATAGAAGCACAAGGCCATTATATACTGTCCTCATACATGTGTGTTATGCTAGGTCTTCAGTTTATGATGTACATTCCTAATACAATAATGTCAGTGAAAGGTAGAACCCATTATTAAAACCTGTTTTTTTATTAATATTTGTTCTCTAATTCTCTAATAATCTTCCTAGATCCCAATGCTTTCATCATCCGAGTCACGCAGACCAATCCCGAGGTTCCCATTGAGGGCAGCATTCTTGTCTTGGTGTGTGAGGTTGGGCCTAACAGTCCCTTCCAGAGACCTGTTTGGCAGGATCCTGAGGGTAGAGATATCGGCCCTCGCACTGCTGGTAGGCCATTGTTAAAAAATCAGGTTAAAAAATTTAAAATGTGGTGGAACCTAATGAGGTTCTGAGATGCTATAGTGTGTGAATTGGGATCTAACATTTCCTTACAGATACTTATATGGTAGGATTTTGAGGGTAGAGATATCGGCCCACAGACTGATGGTATGTCATTGTAGCAAAATAAAAAAAATAAAAAAAATATGCATGGTTACTTTTCCTTGTCTGATGTTTGACATGGAGTATTTGGCTCTCGCAGGCACAAGTCGTGTGTACACCACAAACCCTGATCTCAAGTCCAGCCACCTCTACATCACAGGCCTTTCACTGGTGGACGCTGGCACCTACACCTGTGCCGCTGGACCACTGAAGTACACTTACAACGTCATCGTACATGGTAAGCCTCAGTTTTTTGCAATCAAATTTTCTGAACACTGCTATAATTCTTTGGAGAAATGGCTAAGTTATACCTTTGCCAACTTGTTCCCTCAGATACCAACTCATAGCCTTGGGTACCAACTTGTACCCTTGAGTACCATATTACACCCTGGAATACTAATTGGCATATTTGGGTACCAAATTGAATGCCTGGTTACCAACTTGCACCCTTAGGTATCAACTTCTATTCTTGGTTTCTTAGGTGTCAACTCACACTGTTGGGTGCTAACATGCACCCTTGGGTACCAACTCATATATTTTGGCACCAACTCAGACCCTCTACCAACTTAAACCCTTGGTACCAATCTTACCTTCAGCAACTTGAGCTTGACCAACTTTTACCTGGAATAAAAGAGGATATTTTAAGGGAAGAATATATCTACCAGTAAATTCAACGAGAACTCCCTAGTGTTGAGGATTAGGGAGGGTTAACTTTTAAATGGTTCTCTGTCCCAAAATGCAAAGATCCACAATTCCATTTTTATTTATCATTTGTCTCTCTTGGTATTTGGTTCCACAAGTGCCCAAGTACCTGATACAGACAGTTGGTTTTTTTTAACATTAGTGACATTTTTTATAAGTTTTTCAATTGTTGTGTTTCCTTTGTCTTCAAGGTAGTACATTGTACGTTTCTACCTTACCCTCAAATCTTAAACATTGGTGACAAATTGTGGTTTATGTTTGTTTTGTTTTACTTTTGTTTCGTTGATAGGTTCCCACATGATCCAAGTACCCAACATGGACTCTCAGGTCCTAAACATTGGTGACAATCTGCAACTCTTGTGCCAAGTCGATGCAAGCAGCCGATATCGCAACCCTCAGTGGATCAGACCAGATGGAGTAGAGATCCCCATCGCTAGACAAAGTGAGTAGCCATTCAAAACTAGCTGGTAGTTTTCAACTAGTTAGGCTATTTGCATATTAGCACTTTTTGCACCACAGAAGTTGTGTTTTAGTACTCCATATCACTTTTATGGTCAAGTCCATCGCAAGGTAGTAGGAGTATCATCCGTTGTTCACGAAGCAGTAGAGAACATTAGAGAAGTTTTTCTTTTTTGTATCTGAGTAGAAATTGGATTTAGCAATTGTCATTGCAATGAATTTACAATTGTTATTACAGACACAGGATCAGACCGAGTATTTTCCGAGTCAGTCTCTGAACTGGCCACCCAGCTACACATCAATGGTATCAGCACAGAGGACGCGGGAAGCTATACCTGCCGAGTGGGACCGTTTGAAGCAGATGTAGTAATTACAGTCAAAGGTTGGTAGTCATTCCTTCCTTCAACTGTTTGTATTTGCACAAGAAATCATTAACCCTAACCTCAAATTACCAACTCCATCAAGATCCATCCCCCAAGTATTGCAAGCCATGTGTTTATCAAGTCCATCAAAATCAACCAGCACCAATATGGATTTGACAGATTTGGTCCTGAAGCATTCTGTGAAGCAGAGTGAGCTATTTTGACGGACAAGGTCTTCTTCTTAGTAAAACTGAGTAGGGAGTTAGGGTTCAAAGTGGTGTAATGACCAAAACATTTAACTGACTTATCATTATCATCATTAAGCCTGTCTTCACTCAAGCCAATCACTATTTATATGATGGAATGTTTTGCGTCGTGGAGAAGTAAATTGTTGGGGTTTGCCCTTCACCGGCGTAATTACATAACTGTTGTGTATTCGGTGTTATCCAAGGGCTTTAAAGAACAAACTGCTTTATTTTTGGCTTGACTTTGCAGTTGTTGAGTGCAACCCACCATGCATCAATGGCGGAACATGTACACTCAGTGGCTGTCGCTGCCCACCTGGCTATATCGGGCAACTGTGTGAGGAGATCGGTGAGTTAATTTCATTTTTAATTTCTATTTTCCCAAAAAAAACCTGAGTAAAATACCAAATAAGATGATAATATAATTGCATAAGATTATTTGTGTTAACACTTCTCTCTCTGACCTTAGTTAACTGTTGACTCCTTTGAGTAACATACAATGCTCATTATAATGCACGTTTTTTTCAATGAGCTGTGTAATCAAATGGCACATTCGAATTTGAAACTACCCCAGATTGAATACACTGTTGTTATTTCAACGCTGGTTCGTACTGCAGCGAATACTAAAAATAATTGACCACAAACTTGTCCCAGATGTTGGACACGCCTCATCATATCATGACTAATCTTCCCAGAAACATTTTCTTACCTGTTTTTGGCATTCCTTCTTTGATCCCAACTACCTGTGTGGTTCCGTTATGTATCCTCATTACTCACCATTTTCTCATTGGTTCTCGTAAAACGAAACCATCTTCTCCAATTTGCTTTGGACATCTATCATCAGATCCCAACTACTAAGTGGTTCTTCTGAGACCCATGTTATTGGCATCTTTCAGTTTGCTCTAGAAATCCCATATCAGATCCTTTCTACCTGCAGGTGCCTGAAAGAAACATTCTCCTAACCACTTTCCCGAGATGTAATCAAGTCAGTCACAAGTCATCTAGTCTGAAGCCAAGTTAACAGTCTATTGCAATGAACTGTGACAAAGGCATTCCTTTTTCATTGTTTATCACTTGTTCTTTGTATTGACTGTTCAATTGACTTTTGAATTTTCTTTTGAGTATATTTTGTGATTTGACGTGATTTGGCCTGTAATTGACTAGATTACAGCCCTGCCACTTTCTCTTTCATTCTTGCCATCCCTCTTCAGATCCGAACCACGTGGTTCTTCCAAAAAACATCTTCTATAATACCACATTCCCTTTCATCTTCAATATCTTGTCTTAGATCCCAACTACCTTGTAGTAGATGTGCCCAACATCATCCCAGTCTATGGAGGTGACTTCTCCCTGCTCTGCGTCCTACCGGAAGGCAGTCCCTTCAGCAACCGGCGACCAATCTGGCTGGATCCACTGAACCGGCCCATCCCTCCCATCGAACAAGGTAAGAAGTGGACAATGATGTCATGATGACGTCATCATGGGTCACGTGACATCACTTTAAAGGTGTATTTTTTTCAAAGTCTTATATCAAGAGAACTGCATGTCTGACTGACATGAAACTTTGCAGGTTCATAGACAGGTACTTGTCATATGTAAAAATTGAGGTGATGTCATGATGACGTCATGTGTATTTGTATGAATTTTATTAAATATTACCATATCTCATGAAAAAAACATGATAAAATTGAAAAGAAAATTCTTTTTTTAATATAGGTTGGTAGGTCATAGAAATGCAAAAAAAATAGAGAAATGTGTGAAACTTGGTGGGTACTAGTATGCAAAACAAAAAATGACGTCAAAATGAGGTCAATAGAATTTTTATGATTTTTTAAATTTTTGTATTTTTTCCGACTGCACATATGAATCAGATTGACTTGAAACTTGGCACAGACAAAGACCACATATGGTAAATGTGTGAGATTAAACTGAGCTTTGTTGATGTTTACTTAAAAATGGAAACTCGAGTTCAACTTTATGTCGAACGATCCATTTAGCTTTGCCCAATTCTGTTTTGACCAATCATAGTGGTGATTATTGTCTGACATGCATGCACAAAAGTCAAACATACGTGTTCGCGTGCATATTGAATGCACAGCTGAAACATGCAGTGCATCATTGGTGAGGCACATGTGTTTATAGGTGGTTGGGGTCTAATTGATTGGTTTGTTACCGAAACTGTGTCAGAAAAATTCATTTTGTCCTTAGAATTATGTGCGGAAACTTTTTCTTTTTAATCCACCAATCAGGAGGGAGCATAGTACTAAGCACAGATCAGGTGACGCCTCAGAGCACACGCCTCATCTTCAGGAATCTACAGATGTCCTCATCAGGGACCTACACGTGCATGGCGGGCCCTATCAGATACAGATACGACTTGGTGGTTGAACGTAAGTAGGGGGGGGGGAAAGAGAAGTTAGTTCAACAAAAAATATTGTGTTGTTTCTGGTCCAAATTTTTCTTAAAACAGTGACGGAGTGTGTATCTTTTTTTTAAGGGAACTGGATAGAAATCGGAAAATGATGCACCATAGCATCATTTTGTTTTGCTGAATTCTAATTTTGGGACAGTTATACTTCCTGAAGTTTAAGGCGAGAAGAGAAAAACAAATTAAACCAAAACCAACCAAAATAAAAACATTGTTCCAGTTACATAACTGAAATTGTGTTTGCGTTGCATTTTTTTCTTAACAAAAACAAACAAAAGTGCACCAGTCACCCCGAAGCCGAACCCGAAAAGATTTCTGGCAGTTAAAGGTTGTATGCACAGTTAATCAAAAAGAAATAGAGCTTGTTTTCTTGAGCAAGATGCCTTACTACAATTGCCTCTCCCACCCAGAAATACATGTATAAAGGGTACCTGTTAGTTAAACCAAAATATTGTAAAGATCCGAAGCTGTTATGTAAAACTTATCTTATGGCTTTGGACAAGCACTTTAAGACATTCATTTGAAATTGATTTAAGCATTTGAATTTGTTTTGCCTTTTTTCTGTTTTCTAGTTGTTTGTTTTGGTTAATTCTTTGGGTTTTTTGGTGGTTTTTTTTTTGCCAGTGCCATCCTGTTTCCCGGAGTGTAAGAATGGAGGGACTTGCAACAACAGGGTATGCATTTGTCCTATTGGACTCACAGGGGAAGCATGTGAAGAAATTGGTGAGTAAATTACAAATGAGTAGCAATGAGGCTCACTTTAATTTTGTCCATCATTTTCCTCAAGGGCTTGTTGTTGTTGATGTCTTCAATGCTAATCTGCGGACTGCTGAGTTGTCTACGAGTCAATCACAATTTAGTTATTCACAAGTCAAAATCTCCGCTTGGCAAGTAATTTATTTTTGTAAATAACATTGTTTTTTTATGACATTCTGGTGCAGAAATTCAAAATTCTATTGTGGCCTAGTGAAAATGCCCGCAGACTAGATGAAAGTCTGTTTCACAGTCCGACTGGCTAGTGAAACAAAAGACATTAAGGGAGAACCTTGGACTGGTCGATGGTTGGTGAAGAGAGCCGGGCAGTGCTGTCATATAGGATAACCCCGGCTCATTGTGTACATCAGATGCATGAAAAGACTTCCTGTGAATTGCTATTCTGAATCCATTGAATAGAATGTTGTGTGCTCTATGATCAGCTTTACAAGGCCTGCCTTGTCATTCCTTTTCTTCTTGTAGTTGATGGCTTTGTCGTCGTGCAGAACCCAGACCCTAACCCGCCCATGGTCGGCGACACCATCAAGTTTGTCTGTGAGGTGCCAGAATCTAGCACCTACGGCCAGCCCATGTGGATTAACCCCAACGGAATCCAAATCAGTCAACTGCAAGGTAAGAAAATGAGGAATTTATTTCCCATAATCCATAAATCCATTTGGAAAAAGTTTGAAAGTTGCACTTTTATGAAGACATTTAGAACAAACACAATATAACAGCTGTTCCTAAACTATAATTTCCACTCTAACACCATGTGCCCTGGATGTCATGCCAACAGGCAACTGCCGTGCAACCAAGCAGGTTATGTAGCCCACATTAAGCAGTTTATGTCAAATCTTTGAAACCATTCATATTTCAAGAGATATTGTTGATGTACCCTAACGTGGCACGGCCCCTAACGTGGCGCACTTTGATTTTTCGCCTGTAGCGCCTACCTAGAGCGAAAGTTTTAACTGAAATTTCCAAGAAAGTGAAATGTCATCAAGTTCTAAACACTCCTCTTCATAAATCGCGAGTTTATTTACCCGTAACAAAGTTAGAAGAACAATTTATTTTGGCGTGATTTTCCGATTTTATTTTCAGGTGCAAAGTAAACCCTTTAAAAATGCCCCGAAAAATAAGAAAATAATTTTCGGACAAACATCTGGCTGGGCATGTAAGTAGAGATAATAATTGTTTATCAGAATTTATCAAGTTTACAGGAATTCTTAAATGTTAAATTGGAATTTTCCGAGATTTATTCAAGTGCGCCACGCTAGGGAACACTCCGCCAATTTGTGCCCAATTTCCGGACGCCACCGTTTTTGAATTTCGGATTAAATTTTATGAAACTGAATTTGTTCACAGAGGTTAAATAGCAAGCATTTATAAGGTAAAAGTACTAGTGTTTTACTGCATGAATTTGAGGTTTGTCAACAAAGAGGTTTGGCAACACTACACGAGGAAAGTCGGGTAAGCTTCGAAGTGCGCCACGTTAGGGAACACGACTATATACATGCAGTGCAGATGAGAACTGTATGTCATTACGTGACCGCAACATCCAATTCTTGAAACAAATATCACATGGTCTACTATATTCGTAAATTGTGTTTAATGTTATGAAAGCTGTTTACAATGACTTGGGCAACCAGGAGAGTTTTTTGGGGGAAAAAGTCTTCCAATACAGATGCTGCAGCCGATTTCACAAAACCTGCAATTGCGCAACTCCGCTCGCGCCTCAATTTATTGCATAAGTTGTGCAACATTTCATGATGTGCAACATTTCACTTACGACACAGTTCACGAAAGTCTCATTTTGCGTAAGTCCGCAACTTGCACAATCAATTATGGCGTAACTTGTTCAATCATTTTATGTGCCATAAGTTGTGGCGTAGTGATGGAAAATCATCTATTTTACAAGTAAATTACACAACTTTTCAAGATCGATACAAGTCACTCACCGCTTAGTGTTTGAAGTTCGTTAATTGCTATTTTACTAGTGACTGAATTTTAGAGTTGCCGCACGATTCTGAACAATATTTTCAAATTGTTTGTGGTTAACTTTATCATCAAACAATTCTGTCGTTTTGTTTTTGTGCAGGTGAAAATGACAACATGGGGACTGAGATCATGTCTCCCTTCTCCACCAGCCTGCTCTTCAGAGAAATCCATCTGGAAGACGCAGGGACGTACGTCTGCAAAGTTGGACCAATCAGGCAGGGCTTTAATGTCACTGTCACAGGTACAGAAAAAAATGACAAAATTCTTGGGCAGTGCCAAAGATACTAAATATTTGAATATTCCGTTTATGTCTTTTTTTTTTAAGGAAATGATTAGGTAAGGGGCCATTCAAATGTTCGATGTTTTTAAATTTCAGTTATTTTTCGAAAATGTGGGTGGGTGGGTCAAATTGATTTATTGAAATTTTTGTTAATTGAAATGCACTTTTCTCAATTAAAAAAGAAAGAAAATAGAAAAATAAAAGTTCTTGGGACTTGCCAATTCAACTCTGCACTCCGATTCATAAACCCTTTGCCCGTACCATACCATACGGGTACAGTATGCATCCGGTACATGTACAATGTACCGTGTATTGTGTATACGTCCATCGGAGCACAATATGCATGGGGACCAGTGAAATTAGACTTAAAGCATGTGTAAAATCAGTGCCCCGTGCAAATGGAGCGGTATACCAGGTTCATTTTGTCTTAATACACGCCACGAGTGTCGCTAACGAATCGTGACAACAAAATAAACCTACTTGTGTTCAAGACTACTTACACAACCTGCATGAGCTCTGCGCATGGTAAATATGCGTGCAATAAACATGTCAGGGCCCACACGTCTGGAAAGCGCGAGTTGAGAGTTCAAATTTTTTTCTATCAAAAACGACTGCAATTTCTGAATACACTTCATGAATAATGGGAGTCATTACACCTCTTTACGCCAAGACAAAAGTTTTTTTTTTTTAGAGCGAGCTGATAGTTTTTATTACCATTTAGAATGGACTAGTTTTACGTGTTTCCAGGTGAATTCCCCTATAGGGGAATGCTAGTGGGCTGTGTTGTTGGTAAGCTGCATTCCGCCGTCACTGTACTAAATATGTGTTATGTTTTTTATTGAATGGAAAATCAGTATTTTAGGATTGAAAAATGGGGTGGGTGGGTGGGTGGGTGGGTCAAAACAATTTTAAAAAAATGCTAAATTTTTAAACTATCGAAAATTTGAATGGCTCCCTAAGGCAAAAAGCAATATACTTTGATTGTTTATTTATATAATTTAATTTTTGTCATGTTCCTTTTGATGACATCTTTAGTGCAATTTCTGTAGTGGCTTGTGTGGAATGGTCTTGCTGTTCGCAATTTTAGATACAAAATATGTGAGTTTGGCTTTTGACTGTGAAAAATTAAAGTTCACATTGCACCTGTCTGTCTTACAGATATACCTTGTGAGCCAGCCTGCCAGAACGGAGGAACATGCTTCAGTGGCATCTGCCAGTGTCCAGACAGATACATAGGGCCTAGATGCAACATACCAGGTAACGCAGTACAAATCCCAGATAAGAAGAGTGGGGGGGGGGGGGACATTTCGGCGGCATAACCACGCTCTTCTCCTGAAGATGCAGCGTCCTACGCCAAATGTACATTAGTCTTGTGTTGCTTGGTTCACACATGTATACTCTCATGATGCATGTGGGCATAAAGAGTACAGCTAGAACAATGCAATATGGCATTGGAGAGGCGCATGTGTTGTTGCCAACGTGCACAGTAGGTGGAGCTTGACTCTTTAGTCACTCTAGCGAAACCACCAGAGCGCTCTGTGGTTTTATTGAATTTCTAGTGAATAAACACAATGTACTACAATGTAATACAGATGCTGACAGGATTATGTGGGCGTTCCTAATACAGTGCACCAGCAAGAGGTTGCCGCAGAGAGTCAATTTTTCAACTTTATTGTTGACAGAAACATGGCGGACTTGCTGCGATTTGAACCAATAGTAGACAACTTGACAGCATTTTTGATAGATCGAGGCAACGCATTCTTCCGTCTCACAAAAAAACACCACATCTTGATAAAAAGAAAAATAGAAAAAGATGCTTGAATCATACACTTACGAACCTACTGACCGGACAAACTAACATTTTTAAGCGTCCGGCGCCATTGAAAATTTGTTGACCGTCTCCCACAATGCACTGCGAAAAATTGACTCTCTGTGGTAACCTCTTCGAGGCGCACTTTACTGGGAATTTGCCTGTATTGATCTTTCAATTACAAATCAAGTGAATAGAATATTGTGCTCTGGGAGCAGTTTTACCAGGCTTGCCTTGACTTATTCATCTTGTAGTTGGTGTGTTCCTGACCATCCGACGCCCACCTAAGCAGGTCTTTGACGTGGGTGAGGACGTCGAACTGACCTGCGAAGTGTCCAAGAACAGCCCCTTTGAAAACCCTCAATGGCTGGATCAGTTTGATGCCAAAATTGACGAAGGTAAATCAAAACTGTTAAGTAATAATTTAAGAATTATTGCAGTACATACTCAAGTCACACTTTTGACATTGCGAGTAACCTCCACTAGAAACTTCTGAGAGAAAACAGCCAATGTAACTGTAAACTGGCCAGCCCTCTAATCTATCTTAATCCTTTGTCCAAAACGATGGCTTTGTAATCACTAATAGTGTAATGAAGCCACATATTGACAAGTGCAGGGGATTAGCAGCAGTATCTGATAACAGGGGCCAGTTTGTTGACAAAGGGATTAAACAGTGTACCGCTAGAAGTACTGTATTCTTTCCGAGTTTACAGGCCCTAACTCGGAAAGCTGCTAGAAGCACTTACACCTCATGGACGACACTGACTCTCGAGTCAAAATTGACAATGACTCATACTCAACATGTCAGACTCAGAATAGATGTTAGTGACTTGAACTCGGCAGCAAAATGACAAATATGCCCCATTTTTAATATGAAGAATAGAAGAATATTTCTTGCATATTAATAGTTATTGAATTGAATTTTTTAAATTTTTATATTAACCTGTACATTTCATTTTCTTCCATAGTTATAACAAATTACAAATGAATGTGCCACTCTTTACACGCATAGTAAGCCAGTTGGGTATTTCAATGATATGGTCATGGAGCGAAGGAACATGAACACGCAATGAGACGGTCGCGCAACGCTCGCGGGATTATTACAAGCAGAATGGGCATACAGTGGAACGTCGCTATACCAAACGCCGCTATACCGAACATTCAGCTATACCGAACATCAGCCTTGGCTCCCAAGTTTTGTGTACAAAACGTACCGACCATTGTTGTTTGAAATATCAACAGAAGAGCAACAAATGGCTTTTTTTAAAAACTGTGTAATTACATGATTCAATAGTCGCACGCGTTCGAAGTCGTCTTCTAGTAACTACCAGGGTGTACTTCTGAAGTTCTGCTACGGAATTGAAAATATTAATGGACAAGTTTGGCGACTCTGCCCGTGGTTTGTAAATGCAACCACACAATAACAATGAGAAAAAGAGGGCGCCACGAATGTGTGAAAATCGCTATACCGAACGAGCACTATTACAAACAATTTCTGTGGATCCCACGATGTTCGTTATAGAGACGTTCCACTGTATACGTAACATTGTGATTACAAGACGCTTCCATTTCATCCCGAATGACCTTTGACCTGGACTACTTCATCGAGATACCGAACTGGATCATTCCCATGAAAGTGGTTTCGGATTTCATTTCTTGAATTGTTAAGTGACTCGTAACTTTGACTCAACCCAAAATGACTCGTGACTTGAACTCACACTCGGCTCAAACAACTTGGAACTCTCAATCAGACTTGGCATCGAGAACTCAGTGTAGAGGTTTGAGGACTCGAATACAAGTCTGGATACCTGACTTCATTTTCTTTGCCTAGGAATCCTGAATGAAGTGATCGGCACTCGCAACATGGACCAGTTCACCACACAGCTGATCATCCACAACATCCAACTGAATGACAGAGGGGACTACACGTGCATGGTGGGACCCATACGCCAAACAGTGACACTCTTGGTGCAAGGGGAAGGTAAGGGGAGGAGCTTATATTAATTGGGGGGGGGATTAGCAAAAGCATTAATAGAGAGACTTTCTTTTACCAATCTGGGCATGCTATCACTTTTATCACAGAGGCTTCCTGCAGTTTTAACATTTGTATTTATTTATGAATGTAAGCTTGATCATAATCTGTTCACTTTCAGAGAGTCGTTGTCCCATGGCCTGCATGAATGGCGGCACCTGTGTGAACCAAGTGTGTCTGTGCCCCGAGGGATGGTATGGGACCGAGTGCCAAACACCAGGTATGTCTTATTGCCCCCCCCCCCCCCCCCAGTATTGGGAATGTCATTTTCTTGAGCAGCTATGACCTTTTTTCTTTGTTTAAAAAAAAATTGTCATCACGAACCCAAGAATGCTGCCGCTGTAATGTAATTCATAATGCTGACTAGGTTTGACTGGTTTCAACCTGTTTCAACTGGTTCCAACTGGTTCCAACTGGTTTCAGTTCACTTCTTGCATTTGGTTGTTTCATCTAAATTGCTGAACCTCCCTGTAATGCAAACCCATGCTAAATAAAATTGACTTGTTCTGACTTGTTCGAACTAATTTCAACTGGTTCTAACTGGTTTCAGTCCATTCCTTGCAGTTGGTAGCTCCATCCAAATTACCCAGCCCCTGTGCAGTGTAAACCCATGAGATCAACATTTTTTCTGATTGGTTCCAACTAGATAAAACTGGTTCAAACTGGTCTCGTTCCATTCCTTGCAGTGGGCGGTTTCATCCAAATTGTCCAACCCCCTGGTCAGGTGATTGGCATTGGCATGGATATCGCCTTCCTCTGCCAAGTCGTCGACGGCGACCATTTTGTCATCAATCCTGAATGGCAGTACCGCAGCACCAAAATACCCGAAGCTATCCCAGGTAAAGATACTACTCTAAACTTGTAGCCACAAATTACTTGACTATGGCTAGTAACTGGATATGCAGTGGTCTCTCAACTGGATAGTCTCAGAACAACCATTATGTTGTTATAATAATAATAATAACCAAGTCTTATATAGCGCACGTATCTACCAACAATTAGGTACTCAAGGCGCTGGAAATTATGTCCATTAATAGAGAAAGGTAAATAAAGTATATGAGAAATATGAGACCCATTATGTAGCACCTTATAAGGGTTGACAAGGTGTTGCAGCGTATATTGCAGCCACTGCCAGAAACACCGGGGCAAACCCCTTCTCTTAGTGATGAGTGTTACTGGGTTCTTTAACGTGCATTACACAACACACGGGACCTACAGCTTTACGTCCCATCCGAAGGACGAAGCAATAATGGTTCAGTGCCTTGCTCAAGAGCACAAGCACCATGTTCCCACGGCCAGGATTCGAACTCATGTACCACGGCACACAAATCGAACACAGTAACCATTGGACCACAGCACCCACATGTTAGATGAATGACCACTGAAGCTATGCAAGTAATAATGATAATGTGGTGCTTATAAAGTGCTTTATACCAAAGGTCTCACAGCGCTTCACAATTATTACCACTGTTCATCATGCGACCAGTTTTTGCAGCAACTCCAGATCAGCTCATTCTGGTCTCTACTTCCACAGATATCCATTTATACTCCTTGGTGGAGAGAGACAATTGTAATAATGTGTCTTGCCCAAGAGCACAAGCACCATGTTCCTTGTCAGTGCTCAAACCCACGTACCATGGCACAAGAGTCAAACACCTAAACCTTTGGGCGCAACTCATCAGCTCATCTAAGCACCACATACACTGCATGGCTTGGTCCATCCTTAGAGTATCCTTACTGTGGATGGCTTTACTATTTTCTTGCTATTTTGGTTCATTAAATGAAGAATTTTAAAACGCAATTAATGCTATTTTATTACCTATTAGAATCCCGCTCTCTTCTGGCTGCCCACAGACGGTTTCGACTGGTTGTACACACTTTTTGTTTTAATTGGAAAAATCGCGGTTTGAAATAAACACTTCAAATGCAGAATTTAATTATGGTCTTGTATTGTTATTATTATTATTATCATTTTTTTTAAGGTGAAACCAATCGTGTGCTTGTTGAGAAAGTGTCTCCGCTAGTCACACAGCTTATCATCCGTGATCTCACCATGGATGACTTGGGCGTCTATTACTGCTTCGCCAGACCTCTCTCAGCATCATTTGAGTTGACTGTTTCAGGTACTCAGCATTTTCTTTTCCTCAAGAATACATACCAATTTAATGAAAGAAGCCTTACCCAAAGTGATAAGTGAATATAGTAAAATGTAACTTATTAAAGTGAAGTCTGTCACGAGAAAATGTGGCCCATCAGGACAGCGTTTATCTCTGGTTTCAGTAGCATGAAACGACTGATAATATTTCTATTCCCCATGGATGGGATGCCAGTCCATCGCAGGTTACTCCCCAGCTAATGCCGGTACCCATTTATACTCTTGGGTGGAGAGAAGCAAGTGGGTTAAAGTGGCTTGCCCAAAGACACATCATATGGCCAGCACCTGGATTCGAACTCGTACTCTGATCATGAGTCACGGACCCTAGCTAACTACTAGGCCACACTCCCCCAAAGTGCATATTGGACTGGTATCAACTACCTTGTGAAAGTATTCCACCTGAAATGGAATCGTTCAGAAGAAAACAAACAAACAAGGTGTGTTCAAAATAAGGTGTCCGCAAAGGAATGTCAGCAAAGGAATCCAGTTATGAGACCCAAGGAAATTATGCACATGTTTTCTTTGTTTACTCAAAATGTCAAGTAGCCACTAAGCTAAAACTTCAACAGGTTAGTTGTTACACACCCTGATCAACATTTTGAGCAATTCTGTCGCTACACATATAAAACATTGCACATAAAGCTAATGATTGGATGTTTCTTCACAAACAAATCTATTTTGTTTGCATGATGCCTGTGTTTTTCCATCCCCCGTGCAGTGTGTGATCCCCCATGTCTGAATGGAGGAAACTGTGTTAATGGCCGTTGTGTTTGTCTGCAAGGCATGACTGGTCCCCTGTGTGAAATACCAGGTTAGTTTGCACTCCTGAAAATAAAAGGAAATTGTTGATTTCTTTTTCTAAGGTCAGGCTTAATAATGATTGTATGTGGTAATAGATCTGAAATTGTATTGGTTGCGAACTGTTCGCATGATGTATTGCAAACGTTTTAAAAAAAATTCCTGATCAATTTGCATGTATTAATTTGCATTGTCGTGTAATTGGGTAAAAATTGTGTAACTATTGGGGAAGATTTCATTACCGACACCTCAAACTGACTCGCGGTGTTGCATGAATACTCAGCACGCACGCGTACTTTACAAAACCGCATAATTTTGGTTTTCACGAACTGACACCCTAGTGCTGCATGCGCACACTCTATAGACTTCCGTTTTCACGAACTGAAACCTGTCTTAATTTCACCAGTTTATGTTTTTAATTAAATGTTTCTGTAACCCGACAAGTACTCTAATGGAGTATAATTCGTGTCGAACCTTTCAAAGTGTTTTTCTCTGATTTGTGTGTGTGAGAAAACCAAAACTATTCTGTTACGTGTCACTGTACGAAGTACACGCGCACACCTGCATGTCAGTTTTAATTATTGATTATTATAGTTTTCATGAAATGAGAGCAAACAGCGCGAGCTGTTAGATCGTGAAACCGGCAACGAATTTGCCCAAGAGTGTCGGTAGATGTATGTTGAACAACATTGGGCAAAAAAAAAACACCTTTTCATAACTATTGTACAATGGACGTGTTTAATCATAGTTCATTCCTTTATTCTTTTCAGTTCCTTCATTCAACTAGGACAAATGGGTTAACCACATTGAGGAAAAACTATGTATTTGTATTTTTGTAAAGCAGAAAAAATATATGTATGAAATAAAATCTGAAGATTTATACTTTTCAGTTGACGGCTTCATCACGATTGAAGTCCCTGAGGACCAAGTACCAGTCATTGGTGGGCAGGTCGTGTACATCTGTGAGGTGCCAGACACCAGCTCATACGGGGCACCAGTGTGGATCACGGCACAGGGTCGGGCCGTACCGTCAGCAGAACAAGGTTTGTCTAATTCAGTCACACCCTGATATACATCCCCCCCCCCCCGAAAAAAAAAGGAAAAAGATGCCAAGACAGTAATAGTCTGTTTAACCCATAGCACCTATAAAGTGGAACACCGGTATCGGGGGATCCACAAAAATTGTTCGTAATAGCGATCGTTCGGTATAGCATTTTAAACTGCGAGTGCTCCCGTACTCAGTTTTCAATAAATAGCACCCTTCAGAACTTCACCCTGCATGCCCTGGTACTTCTAGGTACTGAAAGATGACTTTGAACACATGCCAACTATTGAATAATGTAATTACACAGACTGTGAGCAATTACTACCTACAGCAATGGGTGGCTTTCCCCTTCTATTCCTTGGGGAAATAATAGCCACTTGTCGCTCTTCTGTTGACATTTTTCAACAACAATATTTGGTACATTTTGTACACAAAAATCAAGAGCCAAGGACGATGTTTGGTATAGCCAAATGTTCGGTATAGCGGTGTTCGGTATAGCAACGTTCCACTTTACTACATTGTATATACATTGTGTTTATTCACTGAGGATTGAATGTACAATATCAATTCTCAATCCTGATTGGTCGATCCAAAGCAACCACAGTGTGATATTATATACCTAATGCCAGGGTCCATATCGCACTCCACGTATCGTGCTATTCTTAGTCGTACACTATTCATACTGCACTCCCGTGTAATTGACCTATGGCAGTTTGTGAGTTAATCACGCCCCTTAGACAACCATATGGAGTTTTTGTACATTAAGTTTTGTTTGTCTCAGATTTTGCGCATTTCGCGTCCATTTGTAAATCATGTAATTGATCAATATTTCACAAACTGCATAATGTGATTCTAATGCGATTCTACCGCGATAGGTCAATAGGACAACCGTTGAAAAGTTTGCGTACAGCGTGCTTGTTCCACTTTACCCCTTGTCAGTTTTGCTTGAAAATAAGATTGTTATCCCACTCACACTCGTGGCAAATAGAAAAATGTAATTTGACTGAATTCCATATACCACTTGGCCTTCAGTAACATGGTATATGGGACACAGAGGCACTTCCTTATCCATGTTTCACTCATGCTCGTAGGATAACTATAAATAGTGTCTTTATGTTTATCAAATTAGGTTTTGCCCTTCACTGACATATGATGCAGTACCCGCTGCTATATATGTACATCAGATTCAAACCAGCCAACCGATCCCTAGCTTAGTTTGGTGGTCGAATGGTAAGAAATCTGCACTAGAAAGCAGGAGGTTGTGGGTTCGAGTCCCACCCGATTGATTTTTTCCAACTTTAACTCGGGAGGTAACACACTGAGTATACAGTGTTTATACATCGGTGGAGGGCAAAACCTAATTTGCTTTACATCACCCCGACGCAAAATTCCATCTTATGAATAGTTAATGCGTTACCCGCTGCGATGTACAGAGTATGAAACACTTTATGCTATGCTTCATGCTATGAAACGCATGTTTATTTGTCAGACTCTAGTGTACGCGTCAGCTCCAACCAAGGCACATCTTTCAGTACAGTGTTGAACATCAACAACCTTCAAATTGAAGACCTAGCCAGCTATACCTGCATAGTCGGCCCAGTGAGGCACCCACTGGTCATTGAACTGCCTGGTAAGTATTAGAGCTGTGCATTTTCGAATAATTTAGTATTTGATTACTTGAAACTGCGTTTGTCCGAATATTGAAATATTCGAAACTCTGTAGTGAAGTTTACACATGCAACTGCATGCATGCGACACCTGTCAAAAGCTGCATGTGAAGTGCGTCGGTTATAATTTGCACTGGATGATCGATGTTATTGGCCGCAGGACTTTTTGGCAGTAAAGTATTTTATAACTGTCATTGGCTTTAACCTGCTAAAAGGATGTGAAGAATAACCGCTGTTAACAAAAAAGGGTATTGTCAACAAAATGTGGCATCGGACAATAAAGCGCAGCAACCTTATGATTAAAATAACATCACAGTCGTGTGTGTACATGCATAGTTTTTTTTATCTATTGAATTCAAACCAACAACAGTTATTTGAACATTCGGTTAATGATCAAAACAGCCATAGTAAGTTTACATGTAGTTTCCTCTAAACTTGTTTTTATAGCCCAAAATATATTAGCAGAGAATAAGCGCAATATCATGTAGCTTCTAAATGGAAATAAAAGAAATCAAGTTACTATGTTTAGCAAAAGGGAGCTGAAACAGTTATTCCAATGCACTATACATTGCATGTAACTTTCTGGGAAAAACAAGTTGTAATAAACAAGTGAAATGCTGTGTTGTATTTAAAGCGTGTGACTATCAATCTGATAATCAATATTGGTAATCAATAATTAGAACAACTTTTTAAAATAAGGTTCGGTAGTTTTAGGACTGTAGTTGTTAATGTTACTTTTGTTCCCTCAGCGGATATATGCACACCCCCGTGCCTGAATGGTGGAACCTGTGTCGAAGGTCAATGTGAGTGTCCAGCAGGGCTGAATGGAACCCAGTGTGAACTGATAGGTGAGTAACAAATGAGTTATTACGTAACAAGTTGAATGAAAAATAAATATTGTTATGATATCACATCATCCTATTGTTTCACCAGAGACCAGCTTTATTGTCAAGAGCCCACCCATAGCCGAAATTCCCTACGTAGGTCTCATTTCCACCTCAATATTCTGTTATAGTCATTTGTTTTGACCAGTGACTGGCTTTATGGTTGTGAGACCAACCAGAGACCAGGTTCCTTATGTAGGTCTCAACGTCACCTTCATATTCCCTTATAGTCATTTTGTTTTGACCAGAGACTGGCTTTATGGTTGTTGTGAGTCCAACCAGAGACCAGGTTCCCTATGCAGGTCTCAATGTTACCTTCATATTCCCTTATAATCATTTTGTTTTGACCTATGGTTTCTTCAGAGACTGGCTGTATGATTGTGAGCCCACCCAGAGACCAGGTTCCCTATGCAGGTCTCAATGCCAACTTCATATTCCCTTATAATCATTTTGTTTTGACATATAGTTTCTTCAGAGACTGGCTGTATGATTGTGAGCCCACCCAGAGACTAGGTTCCGTATGTAGGTCTCAGTGTTACCTTCCTATTACCTTATAATCATCTTGTTTTGACCTACAGTTTCTTCATAGACTGGCTTTATGGTGGTGATATCATCTTAACCTTTTTATCATTTTGAGCTTACATGTTTTTTCTTCAGAAACTGGCTATATCGTTGTTAGCCCACCCAGAGGCCAGGTTTCCTATGTAGGTCTTAACATCACCTTCATATGCCTGGTGCCTGACGGCAACATCTACACAAACCCTGTGTGGCTGATGCCAACCGGTGAAGAGGTGGCGTTAGATGCTGGAGGTGAGTTCTGGCATCACTCTTGTTTTAGTGAAAGCTTTGAGTTGTATTTGCAGGGGACAAATTGAGTAGAAAAACAAGAGAACATCCATTCACTCAAACTCAAAAGTCAAAATTAAACTTAAGTAGCAGTAAAATTCTTCAAGTAATGGATTGCAAAGCGAGAATATTTATATTTTGTGCAAGTGGTATTTATACAAAATATGTAATGATCAGAACTGGTAACTTTGTTTCAAATAGTATCCCTGCTTCCCCCTCCCTCCCTCTTTTTAGCTGCAGATAGAAGCTCAATAAATCGTTATGTTTCTTTGTAAGTTAGTTAGTTAGTTAGTATATAGTCAGTTAGTTAAACGTTGACAGTGTATTGTTCCTATGTATTTTGACCGATGTCAACCAAACTTTGTCAAAACTATCAGCAGCCCAGCCCCAACATGTCACATGACCAAACTGGAATCAATTGGCGTCACTGGGTCAAAACCTGATTTTTTTTTACTCGTAACAATACTCCAGAAATTACATGGCACAATCACATGACTCATGCGTGAACACGAATTTGTTGGCCTGCAGCTTCTGAGCTCGAGCTTGTTTGAAAGTGTAACAGCTAGAAATGTGTCGGAACTTTTAATATGTTTTTCTCTGTCTTGCATTTTTTAGGTGGATTCAGTCGGATTTATTCGGACATTGTGTCTCCAGAAGCAACCAGTCTCAACTTTGTTGAATTGCAGCTCGGCGATTCCGGCACCTACGCCTGCAAAGTGGGGCCTGTGGTGTTCCCATACAGCGTTGTTGCTGTCGGTAAGTTAACTTTGAACGTCATCAACCCTTGACTAAACTTTTCCAACACCACCACCTCCCCCTTTATTGACGCAATTGTACACGATTTATTGTACCCTTCTACCCAACCCTTTTTCAAATTACTCGCTTTAAGGAATTTTCCAGCATCCCCTTGTTACATGACGCAGTTTTACATAATTTATTGCAAAGTATTTCTCATACCTTTTTTTTTTTCATTTTCAAAATGAAGTACCAGAATGTGAACCGCCATGCCGTTATGGTGGAACCTGTACAAATGGAATCTGCCAGTGTCCGTTCGGTTTCAAGGGGCAAATCTGTGAATTCATTGGTAAGTGTGGCCTACTTTCATCACCATTTTGACGAAGGTACAGGGATGTCAAAGTAGCAATTTTTTCAGTTTAGAGTGTTATCGCTTTTATTGTTCCGAACATCGCACTACAATATTCTGCATTTCTTTTAGAAGCAAACCTTACATAATATAACATTATTTTGTAAGTGGCCAACATTTTAATAAATGCATTTTATGTTTTCACCAACATGCTGTACACAAAGTGTATTAAGACAGAAAGGGTGTAAAAGTAGAGTAAATGAGATTTCAAACGGACTGGCATCTTTCATACGTTTTCAGATGGGCATGTGTTAACATAGGCACCTCTCCCTATTGCAAAGCACATTGCATAGAAGAGCGTAAAAGCCAATCAACTGGAATTTTCGCTTTCTCGATTGGAGGACACTTTTATTGATAACTTTGGCCAATTGACCACAGTTTCGATGATTATTACTGGGGTCTGTAGAAAGGTAAGCTGTGGGCGTTTTTTACTGGATAAGGGGGGAATGCAAAATTTAATAGGCTTTAACTTGAGGTTTACATCCAGGTTTACATCGAGGTTTAGATCGAGGTTTACCTCGAGGTATTACATTGTTTGACAGGGTTTTGTGGGGTACCTCGTGGTAAAACCTCGATTTACCCCTTGTTTAAATGTTGCTTTCTTCCCTTAAGATTTTGAAGAGTTTATGTCCAAAACGCGTTCCGTATATACATTGTTCAATAAATACCTGTGATTTCAAGCACCTTATTTAAAATTCTCTTGTGGTTGTTTTCTTACAGATTTCACAATAGAGATTGAGCAACCTCCCGAGCAGACTCCCGAGATTGGGGGCGAGGCAGAGTTCACTTGCATCATTGACAGCAGGAGTCCTTACACCAATCCAGTTTGGTTTGATCAAGATGGACAGCAAATTACTCCTGGTGGGGAAGGTACAAACGATGTTCCAGAGTTTCCATTATTCATCATCATTCATCAGACTGTTATCATCCACCCTCAAATTTCATGCCTGGATCCTCCATCTCCAAGTCTTCAATCTCATCCTTGAAGTTGAACCTTTAATATCATGCCTCAAACCTCAAGTTTCCACCTCAAAGCTGAAAACACAAATATCAGACCTCAAACTTAAACCTAAAACTTTATACCTTAAACCTCTTACCTCCAACTCTGAATCCTCTGACATTAAACCTCATATCCTCAAACCTCACATTCCATAACTCCCAAATCTTAAAACCCAAACCTCAATATTAAAACCTCAAAACTCACTCTTCAAACTTTTAACCTGAACCTCAAACCCTAAAATTTCAAATCCTCAAACCTCAAACCCCAATATCGAGATCTGCAATATCGTCTGTCAGACTTCAAATCCAAAGCTTCAAACCTCAATCGCCCACCTCGAACCTAAATTTTGAAGACATATTCGAGAATCTAACCTATTGGTTGTGGTGTGATTAACAGCAGTCTCCTGCACCTTGTCATTTCATTTGCCACAACATACTGATTTGCTTCTTTATGTTCATTTCAAGATTCCACTCATTCTGTATTTGTTGCAGACTCCTCTGATGGTTCTCCGCGAATCTTCATTGATCCTGTGGATGAGTTCTCAACCCGCATCGTTCTGCGCGACCTGGAGCTCAGTGACGGCGGCACCTACATGTGCAGCGTAGGGCCCATCCGGTCCACATTCACATTCATTGTCAGACGTGAGTGATAGAAATAATGCATGCATTCAGCATTCATGAATGAGCTCAACTTTAAACCTGAGATTTAGTTGCCACTAGCTTTCAACTCTTTGGTGTAGCCTATGGAGATCTGTGCATGTACAATAAAAGTGGAGTGCCGTGGCCTCGTGGTCTGAAGCATTGAACCCGAGGTCTGCCGATAATTCTGCAGCTTGTGGGTTTGAGTCCAGCCTGGTGTTGAGGTGCGTGTGTCCTTGGGCAAGGCGCTTTGTCACTCATTGCTTCTCCAAAACCAGGAGTAAATGGGTACCTGTGAGGTCAGAGATGGTGATTGTGATTGATTTTAGCTGCTTTGTGCTGAAATGGCAGCATCGAGCTGTATAGTCCCTAGGGAGCTGAGATTGTCTTTCGAATGTTTCATTGGCCCAATGAGTTGGGTAGTAATTATGTAGCGCCTTGAGCACCAATACTGCTGGATACATGCACTTTGTAAACTGGCACTCACTGACCACTTATGAAGGCTCCATGTGAAGGACAGACACCAGTGTCATAGTTGAGTACATTTCCATGAGTACGAGTATGTACCTTTTTAAACAAATTACAATTCAAGCAAGAGAACATTTGCATGAGTACGAGTATGGGTACTTTGTTGCAAGTATGAGTACGATTAACTTGTAACAAAAAGCTGTATCCTGTTTTGATGGATCCCAGTTGGCTATTTTCAGGGTTTGCAGTGTTGTTAATGTTGCTCGTATCGTGACTTTGGGCGTGATCCTTGGTTACATGGCATATACAGGTCAATGGCTCAGTTGGTAGAGCTCGGAAATAGCAATCTGGAGGTTGCCTGTTGAAGCCCCGCTCCAGTCAATTTCTTTGTTCAACTCAAAATTAATTTCTTTCTTGTGAGTATGAGTACATTCTCATGAGTACGAGTAAGAAAAAATGTACTCAAGTATGAGTACCAATACGAGGACTACAACACTGAGGGACACATTAAATGTGTGCACTGGTTGGACCCGTATCATTTTTTGAAGAAGACAGGGTGTACAGAGTAATCCCTTGTAGACCACGTGGTATCTCCTCAGCCTAAAATGTAATTATTCTTTTTACAGAGCCCAACTGTGGTTTTGGTTGCTTCCATGGTGGAAGCTGTCTCGCTGGTGCCTGCCAGTGCCCTGAAGGCTTCACCGGCAACTACTGTGAGGTTCTGGGTAAGTCCAAGCAAACATGATCTCCATTTTGTGTTTAATTTCATCAATTTACATTCATATAATTGTTTTAATAGGGATATGGTTTTTTGACTACTGCAGAGTAGTACAGAATCATTGTAATGTGGTTGTTAACCAAGCCATGTGAGAAATCATGTTGATTGTGTCCTTGGGCAAGAAACTTTACTGCAATATGGATGATACAAAATAAAACAAAGCTGCCATTGGAGAAACTATTCCTTCTTTAACTGCAATGCACCATGCAAAATCTTCGGAGTATGGGTGTTAACCAAGCCATTGGAGAAAGCATGTTGGTTGTGTCCTTGGGCAAGAAACTTTACTGCAATATGGGTGATACAAGATAAAGCAATGCAACCATTGGAGAAACTACTCCTTCCTTAACTGCAATGCACCGTGCCAAAAAGTTGAAATACGTACTGTTAATATTAAGGGAATATACTTGTAATGAAATTTTGCATTAGAGAGATAATAATTTTGAAACTTGGGTTTTGCCCTACACAGGCATGCAACTTTTCCTTGGATCCGCTGATTTCATCGTTGTTTACTTCGCATGAATGCCATTACAAATTGAAAAACACTGCACAAAGGCTTGTGTGGTTTGGAATTTCCTTGTTTTTTTTCCTAAATTCCTGGTTGCATTCCTGCCTGCGCAATTTTAGTTTTATAAGGGCCCCTCTCAATTCATTTCCGGGACAACCTCCAGACAAGCGGGTAGAATCAATCACTTTTTCTGAATTAGTATTTTTTTAAATTAAAGATAGGAATGAATTCATTTCTTGCCTCAGTCCAAGAACCATTTGTTATCAAGATCGACGGTTCCGATGACCAACCCGATGTTGGGGACAGCATCAACTTTGTCTGCAGTGTGCCTGGAGGCAGTAACTATGGCAACCCAATCTGGTTGGATACCACAGGTGATGTCATCGTCAATCAAAACGAAGGTACGAAACTTGCTATAGAACTTGTGCATTTCAGAAGCCATCTTGAGGCGTGTTGTTTTATTCTTTGTATTTAAATACAGTGAAAAGGTACACTCATCAAAGATGAATTTAAAACACAGAATCTATAGAATCCTGAAAGCTTGGCTTCTAATTTTATCCAGAAGAATACATTGCATTTCTGGAGTTTCTTATTGGCCCCCATTACAGTATTTTCTGCCTTTGTTTGTTTGAACCGCAACTGATTTCGCATGCACACCCTTTCCATGTTCAGATGGTGGCTCCCTCAGACAGTTTGCAGAGCCTTTGTCATCGAGTGCCACTCGGCTTGTCTTCAACCAAATACAGACTGCTGATGCTGGAAACTACAGCTGCATTGTGGGATTGAACCGAGCCATCCTGTACATCAGCGTCCGAGGTAAAACCTGTCAAGGCTATAAAATAGAGTTGAATTCAAACCCATTCCAGGTCAATCACAAGTCAATCACTAGTCAATCACTAGTCAATCACAAGTGGATCACAAGTGAATCACAAGTCCAATCACAAGTCAATCACAAGTACAATCACAAGTCAATAACTAGTCAATCACAAGTCAATCACAAGTCAATCACAGGCAATCACTGGTCAATCACAAGTCAATCACAGGTCAATCACTGGTCAATCACAAGTCTATCACAAGTCAATAACTAGTCAATCACGAGTCAATCAGAAGTCAATCACATGGCAATCACAAGTCAATCTTATATCAAGTAAAAATTCAATCACAAGTCAATCATTAGTTAGTCCTAAGTCAAGTCACGTGGCTGGGTCTTACATAAGGATATATCTTCAAATGGGTATTCGGTAGTTGGTACATTTAGAAAAGCAATTAAATGAGTTCTACATATCGACGGTGTTTTCACGAAGTGACAAAAACCTTAATATCATGCAAAAAGGTCATTCCGAGATAATCGCCTTTGAAGTTAATCATTTTTTCAAAACACCTTTTCGACTAGTTTTTAGTTATGGATTTAGGAAATTCTTGCATTGTCAAGTAACATATGCTTTGTTCTTTGCTGATTCAAAGTTATTTATCAGAAGTCTCTCTTAATTAAACTGTAATTCATTAATAAAGACCAATTCAAGTTTTTATCAGTTCGTGAAAACAGCAAAACACAAAGGCCTCACTTTTTGTCCCATTAAGTTGTACACACTCTTCGTCACTTCGTGACAACATAAAACGTTCTAAGAAATTGTTACATTTGCACGTCTGACGTCACTGCAGCGCGCGCGCGTCTGTTCTTTATCGACATCGTTCACGGCGCGCGCGTCCACTCCCATCCTAACGCGTGTGAAGAGAAATGCATTTTTCCTCTGGCTCTGCTAACGAGGTAAGTTTTTGTCACTTCGTGAAAACAGAAAAACACATTTCAGGTATTTTGTCAAATGTTTGTTTTATGATAATCACAAAAGTAAACAATATTTTGCTTTGAAACTCGGCCAAATTCTTCTTTTTGTCACGTGCAATAAATTAGCCGACAAAAATCGAAATTGAAAATTTTTCGATTTTGCAGGTTTTGTCACTTCGTGAAAACATCGTCGATATGTTGAGGTGGTCTCAGAGAAGGCCAGCCTAGTGTCCTCTTTGTTCCTGACCGACTGACTCGCTGACTGACAAACTAACTGATTTTCACTTGTAAATTAGCACGGTAGTCTACTGGTGAAGTGAGCTGGGCAGTGCGATTGTATAGGATTACCCCTTATTGAGCTGATTCTGGCCCATTATCTACAGCAGACACATGAACAGACTTCCAGTGAATAGCCATTCTAAATCAACTGAACATAATTAATCCTTTGCTCTGTGGGTAAGCTTTGCTAGGCCAGTTTTGTGTTGTTTATCAATCTTATAGCTTCTGACTGTCGGACCCCATGTGCCAATGGAGGGACATGTGTGCAGGGATCATGTGTCTGCACAAGTGAATATGTCGGAGGATTCTGCCAAAATATCAGTAAGTTATGCTTTAGATTTTAATTGATAGAAAAAACACCCAACACAGTAGTAAACTGTGCGTTTCTCTACTGATGGTATATTAAAGTGTGTAGCACCCGATTTCAAGAAGCAATGCGACGCATCGCAACTCGGGTTACGACCTGTAACACGTCGCAACCCATACAATCCATTTCACGAAACTTGCAATGTGTTGAATGCTTCGTAAGTTCCTTGACAACAGCTTAAAACACGTCGCAAATTACGACGTGTAGTGGTCATCGCAAAATACAATGCGTCCTTTTCTTAGCCAGTTTCAAGCCATAAAAATTACATAAACGAGACCATAATAGTACCGAGACAATGTGTAAATGTAAGTTGTAAATGGAAAATGCATTGAAATAATTATGAATTAGCCTGGAATATTGCAGTTGAAATTTCAATGAAGCTACAGTCCACCGCTAGCTTGTTTTCCTTTAAAAACTGCATCATACGTCCGCCATTTTGTTTTACGTTTTGAACACTTTTCTAGAGGAGATCTGACAACTCTTTGTTGAACATCAGAGGACTATTTATTGTAACGCTGAATAAATTCATGCAACAGTCGCCGTGTTGTGCTATAAATACACTACGACGCATCACACTTACAATGCGTTTTGTGAAATGGATCGCAGGATGCGTCGCAACTGGGACGCATCATGCGATGCATCGTAAGTTACGATGAGTTTCGTGAAATCGGGTGCAGTTCAGGTGAACTGGCAACCCAAACGACTTTAAGTATTTTGAATCCTTTTTTTCCTAGAATTAACCAATTCCCTTTGGTTACGATTTTAACTGATAGAACATTTGCGTGTGTGTGTCTGTTAATTAGCGGTGATTGCGTGTGGGAAAATTTTTCTTGTTACTTTATTTAAATAGCATCATAGATACTTGTCGTCATCTTCTTTAGAGCGCTCACATTTTTCTAATAATCAAATTGGAAGAATGATATTCTTGGATGATTGAAGATTTGCACATTTTGTGAGGTATTCTGTCAAAATGAGACCGAATTGGGCAGAGGCCAAAATGAGGGTTTGCAAGTATTAGGAAAGAGAATAAAATTCTCTTTACAATGCTGTTTGTTGCACTTCAATCGTACATTCTGTTAAGAAGTAACGGCTGTTTATAGTTTGCAAGTAATACTGACAAAAAGTCCTTTAAAAGTTTCGAGTTTTTGTAGTAGTGAGAATGAGAGATGCCAATTGTATTTCATTTAAAACACTTTTTATTCCACGATTTATATACTATTTCTTTGAAATATGTGTAGTAGACATATGTGACCCGCTCTGCAAAAATGAGTCACATGCTCCAAAGCCACTTTTGAGCTAAAGGTCTTTGAAAGAATGTTGCACAGTGTTTAAGCAATTGGAATCCTGAACATTTTAAATTTTACACAATGTCCATTTTCATCAAACCAAAATAAGTGGCACATCAAAACAAAGAGCTCAAATTCCTCAATTTAGTACAGAGTAAAACTCAAAAAGTGACTCTGGTGCCCTGTGACTCATTTTCACAGAGCGGATCACATATTGATTATTACAAATATCAATAAATCTGAAAATCGAACAAAAATCAAACCCATTCGTTTCTTTTTTGGGCATTTTTCTCCATTGTGGCCTGTGCCCAGTTTTGTGTCATTTTGCTAGAATGTGTCACAATTTTGCCAGAACGCCTCACATGTTATACATACGGCAAAGCTCTACCAGCAGAGCCGTATCTGCTTGTTACAGCTGCTAATTTACTTTTTTCCTTGATATTACAGTCAGTGGCGATTACCAGTTCCGCATTCGCATTCAGAAGGGCCAGAATCCTGTGATCGGGGACAACATGCGCATCCTGTGCGAGATCCGGGGTTCCAGTACCTACAGGAACCCTCAGTGGAGCGACCCCAACGGCAACATCATTTACTCCAAGGATCTAGGTAGGTCCGGTGGTGCAAAAAGGGTCCAATTTGCAAAACAAGTTTGGGCAGGGGAAAAATATTGTTTAAGCAGTCTTCTGGTCTTGCAAATGCATTGAGCGATTTTTGTTAAGTGTACATGAAGAGTTTATTTCTAAAACGCAATGAATGCCATTTTCAAGCTTAGAAGTTCGTTTCCTGTCCTATTATTATATCAAGTAAATAAAAGACACCTTTCTGGGACTTGAGTTGCAGAGCCCGTATCAGGAGCTTGCGACACCATCACGGTGTCTTTATCAACTGGTACGAGATGGAGGGTACGAGCTGGCCCACGCGTACGACGGCCTCTTGTCATGTGACCAAGCCTGGTCCGTGACGGGTCACGTGAGGGCCTCAACAACACCAGTTGATAAAGACACCGTGAAGGTGTCGCAAGCTCCTGATACGAGCTCTGTAACTGAAGTCCCAAAAAGATATCTTTTATTTACTTGAATGCCATTTTGTTATCTGTTTCCATGCTATCCTGGCTGCCCACAGTCGGTTTGCATGGCTGTTATATAGTTAAACACAATGTAAGAAGAAAATTAAGCAAGTTTAAACAGCATTGTAGTTGTTTATATTCTTTAAACTTTAATTGACATACACATTTTCACTTTTTTAAAATAGGTTTGTCACGTTTTGGAAATAAATTCTTCATGTACGCAGTTATATTAAAAAGAATTGAAACCTGTTTTTTTTATGAGAACACCATTATCCATTAACTATGCAAATTATTTACAATAGGTGGCTCTGATGGACTGTGCAGTTATCAGTCTGTACCAACAGCAAGGTATGCACAAAAATGAAACCTTCTGTAAAGATCTTTATCATCAATCAATTATGCAAATTATTTGCAACAGGTGGATCTGATAGTCTGTACAGTCGGCAGTCAGTTACCAACAGCAAGTTGTATATCCAAGAGGTGACTGAAGCAGAAGCCGGGACATACACCTGCCAAGTAGGCCCACTCACTACAGAGATTACCATCATACCTAGAAGTAAGTTTTAACCCTGTAGTTACTGTAGCGCCCCAAACCACTGTGCCTATTACTCACTGTAGCGCCCTAAACCGTCCACTCACTCCACAGTTTGTTGATTTTTCAGTGAATAAAATACAATGTAATACAATGAAGTCTGTAGGTACTGTGTGGGGCACTGTGGGACAATGGTTACAGTGTACGACTTGTGTGCCGTGGTACATGGGTTAAAACCTTGACAAGGAACATGATGCTTGTGTTCTTGGGCAAGGCACTTTACTACAATTGCCTCTCTCCCCCAGGATTATAATTGGGTAGCTGTGAAGGTAGAGACCAGAATGCGTTGATCTTCAGCTGCTGCAGGGTTATTCCTGATGAACAGGGATAATAATTGTGATGCGTATTTGATCATATTCTTATGGAATTTACGCGATATAAATGTACAAATTATTATTATTACCACTGTTTGAAAAGTTCATGCACAGGAAGCGGTTCCATAATCTCTTTATCAACACGCTTGTAGCTACAGACCCTTTAAAACACGCTAGTCAGCTCTTCTGCAAATTGTCAAATAAACTAGAAAGGAAATTGCAGTGTTATAGTCCAGTTCATCACAACCGACGCTGGTCACAAATAAATCACAAGTCAATTCACAAGTTCTGTTGCAAGTGAAAGTGGTTGGACAAAATCAAAGGAATGGCTTTGTGACAGTAACATTTGAAGAACATGTGACCTAACTTGGGTGCACTGGACTAAGAAACTAGCGAAAAGTAATGAAAAGTAACTTGGAAACTAATGCTCTACCAACTCAGCCGTCTTGTCCTATGGGCTCCGTGCATCAACGAAAGAGGGTGCCCTTTTACCTAGCAACGACGTCCCATGGGCGGTACATTTAGCTGGTTGACACGCACCGTTCCTTAATTGTGTGTGACGCACGTACACACCAGGGGATTTGTACTATGTACGTGCAGTGGTACGTACGGCCGCGCGTTGCGGCAAAATTGCAGTCAGGCAAGATGGCGTTGGTCGGTCACCCCCCAACTGTACTTTCTTTGCCGATGAGTGGGTACTTGTGAACGGAGCGGATACATTCATCTTCCATTTGTAAATTTCTTTGTTCAATAGATGCAAGTCAGGAGCTAGTTGGTTATCAAGTTTCTGTCTGAGAGATCCCGTTTGCTGTTTTCAAAAGTTTGCAGTAATGCCAATGTTGCTAGCATGGGCCAAATGACACGAAGGGGTATTCGAATTTGCAATTTGTTGGGTGCCTGGCAGAAGGACACATGAGCGCTCTGACTCGAAAATCACTTTCAAGAAAACTGCATTGAAAAGCTCCAATGTTTCCCCGCGGGTATTATGTTCTCTCAAGCCAAATATAAACTGTACAAATTTGTTATTTGTCACACGAATGAATCATAATGTGTGGGACAACTTGTGTTAATTTCCGACGGAAATCTTTAAATGTCATTAAAATAGAGGCAATTTTCTGCATATGCCCTTTTGCTGGGAATGTTTAAGTGATTACGCGTTCGCGTATAAGGGTGTACGCCCATATGCCCTTCTGCCAGGCACACAACGAATTTAAAAATCTAAAAGTCCACTTAAAGTCATCCTTAATTCAACATTAATACGAAAACATAGCCAAGACATTAGGTTACCAGGTAACTACCTTCAGTAATGGTTATCCTTTGTTTTCTGTTTCTTTCTTTTTCATTTTCTGTGGCAGGGGAGACTTGTGTTGGTCCGTGTTTGAATGGAGGAGTCTGCCAGGATGGGGCGTGTAGGTGTGCCATAGGATATGCTGGAGAGTCCTGCGATATACCAGGTAATCATGGACGGGTATAGCCAGTTGAAACAGGTGGCCATTTTATTCAGGTGGCCACAATTGACAGGTGGCTACAATGAACAGGTGGTGATGGACAGGTGCTGTATTGGACAGGTGACCACATTCCACAGGAGGCCATGATAAATACATGCTTACAATTGACAATTGGCTAAAATTGCAGCTTGACCACACAAAAAGGCAGTGAAAGCATAGGACCAATAGGGCCACAAAATAAAGGTGGCCACAAAAGACAGGTGACCACATTGGATAGTTGGTCTCAAAAGACAGGTGGTCTCAAAAGGTAGGTGGCCACTATGGACAACGATGGACATTTGATCACGGTAGACTATTGGCCACAGTATCGAGAGGATACAGTGGGCGCGTGGCCCAAATGAATAGGTGACCACAGTTGACAGGTGGTTAGAATGTACAGGTGACATATTGGACAGGTGGTTAGAATGTATAGGTTTCACAATGGACAGATGGTATAATAGTGGCTTATATTTTTATACCAAGTGCTTTTCCTGTTTTGTTTGGATAGGGAAAGTTAGAGTTGATTCCAAATAGAATCATGACTCAAGACAAACTTGGAATAGTGTCAACAGTTTTGTGAGTCATACCTATGTTTAACTTGCAAAATGGATGAAATGTTATTTTTCTCTTTTGTCTAGTTGATCTGTCTGGTGATGGTCTAACAATCACAATCACACCGAGCATCGACAGAGAACCACGACAGGGAGAAAATGTGACATACAGATGTGCCATTCAGGAAAACCAGATTTACATGGACCCAGTATGGAGAGATGGAGCAGGCAACATAGTCACTACTGCCCTACCAGGTAACAATAGAGAATTATAACATAAACACAGTCACAGTGTGGGATAAAACAGGCAATATAATCACTAATGCATGCCCTTCTTGGTAAGTCTTGTGTAATACTGAATTATAACATAAACACAGTCACAGTATACGTAGGGGTAAAACAGGCAATACATGTATAGTCACTAATGCATGCCCATGCGTGGGTTCGAGCCCGCCGGGTGGACACTTGTGCCCTTAAGCAAGGCACTTAACCATTATTGCTTTGTCCTTCGGATGGGACGTAAAGCCGTAGGTCCCGTGTGTTGTGTATTCCAATGCACATAAAAGAACCCAGTGACACTTATCGCTAAGAGAAGGGGTTTGCCCCGGTGTTTCTGGTCTCCTGTATAAACTCCCATGCGGAGTATTTAGGAGATTAACCAACTAAGAACAAGTAAGTATTGTGTAATACAAGATAACATATGCACTTGTGTCATGCAGTTTAATCACTACTACCCTGCTGGCAAGTTTCCTGTACTACAAGTGGAAACGAATGTACACACAGGCCATAACTCTCATCCAATCCTTTTACCTATTTGATCATCCCCAATTACAGGTCAGAATGTGAACACGGAAGCAGTGAACTCCTTTGTCAGTGAGCTGACCATTCTTGACATGTCACTAGAGCAGGAGGGCATCTACAGCTGTTCAGTTGGGCCAATCACAAGCTTCTACACGGTCACAGTAGCAGGTATGTAGGATCAATTCAATTTTTGCCATCATTCAATGTACATTTTCACCTAAACTTCACCTTCATCCAGTCTTCACCTTCATCCAGTCTTCACCTTCATCAAATATGCAAATTGTCCTAATGTACCCCATAGTCCAATATGGACCTTCATCCAATCTACACCTTCATCCAATCTACACCTTCATCCAAACTACACCTTCATCCAATCTACACCTTCATCCAAACTACACCTTCATCCAGTCTACACCTTCATCCAATCTACACCTTCATCCAACCACTTTCATCCCATCTACACCTTCATCCAATCTACACCTTCATCCAAACTACACCTTCATCCAGTCTACACCTTCATCCAATCTACACCTTCATCCAACCACTTTCATCCCATCTACACCTTCATCCAATCTACACCTTCAACCAACCTTCATCCAAACTACACCATCATCCAAACTACACCATCATCGAAACTACACCTTCATCCAATCTACACCTTCATCCAATCTACACCTTCATCCAATCTACACCTTCATCCAACCTTCATCCAGTCTTCATCCAATCTACACCTTCATCCAATCTACACCTTCATCCAATCTACACCTTCATCCAACCTTCATCCAATTTGCACCTTCATCCAATCTACACCTTCACTCACTCTCAGTGGTGGATCAAGGAGGTGTGCCTTCTCACGGAATACATTCAGTAAACTTTGGACGTTTTCTGAAATGGGCAGGATCTTGCCTCTTTTTTTGGCAGCGTCTATTCTTAGCCGTAGGGGCTACCTGCCCTAAGATTCGCAAGAAATAGTCTAAATCTTTTTGTGTGGGAACTAGACTATCCGAAACCCAACCCCTGTCCTCCCACGCAGTGGGCAAGGGGGCAAATTAAAGCCGCTTCATACAGTTTTACCCTATATCCAATCTCCACCCTTTTATTCAATTTTCACATTCAATACATGTTCACTTATGTAGTCAATCTACACCATCATTCAACCAACACATTCATCAAGTTTCCTTCTGTGTCTAATTAATGCAAAGATTTAACAGGGACTATTTATTTTTCTTGTTATCCGGATTCCATTGGCTTCTTTGATGAATCAGGTTTTATAGGCTATCGTGGGATTGTCTTTTACTTATGTTGTAATTCAGTTTTGTAGAGCATTTACTGATCGATATGAACATTTTATTAAATTTTTTTCTTTAATTCCTTGTTTTATTTTCAGCTCCTGGCTGTATACCTGATTGCATCAATGGTGGTGCTTGCATTAATGAGGAGTGTCTGTGCCCGGATGGCTATTCTGGCGACTTCTGTCAAATAGAAAGTAAGTGATCAGATAGTGATTGGATGGCAGGCAGGCTGGCTGGCTAGCTTGCTGGATGGGTGGATGGCTGACTAGTCAGTTGGCTGGTTGGTTTGCTTGCTGGCTGGCTGACTTCCCGGATGGTTGACTGGCTGGCCGGTTGACTTACTGGCTGGATGGTTGGCAAGCTGGCTGGCTGGTTTGCAGGCTGGCTGGCTGGCTGGTTTGCTGGCTGGCTGGCTGGCTGGTTGGCTCGATGGACGGATGGTTGGCTTGTTGATTGGTTGGCTGGCTGGCTGGATGGTTGGCTTGTTGACTGAGTAGCTGGTTGGCAAGCTGGCAGGTTGGCCTGTTGGCTGGCTGACTGGCTGAATTGATAGATGGTTGGCTTGTTGACTGAGTAGGTGGTTGGTTAGCTGGTAAGCTGGCTAGCTGGCTGGCTGGATTGATGGATGGTTGGCTTGTTGGCTGGCTGAGTGGCTGGCTGGTTGGCTGGCTGGCAGACAGGTAGGCTGGCTGGCTGGCTTGCTAGTTGGCTGGTTGACTGGCTGGTGGGTAGGCTGGCTGGTTGGCAAGCTGGCAGGTTGGCCTGTTAGCTGGCTGGCTGGCTGGATGGATAGATGGTTGGCTTGTTGACTGAGTAGGTGGTTGGCAAGCTGGTTGGCTGGTAAGCTGGCTAGCTGGATGGCTGGATTGATGGATGGTTGGCTTGTTGGCTGAGTGGCTAGCTGGCTGGCTGGCTTACTTGCTAGTTGGCTTGTTGACTGGCTCGTGGGTAGGCTGCCTGGCTAGCTGGGTTGGTTTATTTGCCATCCCCTAATCTGTAGCTACAAAATTAGCAATATCATCCCCTTATATATTTTTCATCCATTAATTCCTTAGGGATCTGTAGTACTGAGGAATTTTCAAGGTAGGAAAATATAACCCTTCTTTTTTATTTATTTCACAGCATTCCGTCCCTTCAGTCTGAATGTCACCATTGGACCAAACTACAATCCAGTTGTCGGAGGTGAAGTTTCCTTTCTCTGTGAGGCAGTCGGGACCCACGCCCTTGAGAACCCGACCTGGTTCAACCAGTACGGTGTGGCCATTGGGGAACAGGATGAAGGTAAGGTGCCAGACAATGGTAGAAGTGCATTGTCACTTGAATGTAACACATGTGCATCACGCACATACGTTAAATTCGCATCCATGTAAATTTCAATCAAACACGAGTGGGACTCACATGAATGTAGAGAATGTTAGTAGGTGATCAGTAGTAGGTGAAGTATGGGCGCAGTGTTCTACACATCTCGGGTTCAAATACCTGTCCAGCCAATTTCTTTTTTTCGTCCTAAATTTGATCACGTTGTCATGTGTCTTCCATTGCAGTGTTCGGCCGTGTGTATACCACCAATGTATCCAGTTTTGCTCAGAGAATTACCATCAACGACATTAATGAGATAGATGCTGGAATCTACACATGCGAAGCCGGCCCTAGAAGAACCAGCATTGTGCTGTCTGTTTACGGTATGTCTAGTATATCGCAAGATATTCATGAGTAAAATATGTATCAGTTTTCCAATATTTAGGCTCTGATCTACACTTATCAAGCATTTCAATCTCTTTATCCACGTTATCAAAGATCAAGTAAGACATGATATATTTATAATATATTGATAAGGTTTCAGAGATTGAGACATTTATATTTACTAGGTTACAAGGCAAGTTTAAAGGGGCATAGCACTCTACTGACTGTGAAATATAATACGTATCAGACACAATCAGCTACAGAATGAGTATTTCAATCCTTGTCTGAGGTATATCAGGAATACCAGTGTGATAGTGTAGGTATATTTTATGCTGTTGTGTAGTCCCATGTATATTACATGAAAATAAGCGATGGAATAAATAATTTGTTTTATCTTGCAGTTCCGGAGTGTCTCCAGGAATGCCAGAATGGAGGGACCTGTGTGGAAGGGGTGTGCGCATGCCCTGACGGAATTGTTGGACAGTTCTGTGAATACTCTCGTAAGTTTCAGACAACTATTACATTTATAATATCTTACTGCTAATATTTATTATAATGGTAATATCTTAAGCAAATATTTTGTTATTAAAAGAAGTCTTTCTAGAGAATGATAATACAAAGTATTTATGAAGCGCTTTACGAAAAACAAAGCACTTAACACACATCCACAAAAAGTAACAAAAAGAGAAACAGACACAATAGGATTAGGATTTGACTTTGAACAAGAATGTCTTAGGGCAGCCTTCAAAATTGATTACGCGAACTGTTCGCGAACTTCGCGAATATTTCCAGAGCTAGCCAGTTTGCGAACTTCGCGGAGCTACTCATCCATCCGTGGTCAAGTTAATGAGGTAGCGCGAAACTTGCGCCTTTGTTATGTTAATGGTCGTACTGAATAATTCACAGCACTTGCACGTCTTATTATCATAACGCGAAGTCAGCGAACATGCGTGCCGATGTATTTTCCAGAGACTGTTCGCAATCAGTGTCCAGAAGTAGCATGTGAAATGTCGATTTTTTTATTGCAGGAATTAGTCAAACAACCGAACGGATATTTGGACAACTTTCTGTTTTGGTACATTGCGAACAGAGACTGTTCGCAATCAGTGTCCAGAAGTAGCATGTGAAATGTCGATTTTTTTATTGCAGGAATTAGTCAAACAACCGAACGGATATTTGGACAACTTTCTGTTTTGGTATTATATAGATGTTTCGGTATTATATAATGCAATCACTCAATTGTCAAAAATAAAGTTGAAGGAAACACCAATTGTCCAAAAACAAATTAACGTAAAAACACGAAAGATCGTTTTAAAAGATCGTTTCAAAAACTTTTCTCTCCATTAAGTGTAATAATTATTTTGATAACTTTTTTACAATACTACCCGGGAACCTAAATTACGGTATTATGCTTAACACGGTTCAAGTAAATGAAACATTATGATTGAAATACATTGTACATGTAATTATTTTTATTACCTTCGGTTTAAAAATGAACGAAACGGGTTTGGAAAGAAATGCGAATAAACTGAAGACAACTGTTGATAAACTCTCTATCGGGAAAGTACAGAAACTGTCACTCATGAATTTTTACGAAGCCCACACGTCACTAAAATATCCTTGGCAACATTGTTACTATAGATATGCCTTGCGCAAGACAACCTATATATGGGATGTGTGGGCGGGTCTTATTGTCTATCAATCAAATCAGTTTGGCGCGAACGTTTCCCAGCTCATCTCATTGGTGGTGAAATGTCGTCATGACGATAAACCTGTCTGTCTTGCGCAGCGCCGGTGACAATTTCAAGTTCCCACGCCCTTATGTTTTGGCGAGTAGCCAAACTGACCAGAATCCTTTTGCGCCAGACATGACAAAGCATGGGGGCGTCGTTTGGAGCTGCCGACGGCTGTTTACTGTACAGGTTGTATCAGGCTACGTAGCTACGCGGAGTTCGCGAACCTCAGCTGTGCTGCCGTCGTGTTCCCCGTGCCAACATACATCGACCAACGTATAAAGGTTGCATGGGACCTGACTTCCAGCGCAACGTGTGCTCAGATTAATAATGCCCGTTCCTTTGGGTCGAACTACTGACTGCGTATATTGGGTGCCGATATCAAGGCATTCCGAAGGGACGGCTGGTCTGGTGCAGTGTGAATTTAGGGGGAAAAAACGGACGGTTGGCCATAAATTGTGACCATTTGGAATTTTTTTTCCCGGAACAGAATTAAGATTTTTAAAACATGCTTAAAGTATACAAGTATAATGTAAATCTCACTGAATTGAAACTCCAAATTCGGCCATTTAAATTGTTGTATCTCCAAAATGCAAACACCTATGAAGCTAGCTGATTCAAGCTCCATTGATTTTGTTGTGTAATTTTCATCATGGTGATACAAAATAGGATAATTTTATTTTTCGCTAAAAATGATATTCGTCGGACGCCCTAATCCAACATCTTTGAAGAATAATAAGTGAATTTGAAATGAAAAATAAAACCGCTCCCATTCATGGAAGTCTCGAAAAAAATGGTTTCGTGAATTTTTTTTTTTTAACCATATCATCCATGTTGATTAAAACAATTATTGTGAAAAAAAATGTATTATTTTATTAGATTATTTCGTTTACTGTCGGTGTCGTACAAAACAAAGCCGTAAAAATATCGAGACCTCCATATGACTTGTGCCCACTTATAGTAAAAGAAAATGCTGGAGGATTCGACGACGAGAAGGAAAAAAAGTAATTACATTTGTATTGAGCCTTCAGAACAACATAAACAAGTAGTGAAGTACACGCATAGCATGCAGTGGCTTGGACGGTACACAATAGATAGTCTACAAGATTAGTGTGCGCATCTGTGCTGCAGCGTAGCACTAGAGTCAGCTCCCCCTGCAACCTTTACACGTTGGTTGATGTATTGATGCAGGGATCACGACGGTAGCTCAGGTTCGCGAAGTCCGCGGCGCTGTAGCTGTCAACGTAAATCAACCGGCTCGACGCATCATAACCATAGAGAAGCACACAAATGACTGGACCGTACAAGGACATCAAGAAGGCCAACATCACAGCAGATATGGAGTTCTTCAAGACACATGTAGACAGACGGAAGGGAATGATTATTTTCTCCAAGTGCCTACCCCCGGAACAGTGTGCACACTGTGCGGAGCAACCCATCAGAAACATTGAAGCAGTCCACCTGTACAAGAACTTTGGAGTTTGGAAAAGGGATGGCACTATCCCATTCAGTGACACTTCTTCTACCCAAAGCCAACTCTTAAAGGCCAGTCCGAATGTGAGACAAGACTAGCAGCCACTTCCCCTGCGTGTCCCGTTCCTATACTTTCCGTATTACTTTCTTTGTTTTTGTAAATATTTTCTTTCTTTTTGTAAAAACATGTACTGTATTGGACGAGTATTATCGGGCAGAACGGTCTGGATGACATGTTATTATTGGGCCTACCCCCCCCCCCCCCCCCCCAATCGTAATTTCTGGAAAACTGCATTTGTACTGACCGTACACATGTAGCTCCTTTGGAATATTTTTATCCACAAATGAGCCGAGGCGAGTGTTGCTATACCCTTCATCAAGAAACGGGTGGTCTTACCGACAATGAATTATGCATGTTTCAAAAAGTGAAGTCGGGCCAGGGAGGTAGTTTCAGATCAGTTGATAAAAAAAAACCTTTGTCCATTAAACCCCTTTATCGGCACCACATTTTCAATTGACTCGACTGTACATTGTACCCATATTATTAAGTGATCGTACTATTCAGCAGGCATGGTGATGCGATTCTGCAATTTTCTGGATTGAAATAAGAAGTTGATAAGACAGTTTTATAATTTTTTGTCACCAGATCTAGTATATAGATGAACATAAAGGCATCCGCGTTCTGATCATCCTTTCCAAACTATACAGACCAATTCCCGGTAAATAAACTCATGGGAAATTCCCGCGGGAGGTTTTCGCCCCACCGCCACCCCAGCAACCGTGCACACTAGACACATTTATAATAACTCCCGTGAGCGAGATGCAGTCGTTCCACCCTCGCAATCCAACCCCGGGAAATGTGCCAAAATGTTTGTGTATGGGCGGCCGGACGCACTCAGACAATTTTGAGAAAAAAAATACCCTCACGTTTCTCGTAGATGATGGATGGCGTTGAGAAAAAAAGCTCACTCGTGAAATTCACCACAGTAATAGTTTCGTAAAAGTAGCTGTTCAACTGAACTTACCCATATTCAGTACAGTATATTTATTGTGGAAAATATACGCAGCTTTTTATTAGTTTATTTCGTTTACGCTGTCGGCCTGAATGACAAAAATTCATGTACATGAACAGCCATGTAAATAACTCGGGACTTTCCCATTTTGAGCACGCAATGCATGAGCACGCAATGCATGAGCACGCAATAACCGTAGTCAGCTCCAGGCCGAACAATGCACTGAGGTTATGGGAACACATGCACATGTGATAGGGCTCCCGCGAACATTGCAGAGTCTATCACCAAATGCAAAGAAGCACCCGTATCCAGTGAGAAATGACACGAACGAGGTGCAGAATTTTGCCTTCCTTGGCCGACTGAGTCTTCACATCGTAGATCAGATGAGTCTACATGTTGTTGATGTACTAATCATCTTGCCTATAGAACGGTAGCAGTAGCAGTCCAACTCTGCAGCCGCCCATGATACGTGTAGTGTCTACATTCCCATTATTATTATGCCCAATTCACTTCGATGTGTATCAATTATCATACAATTTAAGGTAATCGTGTATATTATAATAATTATAGTTTTTGATTCCCGTTCATAAATCAAAACCCTGCCGCCTAGCTCATATTCAACATAATATCTTGTTGAACTTTGAGTTCAATGATGCAATAATAAAGTAACTTACTAATTTCATATTTATTTACTCATTGAACTTCAGTGTAAAAGAACAATCATATTAGAAATGTACAGATCCTAATGGAGATCTTTGACGAGAAGAAAATTGTAAAAATTGTAAAAAAAAAAATAATAATAATGTACAAGCATGCAAAATCCACCCCCCTCCTCAAAATTGCTTTATTTCAGACTTATGAGTTCACCCGAACACAATAAAGAAAACAAAAACTGAATCACAATTTATCCGCCCATAGAAGTAAAAGGCTTCAGAATTCCATGCGGAGTAAAAATGCAATCATACATGATGTAGAACAACATACATGTGCATGCACGCGTTGTACTGTACAATCCGAAAACATTACAATTGCGCTTGAAGTCAGCTCCCATGCGACCTTTTACATGTTGGCCCATCCATTGATACAGGGATCACGACGGCAGCACAGCTAGCTAGCTAGCTGAGCATGAGGTTCGCGAACTCCGCGTTTCAGCCCAACAGCCTGCACATTAAACAGCCGTCGGCAACTCCACACGATGCCTGGCGCAAAACTGGTCTGGCTGGTTTGGCTCCTTGCCCAAATAAGAGCGTGGGAACTTGTGAAGCGCAAGACAGACAGGTAGATCGTCATGACGACGGCGTGTCACCACCAATGCGACGAGCTGTGAAAACGTTCCCGCCAAACTGGAGTTCACTGATAGGCAATAAGACCCGCCCAAACATCCCATATATAGGTTAACTAGTGCAAGGCATTTCCATAGTAACATTATTGTCCAGGATATCTAGTGACGTGTGTCGGCTTCGTAAATATTCATAAAACAGTTTCTAAACTGCATAGTCAAAGTTGATTTAACCGTTCTCTTCAGTGTCTTACTATAATAATTTCTTTCCAATTCTGTAACGAAATTTTCATATACATGTATGTTTTGAAGAAACGGGAAATGATTTATTCTATCCTAACTGGACGCTTTTTATTATCCCTCTAAAATTACAGTTGATTTTTTAATTGCTTTTACGGTCATTAAGCATAAAGATTAATAATTGTTCGGCTAATATATTTGCGTTTGGGTGCATTACCTCCTTCAAAAGAAAATTTGTTATGTATTGCTAAGGCATTTCAAAAAAGACGGAAGTATTTATTTTCGGAGTGAAACTCTGAGCATGGCCGGGGAGATCCGCAGCAACTAGAAGTTGTTTTATTGATAAACGTATTAGGCCTGATATACTCCTCTTCAATTCTACCTTACGGAGGAAAAATAGAAAGGGCTACATGCAGACAACATCACCAGTAAATAAGTTCTACAGAATGCGGAAATCGGAAGCCATGGATAGTACACTTTTCCGTATCACGACAATCGGTGCTTAATTATATAAAAAAAAAAGTGCAGTTCATATACAAATAATATAGATCGTATTTTGAGGCGAAACGCTTTCTGAAAATACATTTTGGCAGTCTTTGTGCTTGATGAATACCGCAGGTGTGAAGTTAAAATATTGCCCAAGGGCCAAGAAACTTGCGGCAAGAATTTTCATTCCAATTTCAGGAAGTTGATTTCAAGTTGTCAACATTATCAAACGATGTGACGGAAATTTGCCACTTATCAAAAAATATTCGGGAACACAGCGCCTTGCTAGCTCCTGGTTTAACAAATACCGCCGACGCAACTAAGCCTGAATATTACCGGAGCACTGACCGGTAGCTTACGTGAACTCCGCGTATGCCAGTTTCGCGCACTTCGCGAACCCAGCAGCTGTAGCATATTAGCATAGTTTTAGCATAACAAAGGCGCATTGTCATGCGATGCAAATGAACCTGCACAGCCCGAAGTTTACTCCTAACTTGGAATCAAAATTAGTTCGCGAACTTCGCTGACTTCGCGAGGGCTCAATTTTGAAGGCTGCCCTTAAGGAGATGTTTGAATACAGGCAGTGAGACCGCCTCTCTCAGACAGAAAGAAAGGAAGCTCATTCCACATGCGAGGGGCGGCCACAACGAAAGAGCTATCTGCAGCCTTCTTCCTACTTCTAAGGACAGAAAGCCGGGTCTGATCAGATGATGAACGGAGTCGGTGTCTGTAAGCATCAGGAATATTTGAGTGATGTGAATGTAATACGTCAACCAGATATGATGGAGCTTGAGTGTTGAGAATTTTGTACGTACACGTGGGTGTAATTTTGAAGGTTATCCTCCTTTTAACAGGGAACCAATGTAGCTCTACCAGCAGGCCATCAGAAGAAGCATTTGGGCTCAAAAGTGCATGAACTACGAACTGATTAGCCAAATTGTAAAAAAAAAAGTAAACACTTCGTTATTTTTTTTCCCTTTTTCTTTTTTGTAGTGGACTTGGATTTCCGCATCTATCTCAGGCCAAGCACTCCCGAGAGTCCCAAAGTTGGTGGCAGCTACAGCGTGGAGTGTGACATTGTGGGACCAGTGAGAATCGGTACCCCGGAATGGACCACGCCCGAGGGGCAGCCAATCAGAGGACTCGGGCTGGGTGAGTGTGTTTATGGTGTCGTCTCGTATCCCGATTGGTCCAAGTTAGAATAATCAAATACTAAATTATTTGATAAACTGCACAAACTCTAGTCAACAACGAGGTTTATAGTGTCAAAGCTTTCTAAATTCGGAATTTGCCTCTTCACCTCAAATCAATCTCTAAAAATTTCCTCTCGTAAGGTTTACTATATGGCTATAAATGAATCAATAGTCCCATGTTTCCAAATCCCAACGCCAATTCATGCTAGGCCAGGTCTCAAATCTTATATTCATTGTGAAATGATTGAAGTACCCTGTTCCAATGACTACAGAGTCAGACTCTTGTGTGATGTACTTGAGTTGACACCCTTCTGTGAGACCATGGTTCTTGTGTTCTTAGGCAAGACACTTTTCTTCGCTTGCCATTGTCTAGCCAGGAGTATAGTACCTGTGTGCGTAAAGACCAGACTGCGCTGTTCTCAAGCTGCAGCAGAACACCGGTCTCATGGCCTGAGGAATGGGCTAAAATTCTGAAGCCCTTGCCATAAATTTTTCATATAAGCATCGAATTGTTATAATTCTTGACATTTTTTCAGATGTTGTTATTAATTTTATTTACTATTTTTATTAACTAGGAGGCACAGGGCACAAATATGCTGATTACGTGAACCCAAGAACGACCTCCGTCATTATCAACCGCATCATTGAGGCAGATGTAGGACCATACAAGTGCACAGTGGGACCAATCAGCGCGGAGTTTAACATCACACTAGGTATGAAATCACACATGGTTTCATTCTCTGTAATACCTCAATATATAGGCCAAGCAATACCATTCTGTTTTGCCATGTTGCCAAAGCATGTACATATTTTTCCCTTGACAAGCAAGTTTTGTTCTTGGCAATTCCAGTAGAAATGTACTGAAATGACTGTGGCAGGGCCAATTAACCATGATAGTTATTAAAGGGCTGTTACTTGAAAACATATTATGTGCAATTTTCTACTGTACCTAAGGCCTATGAAAAATTTGGGGGCCCACGAAAATACTACAGTGTGCCTACAAGCTTATGGCCTATGGAACACTGGTGCCTAGGGCCTACGGAATACCTAATCGGGCCCTAAAATGATAGAAGGCAGCCTTTTGATTTCAAGCAGATGTCAGGTCTAGGGTTTTAAAGATATCTATGATTATGTCTCCTTCTTTATATTATTCAGCGCTCTCTTGCGACAAAGATTGTGTGAATGGTGGAGTTTGCAAGGAGGGCATCTGTGACTGCCCAGAACCATTCACTGGAGATTATTGCGATGGAATAGGTATGATGCAGTGATTTTGGGGAGAAATCTTCATCTAGTTTACTAATGGTACTTGGTTGATATGGGTATAGTACTTTTCAGAGTGATGCTGCCATGGTATAGTCTTACCTAAAGTTCGTGGTAACATAAATAGCAAATGTGATGTGCAAATTGTTTTCTGCTTAGGACAATTTTGACCGAGTTGTGGGGACATTCAACTGTTCTATCAGGTGTACCCAAAGTGTATGCATTAGGGAGACCCATATTGTTGGGAAGTTTTCTCCTTTTTAAAAAAATTGGATCAACTTGTAGGGACTTATTAACTGTCACTCATCAGGAGTGCGGTTCCTGCAATTATGGAACAAGTGTGCAGCAGCAGGGTCCGCATTGTTGGGAGGTTTCTATTGTTAAGGAAAATTACGATCTAAGTTGTAGGGACTTTGATTTATCCCCACAGCCCCTATAGTCCCCATATTAACTGTGACTCATCAGGTGTATGTTCCCCATATTTCTGGAACAAGTGTGTGCATTAGCAGAGTCCGCGTTGTCGGGAAGGTATTGTTGGAAAATTAGAACCGAGTTGTGGGGACTGTTTTTAGTCCCAACAATAACATCCTTCATCAGGTGTGTGGTCCCCACAACTATGGAACAAGTATGTTTAGGAAAATTAAGACCAAGTTGTGGGGACTTTTGACTGTCACCACAATATTTTTAGTCCCCACAATAACTTTTGTTCATCAGGTGTGTTGGCCCCACTTCTGCAGAACAAGTATTGGTGTACGTTTATTACATACATTTTGAGGACAGTGAGACTTTGTTGTCCGGATGAATGTAGGTCTTCTGTTGATGAGAACGGTCCTTGAATGTCTGCATGCTAATAGTGTATTGGAAAGTGTTATTATAACAAATGGAAGCATTGCCTTGTCCTCGGACAGTATGACACAATTCAACGGTGTTATTACGTGTATTTGCTTTTCTGTCTTGTTTGCAATGTTTTAGAAGAGGGATGCAACGTACTGCGTGTCTGCTACAACGGTGGTACCTGCAACAATAAAGAGTGTGTCTGCACTCCGGACTACCAAGGAGACTTCTGCCAATACTCTAGTATGAACATCTTTTATTCTCTCTGTTATCAGCTGACATTGCCGTTTTTTTGATACATTGTATTTTAAAAATAGCCCATCAACCATTGTTGGTCATCAATCATGCAGCTCATAGTGGCTTACAGTGAACTTTCAAATAAAAATTGAGTATTTGTATTTACAAGTAAAGGTATGTAAATCAACTTGATAGCACATTATTTGTTCAATATTCAGGTGTTTTGCTGAAGTTTATATTCATGAGGATCACAAGTTTACGTAACACGGTGGACATTTTAGGGATGGGATTTCTGTGAAATATCACTTTGGGTATTTAAAGGGACACTGGGTCCTGGAACAGCCCAATTGGGCTACAAAATGCGCTTTGAACGAGATGATGATAATCGGAAATAGCTTTTAAAAGTAGGATATAAACATCCACACAACTATCCTTTCAAAACTGGGCGTTTTTGTGTTATTCCTGTATTATGCCTGCGAGAACGAATTTCGGGGTCCACTTTTGCGACCCCATATTTCGAGCTGTATGGATGCTAGTTGTAATTTCATTCGTATGCGTAAAGTGTTAGCCTTTTGCGGACGTTGAAGAAACCACAATTTTTTGCATTGGTGATTGGACACCGCGCGCTGTTCCCGAGACACACAACGTGTATAGCGTACATGAGAACGACACGAAAAACGTATTCGTACTCCGTCATGTCCGATGTAAACAAGCGGTTTTTATTCGTCTTTTCTCGGGAACGGTAAGACATTAGGTTGGTTTCCTTTCAACCAGATGTTTGAAATAGGCTAAGTAAACAATCCAAAACATAACATTTTCGGGGATTTCAGGACCTAGTGCCCCTTTAAATGGAATTCTTTGCATAAAGAGCCTCTTTTAATGAAAACTCGTATTTTTCCTACTCTTTAAAAACTTTAATTTTCTGATTCGATCCCCAGAATGTATTGCAATCGACTGCAGTCTACAATTACATATTGTGTTACCACCACATGTACAGATTTCGTAACCTCAGCCAATTTTCATTTTAATATTTTCTCAAAGTTGATGACGAGACATCACTGCGGATCGAGCTTGGCCGTGGGGACATTCCGGACGCTGGTGAGAACATCACAGTCATGTGCATCACCAGCGGCCCCGATGCCCCCATCAACCCTGAGTGGGTGATGAGAACAGGGGAGGTCATCTTGTCACTTGAAGAAGGTAAGTGACAGTGTGTCATTGTCCTGTGCCAGTGTCTTTGCCTGGTGTCAGTGTCACTGTCTGATGTTAGTGTCTGGTGTCAGTGTCAGTGTCTGGTGTCAGTGTCCGGTGTCAGTGTCAGTGTCCGGTGTCAGTGTCAATGTCTGGTGTCAGTGTCACTGTCTGGTGTCAGTGTCACTGTCTAGTGTCAGTGTCACTGTCTGGTGTCAGTGTCACTGTCTAATGTCAGTGACACTGTCTGGTGCCATTGTCACTGTCCAGAGTTGTAATGACTCGGGTCCCAGATTCGACTTGAGTCACTCATCAGAAGACTCGACTTGACTCGAGCAAAGGCTAATAAGACTCGAGTCCCAAAAATAAAAGCACAACTTTGCAAAAAGTATTTGCAATGACTTACGGTGCACTATTATGCTCACTTCGCTTTGCGAATAACAGTCATGTATAAATATACAACGTGTCACAGACTCCATCTCATGGTTCTAGAATGCACAAAATACTATCCAGGAACCAGATTGTTAAACACATTTTCTAATTTGCTGTTTCATCATTGGCTTTGGGCGATTTCTTATAAAGCTCTTCGATTCGAACGCTGGCTAAACTTATGGCCTCCTTTATAAATGTTGGTATATAGTGTTCAAATATTCGTGACTCGAATTGACTCGAGCTAAATATTTGACTCGACTCGACTTGACTTTTTGACCTAATGACTCGACTCGACTCGAGTCACTTCTTTAAAATGACTCGACTCGACTCGAGTCACAAAAATCAGTGACTCGTGACAACTCAGTCACTGTCTGGTGCCAGTGTCACTGTCTGGTGCCGGTTTCATTGTGCAATTTCTAATATCTTTCTCACTGTGAGTGTCATTGTGCTTGTTACTGCTGTTTGTTCTCAATCAGAATTTCTCTGTTATGGGTACTGTTGTCAGTGTCATATTTGTTATATTGTCATTATTTGTATATGTGTGCTGTTGTTATTGTCATAGTGGGCATCACCTATTTGGGGCATTGTCATCGTCACTGTTGCTAGTGTGAGTGTCTCATTAACTTAATCATTAACATACTTCCTTGTGTCGGTTTTGTCAATATTGTCCGTTTCTTTTGTCATTGTCAGTGTTCCCTGTGCCATTACTGTAGTTGCTTGTGTTGTATATTTTGTTGTATGTCATTGTCATTGATTACATTTCTCGTCTTGTGATCAATGTGTCAAGTGTTACTGTTTCTACACACAGCCTCTCTTTAAGAGTTTTATTTCTCCCGTTGTCAGGTGGCAACTTGCATCGTCATGTCCGTCGGCTTTCACCAAACGAGGTCCAACTGGTCCTGATTGACCTGGTCTTTGAGGACATTGACACCTACTCCTGCCGCGCTGGACCCCTCAGGAAGTCAGTCTCCTTGGTTGTGAGAAGTAAGGTCAAAGTTCAAGAGTCAAGGCTCAGGAGAGATCATGGATAGTGCTTTATGTATTAAAAGCCAATGGTTTTATCACTGTTAAAACATCATTTTTGGCTGATTTTGACTGTTTTTGTTTTGTTGACTGCAAACTTAACCTCCCAAATAGGAGCAGTTCATAACACCAAGATCCTGCCATGAAGAGGTTAAAATGACTGTCACTTATGAGTTGGGCACTGGTATCATAAAAGTTTACCGTATGGCCTTATTTGACCCATTGTGTAGATGGAATATCCATCTGAATCAATTGAATAGAGTTTTGTGTGCTCTGGGACCAGCTTTGCTAGGCTTGCCTTGTTTTGTTTTATTAATATGTAAACAAGTGTTTATATTTGTGTTTGTTTTGATTGATAGCCCCACCGTGTGTTCCTGAGTGTCTCAATGGATTCTGCCTGAACACTGAATGCATTTGCCTGGATGGTTTCACTGGCCCAGCTTGCGAAATCCAAAGTTAGTAAAGAAAATTTTCTCCAATGCAAAAAATCCCTCATTACAATAAACCTTTGACAGGAATTTAATTGCCCTCAGGACATATATGAACGTTGATCATTACCTGAAATATACCTACCTCAAGTTACTGCCTGTTTAATTTCGCATTCTTCCCTTATGGCATGCAACTTGGAATTTAGAGAAAAAAAATTGAGGAAATTCCAAAACACACAAGACTTAGTACAGTATTTTTCAATTTGTAATAGCAATTATGAGAAGTAAAAACAAGGAAATCAGCGGATCTGAGGAATTTATTATTTTTTTTTTTTTCATTTATTGCGTCTAGCGCTTTTATTTCTTGCAACATTGTTTACATTTTTTAGAAAAACATACGTACTTAATATATAGTTACATTATATTACATTAATTAAAAGATAACATGTTACAAAAACTTATTCCAGAAGACTTTGTTTTTCTTCTGTAATTTAGCTCTCCAATAAAGTTCTGGAATGAAAGTGTCAAAAGTGCTGATCCACTTATTGTCTTGATATGTCTTTAATCTTACTTTGAATATGGAATACATTGCTATTGTTATAATCAAATTTATTTCAAATTCGATATCAAGGCTTGTTACTAAATTAAACATTTTTGGCAATTCAAGGAAAAGTTGCATGCCTGCTAATAGTTTCTAATTTTGGTCTCGAATAATGTTTTGCTGATTTTGTCTGTAATATCAGAGTGCGACCCACCATGCCTGAAGAAGAAATTAAACAGGCAGTAACTCGAGGTTTTACCTGGAGGTTCACTTTGAGGTTTAACATGAGGTTTAACATTTTGTCTGTAGTTTCAGAGTGCGACCCACCGTGCCTGAACGGAGGCCAGTGTGAGAACAGAGTGTGCCTGTGCCAACGCGGATTCTTTGGTGACTTCTGCGAGAACATTCGTAAGTATACGGCAGCATGCAAATCTCTAGTTTAGAGATATCGTCCATTGGTCTTCTTTCATTACAACTACTTGGGAGCAAACTGACAATAGATATAGGCCATTTGGTTTGGGGTATTTGCTTTGTCAGACAGGGTTCACCCTTTGCTATCATGAATGTATTATTATTATTATTTTATTATAATTATTTGTTTCTGGTAATAAAACCAAGGATAACTGAAAAGCGCCATTGCCACTGTAGCTCGCAAGCCAGAAGAAACCTTTAGAGAGAAGACAATGAGACAAAATTACAGTTTTAAAGGTGGGAGAAAAGCCCAGAAGAACATTCTGGGGAAAACCAATGAAATCAGGTAGGGACTGAAAACCTTACCACGGGTCATAGCGGTGGAAGGCGAGTAAAGTATCGCTTCGCCAAACTGACTTCCCAAAATGTATATTAAACTGTGGTTTTGTTCTGTTTTTTTTCTACAGAAGAACTTCCAGTTATGATAACGATCAAGCCAGAACAGGACCAGATAACCTATGTTGGTGAGAATTCAGCATTCCTGTGTTACACGGAAGGTAATGGTGCCCCATCAGATCTAGTGTGGAGAGATCCCAGTGGGCAGATCATACAGCCAGGAGTACCAGGTATATTACTCTTTAGTCAGGGGCATAGTTAATAGTCAAGGGGCCATAGTTAATAGTCAAGGGGCCATAGTTGATAATCAGAGGGCAATCAAGCAGGGGGTTATAATTTATAGTCAGTGGCTATAGTGAATAGTCAGGGCCATATTTAATAGGGCGGGGACCATAGGATTTTTTATGAAAACTTTTTTTGTTTGTTCTTGTTTGTGTTTTCCTCCATTTTTTTTTCTCACTTTGTTGCTTGGATAAATTTGTTTCTTGTAGGTGGGGTTTCTCGAGTCTTTGTGGAGTTGATCAATGAGACATCAAGCCGACTGGTCATTAACTTCCTTTCTGAGGAAGATGCAGGGCTTTATTACTGCGCTGCTGGGCCTCTCAACAGCTCCATTATCATAACTCTGTACGGTGAGTATCGCTGTTCTATGAGGGAAATATATCCATATTGACTGGCAGTGAGGTCACTAGTGGACACTGCATCACTCAGTTGCGTCACTATTAACTTCTTATCTGAAATGGATGCGGGCACAACTACTGCTCTGCTGTGCCGCTTAATGACTCCCTTCCCATATTTCTCTGTACATTGAGTATTTTAGAGTGAGATGCGGATCCATGAAGGCAATATATACATATTGACTGGCATTTAGGTCACTAGTGCTCAACTATGCATTACTGATTATTCAACATCAGGAAATACGAGTCTTTTGTTATAAACATACCAGAGTCTTAATTATACCATTCAGTGAGCAATATAAGCATATGGACTGGCATTGAGGTCACTATGGGCTCCTTGCGCCAACAAAAGAGTGTGTGTTTTTACCACTTTTAAAAGCCCCGTGGACACACAGCATGTGGGCACTGTACTGTACTGGTTTGTGCGCGAAGGACGCATGACTTCCTGAATGTGCCAAAGCTATTAACATCTTCGCGTTAGTGTCAGGAGTCGTCAGCGCATAAATACTTTTGAATTGAACTTGCGATAGTCTCCGAGACTGATCCCTGCCCCCAATATCTTTGGATCATTCGAAATACGCAGTGGATGGACCGGGAACCAGTCTAGGTCTCCCCCAAATCTCCTTTTCTTGGCCGTTGAAGGAGTACGTGTGCCATAACCCATAGTGCACATCTATACATCAGAAAACAAGTAAAACATAACCAAATGTTTGTGCAGAATTGTCAAATAAAAAAGGAGTGAAAAGAAAAAAGAAGGCACAATAATGCAATTAAAAAACAAAAGGAAGAATATGGTAGATTCCAAGCAGAGCTATGATTCCTGGAATTAATTTAATCATGCACCTAATACCCAATGCAGTAACCCAATTATGGATAATTTCTCGGCAACGTATCCAGGATATTCGATGAGTTGACTGCTTATTACAATGTTCTGAACCCACAGAGCATCCCTGTCCACTGATGTGCGCCAACGAGGGAACATGCATCCAGGGTCGATGCCGATGCCCACAGGAATTCACTGGAAAATACTGCGAGATCAGAGGTGCGTAACTTTTCCTTTGCTCTCCCTGAATAACTTTTCTGTCCCGGTGGGTTTTCAAGTTAATTATTACGTCTCATACATATTTATGAGCCAATCACTCTACTTTCATTGGTTGATGTTCCAACAAATCAGGGATGTTTAAGTAGCTACCCCCTATGTACCATTGTAAAATTGGTTGGAAATACCAGGGAAGTATAGTATCCCAAGATTAGCTTCTAGACTCTCACCTTGCAAACAGTTGTGTTTGCAGGAAGGGTTACTCATGTAAAGTAAATCCTTCATGGACGATTATGCACATTCCCTGTGAGGGATTTCCAGCAGTTTTTTTTTTTAATTCTCATTTTATTTAACCAATTAAGCAGCTGTAATTCAATGTAAAATGTAAAGATTGTAAAATACTGTTTATGAATCACATAGACAAGTGTAAAGTTATGTCTGTAATATTTGTTTCCCTTCTATTTGCACCCACAAAATGACTCGTATAGCACCCTCAATCTATCAAGGATATGGTTAGACATTTCTCAGATATTCTATCCATACCAAATAGTGATCGCAGTGACTCATTTTTTTTTTTATTTATTTGAAGTGAGTCGGACGGGTTCCATTGCCATTGTGCCCAACATCAAGCACAACCCTATGGTGGGTGAGAATCTGGAGTTCCTGTGTCGCACAGCGGGGCGAATCCCATCCAGGAACCCGGTGTGGCGATTCCCCGATGGTAGAGTTGTACGGTCTGTCGATAAAGGTAGGACTTGCTTTCACCTCCAACATTTTGCAACAAGCATTGAATTCTGGTATTATTGAATCCATTATTCGGTTTATAGACAAATTAAAGCTATTTTGGCATTTGGCCGAATACATCAGCTAGTTGTCTTCAGTTGGCGTTATTTTGCACCATTGATGGGCTCAAGATGTGCAAAAAGTTTCAGACCAACTCAAACAGAGGCCAAATGTCTTTTAGATTTAAACTGAAGATTTTTTACTAAAGGAGTTGCTGTTGTTAAGTTGTTGAACCGTGTTGAACCGCTCTGGAAGTATTTATGATTTAATAAACCATGTTTATGCTTGTTTTACCAAACCTCACACATATTCATCCAAATCTGGTTATTTATTTATTTTTATTTATTTCGTGCTATTTTACCAGGGTAGCCCCATCAGTTGTCAATGAACTGTTCTCCCTGGGGGCCCTGGTTTACATAAAAACATGATATAATAACGACAAAAATTACAAAAAAAATAAAAGGTTACTCGTCAGTTATCTCGGCAAAATGTTTCTGTGCATGTGCCACCATCTTTTCATGTAGATAGGGCAATGTCTGTGCATGCCCACTACCCCCATGTGATAGTTCTACGATTGTTAAGTAAACGGCATTCGTTGTAGAATATCCCTCGGGTAACACATGTAATAGTCCACTAGAAGAACCCTGCGTATTTACCCTGTGCGTGAAACCTATGTGTGCTTGATAGTGGCTGACGCATGATGGTTAATGGACCTGTATGAATTCAAATCTAGCTTATGAATACGTATGAAGTATTGTTATGGAATTCTGTGAATCCACTGTAGGAACAACCAATGATCGAGTGTACGCCGAGCGTAACCCGCCTTACCAGAACACCCTATTCATTCATAATTTCACCGAGGCTGATGTTGGGACGTACCAATGTCGGGCTGGACCTCTCACTACGTCATTCACCCTTGTACTAGCTGGTAAGTAGTCTGGTTCCCTGACCTGATGATCCCTGACGTATAGTTTAAAAGATAGGGTACAATCCACTTATATGGCAATGGTAACAGTTGCCATTGTTGACAAGGTTTGCGCATGTGGGACCGTTTGCAACTAACATTTGTGAACGGTAGCAGCAAAGGCTTCATTATGTCAGTTTACCTGAGTCTTTCTTTGTATAAGCTTCTGAAGAAAGTTGAACAAATCTGTTTCAAGGTGAAGGTGATTGTATGACCAAATATATACAAACAGCCAACGCAAGAGTAATGTCCTCATCGAAGATGTAGAAATTATTGAAAGCATTACAGATCTACGCCACGTTTCTTGAGATAAATCTTAAGTTTATTGCAAAGCTGAGCAAATGTATGTGTTGCTTGCCGTTAGATAGGCACTATTTCATGAAATTATCTGGAAATGTTCCCAGCCTCATACATACAGTTTGAACAATTGAGATTCTCCATAAGCTCTGACTAGATAAAATTTTGGAAGTTTGATTAATTTTGGATCCTTGCTGTCGGTATCAGAGCGTATCTGCGACCCACCTTGCTTCAACGGTGGCACCTGCGAGAAATCCCAGTGCGTCTGCACAGCAGGGTTCACCGGAAACTACTGCCAGATCAAAGGTACGTGGTGAAAATTGTATTCCTATAATATGGTAGGCCATTATCATGTTGCGGACATCTTGAGTTTTTCCCATTCAAATCAATGTTAATGTGCAAGGCTGGAAGGAAAACTGGTGTGGTTCCTTTTTGCACTAAAAACATTATCATGCAGTACTGTTATTGGATACAGGGAACATGACTGAAATGGCAGCAGCATGATAAAGGTCTATAACTAACTGCATCAGGTATTCTGTGATGGATCACAAGCCTGGTAACAAGCAACCTCGTTCTCAAGGCATAGTTATGGACCTTAAAACAATAGTGGACCCTGGAAGGAAAACTTCCGTCCTGGATTCTGATTGGATCCCACCAAAGCAAGATTTCCATTTTGTAAGACAGTCCTTCTGATTTGAAAATCACAGGTGGGTGGAAAAAGGCACACCTGGACTTTTCTAGGTGTGTGTTTTTTCTAGGTGTGTGATCTGTGGTCCAGGGAAATTCAGGCGTGCAATCATTCACACTTCTCAGGAAGCTTTTAGGTGTGCGATGGTGTAGGGGTGCGATCACACGCCTCAAATCAGAAGGACTGGTATGACAGGTTTTAACATACATATTACTTCCAATCAATCCTCCTCAAAAAACAATCATCCCTTTTCCATTTTGATTTAAATTATATTAAGTGTGATGTTCCATGCGGAATGGGTAGGATTATAACATTACAACCTGGAAGGGGGGGGGGGGGGTTGTGCTGTTGGGGGAGGGGGTGAAAACATAGACACATTCTCAGCCATTTCATGTCAACGAAACCAGAGGTAAACACTGCTCTGATAGGCATTGGCTTCAAACAGATGGGCAGTTCCACGGTTTGATGGACATGGCTAAGAAAAAAAGAGTTTGATATTTTCACCATGTTTCCCATTTTTATTACAGATTATACATTCAAGTATGAGAAATTGACAAAGAAAACACAATTTTATCAATTTTTTTTTGAGAAATCGTGTCGTAAAGTGAAAATATTTTTGTACTACAAAGAACTCAAACAATTTGGTAAAGTTTAAACCTTGATTGCTATTAATGCAATAAGAGATATTTCGATCATAACCTTATTTCTAGCATGTATGATAGTCTTAATCTCTGAAAAGTATGTCAATTCACAGCCGTCATCCATTATTTTGTACCTTTTTTGGTCAATGTAACGTGAGTAACCGAAAAGATATGAAAGTTTTTTCTCACCAACATTTGTACTGAATTAAATTTTGGTATTTAGGATTATCATTCTTTGCATGAACATAGATATAAATATAAGTGTTTTGTTGACACTAATACATATATTTAAGAATAAAAGGCAACTAAACTTGGTAACGTGAGTAACTTTTGTAATGTGATTACTGAGTAACCAAAAATGTAATGTGAGTAACCAAGTTTTTTGTATCCCAAGTCACCCAAACTATATCCAAACTGACTTTTGCTTGATAACGTTGATTTGATTGATAACTGTTTATCTTTAAACCAAAGAACCTCAACCATTAAAGCTACTTTTAAGCATATTTTATCCTGTTTATGGTGCAAAATGGTCTTTGAGACAGCATATTTTATTTTAATTGAATCCAAGTAAAGTACTTTATCAAGTTTTTAGAACAAAACAGAACATGCAGAACATGAGAGGTTTGTTCTGATGGCTCAGCATTAGTTTAAAAAAAACTAAACTACAGCTGGACTTCAGAGGAAACAACAAATTCCTGATAGGGGATCAGTATGCACTGTAACAGTATCAGAATAATGTCAGATGAAAACCTTTATCTCGGAGTACTTGGCATTGGAGATCCAAAATGCAAATTTAAGTCAGACTTTTCAGTAGTTCTGATGCCTATTGGGTAGAAACATACTAACTATGATAATTTAGTCAAAAATACATCATGCCATAAGACTATCAGATGGGTTGGACGAAATGTAACATGGGTAACCGTAACGTGAGTAACTATGTTTTTTGTGGATTGCAAAAAAAGGGAAGATTCTAGAGGATTTATTTTACTCCTATTATGTGTGCCCCATGGCATGGTCTTTTATCCATTTAAAAGAAAATTCCACAGGTTGCCTGTATGAGGACACTTTTTGATTAAAGCATGTTGGCTTCTTATGCATGTCCGAAAATGTAATGTGAGTAACCGATTTTGTGCGCCTTGATTATCATACATAACACATTTTTCTGGATGTCATCTTTGGTGCTTAGGTAGGTCTAGGTCTACTCTATCTACCATGGGGATAACAATTATTAAACCTTTTCAGGATGGTAATTACGGCCCAAGGAAACTCAAAAGTTCATCAAAAACGTAACGTGAGTAACCGTGGAATTGCCCAGGATGACTCTTGTGCAGCATGCATTGGGCATTGTATGTCTGCAAACTTGTGCATAAAGTGGTGGTGACAATGTTTTTCGTGTGAGTGTGATTTTGAAAACGAGTAAGTTACTTCAACGAAACACAAAAGATGTGGTCAGCAGATTGCAGCACACCATGATCCAGGGGTTAAATGTGAACTTTCTTCTGGAATTTTTTGATTTTTTTTTATATTTTTTTTTTTTTTTGGGGGGGGGGATTGTGTTACAATGTTTGAATACTGAATTAGGAATACTATCATCTTTATAAATCAGGGTGAATCGGTATTTACAGTAATACGACTTATACACAAAGTTGCTTAAAACACTCATCAAATCAAGAAATATACAATTCATTCAAATTGCAAAGCAATATTCTCGAAAATAGACTGAAATAAAAAATAACATAGGCTTTCATAAAAATGTATACAATGTAAAACTGAGTAATCATTTAAAAATTTTGATAGATAACAACACTTTCTTTTGATATATCAATGTGGGTTGCTTCTTTGGTTGCTATGTCTATAAATATAGCAACCAAAGTAGACAACCAAAGTAGTGCGCACATATATGTAAAGGTTTGTGTGTTGCAAGTATTGAGCACATACAGTCGAATCTTTGTTAATGCAAACACGGTTAATACAAATTCTGGTTATGGGCTGTTCCAGCATTATGTAATGTCCTTGACATAGCTTTTTGCAGCTCAGTGAATAAACTGGAAAATGCAGTTTTCAAATCTAATACGTCCATTATCATAATGGTCAAGGAGATTACAGACTAGGAGTTTTGGATCATTTCTCTGAACCATTAATTAGATATCATGGTTAATTGGCTCCGTCACGGACATTACACTTCTTTTCATATTGCTGGAATCGCCCTTATAGCAAACTTAAAGCCTTCGTCCTGATGTACAGTGCATATTATGTGCCTGTTGAATGGGATGAGCACTCCACTTTAATACAAAACTCTGATACATTGTATAACAAACATTTTTACCAGGTCCAGCTGACTAAATAACGAGAGTCAAATGGGTGTGTACAGGTTTGTGTGTTGCACATATTGTTCCCACCTGCTACACAGCTGGGCTCAAACATTTCATGCCAGTCAGCCTTGAAAGGGGAGTGAATATGCAGCTGCTTTTCACATAGAAATACCTGCATAGCTGATTTTGGTTTAATTAAGCCATTTCTACAAACTAAGTAGAATCTGCATTGGTGAGGTACTATAGAACAAATATTGACTGCTTTAAAATGAGCCTCCTTCTGTGTTCCATGTAGCTTGCCATTTCCCTCGGCTATGCCTCGGGAAAACAACACTCCATGGTTCACCAGGCAGCAGTCAATATTTGTAAGGAATGGCATCACATCTTGTCATAGATATTGACTGAGTGCGAGTCAGCCACTGCCAGCTGCTGCCCATCCACTGTGAATGTGATACCATTTGGGTCATACAGCCCCTGGGTCAAGCATCTGACAAACTGGCCCTCGCAGTCATAGTGGTGGATATGTCCCTCTTTCATCCGCCCCCTGCTGACTACAAGGTAGATACCCAAGTCATCACAACACACACCCCGACAACTTGTATCTAGTTCATTACCTATGGCTGGCCTGATGCTGGAAACTTCAGTCTGTTTGTCACTAGCTTCAGCTTGCCCGATTTTCACAAACCCCTCTCCGTAATTCTGATCACTAATCACAATGCAGTCACTGCCCAAAACAGCCAAGAAGTATGGTCTCAAGCTCACCGGTATGACTCGAATGAGCTCACCGTTAGTAGGTTCATGTTCAGTCACCACAAGCCTCTCTTTATCCCCCACTATGATGTTACCATTTATCATGACTGCTATGCTAACAAGATGCACTTTATTCCGGCCGACTTCACTTGCAGGAACCGTTGTGAACTCAAAGGCCAGCTGTTTATCATCTCTGTTGTACACCTTCACCTCATCAATAAGCACAACCACCCACTTATCTGGGATCGCAGCAACATCATCTTCAGAACAAACCATATTGACCAAAATTATGTTACAAATTTGGTTATTGTATAGCTCAGTTTATGGACTCTGAGATTTTTGGGCTGACTTGCCATGAATTTTCCAGCTTGGATTGGTGTAATTTGCCCAGAAAGAAAATGGTTTCTATTGTAAATTAAGGGCTTATATACTTTTGGCTTGGATTGTTGACAACACAAAAATCTCTTAAAGAGTAAACAGGTTAAAGTCTACTTTATATGACTTACTTGCAAGAACTGCAATGGAGTCCTTGAACTGCCCCTGTGTGTCAAAGATTACCACTTGGCCATTGAACCAGTCAGCCACAGCAATCTCGTCAGGTTCAGCAGCTGCAATGCCCCTAGCTGCTTTGAACTTCCCCTGGCCACTCCCAAGATTGTCAAACGTTCGGCACAGCTTCCAAGAGCCTTCCATGACCACCTCACCCAGACTGATGACTGCTCTGTCTTGGCTCTCTTGGAATACAGGAAGAATCACCTGCTCTGTGACCCTCGGAAAGGAAAGGCTCAATGTCTCCAAATCATGTCTGAGGACAGGATAGAGAAAAATGAAGTCGGTAACTTCTGAATTGTTTGCAAGGTCCTTGGCTTTAGCGAGTAACTGAACTCTGGGTTGCAGCATCTCCCTGATTTTATCCTCTTGCTCCTCCAGCCTGCTTCTCTCAACCTGTTCCAGTCTACGGATCATGGCAACCAGTTGCTTCTCCTTAGCCTTGACCTCTGCAATGAGCTCAGCAGCTCTGCTCCAGACCTTCCTGACAGAACCCGTAACATGGCTATCCAATTCCTGTTTAGCTTCAGTTACCTTGATGAGATCTTGTTCTAGCATCTTGATGTTCTCCTTAAAAGCTACGAAATACTGTTGCAGAGCTTGCTTGTATTTCACAGAAGCAAGACTAGCCACTATAACTTGGTGGTCTTTCTTACGATGGTCCTTAGGAAGACACTTTCGACAGGCTAACTTCTGGCAAGTCTCGCAGTAAAACTGTGGTATCATTCCTTTATGCTTCGGACAAGACCTCTCAGAGTTGTACTCAAGTTTGGTTTCCAACTCCTTGATATCCCCAGCTAAACTCGTGAGGAAGAAATTGGCCTGTAGGCCATTAACACCAGTCTGTGGGAGCACTGTATTCTGTCTACAAACTGGACAAGTAATCGTTGTTGTGCCTTTGGCATCGCAGTACCACTGCAGACAGCCTCTACAGAAAGTGTGCAAGCATTTCAGTGCTTTGGGTTCCTGGAATGTGCCACGGCAGATGCTGCACTCTAGATAACTCCTGTGCATCTTCTGTAGAGTAGCATTCGGTGTTTCTTTGGCTGCCATGTCCACCTGTTGACAAAGTATAAAAACAAAAATGCATAAATTGGCAGTGGAAACATAGAAAACTCGGTCAAGCTCCGCTCACAAAAACTGTCTCTTGATGAATGGCCAATATGACTATTCCACTGTAGCCTCACCATGAAGAGCACTATACCCAGGCCAACCAACCAGACATGATTTCTATCTTGATTGAATATGTCCTATTGGTTAAATCTCTGATTTCCTTGATCTGTACTATGTGGACACTACAACTAGCTTAGTATACCATGTGAAGCAGTGTTACTGCATAGCGCTCGATATTTCTAGGGGTATTATCATTGGGTCTGTTGTTACATGTGGTTCCAGATATAGTGTGAGTGGCACGAGCGGATGGAAGAAAATCATATAAGACACGGTTACAGAAGAAAAGGCACTGACAACAATAATCGGGTCTCATGAGCATTTAAAGAAACACAGAGTACTATCACTAGCAGGCTAAGGTTGGTGTGCATTAGCAGGAGATGAAAAAAGAGCTAGCGACTAAAATTTTTGGGGAAAAGGGTGGTTAAAATACAATATGGATGGGCCGTTTATTGGCAGGGTAATGAAATAAAACAACTTGAATTAGGCCTAAGCTTTAAAACTTTTGGCAATAGGATGGCCGTTTAGTTTCAAGGTCCAGTTACCATAAATTGTAGATGGAATAGGAGGGGGGGGGAGAACTGTCTGGGTGGACTATAAAGAACATTTAAAGGATATAAATATGTCAATAGCAGAAGCTAGACATGTCACTTAAATTGGGCAATTGAAAGATTTAAAGATCTAGGTTTAACAGTTGTGTATACATGATGTGTCAAGATTACTGTAAGATGTTTGCGGTCAACCTTTATAAATGCACCTACGTGTTAACGCCGCATATTCTATGTGAAACTGAAAAGATATTGGACAGCCACTAAATTTTACAGTACGTCACGTGAACGATTCTCGACAAATAGAATTTCACAAGCTAAAGAAGCGATACAAGGTATTTCTCTTCAAAACCCATGGACACTTACTTTCCCTTCCCATTGTGAAACTCATACAAGATTTTCCAGTTCAAGTTCTATGGGAACTGTGTTGCTTTTTTTTCTCCTTAGATTGTCAGCCACCTTGCCTAAATGGCGGCGAGTGCGTGAACGACGTTTGTAAGTGCCCACCGGGCTGGACAGGGCAGGATTGCGGACGGGAAGAAGAGGTGGTCCTACAGATCTCCCAAACCACTGAATTTGATCCAACCATTGGCAGCACCGTCATGTATGTGTGTTATACTAATGAGAGCAGCGTCACTGAACCGCCTGTGTGGGTCTATCCTGACGGAAGAGAGATACTTGTAGGAGATCCAGGTAATTGAGCTCATGTGTGAGGACTGTTTGTTTTTATAGGCTGATTCATGATGCAACTATACAACTGCACACTAATAGTAACTTGAGATGGTTCTTTACTGCAAATTTGAAGCTGCTATAGTTGGTGATGTTCTATAACGTTCATTGAAGTTGGTCAAATGTTGATGTATTTGGCTGGTTTAAAATAAGATGTTTAAGACCTGTCAAACATTGCTGTGCATTTCAACCCATTGGCACCTGTACTACATTGTGTTTATTTACTGAAGAATCAGTCAATAAAACCACAGTGCTTGGGCGGTTTCGGGTGGTACAGAGAGTAATAGGCAGGACAGTCTCGGGTGCTACAGTGACTAAAAGGCTGTGCGCACAGCTGATGGTTACCAGTGATGGAACCTTGCCCCAAGTTTTGGTTAAAATGGACTTGAGTTTTGTCCAACCATCCTACGATCATGGTCGAACTGTGTTTAACCCATAGAGCTATATTAAATTACTAGAGCGCTAACTCGATGTACAAAGTAATGCCTGATGGGCGCATCCATGATTGTGCACAAACCTATGGAAAACTCGAAATTTTGTACGGCTTTTGTACAGCTATTTGCACATCTGCATTTGTATTCCCTACCGGTGCGTCATCGAAGTCGATACGCCCAAAACCGAAACGCACGATCAGCAAATGAGCGTTTCATTTTGCTCTACGCAAACAGCGCAACGTGTGCGCGTCCCTCTGCTGCAGATACTTTTCGCCGTGACGTTTTTCGAACTGTCATGACGCGCTTAAGTTGTTTGCGTATCTTCTACTTGCGTGCTACATTTAGAGTACACTTTTAAAATTCAATTCATCTGTTTTGATAGTGTTCTACAAAATTCAAAATGTCTGCTTGCAAGAATGAAGAGTTAGCTCTCTAGTAATTTAATATAGCTCTATGGTTTAACCACAGTCCTTGCCTGAACTTACTCCTATTTTCAAAAAGGTAATTTTTGTTGTTATTTGTACAGGTGATGGGACTCGTATCTTTGCTAATAACATTTCCCCTGCTGCCAGCGAACTGATAATCACCAGCCTACAAGAGGAAGATATCGGAACCTACTCCTGCTCAGCTGGACCCCTGATTGCTTCTGTCATCATCACAATGAATCGTAAGCAAAGAGCTTTATCAACCCATCAGCACCTGTGCTACATTGTATTACTTTGTATTCATTCCCTGAAGAATCCGTAAATCCACAGGATACTCGGATGCTGTACAGAGAATAATAAGTAGTGGGGTATAGTGCAGTGAAGGGATTAATGAGTAGAGAGCTGACTTCTCATTCCATTACCTAGAATACTTTTGCATGCATCCCTGGAAAGTGTACGCCTGGAAAGGATATTATCACCAATATTGAAAATTTGGAAAAGGCTATGGAAGTCTACACACAAATTCAACAAATTTTGTTTCAATTGCAAGAGAATAGTTCCCTAAACAATGAAGTCTAGAATAAAGCAATGAATGTGCGGTGATGAAATGTTTAGTACTGCAAGCCATGTGCTACATATTTTTGCATGTTTATAGTATACAGTACTGCGCACTGTATCAGGTTTTGGAGCATACATTTCTGTATACAGTATGTTTAGGCCTATCAAAATGGCACATGTGGACTCCATTGCTGTTCTCAATGCGCTATCCATTCAGCATACAGAAATAAGTGTGCAGGGCCCTCATTCGGTTATGCACAGAGCCAGTGAGACAACAGAATGATTCTGTTTTCTCTTTCTTTCTAATCAGCCACTGATAACTCCTGCAATGGCGAGTGTTTGAATGGAGGAGTCTGTAACGAAGGGACCTGTTTCTGTCCACCAGCCTATACTGGAGAATTCTGCCAACTTATTGGTTAGTATATTTTAAAGATGTATACCCCAATAAATTCTCACTTCGTATGTTTTTTTTAAGGTGAAAAAACCTATATTACAATTTTCGGCATTTGCAACCCTCTGAAAAATTGCTTTCATAAATAAATAAATAACAAATAAATGGCTCCGCGAGAGCTGAAATATTGTTTGTCAGCCAATAACTCAAATTTTGTGAAGAAATAATTCAAAAACTAAACGTCGATGGATTTATTTTGTTCTATGTCTCAATTTTACATTGACAGGAAAATAGCAACTAACAAAGCTAAAAAAGTGAAACAGCATGGGAATCTGCTCATATAAAAGATTTTTTTTCTTCAATGGAAATACTTATTTTGTTATTGTGGGACACTTTTGTGGTCTTATAGGTATCAATTGATTTTGCTGTCTTCATATTGCCAGAGTATTTTGTACCAGTCCTTCATATTGAGAAAGGTTTGTCTCATTAAATCCTGTAGGTTCATTTCAGGGAAATTACCCATGTTACTACGTGCCTTGAATAACGTGCATTACCACAAAATTGAATTAACTTTTTTCAATTTCCCTCCCCCTCAGATCTGGAGTGTCGCTACCCATGTGAAAATGGAGGTTCCTGCATCAGTGGCATATGTGTGTGCATGGCGGAGTTTGAAGGGGTTTCATGTGAAATAAAGAGTATGTTTGACATCAGAATGTTATATTTTGTGCATTGCCCCACAACTTTACAATTTCTTTTTGACGACTAATCATTCCCTTGTTTTGGTACAGTTTCAGTAATTACAAAAAGAACTGATGGGTTTTTGTATCAATCAGTTTTATACAATTGGTTTTATAGTGGGAAGAAATTTGCAGATAAATGGCTAAAACTTGCCAGATATACCATATGTGATGTGATCAAGCTAAATGAGTCGTTTGTCGGGAATCTTCATTTGGAGATTCAGGCCAAAATAGGACCACTTAATCGCATCACTTCATCACATCTCTTGGTGTTCCAACTTCCATAATTTTTGAATTAAAGATGGTATCAGCATGCAGTTTTCACATCAGTAATGCTGAGATTGTGCTTTTTTCACAACTGTAAAAAAAAAATGTACCAGGTCGACAAACGACTCGTTTAGCTTGATCGCATCACATAGGTGACTTATTTTGCCACAATTTGATTAGTTCCTCCCTAATAACCTACGGCATTGTTGAATGCAGTGTTCCATTCCTGAACTTTGTGTGTCATTTCGTGTGTTTGCAGTGCCCGTGTGCAATTCAGTACAGGTACTGCATGCCTCTTTCTAATTTAAGCAAAAACACATCACACTTGTTTTGAATGGTAGCTGCAAAACAAAACTTTGCAAACGTCTCACCTTGATAGCATGACAAAGTGACTTGACAGATGTAAAATATACTTCAAGTTTATCATCCTTTGAGACAAGTTTGTGAAAACAGGCATGAGATTTTTCAAGACTTAAGTCTGAAATCAGACTTTTTGAATCTGAGAGAAAGACATTATTAGCATAGAAAAATATACATCTTTTAGACATTTCATCAATTGACTATCTCATCCCTTTGAAAAATCAAACAATAGAAAAACAAATGTTACAGGGTGTTAAAGTGAAGGCTAAACCATATATTTGCTACGTTGCAGCATTTTCACAACCGTAAGATTTGGAAATTTCCCCACAGCCATTTCTTCTAATTTTTACGAGAAATAATTACCTAGACTTTGGAGTACACGATTAGTACACGTAGGAGAAGGAAAATCTGAAGGTCCCAACTGCTGTTCAGAACAGCATTGTCACTTGTAGTCAAAGTTTATCACAAGTCCAGTCACAAGTCAATTCAAGTCGGTTTACAAGTCCAGTTGCAAGTAACAGTTTATGGTTTATAACAGCTTGACTTGACTCCACATAAGATCTTGACTTCACGTAAGGTTTGTGAACTATTTGCAATGGACTCGTGACTAAGTGTCGCAAGTGTCTGGACTACTGGTTCAGAATCAATGCTATGGACCTGTTGCTTTGAATAATAACAGGTGCAACGCTACCATGGAGACTCAACGATTGCACCGTTGGCCCAGATTGGTCTCTACAATAGTTGTTGCATATAAAAAAAAAATTGATCGTTCTCCACGTAAGATTTGCAAACTATTTGCAATGGACTGACCTGCTTGTGACTATGCGTCACAAGTGACTGGACAAGTACACTTGTTCAGAATTATGACCTATTGCTTTGTATAATAGCAGGTGCAGTGCTGGCATTATAGAGAGCTTTCTTTTATTGCACAGTGATCCGTACCCAGATTGGTCTGTGCAATTTTGTCCTATAATTTTATTTCTATTTTTTTTTTCCTGATAGAATTTGGGAAAAGAGGTACAGTACCTGATGAGTCATGAGTTATTTATAGACCCCAGATCATCCTTATTGAAAAAGTACCTTGCATTAGTCTGTATTCTGTTGGTTCTACCAATGGTGGTTTTTTTGGAGGGGGGGGGGTCCAGATTGGTCTAAACAATTTTGCCCTGTATATTTTTTGTGCATTATATTTCCTGATAGAATTCAATGACAAGCTAACCATTGAGTCGGGAGCAGGTCCTAGATCATACCATGTACAGTCTGTATTCTATGGGTTTACAGTGATTCAAGCCCAGATTCATCTTGAATCAATTTCGACCTATACCTTTGTTCTAAATACTTCCTGATAGAATTTGATGAAAAGCTACCTGATGAGTCATTGATTTTTTACAGAACCCAGATTATCCTTATTGAAAAATAGCTTGTACACTCTGTATTTTATTGGGTTCTACCAAAAAGTTTGAAGAAAATTAACTCAAATAATATTGTTGGAGCTAGAGCGCCTCGCTCATTGTTAAGAATTTAAAATTTAAAAGTTGTTATTTGTGAAACTTTGTACTGTGTGTTTAACTTTTTTTAGAGCAATACTCAATGATTATGTTAACTAAAAGTGGTGGGCAGCTGAGTTAGTCAGGCAAAATTAAATATGTAACAGTAAGGTAGCACTCTAAATGACTAAATCGATTGGAAGTGTGCCCAGGCTTTTGAAGCTACAATTACTTGCATCTGGTGAAGTAGTTATGCTACGAAAGCTTATGCACGCTTTCAGTCCAGTTATGAGTCATTTAAAGTGCTACCTTACTTTTATATTTTAGTTTAAACTGACCAATGTCTGATTCACTGAATGACTGTCATTTTACATACTAGCCAGTCAGTTGCCTATTCATGTATCAAATGTAGAACTAACCTACATGAGCATAAGTCTGTTGGCGCTTTTTCGTTAACTTTTTGGTTCTTGATAGTTTAGGCAATAAGTCAAGCGCCATTTGCCACTTGTGCTCATTATATGTGCTTGGTACCATTTTGAATCAAACTGAATAGCATTTGGTGCACTCTGGGTTTGCTTTAAATTTGTCTTGTTTCATAGAGCGTGGTTGTCCGGAAGAGTGTCAGAACGGTGGAATCTGTCTGAATGGACTGTGCCGCTGTCCGCCAGGGTATACCGGAGATTTCTGCGAAAGCCGACGTAAGTTTAAGTCAATCTCAAGTCAATTGTAAGCCATCACAAGTCATGGACAGTCAATCATAAGTCAATAATAGGTCAGTTACATTATCATAACTGCAAGTCACAAAATCAGAAGCGGTGGAAGGGGACGGAAAGGGAGGGAGGCATTTCCAGGTCAAATTGCAAACCAATCACAAGTCATTTCATTTCAAACACACATCTTCACAAGTCATCAAAAATGTACACAAGTCAATTACCATTGGCCATCTAGCCTAAAGAAATTACTTTGTTTTCCGTTGGGTCATTTTCCCTCTAATCTTCTAAGCTTTTCTAGTTCATACTTGATTGTGTAATTCCAGTTTTAAAAAAATATATACATTTGTTAAACAGTATACTTGCACTCATCAAAATAAAATAGAAATACTCATTGCTTTAGTTCCTGAACATGCGATCCCACATGATTGCCTGATATATTTCCTGAAAAGTTTCAAAACAATTTTTCCACCATTTCATGTAACTAGTGTCCAATCTGTATATACTGTAGCCACTTCACGTGGTGTTTCAAATGAAATCCTGCCATGGCCAATTGTTGTTCTACCCACTTACCTCAATAAAGTGCCACCGATGATAAGTTGAACCAGAAAACAAATCACATGATGTCTCCAACTAAATCCTACTACAAACAATGTTTCACTCAACTGGATAAAGTGCAATCAATGATCAGTTGAGCGGAAAACAATTCAATAGACTGCGTGAGGGGAAAAACCTACATTTTTGCTCTCTACATGTATGTGCATGTACACAGTTTTCTTTCCATTTTTTATTTCCTGGTGTTGCAGCAGAGTCAGTGAGAAACAGGTCTGCACCAAGCAAAGTGCATTTTAAAAATCTGAAAAAAATCATATTGCCCTGCAGTGAGACTACGTGTATACAGTCTTTTATTTGTATTGTCACACATAACAAAATTCCAGTTGAAACACATGTAGGCCTATGAGTATGACCATGTAGTATACAGATTTCTGTGAATATAGAGACTTCAGATTACTAGTGAACAAACTACAGTGTGTGTTGTTATTTACAGGCATTTCAATTGGACTTATTTCACCAAAATGGTTAACTTGAATTGGGAAAAAAAATTTAAACCTAGCTTTTGGGGATCACATGTGATGGGAGTTAATGGAACAAACCCCCAAAAAACACTAATTAGATGACCTTTGAAGTGTTGAGTCAGGGGAAACTGAAGTAATTGAGACGTAAGACATACTTTCTCTGTTATACTACAAAATATTGCAAAACAAATTTATTGACCAACTATAAAATTTCTATAAACAAGTGAAATGACCAAGAAAAGGAAATAAGTAAACAAATTACCAGTCTCTAACACTGGGCAAAACAGTAAATAAACCAATATTAAACCAGCACTGCTTTGACTGACACAAATTCAGGTTTCAGCAAACTGTTTAGTTATATAAATTTATGTTGGATTTGAGCCTCCGGTCCACTACTTACACCCTTACACCAAGAGTCTAGCAGTCTCTAATGAGCACACTGTTTGAAACGTCAAGTTAAAACAACTGGTTCTTTTCAGAGCCACACAACTCAAAAAGAGATAATAATAAAAATAATATGTAGTGCTTATATAGCACTTTATACCAAGGTCTCAAAGCGCCTCACAATTATTACTCCTGTTCATCAGGCCATGAGACCTTTTTCTGCAGCAGCTCAAGATCAGCGCAATCTGGTCTCTAGTTTCACAGGTACCTATTTAAACTCCTTGGTGGAGAGAGGCAATTGTAGTAAAGTGTCTTGCCCAAGAACAAACCATGTTCCCCGTCTGGGTTCAACCCCTGTCCGGGTTCGACCCCATGTACCACGGCACGCGAGTCATACACTGTAACCATTGGACTACAGCGCTCCACGATAATATTCAGATGGTGTTACCGCAAACATTACACTTTGTTCACGTCCACCATGCAATCCTTCAAGTTTCATATATAAATGTTAACAACAGACAAACACAAAGGGAAACTGACTAAAGTGTATTTAAAACCATATTCTGTCTGATCTAAATAAGTGATCTTCCGTTTGCTTTCCAGGTTTTCAGCACGTTGCTAACATTATGGTTTCCCTTTCCTGCTTCCCGCTCGTCAACATTTTGTAGTGCAGTAACATTTCAGAAATGTCAGAAACCAGGGCTGCCAACTCGCACACATTGAGCGCGAGATCAGGCATTTCAGGTTATTCTCATGCTCTCGCACCCACACAGGATTTTTCACGTAAAAAAAAAAAAAATAAAAAAATTTAAAACAATATTCAAGAGATTGGATCCAAAATCGAAACTTTCTATTATGTTTAAATGACGATCATTCTGTTCTTAAAAAATGGTTAAAGTGGTCAGGAATTGCCTCGAATGGCACCACAGAGTGTCTGGAACCCAACCTTTGCCGGGGCCCAAATTTTCCGGGGCTTTGCGCTCCTATTAGTTCTGATCAAGCTCCATTGCTAAATTCTCACCTTTAACTCTTGCTCAAAGTTGGCAGCCCTTTAAAACCTGTGTTATGATTTCATTTAAAAGCTTGCAGTGATTTGATCTGTTATGTACACCCCATTATACCAATCTCCACCCTTGTGTCACCCTGTGTGTCACGCCATTTTTCACCCCAACAGCCATCCAGTGTGAGCCCCCTTGCATGAATGGTGGCGTCTGTGTCCGCGGACAGTGTTATTGTGCTGATGGCTTTGAAGGCAACTCGTGTGAATTGATAGGTATGAGTTTGTGTTTGGGAACCTCCCCCTTAAAATTAAATAATAAATTAATCATTATGTTGCTACCTGGATATAGTGACTTGGTACATGGTAGAGTAATCCCATCGCAACCCAATTTGGGCTAAACTGGGATGTTGTGCAGAGGTGACGTCAACAGCCATATGGATAAGGTGCCAAAAGTGAAAACAAAAAGAAAAGGAAATAAAAGGTGCACGTTTTAAAGGTGAAGAAGAAAGAATTTACAGGACAATGTTGCCATACAGAGGCTGCATTGCTCTGATGGCAGGGATGGCTGGTGTTTGGAAGGCATTTTCGGATAGGGATATGTGTAGAACGGCAGATGGTGGAAGCCTGTTCCAAACTGGCAAAGGCGTATTTGTAAACATTGATAGTTGGTATGACCCTTCAGTATACAGGGTGGTTAAAAAAAAATGGAATGGCATTTATACCACTTATACCACTTATACCACTTATACCAAACCACTTATACCAATGCATGGGAAACTTTTTAGAAGAAAAATGAAACCAAGATCGCCCGATTCGGTCCAGTAGTTTTTGTTCTAGAGCCTATTTTGTGAAGCAATGTGGGGGTCATTTTGTCCCGATAAAGTGCTAAACCGCGCCCGGGAATTTGACTTGCATTGTAATTGATAGAGGGATTGTTATGTGATAATTTTATAATGCCCACATGAAAGAAGTGTGCTTCATAAAATAGGCTGTGCAGCAAAAACTACTGGACCAAATCGGGATATTTTGGTATCATAATTCTTCCAAAAGGATTCTCCATCAATTGGTACAGGTGGTTTGAGTCTCAAGGTAGTGGAAGTATGCTGTTCCGGTTTTTTCGGGACCACCCTGTATAGCAGAATCAATAAGGATTTTTGAGTCCTTTGTTTTTATCGCATTGGAAAGAGTATACTCAGTTCTTGATTATGATTATATCACATTGATTGACATTTTGATGAATGTGGACAATACTTGGGTGAAGACTTTAGCAGTTCCTATTGATTTCCTCAGTGCAAGTTTTGTTTAACCAAATAGCAGTTGTATTACACTGGATGTATTACATTGTATTTATTCCCTGATCACTCCATATAGTGCTGGGGCAGTGTGGGGTGGTATAAGCAATAACAGACAGGGCACTTTTGGGCAGTACAGTTACCAATGCACTCGTCAGTGGTAAGAGTAGCCCTATGCTTTGCAAGGAATGGTGCATCAAGCGTGCGTCGTGCCTATCATGGTTGTGACTATAACATTGAAACTTGTAGCTTATCAACAATTTTGTGGCTCTTACCAGGCTTACATTGTCTTATAAGAGACAGACAGGACTTATTTCAGTACGTGGATGGAAAATGTTTGCAGGGTAGAATGAGAGTTTCTTAAGTAACGTCCTTTTTTATCTTTTTATAGTTGGTTCGTCACCTCAGATTGTCATCAATCCTTTCTCGGGCCAAGTCTTGGCTCTCGGGGAAGACGTCAATTTCCTATGCCGGCTGCGCAGCATGGAGCTGGAACCAGGAACCCTACCGGTCTGGGTTGGACCGGATGGAGCCGCCATTGGCAAAATTGGTTTTGGTAATTCCTTTCTGATCAAATGACTTTTCCAAAAACAACATTTGTTTTTATTAAGATTATCTATTTTTTTTTTAAATTGTTTGTTTCTTTTATTTTAAACCTATCCCATTTTCCTTAGACTGTGCAATTTTTTTTGTAGGTGACTCCTTTTACGTTGAAACTTTAATTTACACAAAGACATCATATTATTAAGCTATTCTGACAACAGCGATGTAATAAAAACATCATGTGAAACGTGACGTCAACTTTCAGGTACACTTTTCAAAGTCAAATGTCTTGAGAACTAGGTTGACAAATCAAATCGTGCAAATCCAATTGAAACGTACACACACATCTGCAAAGTAAATGCTAAATTTAAAGCAATGTACATTGCACATATGTAGAATTCTTAAATATGTTGAATTCTTAAGATTCCTTTTGAGAGATCTGTATGGAACAGCGTGTAATTTTCTTTGTAACACTGGTATGTCACAAAGATGTATTAGGAGTTGAAACAAAAATATGTGACTTCATCATAATGTCATTAAAATGTTGCATTACTAAATTAACACAAAGGCAAGATCTGATTGTGATAAAGTTTGGTACGTCTTTAGAATATGTGCTGTACGTGGCAGTGGTATCAAACTCATAACTTGCTTTACTCAAGTGGGAAATTAAACTTACAAATGTAGTCCACCAGTGACTGAGATTAACATGGTATAGAATGACTGAACATGGGTCAGAGAGCTGGCTAGTGTGTACCAACTGCACAATTCTGTTTACTATATACATACAAATTGTATTGAGGCGTTTTGTTGCATACTATTCTTTATCATATTCGTAACTACTCTATATGATTGTGTCTTTCTTCAGGGGGAGATTTGCACAAGTACGTTGAGGTGCTGTCAGAGTCTGTGGTCAATCTGATCATCAATGACTTTACCATGGAGGATTCAGGGAACTACACCTGCATTGCTGGACCTTTGTCAAGAATGGTGTACCTCATATCACTACGTAAGAACTTTGGGATAAACATTTTCCATAAAAAAAAGCTTGAAAAATTTAGGGGCTTAGCAGGATCAACAAGGACAAGCCACAGGTAATGGACATCACATGGCAGTTTGGTTTTTTACCTGCTTTAGCTGAGCAACAAATTCAATACTGAGCAAACGTCTGTGTTTAACATCTTGATGAAGTTTTCCTTGGGGGCTAATTTCATTAAAATTAGCAAACAAAATATTTGCTTCAGGCCCATCTCAACTCTCAGTTCTCAACTCTCAATTCATATCTGAGACGAGTTCCTGACAAGTTGCGGGCATTGTATCGGGTATAAGTTGCAGAATTTTGAACAACTTCCCCACAATCTTCTCCCAATGAAGTTATCAGTATTGGTGAGTGAAGCAGTTGCTTATGAAAGTTGCAGTTGCTAATGAAAGTTTAACCTAAAAAAGGTCAGCCATGAACACGGTTAAAGACTGGTTGTAGGATGGTGAATGGCGCTGGGCAGTGCTATCTTATATGATCACCCAGTTATGGGCAAAATCTGGCCCATTGTGTAGACCAAATGCGTGTGAGACTTTTAGTGAATAGCCATTTGGAAATAGTGGAATAACAATTTGTGCGCTGTTTGAGTAAGACCAGATTTACCAGGCTTGCCTTGCCTTCATATTTTTTATTTGGCAGCTGAAGACTGCCAGGGCATGTGTCTGAATGGAGGCGTCTGTGATAACGGAATCTGTGACTGTCCTGAAGGATTTGAAGGGGAGTACTGCGAATTCACACGTGAGTACAAGCATGAATTAGAGGAGACCTGCTGGGCAAGACTTTTGCCCCGTAACCGAGAAGCTGCAGTATCGCTTAATTGTCCAGACCCGACCTGACCCAATCAAAACATCAATGATAAATTTTTTCTCAGATTTAAAAACAGCCGAGCTAGTCCTTCTGAAAAACGAATGCAGTTTTGTGTATGGTTTGTTGACTTCTGTGGTGTTCTGCATGCACTGTTAACCGCTGCTAGTAACTTTCTTTCCTTGTTTTCAGTGGGTATTGGGTTGTGCAACCCAGCTTGCGAGAATGGAGCGACATGTGAGCAAGGCGTATGTCTCTGTGCCCTTGGGTTCACAGGGGATACCTGCGGTACAGGTAAATAACTTTGGTTTTAACTACAACATGGAAAGCATGTTCAAATTACTAGTATTGAAACGGTGTATGAATAGACCAATCCAAATTTGACCAATCACAGCCATGATTAATGTCCAAAGTGCATGTATGCACAAACATCCAACATGCATGCACTTCCATATGACGTTCACGGCTGAAACATGCAGTGTGCATCGTAGAGGTGAATATGTTGCTGCCAACAGAAATAGTGGGCATGGCAAAATAGATTGGTCATTAATATTCTGGGGACAGTTTAAATGGCACGTTTGCTAATTCTGCTTTATTATTGCTTCAATATCCCTTAGAAATGAGCTGTAATCCAGGCTGTGAGAACAACGCTATCTGCCAGCGTGGTATCTGCATGTGCCCAGTGGGTTTCACTGGACCCTCCTGCACAGAAGGTAAAAAATTATCAGAACTAAATCATTTATGATAATGAATAATAATATAATACTTTCATGGTTTTCATTTCGAAAATAGACTCTTCTTGGCAGCTGGTCAAGAGTAAGTTTTAAAAAATATATTTGGAAATAAAATATTCTAATGTGCACAATGATGGTTTAGCTCTTGTGCAAAATTGCATGAAATTTGTATTTATTACATTTTATTTCAAGCGTTAGATTGAGTATTATACAACACTGAATATATCCCCGTCTTCTGAGTGGTGGTTTGTTAATCTCTTGTCATTGAATTATTCGTCCTAAAATAAAAGTTCTTCACAGTCACAATATTACCAAGCAGATGACAAGGATTTAGTCGGCATATAAAACAAATAAGGAATGTTTCACATTCGTGCAATGGAAAGAATAATTTAATTCGGTGACGGATGAACTGTTCCATTCCATTTGGCTTCGAGTTAAGTTTGGAAACACCAATTTAACTGGCAAAATTTTACCCATTAGAAAGCTGTGATGTCACACAGGTGAAAACAGAGAAATTGCCTGTTAATAGCGAAGTTAGTGGGTGATGAAACTAAACTTTACTGTTAACACTGTGAAGTTATCAGCATTGATTACAAACTGATAATTAATTGCAGGATTCCAGGACAGCTTTCACACCATTGTGCAACTAATGCACCATACATTGAGCATATTGCAGATAGAATTTTCTGCAACTTATCCCAGATATTTATATGATTCCTTAAACGTGTTTCCATTTATTGCAGACATCAACGAGTGTGCTATCAATCCCCTCATCTGTCCATTCTATGGCTGTATTAACACCATCGGCAGTTACAAGTGTGCCTGCCCACCAGGATATGAGTTTGGCCCTGATGACTTGTGCCAAGGTGAGCATTACCTGACAAAGCAAACTATAGACTAATCCTACAACTCAAATTAGAAGTCATTTAAATACTGACATGCAATTATGTACGTGTTCTACATAACCCCCGAGGTCCGACACACAAAGGGAGAACAACAGATCCTTTTAGTCCTTGGGAGTTGGGTCTTTTGTTGGAAACGGTCCTCTGTAATAAGTTTGTGTGCTTAGTCTATGGGAGAATGTTATAATTATTACAGGGACAAAGGGAAACACAAAGCATTGTCCTCAAGAGTGTAGTAAAACACTTCTGTATGCTCACGACTGTATGCTCACACAAAGGTGTGTTCACTAAATGGTCCTTTGACCAATGGGGTACGTTGATAATTACTACATAATCTTGTATTAAGAAGGGTTCCAGCTTGGAGTTTGCCATGTAAAGTAGCATTAATGGGTGGTCTGGTTGTGCATTAATAGTAGGAAACTGGGTATCTGGATGAAAATATAAGTCATGGGAGGTTTACATAGATATCCGAGTACAGAGGCAGTCTGGATTGATGAGTTCCAAGTTTGAAGATAAAACAAAATACTCTTACTATACAAAAAGCATATCTCAAAAAAAATAAATCATAATTTTGGTGGGTAGAATAACAAAATTATGATGGGTAGAATAACAAAATTATGAAACTAGGGTAAATTATGGTAGGTCTATCGCTGGGGGGGGGGGGGGGGGCTGGCCCCATCGCTAAAGGGGGATTTGCTGAAGATATGACATTGCTGAAGATATGACATAAAAGGAATTTGTATGCACGCAATATTATAAGGACGTAGCTTGATGCATGTGAAATAGATCAAACAAATCGATGAATTGAGTATCTGGATATTTTATTTCAGATATCAATGAGTGTGACTTGGACCATTCCTGCAGCCATCGATGCATTAACACTATTGGCTCCTACCTGTGTGCATGTCACGAAGGATTCATCGTCGATTCGGACGGCAAGACCTGCATTGGACCAGCAGGTACAGCAAACCACTTCTCTAATTCCCAATCTTCATCTACTGCAGTTTCCAACCATGCACTCCTCGGTACCATAGACTACCGAAGTGTGCTGCGTATTCTGGTTCATGCGCACATCTTAAGTGTGCGAAGACATCAGTGCTTGAATTAGCATGCGAACCAGAACAAATACAACTGACTTCAAACTTCAGTACTCAACAGCCCTTTCCTACCATATCTTAAGTTGCCACAATTATTACACCTCATGCATATTCATGAACCAAACGTCAATCTTTCATTGGTCGATGTTCCAACGCATCTGGGAAGTATATTAAGTAAACCCACACATGCCCATATGCAACCAATCTTCTATTTACCCAAGTGGTCGGTAGTTACAGGGATACAGTACCCCAAGATTAACTTATAGACTCCCGCCATGCAACAGTCAAATTCACAAGTGAGGTTTATAGTGGTACCATACTAAAACTTCACTACAAACAGAACTATTCCTCTTCTGACAATGAAACTATTATTGAGGTGTAACAACAACATACAGCAGGGTTTATTTCAGGAAAGAAGTGCCAAATTACGGGTTCCTCCGAGTTGGCTGATGTTGACTATACCTGGACCCTTTACTTGACATCAGGAGGTAGTCAAATTAGAGAACGCCAGAAAATTTGCTTTGCTGTCGTTCAAACCGTGCTGTACATACTCAAGTTGTATACTTCTCCCTCCCCAACCTTCACAACTACCCTCTCCCACTCTGTCCCAGCTCACCATGCTGCAGCTAAGTCTTGGGCCAAGACTGGAGTTAGATGTTGCTCCCCTAATGCAGCCAGTACATGTCATGCGTGTTGCAGCACTAGAAGACGTTAAGCTAATGCACACGTGATTGAGGTACTCGGAATACTTGGGTCCCACTGCCAAAGTTCCCAAGATTGGATTTGATTCATCATGTTGATAAAACCCTCTACCAGCTTTACCGCCTTGCCACAGATTTGGACTGGCTGTATTAGGGAAACAAATGGACATCCACTCTTTGACCATAGCTAGCCCTGGTTCCACTTGTCATTCTTTAATTTCAGGCTGCCTCTACCAGAACATCCTATACCCAGCCGGCACAAGTTGGACCATAGATGGCTGCTCACAGTGCACCTGTGATATGGGTGTCACTCAGTGCACAGAATGCCCACCACAAGGTGAGACAGGTTCTCCCTGTTACCTTATGGTCTTCAGAGAACACACCGTATAGGGGCAATTCCATAAGAAAGTGGACATGGTTGGAAAGTGAAAAATGTAATGAAATCTTCAGAACTACAAGCATCACAACCTCAAATGTATCAAATTAAAAGGAACAACAAGAAGTTTTGTTTGAGTGGTATGCCAGTGAGATGAGATAGTTATTAAAGTGTGTTTGCTTGGGTCAAAAAACAGGGAGGGGGGTTGGTAAAATTATGGATTTTAGGTGGTCATTTTGGAAACTTGTTTTTACGTGCAATATCCAAGTGTTATGGTGAGTTTTTGGTTTTCAGTCAGAAAGAAAGCTTTATGTGTGCAAAATTTTCTTTTCGTGTTTTATCTTGTAGCAAAGATGGGTAGACAAACTGTAACGTGAGTTACCGTAACGTGAGTTGTCCTTTTTTCAGATACTGAGGACTGCATGTACAAGGGCATCTTGTACCGTCACCTCACCAATTGGACGTCACTTTTCAATGCCTGTGAGCACTGCTCGTGCAATAACAGTGACGTGCAGTGTGTGGAGGAGATGTGTGATGAGCTGTGTACAAACCCTGTGCCCAGGGCTGGCGTGTGCTGCCATGAGTGTACAGGTAAGGGCATATATCCAAGTTAAAACAGGAAAAAACTCCATTAGGCCAAAATCTAAATGCTGTGTTTCTGGTATAAGTTGGTTGAACGTACATGAGTCCACAGGTATGATGTGCAACATGCTAGACGTCACAACCATCCACCTCTGTTTGTTTTCTGTCAATTCTGTAACTGTCAATTCTGTAACTGTCAATTCTGTAACCGACCCTTCCCTTGTTGACAATGTTACAGAGATGCAACTTTTTCTTGGATCAGCTAATTTCCTCTTTTTTTAAATTCTCATTTCTGCCATTCAAAATTGAAAGGCAATGTGCAAAGTCTGCTGAATTTAGGATTTTTACCAAAACACAAAATTTATTTCTTTATTTCTTTTTTTTTTGGCATTACTTTTTTTTTTCCAGTAAAGAAACAGTCTTTTCTTTTAGGATAGTTGAAATTCGTATATATATTTTTATTTAGAAATTCAGATCATTGTTTGCTTGCAAGGCAGCTCTGAGCATTCACTGCTTAGGAATATTATGTCAGGGTAGGACACAATTCAATATGAATCATGTTGTTTGCTTCCTCGTCTTCAATTGGCAGATTGTCTGAGCGAAGGCACTCTGATCCGGAATAATCAGTACTTCACTCCATCCAGCAACAATTGTACAGTCTGCAGGTGTGAGGTGAGAATCCACTAGAGTTGTAGCAAAAGTCAGTCACAAGTCCATAACAAGTCATCCAGACCCAAGTCAAGTCACAAGCTATTCAAATGAACCGTGATTAAAGCATTCCTTTTTCATTGCTCGAACTTGTGTCTTTATTCATCACTTGACCCAGGGAACTGTCTATATAACTTCCTGCTTTTAATACCTGTTTGTGGTTTTTTGTTATGGTTTTACAGAATGGCAACGTAAAATGTTCCAACTTGACATGTCCAGAGATCACATGCAATAAGCCAACAGAAGGACCGTGCTGCCTCACTTGCGAAGGTGAGATAATTCTTGACTTTTGCACCTAATAATCAGGTAGATAGATCATAGCACCAGATTTTGCCATGTTGAGCCTTTGGCATCTCGTCATTGGTCAAAAAGTGTCATGGATATGTCCTTCTCCTCCACTCAGAACCCAAAGAATTTACCCCAGGCTGTTCAAGTCCCAGATCAGAATGCATTGTTCAATTTCAAAAATTGATTCCCATATCAGCAGTCATTCCTCAATTGACTTTTCACAGGTCCCCAAGGACCATTCATATCTCCTCTTTGTGTATTTCAATTCACTGTCTGATTTACTGTCACTTGTGTCTTAAGCCAGGTTTTTGACTGGTGAGGATAGCCAGGCATTGCTATCATATAGAATTACCGGATGATATGCCAATGAATATTCTAATGTCGGCCCACTTTGTAAACATGAATAGCCATTCTGAATCAATGTAATAACTTTTTTCAGCATGCTGGCAATCAGCTTTACTAGGCTTAACTTGTCTTGTTTTTATGTTATAGATACATGCGTGTATGAGGGTAACGAGTATGGTCACGGCGAGACCTTTATCCCAGAGACTCCCAAATGCAGTGTCTGCACTTGCCTGGTAAGTCACTCATCCAGGAGAGAGCTCTCAATTGTCTCTCTTCCTTTGTCACCATTGAGGGAATGCATTTTCAGAAAGTCCATATTTAAACATGGAACTTTGTACATGTATGTCTTTAATATTGAGATCTGCCCTTCAAAGAGGCAACTTCTTTACGAGCACCATTCTGTATAGACTATGTGCCCTGTGACGTCATGCCAACAGGCAACTGCTGAACAACCCAAACATTCAAACATCTTTCGTATGTTATTTGACCCACAGTTAAAAGTATATGTCAACACTTTAAAACATTTATATTTGAAAAGATGTACATGCAGTGCAGAAGAGAACTGTTTGCTGAAAGGTGGCATAACATAAACACAACATACAATTTGTAAACAAATGTCGCATTTCTCCTGTTCTGTTTGTTTATGGATGCACTTGGAATAAACAACTTCATAAGGTAATGCAAGTTCATATGGGTTAAATCCGCCTACTCCTTTTGACCAGCAATTTGCACTTGCTAACCATTCCTCATGCCTTGCATCCTCACCAAACCATGTTGTTTTTACATATTGCTTTGTTGTTATCAGAGAGGTGCAGTGGAGTGTCAGTACAAGAGCTGTCCTGAGCTGGACTGCCCGGCTGCTTCTCAAGTACGCATTAAGGGCCAGTGCTGCAGCACCTGTGTGGAGATGCTTCCAGGCTGCGTGGACAATCACCGGGAGTTCCATCGGACTGGTGACCAGTGGCAGGACCCTATGGATCTCTGCCAGACTTGCAGCTGCTTTGTGAGTGTTGACTTGAGTGACTTATGACTCACATGCAAGTCTGACTGGAGTAGTATTTTCCTTAACTGGGACTCAAAACTCAAGTCGCCAGAAATGACTCATCAGACATTGACTTGGTTCAGACGTGAACTCTGACTCCAGTGTGACTCGAGTCACACATTACCTTACTCATTTGGGACTCAAAACTCGGTCACAATGAAAAATGACTCGGACTTGACTTGGCTTGCACTCAGAGCTGGACATTCCAGCAGTCTTCCTTCTAATACTCAAGTCACATTGTATCTGGCCGGGAATCCAAGCTCGAGTCACAATGATAAATGGCTCAGACTAAAATGTGGACATCAGTCTGACTCGAGTCATCTTTTCTCAAACTTGAGTGATACTCAATTACAAGGTAGCATGCATTTTACTAGACTCATCTCTCAAACTCAAGATGAAAAATTACCTCGACTAGTGCTCGCTCCTGATGACTTCTGACTTCAGTTGTGTTTTCTGGATAGTCGGATGTGGATTGAGTCACGGAGAACAATTAGTCAGACTCTGTCTCATATTCACAACTTGTTACTCAGTTTAAAACTGTACCCACATTACTCAAGATATGGATTCAGACTCATGAATATTGACTCAAACTCACTTTGATGACTCAATGGGCCTTTTATAGGTATTTGACTGTTGAAATAGTGAATTCAAACAGCATTTGTGTTGATTTTGCCCACAGGAGAGAGGGAGAATACAGTGCTTCCGCACTGAGTGCAACACGCAGTGCCAAAATCCAGTAGCCATAGCAGGACAGTGTTGCCCTGATTGTAACGGTAGGCTTGAGTTCAACATTTCTTACATCTCAGGATTTCCCCACAAGATAAACACACCAATGCATTAAGCCCCACCCACTACACACTTGCATTACAGCATGTGCGCCACATAGCATTTCCCAGCTGCACCAATCAGGTGCAAGTGCATGCACATCGGGCATTAATCATGGCTGTGATTGGTCAAAATAGCATGGGAGGGGCTTAATGGATCGGTTTATTATGGACTCGGAGTTTGAACGACATGAGCAAACAGCACACTAAACTGTACTACACTGTATTTTGAATAAATATATTAGGTAAAGCAGTTTGATGACTGTACTATAGTTAGCAGGATGTCCTACCCGAGCAAGTTTGTGCATTTGCTCTCGGCTTATAAAATATGTGAATTGGGCAAATCCTTAAATAAAAATAAACCATTGCCTATGTGTCTCATTTTTTCTAGTCCCGGGCCAGCCTAGTATCTTCTTTGTACCATCTCACTCACTCATTGATACACTGACTTTCACTAATGAACCAGGCAGTGCCATTGTATAGGATTACCCCGTAAAGCCAATTACGGAGGGGTCGAATCTGGCCCATTGTGTAGACCAGATGCATGAAAAGACTTACAGTGAATAGCCTCTCTGAATCAATGGAAAAGCATTTTGTGTGATGTGGGACCAGCTATATTACTTTTGCTTTGTCTTGTTTTTTTGTAATACCCCAGGTTGTATTTACAATGGGAAAGGTCGTAGAAATGGGGGATCGTTCACGTCGCAAAACTGTGACCAGTGTGTCTGCATATATGGTGATGTGGTGTGTGAGCCGGCTAGCTGCAACACAGAATGTTACTACCCAAACCAACCCCCTGGAGAGTGCTGTCCTGTATGTGAAGGTAAATTATGTGACCAACCATGGCACAGATAAACCAGGGCATGTACAAAATTGTTTGGTAACCATTGTGTTAGACAACCATAACATTAAGACAAACCATGGCATAGATATTTAACTGCATTATAATGCAATGGCATAGAAAAAACATGGAATAATAGGTGGTATAGACAAACTATGGCATTGACAAACCATGACATAGACAAACCATGACATAGATAAAGTCATGATACAGACAAATCATGACATGGATAAACCGTAGCAAAGACAAACAATGACATTGACAAACGGTGGTGTAGAAAAATCGCAGCTAAAAAAAGCCATGGTAAAGGTAAACAATGGCATTGAAAAACTGTTGAAAATGATACCATATATAAACAATGCATGGTAAAGAGAAACACTGTTTAGGCAATCCAGGACAGAAAAATCTTGGTAACGGCAAACAAAATACCCTTTGCCCCCCCCCCCCCCCTTGCGACGCCCATGCATGCACGTAGAAAATCCATGGCATGTAGAAAATTCATGGCAAAGGTTCCACGGTACAGACATCTCATGGCGTGGGCAACCCATAGCATACATATGTATATAAACCATAGCATGTATAAACCATGGTATATACAGACCATAGCATGTATAAACCATCGTATATACAGGCCATTGGGAACAAACCAAGGTATTTACAAGCAATGGCCTATCCCAGGTACTATATAAATGCACGTATTTAGGATTCCTTGGTTTATGCTAACAAGGAATAAATAAATTGTACACGGTACGGAAAAAGCATCATTGGATAACTTAATGTTAAACCGTTGCCTGATTTATGTGCAAGTGTGTGCTCTCTGTATACATGACAGCATTTACCTTTGCCTCCTATCTGCATGTAGATTGCTTCTTTTTGGGCCAAGTTATCAAAGATGGCGAGACGGTCCACCCTGCGCTAGCACCTTGCAGGACCTGCAATTGCAAGGTGGGAAAAGATGAAGTTGATCATTGTAACTGATAAGTCTGTTTTGACACTAGGGAAGTAAACATCAGCATAGACATCTGCAAGATATTTTTACGTTGGCTTGTCTAGTTCTTAGACCCATTTTCTTGAAACTGAATAGTTCCAGAGTCTGGAGTGCTGAGTGGTATAGCAAACGACAAAAACTGGTGTACAAATGAATATAAATTATGATTTCCTCCGTGCCTATTGTGATCCTATGGGTTTGTTTTTTCCTTTTGCCCTGTGGGGCCAACTGAGAATACGTGATGTATAAATCTTGAGCATTGTCCAAGCACAAGGGAGTAGGAATTACTTGCTGGCGCCAAAATGAGAAACAAAAGATATCACTGTGGGCATAGGATTGGGTACAAAAGCTTGGGCTACACATGGATAGCATTTGAGAAAAGGTGACATTGTTCTTGAATGAAGTGTGTATGTAAAATGCTCCAGATGTCCCATGTTCAATATTCTTTTTTCAAGCTTATAATTATCACACATAATGTGCAAAAATGCATTCCGGGGTTTGCATATAAACCCCTCCCCCCCCCCATTTCTCCTCTACCTGATTTACGCCATTTGACATGCCTCTTATAACTGTCTGTAGACCATACAATCGTGTTTCACTATACTCTCGAGGACAATGCCTCGTGTTTCCCTTTGTCCCTGTAATATAACACTTTCCCAAAGACTTATCACACAACCGTGCGACAGAGGATCGTTTTCAACAAAAGGACCCAACGTCTGAGGATTGAAAGGATCTGTTGTTCTCCCTTTCAGTGTCGGTCCTCGGGAGTTATGTAGAACACGTACAATGTTACATGTGTTGGTTGATGGATTTTTAATTGGCTTTTTCATTTGTTACAAAGACCAATGGCGAGTTGTGATCCGTTTTTCTGTCTGCAGAAAGGAAACGTTCGGTGTACACATGCGGAGCAGTGTCCTGCATTAGACTGCTCAGTTACAACAACAGTAGCTGGTGAATGTTGCCCCAGATGTGCTGGTAAGTAAACCTCGTCACTTGGTCAGTAGTTATGTTCGAGACAAAGTGTTGCGCCTGCTCATGGAGCCAAGGGAACTCACAGGCACTCCAGACACCATGTCACTGCTGCACCTGCCCATCATAACATATCATTGTCAGCTCATAACATGTTCATCAGACGATCTCACTTCCCTGGGATGCACAAGCAGTAGGTGACGCTTGGTGACCACCTTCCCATGGGCCTGGGTGGGACACACTGCAAGTGCGAACTTAGTTTGTGCACATATGATGCAAGGAAAACACAACTTATTTTAATCAGAATCTGTATAAACCTGTGGCGTCTTCATGAAGGGTCAGGCGCCGTTGGAAATGCATATGTACACCCTGGTGGTCTCCTTCAACTCTCCCTTTGCAACCATTGAGAGGGTACCTGTGCATGGAGTCCAGGCAGCTTGCGGCTACCAATTCGGAGGAGGGTCCCATATTATTCCTATTACACGTGATATGCCAAGTGCGCTGTAGATCGTGCTATATTGGAAAATGTAGCAAGGTTTGTCAATGGATCGACTAATCAGGATCGATGATTCAAGTTTACTTGAAGATAATATCCAATAGACCGTTCCCTTAAGCCCCGCCCCATAATGTTCTGACCAACCACAGCTGTGAATAATGTCCAACATGCGTGCTTGAAAGTCCAACATACATGGACGTATGTTAGACGCATTTGGCTGCAAAATGCAATATGGTATTTGAGAGGCACACATGTTGTTTCCCACTTGCCCAGTAGGCGGGGCTTTAATGGATCGGTCTAGTTTGGAACAAAGGATCCAATTAGGTCACAAAGTAGCTGGCTGCATGACGCACTCTCACAGGCTGCCCTCACACCTGTTTGTCTGATCCTCTTGATCCCATACCAGATGGATTTTGTCGACTTTCTGGAGGCCAGACTTATGAAAGCGGAGAGAGTTGGTTTGACCAGGACGATCCCTGCACAGAATGCACATGCTTTGTAAGTCATACAGTAACCATCTGAAAACCTGCCATTGTATTTCCAAAAGAGTAAAACGCTGTGGTCTATGAAGATTGAATCAGCATTGCTGTTCGGAGGGAAGATTCGACAAAGGCCAGCTTTAGATTTTTTAGATTACTAACTGGGAAATAGAATAAGGGGTGGGAGCTGAACACCATCCATAGTAGATGGCACTACAAGAGCTCCATGTTCACAGCTCACTATGTGCACACATGCTCACACATATGGCTTAGAGTACGCACCTAGCACGACTATTTGTCATCTGAATAATTTTCTTGCAATTGTCAGATTTCTGCTTATAATTTTATCCTCCAGATTCTGTTACAGTAACATCATTTCTAGTAAATTTGGTATGAAAACCATTTCAAGGCAACCTTGTGCTGCTTTCCAAAAGGCAATATCTGCTGTATAAATGCATGTTGTCAGCTCAATTCTGAAGTATTATTGTCTTGCAGGATCAAGCGGTTCGCTGTTTGCCACTTCCTTGCCCAGACTCTAGCGCCTGCACTCACGGTCTGATCCTTGATGGCGAATGCTGCGCCGATTGCAACGTCTGCATGTACCGGGATATCATGTACAACAATGAGGAAGTGTTTACGCCAGAAAACAGTCCGTGTGATACGTGTAACTGTACGGTGAGTCAGCCCAAATCCAACCTAATCTAACCAAACCCAAGCCAACCCAGCTACTCAACCTGTTGTCCAACCTATTTTGTACATCTTTTCCTAGGTGTGGCCTTCCTAATTGTTTTTGTTCATTTAAGAGTGCTACATATGGAATAGCTGCTTGCACTCAAGCATCTACGACATTCATGCAGATTTGGTGATTAATTATGCAAAACAAGACGTCTTAACCTCTGGATTCTGACCATTCGGTGAACGCGTTTGTATCAGGTCTTCGGTAACCGATTGTTATATTTCAAACACATGGCAGCTAATTGACCAATGAATGTAGACATTGATTGGCTGGCACGTGGGTCCCATGAAATTTGCATGCTCTGATATATCGGACGTTCATAGTGAAGCTCTGCACAGGTAAACGTCTGATCCTCAGACTAGTACTACAATGTGCTACATTTGAGGTTAACAACTGAACTGTTCATGACGTGAACACTCCTCTTAAGAGCAACCCAACCAACCATTTAGGCCACTCGGGTTGGGACACACCATTTTGGGGAGCCTGCCCTAGGGGATTAAGATACTTATGAGCACTTATCCTATAATTGGTTCCCATAAGCGAAGCTCACTCTGCCTGAGAGATTTCAAGCATAATATCTCGTTTCTAAATTCAATCTGTGGGCCAACAAAGTATTATCATAAAGATGTACCTGAAATGTTGACTTGTTTTATATTTTGAACTGTGAAAATCGGTGAATAAAAGGACTAGAACGATCTTTTTTGTGGCCGTTGGTGCTGACTCTCGACCGCAAACTCGTAGTTCGAGAAAGCAGTGTGGCTAATAACAGGTGGTAGTTTATTTAACCTTTAAGTGATTTATGTGGGAAGGTGGAGCAGGGATCAGAGTTTGTCTTCTTAAGGACCCCCCACAGAGGTCAAAAATAGTGTTTAAACTAGCTACTTTTTTAAGAGGGCCGTTTTCATCATGAATTGAGTGCATTTGTTGTCTTTTGTTTCTATTAGGATGGCAATGTGAACTGTGTGAGTCGAGAATGTCCACGCTTAGCATGTCAGCGCACTGTGGAGGTCCCCGGCCTGTGTTGCCCTGTGTGTGATGTCTGCATAGATCCTGTTGATAACACAGAATACTCCCACGGCCAAAGTTGGGTTGATGAAAACAATCCTTGCAGAACTTGTATGTGTGTGGTAAGTATTAGGCATTGGATTGTCTTTGTTCCTCCTGATACTTCTCATGGATTTCTGAAGGACATGAGATAGGCATGTGCATGTGATGGACATGTAATTGACAGGTGGCCGACAGGTAATTGACAGGTGATTAACGGGTCATGAACATATGATCAACAGATGGTTGACTCGTGACTGACTTGTAATAGACTCGTGACTGACTTGTGATTGACTCTGGGTAATTGCAGTCTTAAACTGGAATTGTGGAGGACATGTGAAGGACATGGGATAGACATGTGATTGTCAGATGATTAACAGATGATTGAATCGTGATTGACTTGGGATTGTCTCTGGGTAATTGCAGTCTTAAACTGGAATCGTGAAGGACATGTGAAGGACATGTCATGGACAAGTCATGGACATGTGATGGATATTGATAGGTATATTTGACAAAAGATTGACAGATGATTGAATCTTGATTTACTTGGGATTGACTCTGGGATTGACTCTGGTAATGGCAGTCTTGAACAGTGTACATGAAGCACAATACTTCCTTGGCAAGAGCTGGCTGCAAACACTCCCTGTATCCGTGTGGTTATAGTTTGTAGACTGTGAAGTGGTACAGAACGCACCTGTGGATAAAATTGGGAGAAACAGTTCTTGCAGAACTCTTATCTGTGTTTTGAAAGTACGGACTATTGCGAAAACATATATCTTCATAGTAACTAGTAAGTGTACCTTAGTTTGGAATGTTTAGATGGTATAGGATACACCCACAGCAACAGCTTTGTCACTGGCAGCTCCTTGTATCAGGACTTGTATTCATAAGTGCAGAGTTGAAATACAATCATCACAACCTATCACAAGTCAATCACAAGTCATCTAGTCTCCAGTCAAGTGACAACGCTTCAAATATGAACCAGAATGCGTGGGATTGTTCATTTCCTGTTTTTGTGACTGACTTGTGATTTGACTCACTGTGACTTGTGATTGATTTGTGATTGACTTGCGATTGACTTGCCATTAAGTTGTGATTGACTTGTGATTGACTCGTGATCCTGGTAACTGCATTCTTAATCTGGGTAGATGGTACACAATAGTCTCATGCCCACAGCTCTGACAAAGACCCTTGGAAAACATGGCTCACCTGCATCTCACATTCTAGATCTAAAAAACGACTGTTTTTGTGTTTCTTCTTTTTCTTTTTGAACACCAGGACGGAGAGATAAGATGCAATAATGTGACGTGCCTATCAGAATGTGAGAATCCAACTCATGTGGAGGGACAGTGCTGTCCAATATGCCAAGGTAATGAAAAAACAACCATCAAGAGCTCCTGGACCTCAGTGACACTTGTCCTGGAATGTATCTGATTGAGTGACATTATAATATTTGTGACAGGGTTTATCATAAATGGACAGACTCTGGCTTTGGGGACACTCGCTGAACCCAATAATAACTATGATTCAATGACATGAGCTGATGTCATGTTTGTTTGTGACAGGATGTGACATTAATAAAAGGACAATGACTTTGGGGACAACTGTAAAACTGGGTGACAGCAAGTGCATTGAGGGAAGTGACAGTATCTAATGTTATCACATATATGGACAGACACCGGCTATAGGGATAGCTAGTGCATCAAATGAATCTGTGATTCAGTGACAATTAGTCTAATATGTTTGATTGTGTAGGGGCGTTGACATCATTGTAGTCGCACATTTGATGTGGGATCATGCATATAATTTGATGACAGCTAGTCATGGTTAAATTTGTAATTTGTCCACTTTAGTTGTAATTTGATGTGGTGATAGCGCTTGACATTATAGCTAAGGCAAGAAATTATACATAAGCCTTGGAAGCAGCTGCAGCCACCTCCCATAGACCTGTGTGTTATTTCCAGCTGTAGCCAAGTAATTCGGACACGGCCTAACATTCGGATACTGGCCGTGGGGACACCCAATGACAGCCAGTGATAGGAGTGTACTGTACATGTTATTGTTTGTGACACTGTGGGATATTAACAGTCAGACAACGGCTTCGAGGACAACTGTCAAACCCATTATAGCTAATGCAAGGACTACCTTCGATAGGGCTGTGCATCAGAACCGGGTACCCAAATACCCAACCGCTGATGTCAGGAACAGATTCCAGATTATGGAATCAAATAATTAACTTTACACACTATTACTTAGTAACCTCTCAGAAAATGAAAAAGAAAAGGTTTTGCATGTCATTTATGAGGAATTTGCAAAATGAAAACCAGGCTACACAGAAAAACAAAAAAAGATTCACGTTTATGACACTGCGAAAACGCAATTTGCACTGTAAAGCTAGAGAGCTCACTTACGTGTACACACTTGTATTTTGCTGTATTGACGCACCAATGTGGTAGTATCATCGTGGGGACCTTTATGAACAATGTGAAAGCTACTTCCAAGATTTAAATTTTGAGGTTGGGTACCCGTGGTTTTTTTTTTCAATCGGGTACTCGATACACTTAATACACGTAAATGCCCATTCCTAGTCTTTGATACAGACAAGTAATATTACGGTTGTTTTTGACAGGATGTGATGTTAACAATCAGACACTGGCTGTTGGGATACCTGTCAAACCCGATGACAGCCAGTGCATGGAGTGCGTGTGTGACAATGACAACATGCTGCAGTGCTTCCCAATCCTCTGCCCCAAGCTCAACTGTAAACCAGAGCAAGTGGCTGTCACTGAAGGCTCCTGCTGTCCATCATGTCTAGGTGAGGACAAGTTACTTTTACAGCAAAACCTCTATAGATTTCTCTTGGTTGTTTATGATAAATTATTAAAATAGGAAGGCACCATACTATCAACTTCCCAGTTTCCTACAATTTAAAGGTAAACTTTGATCACACTTATTCCCAGTTTCACGTCTGGACTTGTTAAGCATGTTGGATGCAGTGTGTTTATTCTAAGGGTGGTTACAACATACAAAATTTTGCAAAGCGAATCTCATCATTTGTGGTGAAAATTGCTTTTGGGAATTCAGTGTGGTATTTACCTTGTCTTTAAGCATTTGCGCCATATTTACATCTAGGGTGAAACTGATCTTGCCAAATGTATTAAATGTCTTTGACTGCAAAAGATTGCGTGAATTTCATGATGTGAAAAGATGATCCCAAAAATAACAGCAAAGTTGAGTATATACCCTTATAATTCAAGAGGAATACGTTATTTTACACTTACTTGTTTTTCTTGAGGTTTTAAGCAACATCGTTGCCCTTCATCAGAAGTTATTAATGTCTGGCCGTTAGAGCCCACACGTGACTCAGCTTGTTCTCGGTTTTCCTGATCCAGATTGCTTCTTTCACTAATCTCGTAAATCACACTGTTTCCTCTGTCCAAGACTTTGCTATTGTCCCAATCAATTGTGTGATTTTCCTGAACTTCATGATCTGTTATTGCTGATTTATTGTTGTCTGCCGGTGAAATTTTTCTCAGGGCTCTTGCACATGTGGGTTTTCACTCAAAGCACTTTGTTTTTCATTTGCGTCCATCTTCCTTTCAGCTGAGGTTCGAACCCTGCGCGTTTGTGAGAACGATGGTATCCAGTACAGCAACGGGACAACCTTTGACATTGACCAGTGCACAACTTGTACATGCATTGTAAGTAAAGGATCACTTTGACCTTATCAGAGTCACAGAGTAGGAACAGTGTTCACATAAATTGCTTTATAGCAGATTTTAACGTAGCCCGTTAGTTAGTTCCTGACTTGCCCCGTAGTACCCTGCCCAATACTCTTTTATCAAGTACACTATAATTAACAACGTTACTTTTTGGCTTCATTAAGGGGAAATTACAATGTAATATAGTGATATTTTAGTGTTAAATTCAATACTTTGTTATACTTGTAGGATGGTAACCTGGACTGTGATGTAGAGGAATGCCCTGAGCGGCCCTGCAGCCAGCATCAGCTAGTCAGGGTGCCAGACGAGTGCTGCCCTCTCTGCCTGGACCAGGACTGCTTGTTTGACAACCGGTTCCTGATTAACGGAGAGTGGTTCCAACCGGCTGGCGACAAGTGCACCAACTGCACCTGCAATGTAAGAGCATTAATGAAAGTGGTATCACCTTAAAAACTACAGGTCGCACTGGCAGGGGGGAGGGGGAGGGGTCTTGGTAATGTGACACCCCTCCATTAGTTTGTGTCTGATAAATCATTGTCCTGTTTGCAAAATTGTTTGTCTGTTGGTAAGTTTGCCCAGGAGTAGGGCCCCCTATTGGCAGAGGGTGTCCAGTCTGTCCCCCTCCCCCACCAACTGTTTTTTTTTTAATTCTGTGGTGTCTGTGCATGTAACTGTCAATCCGTCTGGCAATATTTGTGGTAACAACTAAGTTCAAGGTTGGATCCAGAGATCAGTCAGGACGGCAGGGAATGAGGGGGTTTAAGGTGGGGGAGGGGGGTTGCTTGTGTGGGGAGGAGGGCTTAGTTTAAAGCATTGTAAGTTTATAAAACTGCTGCAGTTATCAATCATATGCAAGGCCTCTCTCTGGAACCACACTTTTCACAGACATGGAGGACTTAATAATGAGGGGCTGACAGGAAAATCAGGGAGGAGACTTGAGTCAGACCTCCCCCCCCCTTTTTGGGGGTGGGGGCTTCCATGGTGACATTCATGTTAATAGCTATTAAAGTTGGTCTCTGATCAACTTTAGATTTTGAATCTGCTCCCAGAGCAACAGATATGAGAGGTGAGCTTGGCTTGTTACTTTGAGTAATGCTTACAAGCAGTATAGTTAGTGAATTAAATCAACCATCTTTTTTACTTCATATAGAATGGTCAGGTTGAGTGTGCTTTGAAGCCCTGCCCAGCTCTGGACTGTCACCCAGATGAGCAGCATAAGGCAGATGGCGACTGCTGCCCTCAGTGCACAGGTAAATGTAGGGATAGGGTGGGTGGATCCTTGGTATATAGGGGTGGGGTGATAACAGATTTGCAGGTTTGCCTAATAGTAATTTCTTCATCTTTACTGCTATTACCTGGGTTAAATTCCCATGGGCATTGGGTTTTCAGGCCCTACCCGATTTAGTGGCTTTGCCCTGGAATGTCATTCTGGGGTATTCCACACGCCACCATAACGGTAAATACCTTCCTCAATTTTTACCAAGGGACAATAAGTTCAAAGATGTTTGTGGGCTATCCCGCCCAGATGCCGAACAATAACAATGATGGCATGACCGCATTGTAAAGTTTTCTTTTGATGGAACCTTCTGTTTTTCCCAATTCGTATTAAAATGTGTTTGTTTCTTATCATGACATGGAATAAATTATCCGGTCTAAACATTTGGAAGCTTCTAGCTGTGCTAAAAAAAATATTTTAACTGAAATTTAATTCCTGCTCCAGAGAAGTATTCAAACTTTTCATTGATTTTTTATATTAATTTGTGTCTTGGACAGGCGGTGTGTGTCTGTATAATGGTGAGAGGTACACCAGTAACACGGCATGGAAGAGTGGTTGTGACATCTGCGTTTGCATCAACGGAAACGCTGTCTGCAACCAGGAAGAGTGCCAGCCAGTCACTTGTGATGAGGTGAAACACACTATGGAATCCTTGCATGAATATTAGATTTGTGCTGAGGGAACATAGGTTAAACTTCTGGGGGTACCTGGGTGCATCAATTCGTCAGTCCCACCATGAAGTGACGCATCATATGCACCAAGTCCATAGACAATCCTTCACCAACAATTTTTTCAAGGGGGACACTAAAGACAAATGAAATCATCAGTACAGAACAGTATAACCATAGGGGGTCCCCTTCTGGGACAAAGGTATTCCTTGGTTACTCCCCAGCTAATGCCAGTACCTATACTCCTGGGTGGAGAGAGTAAAGTGTGGATGAACTGGCTTGCCCAAGGACACAACATAAGGTCAGCAGCAGGATTCGAACCCATGACCCTCTGATCATGAGTCACGAACCCTAACCATTAGGCCACACACCCCCACTGCCAAGGGTACTTATAGTTTTCACCTCTTAGATACAAACCAATGATCTACTTCTTAATGGAATCCCAAAACTCAGTATATTAGTTTTGGGAACTTTTTAGGTGTTGATTTTTTTTGTTTACATAATTCCTTTCTCCTTCTAACATTTCTTTAGGGAGATGAAATTGGAATTCCACCAGGAGCATGCTGTGAACAGTGCTTACCGAGTAAGTTGAAAACAAGCATTTTTTTAAAATATGGCTCAAGGTTTTGCCTTCTGTCACACCAAGCTCAAAATTTTGTTTCCTAGAACTGGCAAGTTTGCATGCAGCAAACATAGGAAACGTTTAGTTTCCCTTTGAGGATTAATTATTTGTTTAATTTGTAAATAAAAAGTTGTATTCTCTCTGAGTGATCCCGTTTGCTATTTCCCAAGTTTGCAGCATTGCTAATGTCGCTAGTATCCCAACTTTGGGCATAATACAAGGTTAGTTGGTATATTGGTTAATGGGTTATGACTAGCACCCTTGCGCAGAGATATTGACAAAATGGATAACCTCTAACATAGGGCTGAATAGCTCATATGGTTATCCAGAGGTCGCATGATCAAACCCCACTTCAGTCAATTTCTTCATTCAACTTGATGATTATTATGTACACATCTAGTCAGTTTTCCTTTGTAATGTATTTCCCCTCTTCAACCACTTTGTTCGACCATGCATTTTTAACAATGACAAATATTTTCACTTTCATTGAAACTTTCATTCAAATGGAGGGATCCGTGTTCTTTACGAGTACATATGAGTTTATACGGTGAACTAATTATTGTGCTGTTTCAGAAATGGCCTCGTGTATTGTCTTTGGCGATCCCCATTACCGGACGTTCGATGGCCGATTCCATGACTTCCAGGGCACATGCACCTACACGTTTGTTAAAGACTGTGTCGGGGAGAACTTTGAGGTCATTGTCCAGAACAATGGCAAGGAGACGTACTCCGTGTCCTGGACCCAACTCGTGTCGTTCAGACTCTTCAACTGGACCATTGACCTGCTGCAGGACATGAAGGTTAAAGTGGATGGCACCTTCGTGGAGCTACCATACCTCCACGAGCCAGAATTCAGCATCCAGAAACTTGGTGAGTTTGGTGAACAGTGATGGAGTTGTTCATGAGTCCATCACAAGTTGATCTACAACTCTCATCACAAGTTACAGGTCAAACAGTGCCTGGCAAAGTAACGTCTTTGTCACAGTTCATTCGAGGAGATGGGGTCTTGACTTTGGACTTGTGATGGACTTGTGAGGACTTGAGCACTTACACTTGTATGGCAGTCTAATAAAACACTGGTTGAACAGCTAATCAGGTTTTTAATAAAAACCCTCCCTCTCTAGCTGGCAAATTACACAAAGCCAACCCGGCAGTCAGAATAAATCAACTAACTATTTTAAACAGTTAAGTGCTATGTACCTTCTCACATAAATCAGGATTGACTGACTGATTGATATGAACTTGATACAGCTATGCTTTGGCTATAGAAGATTAAGCCAGCTGCGACTACTACCAGAAATCTGCTTTTGTCTCTTGATGGAATATGACTAGTCACTGCGCCTATAGAAATATGATCAGACTCAGTTGGTGATTAGCCTGCCTAAAAGGCATGGAAGGGAAAGTGGAATGAATGTTTGACTCTGTGACTGATCAAACAAAAGGGTTAATCCTGAACAGTTAATGTATTCTTAGCTTTGATACAGTGATGCTCTATTCAAGAAAGTGGCTAATGTAGCGACTCATCAAAATGCCCTCTGGATACAAACTGGAGATAGCACCTGACAAGGGCCCTGTGTCCGTCCATGTTCAAAAGTTTGTCTAGTCCGGATAGATCTCCTGAAATGATATCCTCGTGGTAGAGCACATTTTTCTTCTATCTGATGCACAACCTACGCCTAGCAGTGTATATCACTTATCATTTCAGGATTGCTAGTGGTTGTCCATACCAACTTGGGTATTACTGTGTCCTTCGACGGTGAACACTTTGGTGAAGTGGTAGCCGATCATCTCTGGAAGGGGCAGCTGTGCGGACTGTGTGGAGACTATGACGGCAATCCGGACAACGATTTCAGGTTAGAATATGACTTGATGATTTTGGCAGAAAGAATTATACTAGAGGTATTGACAGGAGGAAGTGGGGAAGGAACTGTGTGGTGAGCGCATCCGAGTATGAAAATCAAGAGTTTTCAAAACTTAGTCAGCGGGTGAGATTGGGGAAAATGAAAAATATGCATGAAGTAATCGGCAGAGGATTTTGGAGCCACTGAGGGCCTGTGTGCAATGATTGGTCTATGGCACATGTATGTGTTTATACTTTCCTGAAGGCACCCTTTAAAATACCAATGTTTTGTTCTATGTAAAATGTTATAGGTACAGAGACCTTTTAAGTAAAATTTCACACATTCCAGATTTCAAAGGGATTTTTATTTTAAAATCCTGAAATCCAGAAAAATCCTAACAAATCTCAACCCCTGATCAGTATTGCCTAGCCGTTTTATACTTTTTTTGGTTTTGTTTCTATCACAACCTGTCTGTGCACATGTAGAAGTCGAAATGGTACTTACACGACGACAGCCTCAGAGTTTGGGAACACATTTATCTGTGGCGATTACCCAGAGTGTTCCTGTAGAGAAAGCCAAGAGCTGGATCCATGTGCTAAAGATGAGAGCTACCTGGTGGAGGCAGTAGAGAGATGTGAAATCCTGAGGGTGAGTGAAATACGAAGGCATTTTATATTCAAATTTCATGTAGGAGTTAACTCAACAATAATCACTAAAAACACAAATCTTTTATTTACATCATACCATTTTTTGTTGTCTGGATTCCAGAGTGATGTCTTCTCGCCGGCCCATCGTTTGATCGACCCTCAGCCTTTCTATGATGCCTGCCTGTACGACTGGTGCGCGTGCCCTGTGCAGGATAAATGTCTGTGTGATGTACTCTCAGCATACTCGCATGAGGCTAGAAAGAAAGGCATTACATTAGACTGGCAGAGAGAAAATTACTGTGGTGAGTAGAAATAGACTATATTTAAGTGTATTTATAACGGCTGTGGGGTCCGCTCATAAGTCCGACTTCTCATAAGTCTGACAAAATCGCATCCCCTAACCAAATAAAGGCCCATAAGTCCGACGCCTCTTAGGTCCGACACCTCATAAGTCCGACGCCTCATAGCTCCAACGCCTTGTTAGTCCGACAACTTAAATGCCTCGTTTTTCCAACGTCAGATTTACGAGGCGTCGGACTTACGAGGCGTCGAACCTATGAGGCGGAATAAATAAAGTATGTGCCTCATAAGTCCGACGCCTCATTATGAGGTGTTGGACCTATGAGGCGTCGGACTTATGACACGGCCCCACGACTGTACTTTGATTTTTAAATTAGTTCTCCCACATTAAGTGATTAGGACAACTTCTATTGGTTTGTAGCCTAATACAAACTAAGCGGTTAACCGGCTTTGCAATGATTGATAACCATGAGAAGTTGACCCCCTACTGCAATCCTTTTGCGCCCGAAACTGCCCCGAAATCGGTGCTCTTGTTGTACCCTCTATAGTCATATTGGCGTGTAGCTGGGGATTTCACCTTTCAGTTGTTGTAATACAGTGTGTGTTTGTGTATGCGTGAATGTACGTGCGTGAATGCACACAAGTACACACGCTGTACATACGTATGTGTGTTTGTTTGAGGACCCTCTGGGAGGGGCCCCGTTGTCACAATCGCTTAACAAACGTTGAAAATATCTAAGTTGGACCAAGCCTCACCCACCCACCGAGTTTGAGCGCCATGCGACCTGCCACATCCGAGAATAAGCCAGGACAATCATCCAAACAGCTAACAGAGACATGTGTATTATTATATAGATGAGCAATGCAGTAGCCTCTAACTTTTAGTTTTTTACTCTCCAAGAAAGATATCAATTGAATTTTATAAAATTAATGCCAAAAGAAAAAAATTAAACTGCCGAGCCTATGGACAAATTCGGCAAACAGAATTAGCCGCCATTTTTTAGGTGGAACCGAGTCTGTGCGCATGCTGCACGCGTTCTAAAAGACAAGGCATGCGCGCATTCTGGTAAATCTTTCTGCGAAAGGAGCCCAAAGCGAGTGTGTACTATCTGAGCGCTTAGCCTGGTTCTAGCTTAAAAATGGATTCTAATTTGGTTTGCTGACCTGGGCCCAATTTCATAGAGCTGCTTAAGCAGAAAATTTGCTAAAGCACGAAAAAACATTGCTTAGTAAAATTAGGTTACCGGCCAAAACTCCATGTGATGTACATTGCTTGTGACTGGTATTTAGCTGTTGTTTACTTAGCATAACAATCGCATTGAGTTTTGGCCGGTAACCTGATTTTATTAAGCAAGACGTTTTTGTGCTTAAGCAAATTTTGTGCTTAAGCAGCTCTATGAAATTGGCCCTTGGTCTATACACACCCACATTTTTAGGGCGAGTGAAACTTAGCCGGATTCGAACCACGAAATCCAGCTCATATTGCACCAGTGCTCTACCAACTGAGCTATAATCCAGTCCTCTTTGGCAGTCTCGCTGTTTTCCTTCACGATTTATCTTGATGTTTAAGATTCTTATGAGGTGATTATCCCTTTTAAAAGCCTTGGCCCTTTTCATATCAGGATTTAAATGTTTATCTTTGACTGAGCCCAGTGTAACATTATCTGGTTAATCCCTTAAGGCAATCAGTTACACCACAGGATGCCAGTCCGCGCTCTTTTGGTAGGCATTCATACACTCGCACTCTGCAGTTCACGCATGCGTGAACGCAAACTGTGTGCTGCAGCGGCCACACTTACAGTCCAACAAATTCAGGATTACTGTTGTTTGTGCATCAATTTATACGATCATTAAAAGAAGTTTGATTACTGGACAAAAACAAATATTACGTTGGATATTAAATTGATGAAAAATCCATGTGCGTTTAGGCCACTGAAAAATGATTCAGGCATGCCCAACAAGTCGTTCAGTAAAGCGATACTCATTGTTCCCTGCTGGTGGCAGGCATTCATCCAGTGATTATTAAACTGCCCTAAGGAGATTACACCTCAAGATAAGAGAGATCTGAAATCCTGGTAGGACTTTAGGCCAATACCCGAGTATACAGGCTACACTCGGGTGTTCTGGTAAAAGAGGATTCACGGCATGGTTTGCATTTTTGATTTCATGCATTAGCCATTTCCTGTCCCACGGGGGCCTACTATGACGAGTGCACCCCACCCTGCGAGGTCACCTGTGAGACCCTCAACTCCCCAGACCTGACAGAGTGCAGCTTACAAGACTGTGTTCCAGGCTGCAAGTGCCCTGCCGGCATGGTACTTCACAATTTCCAGTGTATAGATATAAGTGCCTGTCCCTAGTATCAACAGGGACAACTATCCTTTAATTAGCCCATCAAGAAATTAAACAGGTTCTCATAGCATTACCTCTATATTTTGTAGTCGTGATTGATTTTTCTCAAGTACATGTTTAACCATTCTGGATTGTAAGTGTTGTGTTAATTAATTTGAAAATTTGAATGGCACATCATAATGTACAAGTATCAGTGACTATCTAAAGTATACATTTTACTACTTTTCAGTATCAAAGTTTAGCACTAATAGTAAAACATTAGGAGTAGCCAGTCTCAATTTGGAGGTATTCAGGCAGGATTACCCTTTATGTTTCTGTGATGATAGTAATTGGTCAAATATTGTGTTTTTCACACTGAATAGCAACTAGGATCTGCAAGGTAATATTTCTTATTATTGGCCCAGTGGTATAATGTTTTCTGCACCCTGCATATCAGTAGGATCTGCAAGGTGATTTGGTGATTTGCCTTTGGATTTTATGAAGAAACGTGTCTGGGACATGGTATTGTATACTTTGTATACACTGTTTCAAGTCGAAGCTGATGAAATATAAGTGGGATACTTTAGATATTATTCAACGATACCTGACTATTTGAGGTATACATGTATTTATGGAAGGAAATGCCGGCTGGGATATGTTACTCCAACATAGTTAATGTGAATTACTATAAACAATCCTTAAATGTCATGGACAACCTAGAATATTAGTTGGCATCTAGATAATAATTGGTGCTGTGAGGTATATTTAAAGTACAACAGCTGTGCATTACAGAAGTGGAGGTCCTCCTTTTGTTTTGTTTAAATTCAAGTATTAATTGAAGTAGTTTTAGTGTCAATATCAAAAACAGGTTTTCTAAATCTGTTGTGACTGCTGATATAAAAGATGCTAAATCGTTATATTATGTTGATACCAGATTACCATACTTGATATCTGAAGCACCTGGGACCTGGACATATGTACATATTTATAAAAAAAAAATATAAAAAAAAATTGGACACACCAAACCATTGGGCATGGCTTTGCACCAAATTAGACTTGTTACCATTATTTTTAATTCATGTTTTTAAACTGTACATGTAAGACTGTTTTTATCATTTAAGTACATGTCATGCAACTTTTGTGAATAAACAAAAATGAAACTGTATCACTCTATCCCTACACACTGCGTACAACCTTCAAAGTAACAGGAATATAAAATAACTTCTTGTTTGTAACATTTTCCCATGCATTTTTTTACATATTTTTTTTTAACAGTAGCCATGTCAGTGTAGTGATTTTGTACGTACATGTAGTGTGTGTTGTGCTATTACATAACCCTACAAATGGCTACATGAGATATAGTGGTGTACCACTTCAGTATTTAAAGAAAGTAGACATAGAAATACTCCAGGTTCTTAGAGTTTTGCTAAGCGAGTTTGTAACAGAATTTGTCCCATACGTGTACAACTGCCTTCCAACTTATGGTGCTGCATATAAACTTTTAAAGCAAAAGACTATATACACGTAAAGTATTTAATTGTATTGTATCTGTGAGCATTTAATATCAAAAAAGGCTATATTTTGTTAAGTGAAACATTTTTTATGGTAATATTTCATATTTTTGTCACATGTTTAGCACTGCGATTTGCAGATCATGTAGGATATTGCTAGTTAAATATGGTGCTTCCAATAAATTTCTATACATGTACATGTCTGTAATAAGTTTAGTTTTTTAAAAAGTGCACATTAAAGGCGTCATCGTGTCTTCACAAAGCAGGGGAGTTTTAAAGATTTGTTAACTGTGTCACTACTGTCAGCTTAGTAATCAAGTAATCAATGGACTTTATTTTGTGTTACTTGTAAATCAAATGAACTATTGCAATGGAAGATGAAACAAGTAAATAATTCTTAAACAATATTTTGAAATATCATTCTTCAGGCGAACTTGCCATTCTAACCAAGTCTTCCGTCTAGATTCTCAAAGGTTGTGAAATATACCCCTGATATTTTGTAAAACAAAACAAATGCTCATTGAATCAAGTGTAAATAAACAACAATAGGTTTGAAATAATGTACCGTGAGATTTCCTTGTTTGACATGGGTGAAAAAAAACCAAGAAATGCTAGAAATGTGCATGCATGTATATCAATACAACACTCATTAATGAAACCTCAATTTGTAGAACAATTCAGTATTACAAGTTATCAACCGTGTGCTGAACATGGCTCGTGTCCACTTTTCCCCAATTTTTATTTCACTGTAATATTTTTAAGAGCGAGTACAAGTATTTGCCACGAGTATACGAGTACAGGGAATTATTTTGCATGCGAGTACGAGCATGAGCTAGTACATTTCCAAGAGTACGAGTACGAGTGAGTAACACACTGGCAGGCACTCCGTTAAAATATGTCAGATTCGTACTTACTGCAGTTTACTCAACAACAACTTCGGGCCAAGTTGTGTCTATTTGCGGACCCCGTTCCTTAATAAGGCGATGAAAATTTACTTCTAAACCTTTGAACTCACCCAAGTAGATGACGATGACACCATGTCGAATATCTGCAGGATTAATTTTGTGGAAAGAGGACAGGGTTTTGATTTTGAGGGAAATAATGGGGTACAAATCGTCACCGACACCACGAAGTAACACCCATCTACATACCAGTAAAAAGTAGCAATCGGAGAAAACGGCAACTTAAGTTGAACGCCTTCTAAAACAACACTTTGCGTCAAAACGACAGAGTATTTTCAGTTGGGTTTCTCGTTGTGGACACTTGATGAATTGAGTTTATTAAATCTGCTGTTTTTCACTCGTTTGTGTATTAAATAAACAAGAAATAAGAGAAAAAAAATGAGTGTTAGTTCGTGAAACCGAAAAAGCTGCGAAACTGTAAATTTTCGTTTTCACGAAGTAACACTCTTCAGTGTATTTAACACGAGGAAAGTGCAACTTCAGGTCAGCGCGCGCGCGCTCATACAACTTGTTACAAGAAGAGTGTTACTTCGTGAAAACGTTTTTGCTCACTTATGAGCAGAGTGCGCGCCATGCATTGCAATGGAAAATGGAACTTGAGTGTTACTTCGTGAAAACGAAAATTGTCACTTTTGCGCAAAAGTTGCCATGGGTACTTAGCGTAATTATTAAAGTAAAGCTCTTGAAGCTTTGAAACTTCGTGCAATGGTAGGCCTTGATGAATAATGTTTAAAAGTCCAAAAATCTGAAAATCGACAAAAATATGCTTTAACACGGTAGAGTGTTACTTCGTGGTGTCGGTGACGAAATGATGACGGCCACACATACAAACGCACACACTAACAAATGCGAAAGTGTCCAAGCTCCATGGTTTGGTGCAACGTCGCTGATTGGTTGATGAAAAGTTCAATTTAGAAGCTAACTTTTGGACCCACCTTAGTAGATGACGATGACACATTTTGAATATCTGCAGGATTAATATTGTGGAAAGAGGGCAGATGAGTTTTGATATTTTAGGAAAATTCGTGTAAAAACAAAGACGGCAACAAAAACCAAACGCTGAAAATAAACTTGCCGAGTGTCCAAGCTACTTTGGAAGACCGTCGGTGATTGGTTGATGAAAAGTTCCATTTGAAGCCAATCTGTAGTTGGTCCAGAGATGAGCGAAAAAAATCAACCTTTTATACCATTCGCCTTTACGCGGGAAGCACAAAGGTCATGATATGCAAATCACTCGCGTAACTTTTGGATTACAATAGAGTAATTCCAGTTATTGTAGGGAGTGCGCCACTCCCTACAATAACCTACTCCGATGGGCACCAATGTATGCCACCCGAAGGGATATCACCGCGACACATGAGGCGGTTTGTCTCCCACGATGCCTTTGGAGTAGAGATACACACCAACAGCATCGAGGACTGGTGGGGTAACATGAAAGCGGAACTGAAACGAATGTGAGAAACGAGGGAGGAAATGTTTCCGCAGCACATGGATGAAATGATGTATCAGCAGCACGGGGCGAAGGTGACATGTTGGAATACCTCACTAAAGATATTGTTCATTTCTAACCAATCCCTGGGAAATCCAGAAGTAAATCTGGAGAAAAGTCTTTTTTTTTTTCAATTTGTTCCAAGAGCGTAAGCTTGTACAAAAATCCAAAACAGATATCTATTAAATTTTTGTTTTAATAGAGAAATCTACTAGGGACTAAAATTTGTTCCCGAGAAGATTGTTCTTTGGAGTTTACAGTTAAAATCCAGTTGCTTGCTGCTCAAAAATTCTTGAATTTTTTCTCCTTGGCAGGATGTTTACAGTTTCAAAAATTCAAAATATCTTTCAAATTCACTCGCTCCATACATTTATCATGCCTTGTTGAAATGAACTGAAATGTTGGTTTAATTCCAAATAATTATTTTAGGATTAAAAGCAGTGGCGTAGCCAGGAATTTTTAAGTTGGGGGGGGGGGGGGGGGCTGGAACATGTAGATCAATGATAATGTTTTTAGAAACTCTAAATCTCAGTGGGCGGGCGACTGGGGGCGACAAGGTTTCATGGGGGACGGTCCCCCCCCCCCCCCCGGTGGCTACGCAACTGATCAAAAGTAACATGTGTCTGTTGGTTTTTCGAAACGGACGCGTATTTCGTAATTATCGGTACGTCTAAGTGGCTTCCTTTTGCTCTATAACACCGATATTGAAATTTGTTCATAGACTTAACACACGAACGTACATGTACGTTCTGCACAAATATTGTCCTGTAAATTCTTTCTTTCTCTTTCACCTGTAAAAACTTTAAAAAGTGAATTTTTCTATTTTCTTTCTGTTTTCACTGTTGGCACGTAATATCCATCTGGCAGTGACGTCACCTCTGCACAACATCCCAGTTTAGCCCAAATTGGATTGCCATGGGATTACTCTACATACTTTTCCATATTTGAGGATAACAAAGATTGTTGTTTTGCTGTCTGCGGTCTATGAACATCTCCATCCCGAAATATTCGTTAAAGAGCACCTTTCCCTGAATTTACCGTGAACCAACATATTAAGGAGGATTAGGAATTCATGAAAACACCCTTAAAAGGTCTTTCATTTAGCAGTCAGTAAAAATCAGGTGATTTCACCCACTTAATCCTTCAACTGTTTACCGTTATATTGGAACAATGATAATCCTCACTGGCCAGGGTCATTAAAAAACCGTGAAAAAAACCTTACAGGCTTAGTCCTATTAGCCCCGGGTAAATACCCGTGGAACATCCATTAGGGAGAAGTGGGGCCTTTATAGGGTTGAAATGTTCATTTCCACGTACACACACTCAGCTACACAGCAAAACATCAGAACAACAGTCGGCATTCATCGGTTCGTAGACTGGTAAATGATCAGTGGTGGATGGATAGCTGAGTTTCGTGCCGGTCTTTTTTTAATACAAAGAGGGTCATAATTTGGAAATAATGTATGCCAATTATGTGAAATTGTCACAGCTAATAGGATGCCAATATGATGTAGGCCTACTTTATCACTCTTTTTTATCAAATGGAGAGAGCCTAATATTTAAAAAAAAAAAAATAATAAATTGTTCATTAGCTACATTTAGATGCATGAAACGAACTTTGAGTTCATAGCCATCCTCAAACCAATCGAACACAATTGAGATCGATTTAGGCCTGCCAAATTTGCCCCTTAGGCCAACGTTAACCAGAGGTGGCAGCAAGTCATTTTTTGCAAGTCCAAGTCAAGTCACAAGTCATTGTTTGCAAGTCCAAGTCAAGTCACAAGTCATTAGGTCCAGTCACAAGTCAGGTCACAAGTCATTAGGTCCAGTCACAAGTCAAGTCACAAGTCATTTGGTCTAAACACAAGTCAAGTCACAAGTATCTTTGTCCAAGAACACGTCAAGTTGCACATTATTTTGTCCAGCTGTAATAAGCTAAAAGAACCTGGCGTCAACTTACGAGTTATTTTGAACATGCCTCCTTAATTCCCCTTTTTTCAATGTTGCAATTACTATTCTTGTAATTTATCACATATCTGTCGGATTTAGCCCTTTGTATACTTTACTAAATTTACTTTACATTGAAAAAATAAATGCGGAGATGACATGAAAAAAAGACTTCACTCACTCGATTACATGTATAGTATACTAACACTTTATTGTTCAATTTTCATGTATACTAAACGCCTACCAATGGGTTAGGCCATCCGGTATTTTACATGCAATTGACAAAGGCCTGCTTTCTTTTCATTAAAGGTTCCTTTCAAAGTTTGTTCAACCATTACATTAAGCAAGAGACTTGGTCATTGAAAACCGTGTGTAGTTTGTTGTGACAGTCTTATTGAAAACTTTTGAAACTAGTGGGAACTATTTATTTTACTGGATTTAGCGTCTGACTTGTGTTGGTAACAAGTCATTTTTTGCAATCCCAAGTCAAGTCACAAGTCATTGTTTGCAAGTCCAAGTCAAGTCACAAGTCAAAGCTGCTATTTACAAATCAAGTCACGTCACAAAAATAGCGACTCGAGTCCGACTCGAGTCCAAGTCACATGACTCGAGTCAGCAACTCTGACGTTAACCCATATGGTCCCATTATCGCATGATGTGAATCCTCCCGATAGAGTACTAAATGATGTCGGTATTATATTGATTGGATTTTTTTTTATGGTGTTCGCATTTTAAAAATACTGATAATAATTTTATTTTTATATTCCATTGGCAATAAGAAACTTAAGAAAATAACATAAAGAGAATCATAATTACTTTTGAAATCACAGTTACATAAATACTAATATATAACACACATCTAAACAGCAAGAAAAATGGCATTGTTTATAATTTATACTTACGGTTTACCAAATATGGAGCTTCATTTAAACAATGTGAAACAATATAGGAGAGTAATGGGTTAAATGAGTGATAGGCATATATAATCCCTGTATTTTATTATCACCAAATCATCGCCGACACTATTAATTATGATCATCGCTGAGGCTAATTATTATGAGGCAGAAAACCCACATAGGCGTAGCCAGCGCGGGGGGGGGGGGGGGGTAAGTGGGTATTTACCACCCCCACCCCAGTATTTTGTAAAGACTGCCTTTTTCCATTCAAAATGCCCTTTTTCACTAGCGCTTACCCCCCCCCCCCCCAATAATTTGTAAAGAGTGCCCTTTTTGTTAAGACTTACCTTTTTTTCTTTTGAACAAAAAAGTGGTGCCCTTTTTGTGCGTTCGGCCATTCCGGTTGCCTTTTTTTTTCACGCATGTATCGCCCTGAAAAGCACATTTATTGGCCGTAAGTGTGCATCATTAATCGTCGGTTTTTAATAGTCCCCCCATCGACAGATGGTACCAGTCCAGTCCCCCCCCCCCCCCTCCCCCAATGTTTGATTTTACGGAGGCCAAGGGTCCGGAGAAAAACGTGTCTACATTCACCACGGATGTGAAAGTGCCCTTTTTAGGAAACGTTCAACCCCCCCCCCTCCATGAAAATGACCGTGCTACGCCGAAACACCATGTTCTCCAGTAAACGAGTAGAATTGTTTATTCCAGAATTCTATGACAGTTGAAATATCCGTCAGCTTTTTTGTACCCCCATTTTAAAATTTGAAAAACACGCTTTGCGCAGAACAGCACGGCACACATGCTTCGGCGAGTTCATTCAAATTTCTCGCGCGTGCGCACTTCCTTGCCTGTACCAGTCGTCATGTGCTTGTTTGCAGGACAAATGGATCGTTTTAAAGCCTAGAATATCTCCTTTTAGACTGTGCATCCTGACCTAGCGACCAGAGAATCTTGTTTTCAAAAACTCAAAGAAACAAATTGGTTTAGAATTTGATGCCTACGGAGCACTGAATGATGTTTTTGGAGCCTCGAAAATCTTGAATCCGTACACGTTTAATTTATGCCTACGACCGAAGTGGCAGAATAATGGCGGATAAATGGTATGTATGTTCATTCAACTACTTGTAGCCTACAGGGCCGCATTAGTTCAGTTTCGCTTTTAAAGGATTTGTACCATCATTATATACATGTACATATATGGGAAGAACCTGACGCCGAAATGACGATAAGACACGAATTTGGGATTGAGAAACATTTCAAATTTTGTTAGGAAATACTTGGAAACTCTCCATAGACTGTACACAACAAGTGGCGTCAGGATGCAACATTCTTTCCACCTTTTAACTCCCCATTTGGAAAGAATTCCAATTCCATACCGGGCCACCACTCATATTCCTTAATATGACCTGAAAAATACCAAAAGTTTTAATCTGATGAAGAAACACTATTTACAGGAGTGCAAAAATTCTTTTAAATTAATATTTGTTTTGGCATGGCCCATAGACTTTGTGCATGAGGTATGTTAATTGGTGGCCCGGCCAGTATGGAATTCTTTCCCCTATCTTTCCTTCCTTCCAGTGAGAATCCTGCCCTTTCTTGAATGCTGCTACAGTTTTTGCATTCACTACTGCTTGCGGAAGGGAATTCAATGTGTTTATCACTCTTTGCAACCCAGTTTTTTTTAATCATCTGGGCCAACAGCTGCTGCACAACGACGGAGGTAATACGTACCTTTACTATGCTGTACAATCTAGCAAACTATAAATATCGTTTAACCCGAACAGTCCTGAATCCTCCAATTCCAATACAATTTTAAATACCCCCTAGGGAGTTAGGGTTAAAGAAAGCTAGTATGAACTATAACACTTCCAATTGAACATTTTGAGATGCAGGTGTAGAAATCATTAGCAATTTAATTCGGGGGGGGGGCGCTAGTTAGACTGGTGGCTGTGGGACACATTTTCTGCACACAACTGTAGAAGTATCATGTTTATTGAATCTCTCTGGTGATTTGGCTTAATTCCAATTAATTTGAAGTTTCATAACTGGTATAACCCAATCAAATAACGCTCTCATATTGCACCACCTAACTCCCTTCCATGATTTACTAGGAACCATACCCATCCTGGCAAATTCCAACATGGGAAAGTGCACACATGTACCGTATTTCTGACTTTGATTCTGGAGGTGAGCCAACCCAATGTAAAAGACAGTCAGTTTATGACTTTCCAAAATTTATCCCTTGGTGCAAGGTGTGTCCACTTTGATTAATGACAGTGTTATAGTACCAAATTCCTTCACGGCCCACAGTGTGGATAAAGATGACTGACAATGCAAAACCACACTGCATCCATGCCCCTCATCGCATCCCCTAGCCTCGCATGCATCCCCTAGCCCTTGCACCTTCACACTCAAGATGAAAATGTACAAACTGAAGAAATATGGACTCATATTGAGCATCACAGAGCCTACCGAGTGGTACATTTGAACGTCCCGATTTGCGGAAAACCTGCGAATGCTGAACAAAGCCGTAGCCTGAGAGCAGTTCATCACACCTACATTATGTACCTTTGGAAGAAGTACTGGGTAAAATTGCCGGTACCCAGCTGTTCTCCATCCTTGATGCCAAGCATGGTTTTGTCAATTCCTCTCCATCCTGACAGCCAGAAGCTAACCACATTCATCACACTGTTTGGCAGTTTCTGCTTCAATCGCTTGCCATTTGGCATAACGTCAGCACCTGAGCTGTACCAGAGAATCATGAGTGATCTGCTGGTAAATCTCCCAGGAGTAGCTGTTTACATGGACGATATATGTCCTCATCACAGGCACCACACAACAGGAACATGATGCACGTCTTCGAAATGTTCTAAATACACCTAGGAGCTAGGTTGAGGTTTAACAAGGACACATGCAAAATCGCACATTGCCGGTGAATGTTGCAATTGTACCATGTGGAAATTGATATTTTCGGTCAGGTTAATTGTGTAGGCCTATACATGTACATGTAAAATGATTAATTCGCATGGTCTTGCTGCCGATTAGCTGATGGTATTACAAAATTTGAAAAGTCTTATAAATCTCAACATGCAATGTACATGTAGGCCTAATTAATACTCTTTTTAAGTATTTCTATTAAATTACACTGATTTTAAACCAATGGAAGGGCTACAATGTATGTTCAAGCGGCCTCCTTGTGCTTAATATTTATAAACTAAAACATATCACTCTTTAAATAATAACATTACTTTTCAAGGTTTTAATATTTATCACTTATTATAATTATTAATCCTCCTGTATACACATAGTTATGAATTCGTGTTCCACATTATTCACTTTTCCTTACTCATAAATACACCCACACAATGTGCCTGTACGTTTTTTACAGAGTGTGGCATTGTTAGATTAATCCTATGTACATGTACATCATGCTCTAATTATCAACATTACGTTTTGAAGTTTTAACATCTATCTTTTCTGTTTAATAACTAATCTTCATGATTGTTTCATTTGTGCTGCACATCATTAAGCCATTACTCATAGATTTTCCTTGTTATCAGCCACACAGTGTGTCTGTACAGTGTGAATTGTTTTCTACAGATCCTAGGGCCTTGATGTCCAGAGGGTTGAGAACCAATACATTCCAAGTCTTGTTGGTCATTTGACATTGAAAGTTTCTCAGTACGGCAGAAGTTACTACAACATTGTTCTAAGATGTTTTTACACATCCATAGCTTGTTTGCTTCACAGTTCTTTCACTTTCACTTCACCACTCCCACATCACTGACCGACTTTACCTAATATGCAACCTAAAATCTCACCTAACCTCTTTTCTCACTAACACTCAATTTACATTTTTACTTATTAAATGTACGTGTACTTCACCTTTAATACATATTCACCATTCTCCTTTCACTTAACCACTGGTCACTCTCTCAAATGAAGGTAATTTGCAGGTTCTGCTTCACAATTTACTTTCACCACATTTCAGCTGTCCCTTCACAATGAATCACCTCACCAATCTACCTCACCATTAAGCTCACCAGTCACCACTGGCCACCGAGTCATAACGCACTATTCAACATGATCATTCAGTCGTCATTACCTCACCAATCAACCTCACTATTCAGCTCACCACTGAGCAGAGGTGGCAGCAAGTCATTTTTTGCAAGTCCAAGTCAAGTCACAAGTCATTGTTTGCAAGTCCAAGTCAAGTCACAAGTCATTAGGTCCAGTCACAAGTCAAGTCACAAGTCATTAGGTCCAGTCACAAGTCAAAGCACAAGTCATTTGGTCTAAACACAAGTCAAGTCACAAGTATCTTTGTCCTAGAACACGTCAAGTTGCACATTATTTTGTCCAGCTGTAATAAGCTAAAAGAACCTGGCGTCAACTTACGAGTTATTTTGAACATGCCTCCTTAATTCCCCTTTTTCAATGTGTTGCTAATACTATTCTTGTAGTTTATCACATATCTGTCGGATATTAGCCCTTTGTATACTTTAATAAATTTACTTAACACTGTAGAAATAAATGTTGAGATGACATGAAAAAAAGACTTCACTCACTCGATTACATGTAGTATACTAACACTTTATTGTTCAATTTTCATGTATACTAAACGCCTACCAATGGGTTAGGCTATCCGGTATTTTACATGCAATTGACAAAGGGCTGCTTTCTTTTCATGAAAGGTTCCTTTCAAAGTTTGTTCAACCATTACATTAAGCAAGAGACTTGGTCATTGAAAACTGTGTAGTTTGTTGTGACAGTCTTATTGAAAACTTTTGAAACTAGTGGGAACTATTCATTTTACTGGATTTAGCGTCTGACTTGGGTTGGTAACAAGTCATTTTTTGCAATCCCAAGTCAAGTCACAAGTCATTGTTTGCAAGTCCAAGTCAAGTCACAAGTCAAAGCTGGTATTTACAAGTCAAGTCACAAGTCACAAAAATAGCAACTCGAGTCCGACTCGAGTCCGACTCGAGTCCAAGTCACATGACTCGAGTCAGCAACTCTGCCACTGAGTCATCTCCTAATCATCACTCAGTCTTTATTTCTCAGTCTTCATTTCTCAGTCTTCATCACCTTCCTAATCAACCTCACCATTCATCAGCTCACCACTGACACAATGAATGTACAGTCACTCATCACTCAGTCTTCATCACCTCACCGATCAACCTCATCATGTACTGACCACTAAGTCGGCACACACTTATGGCTCAATTAATCTTCATTACCTCACCAATATGAACCTCACCATTCAGCTCACCACTGACCACTAAAACATTTCTCACTCATCACTGTCTTCACTGCCTTGCCAATCAACCTCACCATTCAGTTCAATACTGACCACTGAGTCATCACTCACTCTTCATCACCTCACCATCTATCTCACCACTGACCACTGAATCATCACTCACTCACAAACTCAGTCTCCATAACCTCACCAATCAACCTCACCATTCAGATCAACACTTTCCCACTGAGACAACACCCACTCATCTTTCAGTCTTAATTACCACACCAATTAACCACACTACCAGCTCACCACTTACCACTGAGTCATCACTCACTCATCACTGTCTTCATCATCTTACCACTGAGTACTGAGTATTAACGCACTCATCACTCAGTCATCATCACCTCGCCAATCAACCTTACCACTCAGCTTACCACTGACCACTGAGTTATATCACTCGCTCATCACTTAGTCTTCATTTCCTTGCCAATCAACCCCACCATTCAGCTCACTACTGAAGACTTAGTAATCACTCACTCATTGATCACTCAGTCTTCATCAACTGACCAATGATCCTCACCATTCAACTCACTCCAGATCACTAAGTCATCACTCATGCATCGTTCAGTCTTCATCACCTCATAAACCTCACCATTCAACTCGCCACAGATCTGAGTCAACACTCATCAGTCTGCATTACCTCACCATTCAGTCTGCCTTACCTCACCATTCAGCTCACCACTGACCATTGAGTAAACACTCACCCATCACTCATTGGTCTTTATCACCTCACCATTCAATTCTACCATTTAGCTCCCCACTCACCACTGAGTCATTACTCACTTATCATTTTCAGGTAAATAACAATTGAAAAAAAAAAAACAATTCTCAGGGTGAAACTTGAAAAAGCATCCATGGGAAAATGCATCTTTAACCCTAACGGCTCTTTGGGGGTCAAGTACCAAATACCACAGAATACTACATGTGTTGTGCACACTTGTATGGAAAGAATGTATACTACAGGTTAGTATGCTCAGTAGTATTTTGTAGCTCTAGGTGAGGTTGGGTTAAATGAAGTGAAAGTAGAATGAACATGTATAAGGTGTGCTTCAAAGTTTGTTTCCCCTAACCCATTCGTCTCAACATTCACTTCAGCTTTAAGGCCATAGCTAGGCATTGAGAAACTTCAAGCACTCTGATGTCTTCACTTTTCATCTCTGAAAGGACAACAGTATACCTTCCTCTTCCGACATTCACCTAATGGTAGGAGAGGCACTCAATGAATCAAGAGATTTGAGCAGTTACAAACGAAGCTCCAATCAGAAATATTTAGTTGTTTGAAGGTCCTTCAAAAACAATTTCTTTATCCTTTAACAATTATTAACAAATTATTGCAGCTTGGCCTCTGCATTGTTGCTATACTTTTAGTATTCATTATTGGCTTCTTGGTGAAACATAAATGCAACTATGTATCCTGCCCAAGGGCTCAAGCACATTGATGTTGGTTCCCACCCAAGAGTTTTGCAAAAACTAAATCTGTTTTGTTAATTCACCAGATAACCATGGCAGCATCGCAGGGAGGGCAAGCTAGGCTTGAGAAAACGTCTGTCACTCTGATGAGGTCTTCAGGTTTTACCTCCAAGAAGACATGGTAGCTTTCACTTCCAACATTCCCCAGAAGGTATGAGAGACATTCAATGATTCATGAAATTTGAGCACTTGTTCAACTTAGCCTGAGGCCAGAATGAATAAAGCTCCAATCAAATCTTCTGCCACCTCGTCTTTAACTTTTCAGTTTACTCTCTCTACACATTTATTCTATACTACACCACATTTTCAATTCATACTTCACTGAACATTTGCCTCCACACTTTACATTCCCTTCACCACGCAAACCATTCTCCACTCGCTACTGACCATGCAGGTATTTCAAGTGATGTGAAGGTCGTAGCTTTACACAATTTACACATTTCAGTGTCACTTCACTCACCAATCAACCTCACCATTCAGATCACCACTGACCACTGATTCATCACTCACTCATCACTCAGTCTTTATAGCCTCACCAGTCAACCTCACCATTCAGCTCACCATTGACCATGGAGTCAGCTCTTAGTCATCACTCAGTCATCATCACTCACCAGTCACCTCACCACTGACCACTGAGTCATCACGCACCTATCACTCGGTCTTTATCACCTCACCAATCAACCTCAACATTCAGCTCACGACTGACCACTGAGTCAATCACTCCTCACTCAAGTCTTCACCTCACCAATCAACTGCACCATTCAGCTCACAACAGACCACTGATTAATCACTCTCACTACACTCGTTCCTCATCACTCACCATGTCAACCTCACCATTCAGCTCACCACTGAACACTGAGTCAGCACTCACTCATCACTTGGTCTTCATCTCCTCACCAATCACCCTCAACAGAAATCTCCCCACTGACCACTGAGTCATCACGCACCCATCACTCAGTCTTTATTACCTCACCAATCAACCTCGGCATTCAGCTCACCACTGACCACTGAGTCAGCACTCACTCATCACTCAGTCTTCATCACCTCGCCAATTAACCTCACCATTGACCACTGAATCAAATCACCACTCATCACTTAGTCATCATCACCACACCAATCAACCTCAGCTTTCAGCCCACCACTGACCACTGAGTAATCACTCACTGATCACTCAATCTTCGTCACCTCAACAATCAACCTCGGCATTCAGCTCACCACTCACCAATGACCACTGAGTCAGCACTCACTCATCACTTACTCTTCATCACCTCAATAATGAACCTTACCATTCAGCTCACCACTGGCCACTGAATCAAGTTGATGATGAAGACCGAGTGATGAGTGAGTGCTGACTCACTGGTCAGTGGTGATCCTGAATGCCAAGTTGATTGGTGATGTAATCACCACTCATCACGCAGTCATCATCACCACACCAATCAACCTCAGCTTTCAGCTCACCACTGACCACTGTTAAGTAATCACTCACTCAATCTTCGTCACCTCAACAATCAACCTCACCTCAACAATCAACCTCACCATTCAGTTCACCACTGACCTATAAGTCATTACTCAATAATCACTTTTAGGTTAATAACTACTGAATTTTTTTCAAAAATTTTCCGGGTAAAATTGAAAAAGCATCCATGGGCAAATGAATCTTTAACCCTAACCCTTCAAAGGGCATATTTGGGGTCAAGTACCGAAAACCACAGAATACTACATGTGTTGTGCACAGGTTGGGTTAAATAAGGTGAAAGTAAAATAAAGTAAAAGGTGTGCTTCAAAGCTTGTTTCCCCTTCCCCATTCATCTCTACATTCACTTCAGCTCTCGAGTCAGCTTTCAGGCCATAGCATTGCGAAACATCTTGCACGCTGACGTCTTCACTGAAAGGACAACGGCACCTCCCTCTCCCGACATTCACCTAAAGGTACGAGAGGCACTCAATGAATCAAGAGATTTGAGCAGTTACAAACGAAGCTCCAATCACAAATATTTAGTCCTTTAAAAAGATTCTTTATCCTTTAACAATTATTACAAATTATTGCAGTTTTTGGTTCTGCGTTGTTGCTGTACTTGTTAGTATTCATTCATTAGCTTCTTGATGAAACATAAATGCAACTATATGTTTTGCCCAAGGGCTCAAGCACATTGATATTAGTTCCAATCCAAGATTTATGCAAAAACTAAAGCTCTTTTGTTAATTCACCAGATAACGATGGCAGCATCACAGGCAGGGCAAGCTAGGTCGTAGGGTTGAGAAAAGCGTCTGTCACTCTGATGAGGTCTTCAGGTTTTGAGAAGACACGGTAGCGTTCACTTCGAACATTCCCCAGAAGGTATGAGAGGCATTCCATTATTCATGACATTTGAGCACTTGTTAACTTAGCCTGAGGCCAGGACAAATAAAGCTCCAAGCAAATCTCCTGCCACCTCGTCCTTAACTTTTCAGTTCACTCTCACAACACATATATTCCATACTACACATTTTGAATTCATACTTCACTTAACAGTTGCCTCGACACTTTACTTTACGCTCCCTTCACCACACAAGCCACTCGCTAGCTGACCATGCAGGTATCTCAAGTGAGGTGAAGGTCGTAGAGTTACACAATTTACACATGTCAGTATCACTTCACCACTCACCTCACCAATCAACCTCACCATTCGGCCCACCACTAGACCATTGAGTCATCACTCACTCAACATTGCATTACCAATCAACCTCACCATTCAGTTCACCACTGCCCACTGAGTCATCACTCGCTCATCACTCAGTCTGCATCGCATTACCAATCAACCTCAACATTCAGATCACTACTGACTCATCACTCAGTCTTCATAGCCTCACCAATCAACCTCACCATTCAAGTCACTATTGATCATGGAGTTGGCTCTTACTCTTCACTCAGTCATATCACTCACCAGTCAACTCACCACTGACCACTGAGTCATCACTCACCCATCACTCAGTCTTTACACCTCGCCATTCAGTCTTTACACCTCACCAATCAACCTAAACATTCAGCTCACCACTGACCACTGAGTCAAACACTCCTCACTCGGTCTTCACCTCACCAATCAACTGCACCATTTGGCTCACAACAGACCACTGATTCATCACTTACTACACTCGGTCCTCATCACTCACCATGTGAACCTCAACAGTCATGTCACCACTGACCACTGGGTCATCACGCTCCCATCGCTCAGTCTTTATTACCTCACCAATCGACATCGGCATTCAGCTCACCACTGACCACCGAGTCAGCACTCATTGATCACTACCTCACTACTCAACCTCACTATTCTGCTTCCCACTGACCAAAATTTGTTTCTTGGTGAAACATAAATGCAACTATGTGTCTAGCCCAAGGGCTCAAGCACATTGATGTTGGTTCCCAGCCAAGAGTTTTGCAAAAAATAAAGCTCTTTTGTTAATTCACCAGATAACCATGGCAGCATCCAACGCAAGGCAAGCTAGGCGGTAGGGTCAGAAAACATCTGTCACTCTGATGGGGTCTTTATGGTTTTACCTCCAAGAAGACATGGTAGCTTTCACTTCCAACATTCCCAAGAAGGTACGAGAGACATTCAATTATTCATGAAGCACTTGTTTAGCTTAGCCTGAGGCCAGAACAAATAAAGCTCAAATCAAATCTTCTGCCACCTCGTCTTTAACTTTTCAGTTTACTCTCACCGCACATTTATCCTATACTACACCACATTTTCGAATCATACTTTTACTTAACATTTGCCTTCATACTTTACACTCCCTTCACCATGTAAACCATTCTCCACTCGCTACTGACCATGCAGGTATTTCAAGTGAGGTGAAGGTTGTAACTGCACACAACTTACTTTCACCACATTCAGTGTCACTTCACCACTCACCTCCCCAGTCAACCTCACCATTCAGCTCACCACTGACCACTGAGTCATCATTCACTCATCACTCGGTCTTCATCACCTCACAAAACAACCTCACCATTCAGCTCACCACTGACCACTGAATTTTCACCCACTCATCACTCAGTCTTTATCACCTCACCAATCAACCTCACCTTTCAGCTCACCACTGACAACTGAGTCATCATTCACTCATCATTCAGTCTTTATCACCTCACCAATCAACCTCACCATTCAGCTCGCCACTGACCACTGAGTCATCTCTCACCCATCACTCAGTCTTCATCACCTCCCAAATCAACCTCACCATTCAGCTCACCACTGACCACTGTGTCGTCCCTCACTCATCCCTCAGTCTTTATCACCTCACCAATCAACCGCACCAATCAGCTCAGCAATTAAGTCACTCGTCACTCACTCATTACTCAGTCTTCATCGCATTACCAATCAACCTCACCATTCAGCTGACCACTGAGGCATCAGTCACTCATCACTCTGTCTTCATCACATTACCAATCAACCTCACCATTAAAATTCACCACATATCACAGAGTCATCATTCACTCTTCACTCAGTCTTCATTGCATTACCAATCAACCTCACCGTTCAGCTCACCACTGACCACTGAGTCATCACTCATCCCTTGGTCTTAATAGCCTCAGCAATGAACCTTGCCATTCAACTCACCACTGACCACTGAGTCATCACTCAGTTATCACCATCTTTAAAGCCTCACCAATCAACCTCACCATTCAGTTCGCCATTGACCACAGAGGCATTTCTTACTCATCACTAGTCACCTCACCTCTGACCACTGATTCATCACTCACTGCACTGAGTTTTCATCACTCACTATTTCAACCTCAGTATTCAGCTCACCACTGAGTCATCACTCACTCATAAGTCGGTCTAAAGATTTGTTTTCTATGCTCTTAAAAAAAATCTCCAAACGAATTTTCAATTAGCATTAAAAAACTACCTTTTGTCACCATCCCACAGCAAAAGGTGCTTTCATTTTGTGCACCCATGTACCCACCTTGCTGGAGCCGAAACAATTTTGGGACACGAAGAAATTCAAATTGTGTAAAACGCAGCTGTATATTTTTGTTTGATGTCTCATTCAAAGGTGAAAAACTTACATGTATCTATTTTGCTAGGATAATATCAAATGAAAAAAAATCTAGTTTACTGAATCTTTGTTAATTAACTTCACACTTCATTACGTTACACTTCACAATTCAGCTGCCTCTCATCGAACTCCTAATGAAACTTTCTTACTTAACTTCACACTTCACTCATTTTCAATCACAATTCAGCTGCCTCTCACCAATAGTCTACAACTCCTAATTAAACTATTGAATGTTTGAAACTGCATGAGCTAATTTTAAGTTATTTTCTTTCTTCTCTTCTATTTAATTGCATTTATTGTAAGCTTCCTGGTGTTCAAGTCACAAAACTCAAGAATACTGAACTACAGCAGACTTCCAATGGACAGCTAAACCTACTACTAGGGCCACAAGAGGGCACCAGTCTACAAATATGAAGTCGAGATTAAGACGGTACCCAATCATTGAATTACGTCCCAATAGATCATCATTTATGGGAGTTATGTACATCTGGGCATGAAATCACTTTACATATTATCCCTAGGTAGTACCTGTAGAGGAAAAGATTGTAACATATGTAAGTACATTGTAAAATTCAAATTTGACATGATGTATGCCATGAAAGTATAATTGGTAAAATTAGCACTGAACTTCATTACATTGACTGCAATTGCTGTGCTGCCGTAAACTAAATACAATGCTTGCAGATTGACCGTGATTTTGTTTGCAAAGCTGTGGATTTTTTGGGGTGAAATTATCCTCAAAATAGAAGACATATTTTTTTTGTTGCTCATCTTGATGTGTTAAACACCCACTTGCCAAAAGGGAGGAATACAAGGCTCGCATGATGAGGTAAGTTTCCAATTGTGTTCACTGCAAGTGTAAAGTAATTGACTCGATAAATAAAGAAGGTTATGGGTTGATTTATTCATGATTTTTTATGCAGGGGTATAAAGTGTAGGCATACAGTTGAATTTTAAGTTAATTTTTTTTGTAATAAATGGGAATGTTAACATATTTATTGGTTTAGTTTAGTTTAGATGTGTATTGGTTCTTTTACAAAGCTCTTTCATTTATAAAGGTTTTTTAAATAAACTTTTGTGCATATAGGCATCAATTAATGAGAAGCTCTTTCATTTATAAAGGTTTTTTAAATAAACTTTTGTGCATATAGGCATCAATTAATGAGAAGTTAGGTTTACCAACGTGATGCTTTTACAAAAGTCTTTCACTTATAATACCATTAACTTTGGTGCAAATAGGCATAAATGTACATGGGTTTAACTACAACATTCTTTTAGAAAAGCCTTTCATTCATAAAGTTTTTCTTATACCATTACAATGTTGTGGTAATATAGATGTTAATTAATGGGTTTAACTACATGATTGCATGATTCAAAATGTCACTTATATTTTCTACCCCCAATTCCCCCTCAAATTGGGAAAACACTTAGGTATGTTTTTCATGTTTTGATCATGTTTTTTTATTCCTTATCCAAATTTCATTTGTGTTGATAATGTGTAACCTCTGGCTCCCTTAGTTATCTTTATTGATATAGATTCAATTAGAAATAGGCCTATTGTAGTTTAATACAGTTTGAGCTACTAGGCCTATGTATCTGCCTCGATCAATCAAGAAAATTGTTTGCGGCATCCATATTTTACCGTACAGTTTGATACTGTCTTTTGAGTATTTTATCTTGCCATTTATTTACAACACGGAAAAGTAAAAATTGCTAACAGTTGTTCCATTCAATGCATGTCATATTTTTTTTGTATTTCAGGTTTCTTTGAATTAACCAGTTCACGCCGGGATCATTTTGACAAGAACAGAACAGGGTGTGGGATTACCTTTCACTGGACCTCAATGCCAGGTGGATGAAGCCATCACCCTCCAACAGCACACTCATATTTCTAGCCTCGGTATTGGCTGCGTTGAGCTGACAGATATTTTTTGCCTAGCTCAATGTGTGTTCACCTGTCGTCTATTCCGAATACCGCGTCATTCGACGCAAACTGGTTGAACGGACATATGCTGAAATGTCTAAAAGGTGCTGCAACTATGACATCGAAATCAGTGACAAATCCCTCTTCCTGAAATTTCCTTGCGATGAATATGTCTGCATCAGTATCCTGAACTGTAAACAGGCTTAATTGCTGTTGTTGTCAGTTTTGACAATCACAAGTACTTTGCTGCAGTGTTCAACCTGAGGTCTGATTTCTGCAGCATCTGTAAGAGGCTTATGGCAGTTGGCATTATACATGGAGCAGATGAAGATCTCTGTGATAGAGAGGCTTTGGCTTGCATGGACCCTCTTATCAAACTGGTTCCCTATCCACCCAGTTGAAATAACAGACCTTGCCGTGTTCAACCTGTGTCCACAAACATCTGTGTTGTGGTTGTAGAGGCCCATCAAGAGTGGTAGTTGGTGTTTTCAACTGGAGCAGCTCAGGATATCTGGGGTAGAGAGGTTTTGGCTCGTTGGTGGCAGTACTGGACCGTCTCCTCAAGCTGGTTCCTCATCCACCCAATGGATACGCTCACAAACATGCTGTCTGAAGACAGCTCTTCAGCATCGTCAGCCTCCCAATTGTTTGGTTTGATGCAGTAAGTTCTCATGTCCTTGCATGTGTCCTGACTCTGAGGACTAGATGTCCAATGGGGTTGGTGCCAGTGGCGAGCTGGCAATAGAGGAAGTCCTTCATGCTGTTCTGTAGGTTTGCCGAACATGTCCTAGCCAGCATGGCAATACAGAGCCAAGAGGGAGAACATGCCAGGGATTGTGGTAAAAGATGTCCCTATATGGCATTTGATCTGCCACATGACGGTGTTCCAATTGCATGTAATGGATCTGTGTCTTGCTGCAAGCGTACTGTACATGTACTTGGAGTGCATACCTGGTCGATGTATATTTTTTCCCCCTTACTCTTCTTGATATGCGGTCAATGCCTTCTCTGTGTCAAATTCAGATTGCTGGAGAGAGTCAATGGTAAGCAGATGAAGCTTTCCAGAACCTCCATTGTGAAAGACTAATATAATCAGGACCGGCAGGGCCAGCTGACATCCTGAACACTGATCTCGGTCTACAGGCCAGTTGCAAAATCATACTCGCTGCAAGCATGAGAGCTATTACAGTTTGGGCTGCAAGCCCAGCACAATCTGCAAACAGCTCCCTTAGAAGCACTTCCTTCAAGTCAGGTTGAAGAGCTTCCTATCTGATGTTCTTGTAGATGCCGTCAGAGTAGTGGGTGAAGGTGCGGCTCAGTAGCAGGGAGAAAATGCCTACACAGCTGTGTATATACCTCTTGTGATTGAAAATGTCACCAACAGGGATCCACCATACATGAGTGTGTCTTTCATGCTTCTGTGGAAAGAGATTGCCAGTCTGCAAAGCAACGGGGAGAGCCAATCTTGTGGAAGAGACCTTTTCTACTGATGAGGTCCTTTATCAGGTGATTAGTTGGTGTCTGATAGAGTTGTTCCTTTCCCCCAGCATATTTTTCGGAGCTGGCACACACATGGTGGTTCTTCCAGCTTACTGTAGCAGCACTGTGACTCGAGTATATGCTAGCCAGTGCTGGGGGATCCTGAGTGATCCAAGATACCATAGAGAAGGATTCAATCCTGCCAGGTGATGATGATCAACCAGCACATATGAGGCACTACGAAAGTTGTGGAGGTAGTACTCCTGCAACTAAGTGGTCAGTGTTTTGCTGTTGTATAAAGCAACATGAGGACACATATACCCGATAGATGTGTTTCCTGTCAGCTTGTTCACACTTTGGACAGCCTGGATTATGGGCGATGCCTTCAAACTGTGTCCAAAAGGCAAATGTCTAGGGATAGTCAATCTGAGGTAGGTGATGCAGTCCACCACTTCCAAAGTGTTGTAGCCTATCTGGATCCTGATACTTTAGTCTCTGCAGAACATCCTTAGTGAGAGATGCAAGTGAAGCATGAACCGTCTGTGCCAACATCTCTCTGGTTGTCATCACCTCCTTTACCATTGCTTCGGACTGTATGTAGTCAAGCCAGGCAGAATAGCTTCCCTCCTGATCCTGCGTAAAGGAATGAATGACGGAATAACTCGGCATCAGTGAGAAGATCCTACAGTGTCATGTGTTAAACGCTCGCCTCTCACCTCTGTGGTCTGGGTTTGATTCCCGGCTCGGGTCATATGTGACAGAGTTGAATCTCTTCTATGTGACAAAGGTGTTTCTCTGGGCTGTGCGGTTTTCCTACCTCTGCTGATCTGCACAAACCAAGAGTTTTCATCTGGTTGTGCTCCGTGGTCAAACGTGTTGTATGGCAGCTATCAAAGACGTTTTTATGGCTCAACCACATTATATTGTGGCTGTTTCCCGGAGGGCTGCAACACTGTATTGTGAGCAGCAGGTCCTTGGAGATTCATGTGCACATTGTCTTTGCAATCCAGCTTGCATTGATCAAAGTGCTGGGAACTACATCTTGTGTCTGTCTCATAAGTGTGGTGCAGAGTACCACAATACTATAAACTCCAAGCACCCATCAGGCACATGCCAGCACTTGTAAGGGGTTGCTAGAATTGATAGAGGCGCACGCATGCACAGTACATGAAGGGTTGATCCAGAGAGGTTAGTGCCAGGCAGGCTGAGGCTGTGCCCAGGGTTGGAAGGGTTCTCACAGTTGAAAAATGACCAAACGTTTTGTATTTGACAAAAGTCAAGTCACTGCCGGGGGCAGAGGCCCCCTCTATCTGCATCCGCCTGGATCCGCCAATTAATGTACTTGTAGCTCCAACTGACAGATGGAACCCTGGAGGTCCCATTCTCTGTGGCTTATTACTCATACCTTCTCCTTCTGTGTTATTTTAACACTCTTCACTGTTCACTGAAGTGCCCTGTCCAGGACATGGGGTTGGACGGACAGCATGGAGAAATTGTGATGCCAAGTGGACACTCCCCTCTGCCAGTATGTGCTAGAAAAACTAGAAGGGTGTAATGAGGGTGGAGCAGGAAGCCTTCATTATAAATTAGTGGCTCCACTCCTAATTTTTAGGGGTGCTTCTGCTGATATATTTACTCATAGTGAAACCTGTCTTAAAATAACCAAAACAAACATTTCAGCTGTCACTTTCCATTGAGTCAATTCTACATTATACATTAAATTAATAAAACAAATTGTTTTTAATGAAGATTAAAAAGGTGCTTAATTGTATTTCACATTTTTTATGACTTCACTTGATCACTCCTATTTTTGTGTTGTTGGCATTTGTTTCCCAATGCAACCAAGTGCATGTAACATACAATCAAGGCATTGCAATGAAAATAATGAAGTGTAAGCAAGACAATAAATTTGACTTTATTCAAGACATTCTCGTGTAGTGCAAGTTGTCAAATATTTGAGTGTTCCCTTGCGTTTACCAGAAATCCGAGGGTATTCTTGCAACATTATTTCAGGCACAAAAATCTTCATATAAGAGTTTTCGCCTTAACTTCTGAATTTGTTTTTTCCTTACCCATTTCTGAGAGGTATTCTAAAAAGCAATGATTTACCAAACACAGCTAGTT